ACTCGTCATCGAATTAACATTGAAACGTCCCCCACGATAATCGCAACAACTCGACGTCCGAGCGCAACCCCCACCGAATCCATGCGAATGCGACACGAGGCATTTGCCGCTTAGTAGCCTGTTCGCAATTCCAAATACAGTAATTCTGCCACGATGGCGCAGAACTCGCAGACACAAAAGCAAAAATGGGGAGTCGGTTCTTTTTTCCAACAGGCAGTAGCCGGCGTCGAGTCTCGGCTGGATCACATCTTGATGGATGAGGATGGAACCCAGACTTCTATCACAAAGCCCACTGATACTCAGGGCGGAGAAGAAGCACCGATAAAGGCTCCTGTTGCTTGTATGAAATCCACAACACATGTGCGACCCGTTCGACCTGGCTAACATCTTTTAGCGGTTTCCCGCAGTTCATCGACCGCGCGAAGAAATGACCGGCTTCAAGAACGTCTGGCCCGAGCTATGATGAAGCAAAATGCCTCCAATCTCTCTTCCCAGTCTCCTCAGAACCGAGTCTCATCACCGCCTGTTAGTCCAGTACCTAGCAATGGAACTCGGTCGAGTATGGACATCGATTCTAGCGTTGCATCAGTGAACAGCGCGGTGGAAGACCCCAAGATTTCTCAGCCGAATGACGACAGCAATGCAACTAAACTAGCCTCACCGAGGATAAGCTACGACTCCGGTGTATCACCGCGTGTTTCAACAGATATCAGCGTCGCAGACTCCGCGCCCAGGACCTCTGTAGATGTGGCTCAACCAACAACCGACTCGGCCAAAGCTAGTCAAGAAATCTCGGGCTCGCAACGCAATGAGATACTGAGTGATATCGCTTCGGGCGATAGCCCGCGCGTTAGCGTTGAATCGCCATTAGAGGGACCAGAGGATGAAAACCCGGATATCGCTCGCCTGCAGGCTGAGCATAAAATTGCCGAGTCTCAATGGCAAGCAGAAATGCACGGTTATATTGAACGTATTGATGCATTGCAGTCGAAGTTGAAATACCTCGCCAAGGATGCTGCGGAATCGGCTAAAAATGCCGCAGCAAGTGCTACCTCAGGGAGTGTGCAAAAGCAGCTCCTAGAGAAAGATGAGAAGATTGCATTGCTTCTTGAAGAAGGGCAGAAGCTATCTAAGTCGGAGATGGACCACCGCACGGTAATTAAGAAATTGCGTCAGCAAATTACCGAAAACACCAAATCTCAGACTGAGATGAAAAGAAAAATGGACAAGCTTGAGCGAGACTTGGTCAACTCCGAGGCAAGAGCCAAGCGGGCAGAGGCTGCAGAGAAGAGGGCAACCGAGTCTTTATCATCCCAAACAAAGTCGACTAAAGACTTAGAAGCTGTTATCAATGAACGCAATGCGCTCAGCCAGACTGTTCAAGAGATTAAATCGCAATTGAGTCGGGCAGTTTCCCGCGCCGAAGCTGCCGAGACAAAGGCGAACTCTGATGCTCTAGAACTGGAGAGGCAACGGGTGACAGAGCTAGACGAGGAGCTATGTAACCTGAAGATCGAGCGTGACATCAATGAAGAAAAATCCAAGAGGGAAATAACCGAGTTGAAGGAGAAAATGGAGCAAGAGAAAGAAAGGGCTCGGATACTCGAGGCCGAATTGAAAGGCGAACAGTCTGTTTTGGAAAGCAAGATGGAAAGTCTTCGCTCCCGTGCAGAGGAAGCGTCGTCGGGGGCAACGGGAGAGACCCAAGCCAAACTTTTGCGTCAGATCGAGACCCTGCAAACCCAATATGCTGCTGCTAGTGAAAACTGGCATACACTAGAGGGCTCTTTGCTTTCACGCCTGGCTAGCGTGGAGAAAGAACGTGATGATACTAGTCGACGTGAGGTCGACCTCCGGAAGAAGATTCGAGAGATGGTAAGATCTCAAATTCTATACCTTGATGTACCGCAAGATTAACTAACAAAAAAATGTAGAACCAAAAGTTAAAGAAGCTCGAAGAAGAACTAGACAACGCCAAAGAAGCCGAGCACGATTTGGATAGCAGGCTCGAGGAACGCATGGAAGAGCTGCAGAAGCTGCAACAGAAACTCGAGAAAGCGGCAGAGGACCTCGCCTCAACGCAGAAGGACATGGCCGAGCAGAAGAAAACATGCGACGCAACGTGGGCGCAGAAGCTTGAGGAGGAGCGGGCCAAGTGGAGAGAGCAGGTGAACTCCCCATCGCAGCTACGCGGAGTATCACCTGGTGCATCTCTGCGGCGATCGAGTACTCTCGACACCATGAACACAGGACCGTCGGACTTCCGCCCTCCTAGCCGGCGCTCATCTGCTATGCCTTTCGCCTCACCGGAAATTGGCACGCCACCTCGGCAAAACTCCTACCCTACTTCTATTACCCAAGCCACACTTTCTCCTCCACACATCAACACAAATGCATCACTCATGGGTGCGCCCTCTATCAGCTTTGAGCCGGAGGAGTATTTCGAAGAGTCTGGTACTCCTGCCACTCCTTCAGCGTACGGCGGCACTCAAGCACCTCCATCGCGCGGTATCAACGACATAATCTCCGAGTCAACCGTCGGTGCCGGCCCTTCTGTACAGCTGGTCGAGCGCATGAGCGCCACAGTTCGCCGCCTAGAGAGTGAGCGCGCCGGCTCCAAGGACGAGTTGGCCCGCGTGACGACTCAGCGTGACGAAGCTCGGCAACAAGTTGTGGACCTTATGCGTGAGCTCGAAGAGAAGCAGCTCTCGGCTTCCCGGGTACAGCAACTCGAAGCTGAACTCGAAGATCTTGATCAGCGCTACCAGACTACTCTTGAGATGCTGGGCGAGAAGAGCGAGCAGGTTGACGAACTCAATGCCGATATTGCTGATCTTAAGAAGATCTACCGCGAGCTGGTTGACAGTACTATGAAATGAGGGCGAACTAGTTAGATGTTTACCTACCATTTAGTGAGCCGCCTGGACACTGCTTGGCTGGGATTTTTCATGCTTAGACTTAACCCACTCGGGTTTGTAAATAGTATACATTCTGTCTTGTACAAATTGATTGGTGTCATACAACGAATTGGATCACAACGCACCTTCCCTTTTATGCGGACCAGTCATACCTGCCCGAAAAATGAGACTTCCCTTCCACCCTTTTAAGTACATTCGGTTTCTAGCTATTTAGACTTGCAGCGAGATCGGAGATTGTGGCAACCTGCTAAGAAACACTCGTATCATTGAAAACACTGCTATATGGACATGAACATATCAAGAAGATGAGGAATGCACCGAGTCCGCAGCGTCTGGCCTAAATTGCACCAGCTGCTGAGCACTTTCATTCTGCCTCCTATCCCAACTTGCAAGAAGAACATTAAGCAACTCATTGGCGACACCCAACAACAAGAAAATCGCAATAACCTGTCCAAACGTCCACCCTTTCTCTTCAGGGTCGAGATCGTTGCGACTGATAGTCTGTTCCAGTGACACTATCAAGTATATGCAGAACGAACAGTACGCGACCTTGTTCAGCGTATAGGTGAGCAGCGCCTGGCCGTGCAGTCTCTCGGGTGGCTCGACACGTTCCTGGTAAACAGGATGATTGACTTCCATAAACCAATTCACCCAACCTCTCTTCTGACCCTCGATCCTGTTTCCAGCCTCGGGATGCCGTCTTCGGTACCTAACGTACCCACAAAGACACGGCAGCATACACGTGAAAATAAGAGCATAACCAGCCACAACCGCACCCAGCGTCCCAAGAATAATATACCGGAACACTGGAGAAGTGGCTTTAATACTGACGCCAAAGACCACATACACCGTATCCTTGTTGCATTGAGGCTGGCTGCCGAAATGTGGCGCAGTTACCCAGACATAGACGTTCAAAGAGAGGAAAGCCGCTAAAGCCAGGATCTGGAGTGCGGCGAAGAAATATAGTCGCCATGGGCCGAGTCCTGCATACCGGCCTTTGCTCACCATGTCCATGCCGAGTATGGCGAGGAGATGAACGACACATATTGCGTGGAAGAGGGTTAGGTCGTCCCGAACTGTCTGGTAGATGGCTGTGCAGAGGAGGGCTAGGCCTTGCAAGCCAAGGGCGGAAGAGACGCCCCGCGAGAACTCTTCTTGGTCTTTGCCTGGCGCAAAAACGCGGAGTAGATAGCTGACGACCGACCCCCCTAGGCAGAGGGTGTAGATAGATACACGGATCTGCCGGTGATGATTTAGTTGGGGAATTTCTTTGTTCAAGGTCTCAGGGTAGGGAGCTAAATGGCGATAGGACGAGAATGATGGCATATGAGACAAGACTTACTCCGACCCCAGATACATCGGGGTTAGCCTCAATAACACAGGCTGTTGAGTTCATCCTGGGTGGCACGATGATTGTAACGACTTTCCAAGCGATATGCTACAGCGAGCTGAATAGAGGGTGAGACGTTCTATATCTTAGTCTCGGTTCAAGTGTCCATTATCGTTTTTCCATCCCTCGATGAGTCTCTCAATTCGCCCCACGAAAAGCCCAAGGAAGCCATGTGCCCGGGCATGACAGTGGCTAAGCAAAAACATTGCGCCACAAAAACCCGATCGCCAGTCCGAAACCTCATTCTTCAAAGTTTAATAGATGCAAAAAGGCAGCGGCCGAGCCTACTACGATCTTAATCGCACTGGGATTGGGTCGCCTCAGGATGCCCCATCTGACGCCCGAACGATGCTTACTGCAGTAACCGCTAAGCCCGAATTAGGGCTCACGGGAGGAACGCCAGAGACTTAGTTTCGGCAAATGAGTCCGTTGATTGGCCAATCTGGAACTATATCATCAAACTACTGCAGCCCTTCGTTTAGCTTCGTGATGGATTTCCCTGTTTCTCATCAACACTGCTTTTTCAGCCTCCTCTGGCGTCACCTATGTGACTCCGCGAGGCTTTTGGCAAGAAATGGGGGAGCGTGCCTAGCAAGCCTTGGCTAAGAAATTGGATTTGCTTATAAGACGTTCGGTCTCATTTGCATGGGCAAAATTCGACCTAAATCGTTATTACTTCTATTACAGTACAAATGAATATGGACGACGTTCCACTTCCTGCTATCAACAGTAAGCTCTTATTTTTACTACCCATGAGCCCAAGGCAATTCAGAATTAGTTTCTCCTTGCGACATTGTCATGCTTCACCCCAATACTTACTATGCTTATCACTCTAGTATGGACATTCTTCACCCTAGCTGCGCTAGATATCGCAGCAAATGCGGCCGCCGGTCCAGCAGCAGTAGCGACCGCCGCGCATGTTAATGGGACTCCACTGACAGCGAGAGCAATGCAAATCGGTGCGCTCGCTGGAGTCACTAAATCAGGGGTATTGGCGTTCGTCGAATTCGCGAGTTATGCGGGATTGCCAACGCCCGCGTGGATACTATTGGCTCTGGTGGCAAGTGGATTTGGAATATGTGTCCTGGTCACGGCGGAGGTTAGCAATTTGGTTCTTGGAGAAAGTGAGTACAAGTCTGTCTTGTGGAATATTGTTCGGCTTGAAGCTCCGTGTTGCGCGACTTGAGCTGGTGGTTGTGATGTGTTTGGTTTCTGTGTCTAACGGTATATAGCACCGAGCGCGTTGCTTATTGCGGCTGTTGTCGCTGCTATTCCCCTTGCAGGAGAATGTATTGGGATATATCAATGTAAGATCTTTTTTTGTCGCTTGCACCTCTCCATTGCTAATCCTGCTTTGTGCTTCAGCCGCTGGGGGGCTATATGGTAGCAAACCCCAGACGCAACTTTGTATTATGGGGCTCGACGCGTTGGGGGGATACGTGTTTGCTCGTATGGCACATAACGGAGGTCAGCTTTCGTCTCTTCTATATCATGAAAGCTCTAGGGGCTATCCTCTTTGATGCTCCTGTTGCATCTGTTGAAGTATGATTTGACTAATACTTGAACTATGTGCCTGCAGGCTACGATATCTGCCCTTACAATGTTGCTGCTGCGGCTGGGGCAGTATACGGTGTTATCACCGGCTTCTTTCATACTATCATTGGGTGTATGGCTGGGTTTACCCATTATGAGAGCACAAATGGAAATTATGAAATGCGGAATGTCTTTGGGACTTCGCGAGGGTATAACCCCAATTGGAATCAGAATTCCTGGCATTGATTCTAGTATTGGGGCATCGGTTTAATAAATAATGGGGCAGACTTTCTTGTCTGAATAGCAATATTGCGGTCTTTCACTTTTTCGGGATGCCTAGCAATATACGAACAAGAATCCTGATTCAACATTTCCTATGGTGCTGTCTGAAACTCAAGTCCCTCTTCGATAAGACTTTCTGGATCAAGCGTTCGCTTCGTCACATCAAACACGCACATTGGTCACTTTCGTTATGCCGAAAAGTACCTCTCGCAGCAACTTCGTCCATTCAACATCTATTTGTGTGAAGCCAGAGCGACGGCTATATTTCAGGCCATTGAAATGTATCCTAGTGTGCTTGGCCACCTACACGTTTGGTTTCAGTTATAACGAAGACCATCACGGTCGAACTAGTTATGAAGAACCTTATATGCCGGTTGGTTTGGTGTCTCGGGCGCAATTTCTGTTTCTGGATCCTAGTCATCGGGATGTTCCAGAATCACACCAGAACTGATAGATCAGACGCCCCGTTCAGATACACAATAGAAAACCTTTGAGGTGGCTGAAATAATCACATTGTTTTGTCTATCGTGGGTCCAGCTGCATGCGATACAACCTTTCTCGAATGGTTCAAACGAGGCTGGAAGATGGCACGGCATATATTTGTGAAATCTGGGGTTGGATTAGGGACCAAAGAGGGAGAAGAAGTATTTGGAAGGGAACCCTGGGAGGGCCAAGGCCCAGATCCCTGATCCCTGCTCATATGCACCACAATATTCATAAAGGACAGGTTGGAGACATCATGTGTGTATGAGCTAGATACTGCACCAAATATTGCATCAAAAATGCTCTAGGTGCTCAGCATACCTCTGTTCCATTATGTCTAGAAGTTTACAAACAGTAAGGGCCCCTGAAACAGCATAAATGCAGCATCGAGACATGTACTTTTTAGCCGCTCGATGGATCCAGACACTATTAACTGCCTCTAATGATAGAACGGCTGTGGCTGGGATTTAAACAAAGCCAGAGGATCACTTATGTATCAAGTCTTTGCATGTGAGACAAGTTCAAGGGTGAGACATGGTCTAGACTGCGCGCGAAGGGAGTGGATCAAACGGGGGTGCATAAGCCACTTTTTCTTTATTGACGTGCAGGTGGACTGGGATAGCTGTTTAGTGCTGTGTGTAAATGGACTACTCTGGAGTTGATGTTGATTTGAAAGGCTAAGTGAGTGTGCTTTGGATCAAGTAGCCCAGGATATTCTCCAACCTTTATTATTGAATCTTAAATATCAAAAGTGATATACTACAATGTACTACTTAACGCTGTCTCGGAATCATAAGCTCTCAACTAGTATGCGACAGCTATTGTGGACCCTTATGGAGCAGCCTTATGTATTTCAGAATCGCTACAATAGATCAGGCCACCTCGTATGGCTATTTTGATACCACAATTACTAGAATCTCAACATTTTGATTTCTGAACTACAATATTGCGATACAAGTGAAATGATTCTCCATCCTTAACAGTACGAATCCTAGAAGTCGCATAAATGCTCTGAATACAAAGTAAAAACACGTATAGATTGATAAGGGGCTAAGACAAAATAAGGTGCTCCGTATGGAGTACGAAGTATAATAATCTCGGACCATAGTGCTAATTAAGAGTAGTCTGGTGATTAGTGCTGTGCTATTTCTTGACATGGGTCATTGGGAAATATACGTACCATCTAGAGTTTAATACTCGAACCCCGAGCTGGAGCAAGGCGCACATTGTTGTCCAATCAGTTCCAGGCGCATAAAACAATCCATATGAATTGCTATAAGCAATGTCTTTTTAAGTGGGGTCTTCAGTGCTGATCAACTCTGGATTCATGTAATCTTACTCTGTATACCTGTGGACTATACAAAGTACGGAGTATAAAGTACAACCAAATTGGCCAGCTTCCTGATGTGACACGATGCAGGAACAGGTTCATTAGTACCTAGGCGCTTGGCCCGTTGAAGCAACACATGTCGGCCCACGCGCTGGCCCGAGTGCCTGGCGAGACGCCCTGTTGATCGACGTCGCGCTTTGATTGGACACGGTAAAATGATTGGCATGCAAGATTTGAATTCAGCACGTTCTCTAGCAGGGAGCGGTCTTTTCATAATATTGAGGAGCTTGGGCCAGAGAGGGTACTCCCGAAGGGGAAAAGGGGCAACATCTCCACTAGAGATGTTTTTGATGTTTTTGACAGCCCCTTAATTTATTACAAACAATGAGATATTGAGTATGAATTGAGATACATATCTAGTATAATATATAGCATGGGTATATTCTGTAGGGCAGAGTAGTTTGTGCAGGCATACATGTAAACCCAAACGCTAGAAAGTCGATAAGTAGATCGAAAGTACTTCCAAGTGTTTTTTGCGTACCAAAGATAAGGAAGGTTACTGAAAAAATACATATCGGGTACAAGGCGGCTACCCCTGAATCTGCCAAGCATCAACCTGGGACGTGCTAACCTCTCCATATCCACGACTCAAGGGGTTCTTTGTGCCACTTGACATTATTGAATGTTCTATTTCCTTATTTTGCTTATCGTATCCATATACTCCATACGGAGTATACACTTAGTATAGAGAATTTTACTTATTGAGCACAGAGTACCGGGATATACACAACGAGGATAGTCCATCATATCGCCACGGTACAATATAGGTTCAAGCGATGTCGATCCTACCGACCAAAACACCATTGTGAGATGTATTCGTACCAATCGAATCCATGCAAGTCCAGACCCACGCCAGCACCCCCTGCGCTCCACCCACGCTTACTCGTCCCGAAGCCAGCGCTAATGAAATGGAGAACGGGCGGTTTGCGCCAATCGCCCCGGTTTGTCAATAGGACTTTCTCCTTTTCTCTCATTTCCTTTCTCTGATACTCTCCTGAGAATAATCTTTACCCTTTTGGTCGTCTCATTGGCGCGTGCCATTCTATTTCCCGTGCTAATCGGCATGAGCGACTGTCGATCCATGGCTGTTTTTTGATACGGACCAGGGTGTTTCATGGCGTCTCCTCTTGGACTCGGCGGCTCTCCCGCCCATTCAGAGAGCATTAGTCCCAATTCCCCAACTTCTCCAGTGCAAAGGAAACCTGTCCCGAACAATGGTGATCCAGTGACTTCGGGCCCTGACCACCCGTCCTCTCCTATTTCGTTCGAGGGTGATAAACCCACTTCGATTCCCACCGCATCTGTGGCCAGACCCCTCTCCCCTTTATCGGTGGATGGAGACTCATTTATATCAGTACCAAAGAACCCAAATAGGTACGCGACTAGCATGACCCCGGCTTTTCCCTCTCCCGGGTCTTTTTTTGCAGACCCTCCTTTTTCTCCCCGGATATCTACAGATCCAGCATGATATGGCCTGTATATGCTATTCCGCTTCTCTAGAGTCTGGAAGGCTAATCGCGTGCCTTTGTCCCAACTTTCCAGATATTCACGAGGACGGCATCCAACCCAACCCCTACACATCGATACGGCCGCCTCCCGCCACGGCTCCGCCTCATACTTGGGATCCGTGCTCGAGGACGACGACGACGACGAAGGCCCCGACTACTTTGACGAAGCATACGAACACCAGTTCATGAGTGCAACCCCCCTGCACAGTCGTCTAGATAGCGAACCATTCATCCCGGTCCTTAACTCCCCTCCTCCAACGAAACGATCGTCACGACGGGCAACGAGTATGGCGTTACATATGCCCATGAACAGACCACCTCCTCTACATATTGACGTGGATTCGCGCTCAATGTCAATGTCAATGGGCGCGGGAGATCCAAGACAACCAAAAGCATCTGGGGGCAAGATCAGCTCCTTCTTCGGCTGGAAAGCGGCGAATAATAATACAGCTACATCCCCTGGGGGCGAATCATCGAGCACCGAGATCTCCGACTCTGGGCGATCGGCAATGCCTTCCCCCATGCCACCATTAGCGAATGTCCCTTTCAAACCGGGCTCTCCATACGATACCAAGACCAATGGATATAATCTTCCGGCACGGACCCCGTCATTGGGGGCTTCAAGTTTAAAGGAAAATATATTTATGTCTAAAATGGCAGAGATTGAGAATGAATTACGAGAGATAAGTGCCGAATTGGCGAAATCTATCCGCCGAGAAATGGATCTAGAGGATCTAGTCGAACGGTTACAATTAGAAGGTCCGGACGTCAATCGACGGACCAGTGACTATTTCTCAGACTCGGGCACTAGCTCTGTTCGGTATGCTTCGGATGCTGGAAAGAGCGAAGATATCGAAAAGATTCGTCGCGCTGCAGAGCAAGAACGGGCACAGCTCAAGGTCGAATTATCGCAGAAATTACAAGAGGAACGATCTCAGCGGTTGGCATCAGAGTCGCATGTCCAAATCTTGGAATCTCAAGTTCAACAGGTACGGCTGGCAAATAATGCGCAACATGCGACTGCTAACATTAATCTAGCTTCGACGTGAGAGAACGGACATGTCTGATTTGTCGTCGAAAACTAAGGAACTCGAGACTGCCCTGGAGAATACCAAGCGAAAACTGCTTGAAGAGCGACAATCCAAAGATAACTTTGAAGACCTTCTTACCGCTATGCGAGTAGAGTTGGAGCAATTGCGTAATGATCGAGATCAACTTCGAGATGGCAACCATCTCATGGAGGAAATTGAAGCTTTAAAAATCGAAAATGCCTCTTTGGCTCAGCTACAGGGTGGCCGATTCGCTTCAATCGCCGAGGAGGGTAGCTCACCCAGAAACTCGGCATTTGGAGTATCACGGTCAAGCTCCATTGCACGCAAGCCCAGCGGCTTAGCCCGCTCGGGTTCACTTTCTCGGTCTAACTCCGTCAATAATAACAGCGGTGGTAAATCACCCGAAACCCGTGAATCCTTGGTTGATAAGGTCCACGATATCGAGGTTCAACGCGATGCCCTCCACCGGACAGTGCGGAGCCTTCTCGATCGCCAGGCATACCAGGCCCGCGACTACGAGAAACGCACTCGTATGCTCGAAATGGAGCTTGCTCGAGCCCAGCAATCGGGTCAGCCACGGAAACTGGGCTATGAGAGAGATGTCCGCAACCTGCGTGACGAGGTCAATCATCTCCGCATGCGCGCTGAGGACGCCCTGGATGGCAAGTGGCAGTGCGAGAAGAACCTCGCTGGTCTCAAGATGGACTTGGACCGTGCCGAACAGGAAACCAGCTCACTACGCGCTCTTCTTCTGGAGGACACTACCGCTGGTGCAGAGTTGATGACCGGCCAAGAAGGATTTGCTGAGGTCGTGACCACATCCTCTTCCCTGCAATCTACATTCCAGCAATTGCAGGCGGAACGGGCCGAGGCCGAGGCGCATGTTGCGAACTCGGAAGAGCTTGCTTCATCCCTTGTCCGAACTGAGGCACTTGGCAGCAAAGTCCATTACCAGCTTCAGACTAACACCTCTCTCCATGCCCGCCTAGCAGCGGCCATTGATAAGGGCGACAAAGATCAGCAGATCTCGGTTGAACGGATTAATATTTTGCAGAACCACATGAGGGAGCTGGAGGACGTTCTTTTGATTGCGCAAAATCACTCGGAAGAAGAGATGGGCAAGCACGAGGACGAGCTTCGCTTGCTGAAGGAAAGCCAGAGTGCCCAGCTCATGAGGATGATGAATGGCGGCCGCAGTCCCGTCATCCTCTCGCCCCGCCCCCCGAACACACCTTTCGATTCTCGCTCGCCGCGTCTGGACCAGACCACGAGCGGCGAGGGTATACCCTTGACCGAGGTTGTCCAGTCCGAAATCCTCGAGCGACGAGTGAAAGACCTCGAGAAGCTCCTCCGTGATGCGGATATGGAGATGGAGCAAGTCGTTGGACGGATGAACCGCACCCAGGTCGATGTGGCTCAGCTTCAAACTGACAGGTAAGCAATTCGCGTCTCATTTCGTGTTCCTTTTTTCATCTCATCCTTTGCTAACTCATCCCACAGAGACGATGCTCTCCGCCAGACCCGCCAACTCCAGACCGAAATCCAAGCTGAACGTAATACCCTTAGAGGGCTCATTAACGCCCTGTAATTTTGACAGATTCTCGCGCTTTGTCCTTTCCTACGCCTTACTATACCACGTCTGCATATGCATTTGCGCTCCCATCGCCTGCGATGGTAGAGTACAATATCTTGGAGTTAGCCCGGAGTCCTGGGTATCTGTTTTGGGTTCTTTTATGAAGATCATGCTTGTCGCATCGCGCTGATCTCTTCACTAACTTGGGCTTGGGGTGTTCTGTCTTTTACACTCACGAGACTGGTGGTTGACTGCTGGTCGCGCTTGTATATAGAAACCGTCTCTATATGGGTAAATATCTAATCTACTGTACAGTATCATTCATCAATCTGATACTTATGAAATATATCGATATCAGCCGAGAGTAATGTATAAGTGAGACTGATATACAAGTAGACTTAATGTGTTCAAATCACATGTGATGTTTGTTTAGTTTGCATATTCTTATCATCTGGGTGCCACGCCGCTTGGAAACCCCAGCTTGAATATCACATTCGCTTCTTACTCTGCGTATCATTAATCGCATCGGAATATATACCTTGAGAAACAGACTCTCCTAGTCTCCACTTCAGCTGACCCACCCACAACACATCTCACGAAACCCCTGCTCGGCCTGGTCGCATTGCTCAACTACAAACAACCGACTACAAACAACGCAACGAGCTCCAGCGCGAGAACAAACGAAGCGGTCTCGAGTCAAAGAAGCAAGCAACGCCTTTGAGTATTGAAAAGCCAGTGTATTTTTTTCCCTGTCTAGCACCGGCGGTCCCCTCGAACATATCCATTTTCAAGGGCCACAAAGAACCAAAAGTCTCAAAGCGCCGGCGAGCCAAGGAAAACCACGGACCTGACACGCGAGGACCTTTCTCCCCTCCTGTCTCTCCCTCGTCGACAACTTCAAATCAAAAATCTTGAAAAGATACTCAACGACACAACAACCATGGACTTCCTACCAGGTACCTAGCTCACCTACTCTCCACCATATAGATACAGTATCGCAACGCAAAGTCCTACAAACTAACACGGCCATAGAAAACCTCCAAACAGTCCTCCAAAACCCCACATTCACCTACCTCCAAACAACAACACAAGACCACCTCACAACAAAACTCTCTCACCTACGCACAATGGTGCTCCAGCCATACCTAATCGAGCCCCTCTCGAATTTCCTCGCCTCGTACTCCTCCTCCATGCCAGACCTACTCTCAATATTCCTCCTCGCTGTCATACTCTTCGTCTCCATTAAGATTATAGACTACGCCTACCGTGTGGTCATGTTCTGGGTCACCCTCGCTTTCAGGCTTGTCTTCTGGGGCTCGATTCTCGGTGTCGGGTGGTATGTCTACAGCGTTGGTGTTGAGAATGCAAGTAGGGATTTCGGGTGGATTTGGGGTGTGGTATATGGGTTTGTGGGTGATTTTCAGGAAAAGAGTAAGATCGCTGCGGCGGCTTATGCAAAAAACACCAAGTAGCCCCGGAGGGTGGTTTGGTTTGGTTTATTGAATGTTTGATATTCAACATCTTCGGCTTGTTACTTTTCTGAGCGGCTGGTATGCCTGTTTTGGGATGTATGATGAACATGCGCAATGGATCTGCCTGTTTCTTTACTTCATTCTGCTGAATTAGTCTAGCGATTAACAAATTGTTTTCGAGTTCTAGACATAGCAATATTCATGAGTTGGTTTAGATTTCATTATGGTTTCATTATTATTTTTCTTATCTGAGGATATGTCCGAATATCCATTTGCAGTGTAGAAAGCTCTCAACTCAGACTCTGGTAGTCTCAACCATGGTCGTGTTGCATTTATAGTTGATTACAGACGTCGAGGAAGCTCCAAATGCTGTGTAGTCCGGTGCGAGAAGGATGTTGGAAAAATTTCCTTTATCATCAGGTCGGCCGTACAATATCAACGTGAGATGGAAGGTGGAAGTGGGCTTTGTCTCAGATTGCTCTGCTGCCGGAAACTCGAGGCTGCTGCATGGGGTGGCATTGGGTGAAGTGGTTGTGGAGGTCATGAATGTGCCGGGGATTTGACTGCAAGTCACAGCGCTGCAGTAATCACGTGTGATATCCCTCAATCCTCATAGTTCACATCAACTGCATCCTTGGGTTCTCTCGGCTCCTGGGCCTCATGGTATTGGATAGCATCATCGATGTGGCTCACAATCGCCGCGACGCTGTCCTCATCCGAGACATCCAATTGCAGGAACGAAACCATACTAAAATCGTCGATCAATTGTCCGACAGCTCGGTTGAGCTGCTTGAAAGACCCGCCGCTCATCAAGGATTCCGCGGCCATGGGGTTGGCACCTGCGGTGAGATCGTCCTCTTCCTTCTCTTGCAGCAATTGTACATCCACGTTGGTAAACCGTTTCAATTCCCGACGGGTCACCATATCGCGGACCTGGTCCATCTTGCTGAGAATGTTGACGTGCGGCATCTCCATCATCAGCATGGCGGACATGGCACTGAGTGTACCAGCGAAGAACTTGGCTTTGTCGATGACGAAGGTACTTTCGAGTAGGTAGGCGGCACACATGTTGATATTCAACGGGCCTTGACGGGAGAGGAAAGTTGTGAGGGTTGGTAGAAGAGGAATGTGTGTGTAGAGCTCGATTTGGCCGGGCATGTCGAAGATGATTAAATACTCTTCGCTCAATGGCTCCAGTGCCTCTGATAGGAATTCCAGATTCTGGAGTAGGAACTCGAAACAGTAGATGAGACCCCCATTTGGTCCTAGACCCATCTCTTCCATCACATCTTCCAATGTAATCAGATCACGAATGTCGAGATCTGGTTCATAGGCGAAGGTCTCGGCGGCGGGGTCGAGGTTCACGTAGAAACAGCTGCGGCGGGTGGTTTGTAGGTGTTGAATGATTGCATTGCTGAAGGTGGTCTTGCCTGCACCAGCAGGACCCATTACTAGGACACCGAATTTAGACATGGTTCAATGTTGTATATTCAACAAAAGGTACAAAAATAGGTTCAATGGTCTATCTTATCACAAGAAAATTCCCGGCTGTGTTAATCTGCCTCCAGTCACCGCCCTAGTCACCGCCCTCAGATGGCGCGATCACGGCTAAGCAGGGACAGGAAGTACCGCGTACGAAGTACAACGAGGGTACTTCGGTAGTACCTGACCGGTCCCCCACTCACACTATGTTTTCTCTGGTACCGCCAAAGTAACTCGAAAAAAAGCAAAACCCCACCAAAATTCCCCCTCCCGAGAGATCTTCCTCCCTTTCCTCCATCCTTCTCTCCATTCCTCTTTCCCCTCCCCCTTTTTTTTTCAAGTTTTCCCTTACACATCGTCACAATGGGTTCTGTTTCAAACAGCGGCACTTTCCTCTTCACTTCCGAGTCTGTCGGCGAGGGTCACCCCGATAAGATTGCGTGAGTTATAACCCCCTGGTTTATTCTGCTCTCCGAGAGTTATTAGATGGATCAATTCCCACTGTTACATGTATTGACCCCTCAATAGTGATCAGGTTTCCGATGCCATTCTCGATGCCTGCCTTGCTGAGGATCCCCTCTCCAAGGTTGCTTGCGAGACTGCCACCAAGACTGGTAGGTTGACTCTGTTTACTTGAGGCCAGATCTCAATCTGACAATGTTACACTAGGTATGATTATGGTCTTCGGTGAGATTACCACCAAGGCCCACCTGGATTACCAGAAGATCATTCGTGGTGCCATCAAGGACATCGGTTACGATGCCTCCGAGAAGGGCTTCGACTACAAGACCTGTAACGTCTTGGTTGCCATTGAGCAGCAGTCCCCCGATATCGCTCAGGGTCTTCACTACGATGACGCTCTTGAGAAGCTCGGTGCTGGTGACCAGGGTATCATGTTCGGCTATGCCACCGATGAGACCCCTGAGCTCCTCCCCTTGACTGTCCTCCTCTCCCACAAGCTTAACGCTGCCATGAAGGCCGCCCGTAATGATGGATCCATCCCCTGGTTGCTTCCCGATACCAAGACCCAGGTCACCATTGAGTACGCCCACGACAACGGTGCCGTCAAGCCTTTGCGCGTCGACACCGTCGTCGTCTCTGCCCAGCACAGCGATGATGTCTCCACTGAGGAGCTCCGCTCTGTCATCAAGGAGAAGATTGTTCGCAAGGTCATCCCCGCCGAGCTTCTCGATGACCGCACCGTCTACCACATCCAGCCCTCTGGCCGCTTCGTCATTGGTGGTCCTCAGGGTGATGCCGGTCTCACTGGCCGTAAGATCATCGTCGACACCTACGGTGGTTGGGGTGCTCACGGTGGTGGTGCTTTCTCCGGAAAGGATTACTCCAAGGTCGATCGCTCGGCCGCCTACGTTGCGCGCTGGATCGCCAAGTCTCTGGTTAACGCCAAGCTTGCCCGCCGTGCCCTCGTTCAGCTCTCCTACGCCATTGGTGTCGCTGAGCCCCTCTCTATCTTTGTTGAGACCTACGGCACTTCCACCAAGACCTCCGACGAGCTGGTCGAGATCATCCGCAACAACTTCGATCTCCGTCCCGGTGTCATCGTGAAGGACCTTGATCTGGCCAAGCCCATCTACTACCAGACCGCTAAGAACGGCCACTTCACCAACCAGGAGTTCTCCTGGGAGTCACCCCGTGCCCTCAAGTTCTAAGCGGGCTCTGCTTGATCCGGTGACTCCGGACAACTTTTTGACGACTGTGATGATTTGCTTTGTTTTCAACAACTCGAAGCACGATGAGCATAGACTATAAAAAAAACCCTCATAAAATCCAGAAGCTGGTTTCCACTTGGAGACCGACTTCTCTTGTTTCATTATCTGCATGGTCGCGCAAATGACGGGCCTTTTCGGCGAAGACAAAATTCAACATGATACCACTTTTCATCGGCTGGGAAAGGAAGTTTTTGGCGTTTTTCTGGAGCGACAGTCTTCAACACCACATCTCTACCTCACCGTCCATGGTGCCTACCGAGGAGACTTTCCAGCTTCCATGCTGGATCTCTATCGGTTTCGAGGGAATCTTTCCGGCACTCTCTGAGAGAGTACCTAAAGGTTCTTTTCGTCTTGGCCCTGGGCCTGCTAATCTAAACATTAGCGATAGATTCATAATATTTTCAAATCTTTTTTTCATACATGGTTTTTAGTAGTATACTAGTTCAGATGCTCTAATGTAATTTCTCAAGAAATCAATTTCAGTGGAATAAGACAAACTTGCCCGCTTGATCGAAATCAATTAAGTACATTGATCCAGGCGGAGTGCACGTCCCGACGCGTGACGCCAGACCCACCAAGATTTGAGCGCGATCTGTTGACTGCACATCAATTGCTTTCGAGAGTTAGTTTAGAGACTCGACTCTTGCTTTCAAATTAAAGGATGTCCACGATCTTCTAGACGCGACCATGGCCTCGCGTATTGTCCCTAGCATCCTGGATCCGCTTAGTTCGTCCGCGCTGAACAAACTTCACGAACCGCCCCCTCCACCCATAAAGAAGCGCAAAAGAGACGACCAAGAGCTAAACGATGCTGCTGGACAGCTTGCTACATCTTCCATCGTCATAAGAGTGAGTTATGCCTATAATTAGTCCAATATACGCTCAATCCATGGGTTGCTGTTGCTCACTCTTCGCAACTTGTATAGGCTCACTCGGCGTCTTTATCTGATGAACCCTTGATCTTCGAGCCAATTGCCGCTCTCCCTCGCACAAGACTGCCCCTCTCATGGCTGGACGACACGCCCGCCTCCCGATCAGACGATCAACCAGGCGGCCTTTTCACCGCGGACATCCCCACGCTGGAAGTCGACCTGCGCGCCAAGGCGGAACCAACTGTCCTCGCTGTGCGCCTGATACCCAATGGCGGGCTCTACACTGTTGAGAGGGTGAAGAGAGGCATATACTCGCTGTCCAAGCTCGCCAGATGGGTGCACGAAGGCAACCTCGTCGTTGCGGCCAAGGGATGGCATGCAACTGACGCGGCGGAGGTGGATGGCATGGCTGTCGACGAAACCAGTGCTATTCCTGATGGGTTTGACTGGTGGCAGGTTGCTCAGATCGATGAGCCCTTCTCCGACGTTGAGGTGGGCGAAAAGTCTACTGGACTGGAAATTGCGGTTGTCTTTGGTCCGTCTGAGTCCGATCTCGGGAATACCGAGGCATCCTTTGTGGGCGTTGTAGAGCACCGGAGTCATTCGCTTGCTCCGTCGAGGAGTTTCGATGCCGCTGAGGGGGGTGCTTTCTTGCTTCCTGAATCTCAGGGCTTGGGGGATGTCAGTACGGCTATGGATGTTGATGGTGTTGAGTCTAATGTCGTGGATGTTCAACAGTCGCCCGAGGAGTTGCTGGACGGGATGAGAGATCACTATCTACAGGCTCTCTACGTTTCAAAGGTAATATGCTCTACTCGATATTGAGGGGTTGCCCGACTGACGTTTTTCTAGACTTCTGTGGCGTACTTTGCGAAGGGTCCGTTAACGCGCTGTCGGACTGCTTTCCAGGCCCGTGACTCGGAACAACCTCATGGCTCGACGGAGCTGATTGAATCCTATCGTGAGGCTATCCTCGCTACAAAGAAAATGGACCTCAAATACAGAGAAACATTGCCATCGGTAATTCGCGATGCAGCTCTTGCGCTTTCTGATGATGGCACGAAATCTAAAAAGCGGAATAGTAAGAAGAAGAAGAAGATGGGCAAGAATGGTCTTTACCCAGAGGAGGAAGGATTCATCCACAGGTGGTGGAAGGACAGAATCTTGAATGGATCTTCTGTGCAGGAAGCGTCGCGTGAAGCAGAGTCTAAGAAACAGATTTCGGATCTCCGGCTGCGCGAAACACAATTACAGATCCTGCTTCTTTTGGAGGTCATGGTGTTGGAAATGACCATTGCTTCGGCAGAGAAAAACAGCGCTAACAAGGAGAAAGATGTAAATGGGGAGCAAGATACGCCAAAGAAAGCCAAGCCTAAAAAGCCTACGGATTTAAATGTGCTGCTTGAACTCCATCTCGATCGGATGTGTATTTGGCACGCTGTGACAATGGAAGAAACGTCTGCCGCGGATACAGCAAAGACTTCTTCTTTCAGTGGCAGCCATCTTTCAGGCAAGAAAGTCGAGAGCGATGCGGTGCGTGACTTCTGCACGGAAGTCATCATTCCATTCTACGCTGCACGTCTCCCGGACAAATGCAAGTTGATCACCCGCAAGTTCGGCGTATCTGGCGGTATCTCTCCAGCTGCAAAGAAGACACAATCTTCGAGTAAATCACACCGCATGGAACCCGGAGTGGAAGTCAAGCGGCAACAGCCCGCCCCGAAACCCCGACGAACATTGCAACGAGTGCTTACGGACGACAAAGCGGCAGCGTCCCATGCTCGGCACCCAGCATTAACTCGATCCAGCACTGCACCGACCCAGCACAATGCGAAGCGCGATATTGAGCCCTTGCTGCCCACTGTTCTTAGCGGCAGTGTCCGGGGTGGTATTCAGAAAGCAAAACGTACGGAAAACCGCGAGGTTGATCTTAACGCTGTAGCACGACAGCATGAAACCAAATTGAGAAAGGTCCAAATGCTTGCCAACCAGAAGAAAGAACTGGATGCTGCTATTAATGCGCTCCGGAAGCCGAACAGAGAGCTCGTCTCCAAGGATCTGGCAGATGATGCGTCGAAACGGGTTACGAGTGGCGGAGGCAGTTCAAGAAAGTCAAGAAACCCCGTACGCAATCCGTTCGGCGAAGGTGTACAGGTCATGGCAACTCCTCGAGGCAATCGAAAGAAGGACGCCGGGCTACCGCCGCTCCCTCGTAGTCTGGCCCCATCCCGGTCATTCGCCGGTGTAGAAAATTCTCCCTTCAGCGAGTCTCTCGGCGAGTCTCCCATGATGATCCCATCCTCGAGTCGACGAGCGATCTCATTCTCTGGCGCCGACTCCGACCCTTTCACTCATGACCATCCACACGATGGACGAAGTCCACGAGCAAGTCAGCTGGACGGAGCTATCCAAGAAACTCCAACTAGGCCATCTTCCAAACTCTTCCAGAGTGATTCCATAGCTGCCCGTCGGCCATCGTCCTCCACCGGCAAGGGCCTATTCAGGGTGCCCAAACTCCCGACCCCTCGCTCATCCACACAACCAATGGTCCCAGGCTCCCCCATCCATTCACGCCCTAGGAACATCTCAGCATTCACAGAAAACTTGTCAACATCATCTCGACAATTCAACCAGTCTCTCAACCATGCTCGCACCTCGGCGATCATGGAGACGCCGCCCAAAAGACAGGCGCCGCAGAGTGTATCTACTCCGACTGCTGTGCCATTCTCTCTATCGCTTGACGCCATGGCCACTGATAACCCTCGTGCTCACTCCCCACCTGCCGTCATGGGAACCCCCGTCAAAGGCGCCGCAGCTGTGCCTGTAACGCCTGAGAAATCACAGTCCCAGTCGATATACGATCAGCTGGGCTGGGATGACGAGATGGAGTTCTAATTCTTAATTTCCAAGGCACACGCGCCCGAATGCACATCGTCATGTGTCATGCATTTATGCGGAGTTCTTCTGTGTCAATTTTGCTTTGCCGTGTGTTCTTTGCTCTTTCTATTTTATTTGTACCCGTTCGGGTACACCTGGAGTTTGGGTCTGAAATACTGGCATGGCGTGCATTAAACTCATTTTGGATATATCCCATCGCATTATCTTAGCCTACTTATAAGCATACATTCTATTCTATCCATGTCTCAGATAAAAACGTTAAATATTCCGTAGTATTGTTCAAAGTGAGACATGACATAAACTTCCAAAGAAATGAGGGCCTAGGATTGTCTTGGTTCATATTTGAGGTAGATACAAATATACCAATGTTCAATAGGTACGGAATATACGTTATCCATTCTTTGGACACATGTATACCGGGTTTCCCCTGGGGCTTTCATATTTGGGCTGAGCTCAAGGAAAGAAAGGAGAGAAAAGGATTGGTGAAATAAGGGTTTTTTATGGGTCCAATGCAAACAAAGCAAATACAAGTGGAATACAAACAGAGGTACTTGAAATCGTATGGGTTACCCTCCAGGAGGCTAATACGTGCCTTAGCAATTAGTCTCCCTAAATGGATATATACATACTCTAAGGTCCCGGCGTAGAGATGCCTTTGTAGAGACGCCTTTTCCTAGTATATAACCTATAGAGATTTTCGCGTATCCCTTTATACGCGTATTCTCATCCCAGGTTACCCTTTCACTATATTCTATATTTTGCTTATCATTCCAGCCATAACAAAAAGAAAATATCCAGAAAATTATCTAACACTAAACCAAAAAAGATAGGTCGTTATTGCCGACTATTCTTGTACATTATACCCTCTTAGTACCCAAGATATAAGCAGCTTCCTTTTTCTTGAGGCCTAGCGGAAGTCAATCGCAAATAGAACGATACTAGATCGGCCTTGGCTTGAACAATACAACAGGCCTTACGCGGTCGCCCCACTATGAAGGCAGTCGTATTCGGTTTAGAATGTCTTTAATATACGAAACTCCTGAGAAGGGAAATTAATCTAAACAGTCTGTCCACTTGACCACTTTACCTCCACATCTCAATTTTGATATGATAGAGCCTCTCCAAACCACTTTGCAACCCGACAATGCTTACCAGAAGGCAAAGGAATCAGAGATCTACACATATTCTATACCACTCAGTCCGGTCATGGATGAACAACACCATCACAAGGCACCAAACCACAGCCGACCTCTACTATACATCCCCAACACATTATGGACGCGATTATTTGCAGCAACGGTGATCACCGAGACGGTCCTCACAGTCGCAATTGAAAGGTAGGGGCTCGACCTTGAATATCAGTCCCTTCTCAGACTGAGGGCTTATGGCGATATTAGCTGGATTCTCATGAGCCTGTGGGACGACCTCGACGACGACAAAAAAGCGGACGGACCAATGCGCCTTCAGTCATTCCTAGGCTTATACATTTTCGCTCTTATATACGAACTGGCTCTGTCATATGATGCACTGCGGCGGAAGAACACAATCCAGCTGGTCGGAGTCTGCATCTGTAATCTGGGTCTGTTAACATATGGCATTCTCCAGATACAGGAGATCAAGGACACCATCTCCAGCCTGACCGGTGAAACCCTCAGCGACCATCTTGGAGACTTGTATCACATTGAGATCATTCTTGTCCCGGTTTTTTTGGGTATCGGGACTGTGTGCATGAGCTTTTTCACGTGGAAGTTGCGCGCGGAGTTCTCGTGGTCTATATACAAGAATATCAGCGCGGATTTGCAGATGAAGCGTCGATATTTTACATTTCAGGTTAGTTGCGACGCTGGTAATGTCCCCCATTTTGTGACTGACCTAATTCCTCCAGGTGTATATCGCTCTCCTAAAATTCGATTTCTTCTTCGTATTTGGAAGTCAACTTCAAATCCTTCTTGTTGTCTTTCAAACCGCAGACCTCGATTTCATCCTCAACGCCGCTTTAATCCCACTCACCATAGGGACCTTGGTCCTGTCGGCTCAATTTTGCAAGCGTGAGAAAACGAAATCTCTCATATTGATGATGGTGAGGATTTTCGAGTGCGAATCAATATCCGAGTTTCAAACTAACCAGTCATTCAGTTCTTTATGCTTATTATAATGGGATGCTTCGGCCTTACCCTCTATCGAATTCACGCCCCCACGGAGAGCGCTGATTTCAGTTCTGTCCGGGTGTCCCTGACATTATTCGCAGCTCTATCATTTCTGCTGATGGTTCTCACGATCGTCAACGCCGTGGTGTGTATGCTTAATTTCAATAAAGGATTGAAGATTCACATCAACCCTCCTAAAAAGCGGAAAACGTCAGTCTCGTTGGAGCTCGAATCCCAAGAGACACCTTCACGGTTCCTGTTGAACTAGATATACCGACTTTACGACTTACTGCCCTTTTTTAACTTTGCATTCTATGTACATAACTATAGGCTTGGATTATAAATTTGATGACTCAACATGAATAGTTGGAAAAAATTGACTAAATCTATATTTTGTACTGAATGATTCGAATGTGACCTGCAAAGCAAATGGAAATTTACGTCGAATTGTTATTCGAGCCACTTTCCATCGATTTCAATTATTCAATACTTCAAAAGCTCCGTGGTATTCCCGTTCATGATTGGGCGGGCCGGCGGATTGGATATTGCCGAACACGTCTCCCGCTCATAGTTTTCTCCCGTCTCTTTTGTTGAAATCAGCTTGTGGGTTAAGATGGGTACTGACTTCCAGGTTATATCCAGTCGATCTGGCCAACAGCCCACTCACACCGCAGCAAGACCTAAGAAAAGAGCCGTGGCGTAAGCATGTCCAAAGGCGGTATCAAACCTCTGCTCACACTCTTCACAGCTGTCATCGGTGTCATGCGCAAAAGATCAAATGCTCCGGAGAAAAGCCATGCTCGAAATGCCGAGCTGCAGGCTACGGATCCCAATGTAGATATTCCACTCGAGATCGGAAAATACGGGTGGATGAAAGGTATCCATCTTCTTTGGTCGCTTCCAAATGAGTCACTAACCTCAATAACCGATAGCTATTTGGAGCAACTTCTGAAAGATAGCCAAGAGCTGCATGACCAACGATATCATTTGAAACAAGAACGCCGCCCAAACGGACAAGAACAGAGCTGTGGTCCCCAGCAAGTGCATGGGGATACAGCCGCTGTAAACACTGAGCCCCTGGTACAGAGTAATCTCCTTCGTGAGAAGCCATGGTTTCAATCCAACGATGCCTCGGTGGTCCCCCTTTATATCAGCGAGGCCACTTGCGCTGCTTTTGCCACACGTCTGTGTCAGTCCTTGAAAGGGACCAACATGCCAATACCCCATCTTCCAAGATCGCGTTATACTGACGAGTCGGCAATATCATCTTCAATTTACACAGATGTACAATGGCCCGGACTTGTAAGTGCCCAGTTATTAGTAAAGACTGCACTTGGCCACATCATCCCAAGTTTCCATTTGGCATTGAAAAAGGACACGTTGGACATGCTCCATGGTGTCTATCAGAGAGGTGACTTCGACAATCCAAGTATCAAGTGCAAATACTTTGCTCTTTTTGCCATCGCTCAAGTTTTTTCAACTCCGCATGATCTTTCCGAAACGTCGAGTGTACCTGGCTTGACCTATTTTGCCAAAGCGTGGAGCCTCATCCAGGTCGTCCCCGAGCGACCAAGCATGATTCATATAGAAAGTTTGCTCTTGCTTGTCAGTCCCTTTCTCCGCAGTCACCTCGGATCTTGCTTACTCTTTGTAGGCCTTCTTCTGCCAATTCTTGAACCGGTTTCACTCCGCCTATGTTTTGATCGGGAATGCATTACGACTCGGCCTCAGCATTGGCCTGAACTATAACATCCCACAAACCCAAAATCTACACCCAGTAGCACGAGAACACCGCATCCGGATATGGTGGACTATCTACGTACTTGACCGATTCTGGGGCTCGAAGTCAGGATTTCCTGTGCAAATTCACGACGAGGATATTCATGTCGACCCACCGTCCATTTCGGCGTCTGAAACATACCATGATCAATTTTCGGACGGCGCTTACCAGCTGGCAGCAATAGAACTTGCTAAAATTATTGGTGACACAACGGGAGAGATATATTGTCGAAAGATTTCAGCCGAGACTTTCTTGCACCGCGAACAGCGACTTTTGACTCAATTGAAAGAGTGGGTTCGCTCTCTTCCTGAGCATCTGAGGCTCAGTGCAGAAAAGCCAAACCCGAAACATACAGTTCAGATGCATCTTCAATTCAATTTTGTAAGAGCATAAATCGCCTTGGATCTCTTTCGAAATCATAACTGACTACTTTAGTGCGTCATCCTGGCAATTCGACCAGTCCTCCTCCATGTTCTTACTCTAAAAATGAAAGACCAAACTAAGCAGTCTATGGATTCCATCTCACCCATTCTGATCACTTTGAGCGAGGCATGTATACACGCAGCAAGACACTCGTTGGCATTATGTGTGAATGAATGGACCGGCGGATCACTCGCAATATTTGGCTACTCGTTTCCTGCCTTCCTCTTCTCTGCCGCATTAATCCTGGTGATTTCGAGTCTTCTGCCACTCGGAGATCCAAGCGACTTGACATCGGCTGAAACAGCAACTGAAATCCTCAAGAATCTCAGCTTATCCGATAGTCTCGCGTCAAGAGACCTATACGAACGCATTCAGCGGGTGCGCCAATGCCTTCACGATAGTCCAATATACTCTACATCGGCACTTTCTCACGGTCCTGTGGACAATGTTACCAATATATTGCCGATGGCTGAAGAATCGGATGCCGAATCATTACGACCACACCAAAGTCCAAACAATCTCCAATCCGCCGTGGGTCCTCTGGAAGATCTGGGTCATCCTCTCTTTGAATCGAATGTCCCATATCTTACCACGGAAATGGCTCTGCATCAACCAACCATGCTGGATTTCCTGACCCAGTCTCATGTGGACATTGGACTGCTTGATCCAGTGGAGATGTTCAATGATTTCGATTTAGCCTTTTCAATGTCTGCCACTTGATCATGTACACTCATAATCAGAGATGCATTTTCCGATCTATCATCCAGCCGCGTTGGATCTGGCCGTTCAAACGTAGACCATATGGCAGGTAAGCGACGTCGGCCATTTACAAATTGACCGCAGACACCCACTAAAATTATAGCAGATAAACAAGTAAGTCCTGTTGGAATACAGCTTCTTGTCTTGCATGTTCTATCCGTGGCTTCCCCATTCCAATTCTACCTACTCATTCTTCGGCGTCTTCAAGGCACATGGAATCGGCGTGTCGGCACAGAGATACCAAAATCTACGTCTTAAAGCATTGGAAGCCTCACCTGGCTCATTCATATAGAACTGCGAGGTTGAATCCATCTTAACCGACGCCAAGTAGGTAAACCGCATTGCCGTCCCTGATCGTAAAGCCACGTCACTCAACGAGGATGGTTCGCAGCCCAAATCCGAATGAGCCAGGTGACTCTGCGCGGACCCATATCCTGACTTCAATTTATCCGAAGCCGACTTTGATATAATCGGCTGGTTCTGTGGGGTAATGACATACGTATTGTGGGGGTTAGGAGTACACAGACACTAGCTTTTTCAAGCGTAATCACTCTTCATTGGCCTAAAATTATCGATTCAGATTAGATTAAATCCGTGCAGCTTGGCTCTCACGATGCAACGCTGCGGAGTAAAATGTGGGGTGAATCAACAATCGGTTAATAGCTCCGTTGCATCCTCTTCGGAGACTCGATATTTAACCGGTAGCATCAGCTGTGGGCTATTTATTACTCCTATTCTCTAGTCTTCTATTCTAATTTGTTAAGTTAAGGGAGAATAGCGTGCCTCGACTAGCAACACAATGAAACTTGATTCGGGGTTCTTTGCTTTCTTTTTGGTAGCTGTACAAGCCTATGATGAGACACTTGGTCTAGTTAATGGCTATACTTCTTTATCCACCGCCAATTTTGACATCAAGTTAGTCAAAGATTCACAGCTTCTCGCCTCTCTCAAGCCGACAGGAGAGTCTTTCGACTTCCTGCCTTTTGATGATATTGCATACCGAGCGACAAATGGCCAGTATCATAATGGGGACATTACATATCGTTATCGATTGTCGGGTTCAACAAAGTGGATTGCAGGCGACTCGGCAAAAGCAAGAAACCCGCTGAAGAGTGTCAAATCCGATGCTCTTGCTGCCGCTGAGATGACACGAACCCTACCGACCTCTCCTATCCACATCCTTCGAGAATGGATTGATGTTGACGGCGATCTCGGATTGACCTTTACTCTGACTAACAAGGGAAAACGGACGCTGGAAATTGGCAGCCTGGGCTTCCCAGCCGAATTCAACAGTATATTCTCCAACCGCACGGCAGAAGATATGGCGGCAAAGTGCTCCCTCACAGATCCATATATCGGGATGGATGCTGGGTACCTTCAGGTAGCCCCCACATCTGGGACTGGGGCATCGTTGATCGTTACCCCGTTGCTCAACACAAGCACTCCACTGGAAGCATGGCGGAACTTGTATGAGCCTAGCACCGATCCTCTCTATTACGGCAGTCAAACATTTGAGGGATTCTACGAATGGCAGACCCACACCAAAGCCTATGCTGAGAATGAGTGGTCTAGTGCCACCCCGTGGAACGAGCCTAGCTCTCGATTCGTGAAACCAGGTGAATCAGTGACCTACGGATTACGCTTCACGGTTGTAAAGGACGGTGTGCGTGGTATACAGGATGCAGTCAAAGCCACCAACACGCCTGTCACAATGGGAATACCGGGATACGTGGTACCTGTCGATCTCACAGCTCGGCTTTACGTCTTTCACTCTCAAATATCCGAGGTAGTGTCCGAAAATAACTCTTTCAAGATAACCCACGGTGCAAACGGCGCTCTATCACTCACCCCAACTGGTTTGGTTTGGGGTCGGACCAGAGTAACCATCACATACGAAGACGGCAAAGTCCAAACGATACACTACTTCATTACAGACTCGGCACCGGCAACAGTCAGCAAATTGGGCGAGTTCACTACCACCTCCATGTGGTTCAATGATACAGATGATCCCTTCCATCGCGCTCCATCAGTCATAACATGGGACCACTCAACCCAATCCCAAGTCCTCCAGGAACCCCGAGTCTGGATGGCCGGACTAAGCGATGAAGGCGGCGTAACCTACTTGGCCAGCGCGATGAAGCAATCTGGTTTGGCCGACGCGACAGAAGTATCAAAACTTGAACAATTTGCGTCCGAGGTTCTGTCTAAGACTATCCAAAACGCAGACTTCACAGTCCGCAAGAGTATATTCTTTTATGAGCCTGCTCAAATCCCTGACTATAAATACGATCAGTCTCTCGACTGGGGCAACTGGTGGTCATGGAATAAGGATGCCTCCTTTGCTACAGACCGTGCGTACAATTATATCCATGTGATCGGGGCATACTGGGCGTTGTATCGCGCCGGTCGAGATAACGAATCCCTTCTGAAAACACACACTTGGCAGTGGTACCTCAGTCAAGCATACAATACCACAGTGACCTGTTTCGCCACGGACTCGAGCGGGGATGGGCTTGTGCAGTACTCGCGTCTCGGACTCATGGGCGAGACTGTTGTCGGTGACCTTCTATCGGATTTGAAGCGTGAACAGTGGACTTTCGAGGCCGACTCCATCGAGGCTGCTATGAAGCTTCGCGCTGAGGCATGGGATAAGGAGGATTCTCCTTTTGGTAGTGAGATGGCGTGGGACTCGACTGGGCAAGAGGGAATCTACTACTGGAGCAAGTGTGTTTTTGCCCTTTTGCTCTTTTGGATCCCTCTCTGGTAGCGATACCCGGTTGACTAACATTCCATTTAGCTATTTCAAAATGACCAACACAGCAACGAAGACTATCAACAGCATCCTGGGATATATGCCCTCAGTGCCGCATTGGGGGTGGAATGGGAATGCCCGACGATATTGGGACTTTATGTGAGAGCCAGCCCAGTATTTTGTAGTTGTGCTAATATGTTACCTTGTTTCCTAACCAACCTCTCATCCAGCTATGGTGGCAAACTACAGCGCATAGAGCGCATGATCCATCACTACGGATCAAGCCTCAATGCACTACCGCTGCTATCCCAGTTCCGCCAGAATCCAACAGACACCTATCTCCTCCAAGTTGGCTACGGCGGAATCACAGGACCACTATCTAACATCCGACAAGATGGCTCGATGTACAATGCTTTCCACTCCTTCCCTGATACCCTGCAAGGCGACGATTATTCAGGTGACTACGGTCCAAATTTCCTAGGTATGATGCTTGGATCTGCTGTCTACATTGTCGATGATCCCGATGTCGGTCTTGTCACGTATGGTGGGAATATCGCTACTCATGGAAAGACGGTCACCGTGCAACCACGAGATGCTGTACGCCGTCGGGTCTATGTTGCCCAAATGGGAGTATACGTCACGATTAGCGCTGGATTGATAGAAGAGGTCTCGTTTCATGTTTCTCTACCGACGTCTCTTCGACTACGTATTGTCCCTGGCTCGTCTGATATTCCTTCTGTTATTGTCTGGGTCGAGACTCCAGGTACGGAGGATGACTATGCTGTAGCTGGGGATCAATTCGAACGCGCAAGAGGAGGCTGGAATGTCAATTTCGTCTCTGGGGAAGCGAATTTTGTTGTTTCTAAGGTTTGATTTACGGTGCGCACAGATACAGATTTTATTGGATCATTTGCTACTCTATACACGATGTATCCGAATAGAATAGAAAAGTACAGTAGAAGAACAAGATCCGATGAAGATCGAACCTGAACTTGTTATTGACAGCCAAGAAACAACAAGCAACACCCTTGGCGGTTATCAAGATCAACAATGACATATACGCTCTTATCAACCTCATGTCATGATCGACCTAGACCCATTGTCCTATCCACTTGAAACGGCCACCCGAAGGGTCATCCAGGGTATCGAGCAAACCAGCGTCATCCATAACATCACCGAGCTTCTGACAGTTGGAAAACTCCACACTAGCACGCCCCTCGGGGTCGGCACCCCGGTCGAGCAATCCCTCGTGAGCCGAGAGTTCACCGTCGGAATACTTGGTACGGGGGATGGGGTGAGTAGAGCAGCCAATCGGGCGGATCCGCTGAACGGGCGTGTTTACAAGATTTGGGCGTGGAGAGCGTGGACTTGATTCTAGAAGGTGGATGTTCCAGGTGTTCTCTCGGGCCGAGAAATAATGTTCTGGAGATGAGTGACGTCCTCAAGTACGAAATACTATGATGTACTTTGTGTGCTGTGCTGGTTTGGTCTCTTTGTCGCTATTCTACAACTCTCAATTGGATTTTAAGGTACAGATAGCGAGGCGATGCAGAGAGATAGAGATCAATTGACAGATCGAACGCCAAAATGGTCCCATGGCAGGGATGTCATCAAGGGTGTAGAAGGGCTATAATGTGACATGACTATGATGAAATTGGGTGATTCGCCACTTCAACTTTCCACCAAACATAATCCATCCCTTCCACGAGGATCATAGTTCCACAGCCCCAGTCTCGGGTTTGAACCTGCATTCTCCAGATTGACGATTATATTATTTCGTAGATCGTTCCAGTTTCGGATATGTATCATGTGACCCTGGTTACGCGGCAAGTGAGTCACTTCGCTTGACCTTCCAGCTTGGGAACATCCAAGAATAGAGTGTGGGGAGTTTGGGGAAAGATTTCTAGAGCGAAATAAATCCGAAAGCATCCAATAGACCATATAACGTTGATAGTATTTCGATTATGTTAGAAAAGCAGATTGCCCAGCAAAAAAAAAAAAATATTGTGATTGGTAATTATAGATGACATAGTGTCATAAAAGTTATATACATGGATTCATTTTTGTGTCATTATGGTCATCAAATCGTAATATCGTGTCGGTTGTAAAGGATCAGGAGAATAGGGTCGGTAGTCGAGTGTGTAGGAGAGAATATTGAGAGGCGAGTTCAACCCGCCATTGGGGAGACGATGCAAGTTCCCCCTGTCCATAGGTGTTTGGAGGTCGCCTCAAGACAATTGCGACCCTTTTCCAAAAAACCATGCTCGGAATTTTCAGAGGGTGATGTCGGGGGTGATGCCGGGGGTGATGCCGGGGGTGCCGCAACAGCGACAGGCTCTGCTTTTGATTTGTATGATATTTGTTCGGCGACTGCTTCTGGAGTCTCATTGGCCGGGGCTCTGTTCTTTAGGACAGGCAGTTCTTTGTTGATTTCATCCACGTCGTCTTCCTCGTCGGTGTCTTCGAAGTCGAATGAACTGATGCGAGACTTCATGTCATTCTCGGTCCAAGAGACAGAACCACAGTGCAGGCGGAAGTGAGCCACGCAGCGGCGGAGGTCGGGGTCTGGTGCGGTGGCTTCACGGGCAAGTTTCTCTTTCGAGATGTGCGTGAGCTTGTAAGGGAGGGCATTTCGATTCGCCATGGGGGGCCAGCGTTTATTTTGGACAATTGGCACGGAGGCTGTTGGTTTCGGGGTCTTGGGGGATCTTTGGCTAGCGTTCATTGTTTTTAAATCATAGATTGACGTGTTTTTTAAGAGTATAATCCGTTTAGAGTGAAATGGGGGAATTCCAGAGCAAAAATGGGTAGAAAAAAGGTGGGAAAGGGTAGTCTTATACCCCGAAGAATGGGGAACCTGGTCCAAGCGCCAGTCTTTGCCGTGTCACCAGACGAAACCGGTTCCAGGCCTATGATGGGTCTGCTTTTTTTCTCTTCCTTTTTATGACTTGTTCTATACCTTTTTTAAACTCTTTTACCCCGGAATAAATCTTGTTCTTAATTCCGATTTGTTTCATATCCTGAATTCGAAGATATTAAGGCAAAAAAAAAAAAAAGGGTTGCCGGTGTAGCGTAGCGCCTCCGGACCCAAGTGGATGGACCCAGTTTTCTTGATCATTTGATGCTTCGAAAATTTTTCGGTGGAGACTTTTCTGCGGAGCTTATCTTGGAAGGAAAAAATAGAAAACGTTGCAAGGAATCTCACGATCCCCACGGATTACTTTCCTAGGAAGTCCGAACCCCCTCATCCTTCGCGTTTCCGGTATTTTTTTTTTATCTATATATCAATCACTTTCATCTCTTATTTCTTCTCTAACTCTATATCAAAAATATAATTGATATCTCTTCTGCATAGAAACACTAATTTCCTAGGTTCCAGTCTTCGGGAAAAAAAAAACACCATCCCATTGTTAGGTGACTCAGCAAGTCCTAACGCCAACCCTGGGTAAAACGCTGCTTTGGGTCTTCCGCGATAACCATAACAATTCGGCTTATTAAATAATATGTCCACCATCGCCCGTGGGGACAAAGAATATCACACCGACAAGTCCAAGCATTCCTGCTGTCCAGAAATATGCCCCTCCTGACGATCTTTGGGGGGTCGGCTCTCGTCCCCAATCGTCTGGTTATAATGTTATAATACCCGTGCAACGGAGGCAATCCTTCAGACCCCGCTATAAACCTACATCTCCATCCGTGGATATCAAAATGGGTGGCGCCCCATATGCATTTACGAGTTTATCCTCCAACATAAAGCAATGGAAATTGATCCTGCCGATACTTCCGATTTCATAACGGCCCCGCCTTTAAATAGGATGCCAAGCATGAACAAGACCCTGGCATCGGAGTTGTCTCCGACTTATTATAGCACATGATCATGAAATAAATAATAGACAATAAACTTGCAGATGCAACACCGTTGACAGCGACTGAAACAAAACAAAAAGAGAGAGAGGATGGATCTACTGCAGACCCACTAATTCCAACTTGAAGCTATTGAGCCAAGCCCCAAAAATCAAAAGTCTAGAATCTCCCATAAAGGGCTGGGCGCTTGGAAAGCAGGTTCGGTATCCGCCAACACACGTTGGTGGGGCCCACAATGCTTCTAGCGCCAGCGCCTTGAACTAGTTCGGTCTAAATCGTTGGACCTCCAAATCGTGATTTCCTACGGGCGGAGTTATGGAGTAGATGTTTTCATATCGGTAGATGCTACATCGACTCCGTATAAAACAGCACGTTGCTATCAGAGATATTGCGCAATACGCCCCAGATCGGTCTCAAAGATCGGTCTCGAACCGGAATATGATTCACCCATGTGACGCAGACCGTTAACCACGGTTCCATACGGATCAAGTCCGGTAGAGAGTCCGTTAGAGTTGGCAGTGTGATCTACTCTGATCCCCGCGCCTTCGGGTTCACAATGTGATTCTTGCATTCTGGATATCCAAGTTCGCTTACAGCAGGTTTTTGTGTCCATCGCGTCAACCGGGTTTTTCGCCAGAAAGTTAATCGGCTGCCAACACTTATGTAGTCTCTTTTAAGTATAACAAATAACTTGTAAGGCGGCCACACTACCAATATTAGGGGATAGCGGTTATATTCTAAAAGACCGATAGAAAGACGAAGTCGTTTTTATAGTCGCACTAGACTTTCTCTACGGGATGTAGCGATTTAGATATTATAGGGCATATATCCAATTCATCAAATAATCGCTTGAAAATTGAGAAATAATCTCATGCTTATAAGGGCTTGTTACAGAGCGATGGACTCAAAAAAACCTGCCGTATTCGCCCCCTTACTACGAACATCCAAGTCTGCTTCGTGTTGATGTAGATTGACAGCAGAGGCGGATCTGCCTGTGTCCTAGCCGTTCGGCGGGATATCGGCTGTCGACCACCGTTACAGCCTCCCTCCTAAGCCTCAAACTCTCTGATTTCGGTCCTGCTATTTTTGAGCATATATTCTGGCCCTTCTATGGCAGAGTGACAATTGTATTGTTGTCGACGTAACATCCCGAGACAGACTTTGACCCTACCGTGGTTCGGATCCGGCCCGGTTGTCCTACCAGCGTCTCCGTACTGAGGCTCTCCTTCCTTTTGTAAGGCAAAGTTGCCTTGAATGTGAAATTCTATGAGCACATTATACAATGGCATTGGCCACTACCAGGGATGTTCCAGATCTCTTGGCTATCCAGTTCTTGCCCAGACCGTTTGCTGGGATGGCCAGGGTGACTAGGCAATTAATCTATCGTTTGAATTCACATTGTCTTAATTTATTCATTTCTCAAATCATCGTTCTTGCACTGTGGGGATAGACATGCCACCTTTGTCCTGGGGAGTTATTTCTGATCACTAAAATCTACTCTGGAATATATGCTGCTTCTTGGTGCTTCATGGCAGCCATGTTCGATACATTCCTACTCGCAACACAAACTGCACCTGAATATTGGCAAGATAGTCATGATGGATATAGTAAATCCCAAAAACATCTACGATGTACACAGGCTTCTCTCAAACTAAACCTGCAACTTATCCCTTCGACACTGCGTTCCTAGCAGGCAGAAACTACTGCGAGACACCCGATGGGTCTTCCCAAAACCCCTCTTCTAGGGTTAACGGATTTCATACTCTGCAGATCTTACTCGATCTCTGGGTCACGAGTTCACTACCCCGGGCACTTCCGGCTTCGCTCTTACTGCGGCCCAAAACGAATCTGATTCACGCTAATGCATGCACGCGACTGGGCTTTGAGTTTGCTCATCAATATCCTAGAAAGGTCTCATCTCCGGGTAACTGACATACAACTGCAACTAAGCCAGTTGCTGGGCTTACTAAGATTTTTACACCATGCAGCAGAAACGGCCCTCCAACGATGAATATCGCTATAAGCGCCGTTGGATTGAATCCTCTTCACACATTAGTGGGTCGGATCTTAACCCCAACAAACCAATGAGCGCAGCCTCTTGGAGTTACATGGTATTTCCAGACTTCTTTGTTACATTCAAGGAATGGGAGAAAACGCCACTGGAAGAACTTTTCTGATTTTCGGGATTTGGATCAAGCTCAGATTACATTGTAGATCTACGTGCCATAAGATACAGTATGAATCAAGCACTGCTGTGCATCCATGTACAGAATTGCCTGTCTCAGTCACATCCACAGCCGCCAGTCAACCCGATATAGACCAAAGACCAAGAAGCAGACTGTTCCAGGTTCTGCCAAAGGACTGTGAGCTAGGATACAGCAACTTGAGATGTGAACCTGTACAACGCGTGGCCCCCGCCGCGCAACTCTCAAGGCAACATCAAGTATGCTCATTATATCAAATAGGAAATTGTGACTCCCAGTTTCTGCCTTGCGTGTGATGCGTGAGTAGGTATACAGCCTACACGTGCTTTTGATATCGGCATATGCCTGTCTTTTCTATGCAAATCATGACTCTGGTAGTTCCCGGAACTATCACTATTCAAAGGACAGTGGGATCTTGAAACATGATGTATGCGCCCCCAACTCATCGGCAGCAGTGAGCCGCCTCTAGAAATCCACACACTTGGCTTCCAAAGACATGATATCCACTAAGATTATATTCTGTCCTCACGCTTGGTTAGGGCCGCGTTTGCCCTTTGTTGTCCCTAGTGGAGACAAAGTTGATTCTGATGTTGCATCAGGAGAGAAACATTCTGAACTCTCACCCAGAAATTGAGTCAAAAAGCAAATAGGCTGGGCATACGATTGGGCGTGTCGACTCTAACATTTTTAATAACTTATTGTGCCGACGAATGATGTTCTCCTCGGCTTATATCTGTGTGAATATAGCCCCGCATGTGTCCAATATGTGTATGCTATAGGTCTCCAGGAATGTAGGGATGAAACTAGCGGGGTTTGTTCTAGGCACCATCAATATTAGCGGTTGGATGTGACTAGGAGGTGGCGGTATAGCGATCGTCGTCTGTTGTCTTTAAAGGTACGTTATTTACCGTCCACTTCTATTTGAGATTGACAGGGACATATTATCAGTTGTGCTTATTTGTGTCTAAGAACAAGTGCATAACTCAATAGATCTGCGTAACAAAGAATAGAAAACGCCACTCGACGCGAGTCGATGGTTCATGAAGTTAATACCAATTCATTGTTTAAGGCGGTAATCAAAAGAAACCATGTTGCATCCGGGGTATAGATCGGCTTGGCAGTTTGACTAAAGGGCCCCCGCGGACCATGCAAGGTCTAAATCGAACGTGCACGATAGAGAGATTCAGTCTTTCCTTATTCGAAGCTACTAGGTCACCTTGTGCTCTGTAAGGCTAGCACAAATCCTGTCATTTGTGTGACTGGAAAGAAAAGCCGGCGCCGAGCGTGGAAAGCGGCAGCTCTACAAGACCGGGCTGTTGTGGAACCTGGGACAGCGTGTATAAACTATCTGGGCTTTTTCCATCTCGAACCTTGTACATTTACAATATACTCCATAGTGTAGTCCGACTGTCGCGACGGGCGTCGTTGTGTGACGATACTACATCTTGCTCTACCTCGTACAGCCGTCGGTGGACGGTGCGGTTCCCGAGTATATGGGCGAAAACTAACTCCGAGTTGGGCCATATTGTCGACATACATAAACAGCACTCTGTGCCGCGTACACTAGTTATGATTTGAAAATGGCGCTGGTTGGAGCTTTTCGAGAGAGCTCGCGTTTTTAGTCGCGCATGGGCCGTTGATCGACTACCTACTCCGTAGTTCCCGGTCAAATGACCCCTCTTGGTTCCGTCTATAGCCTCTTTTGTAGGTCATCTGCTTGTCGTTTGACAAATCAAATACCCTTATGAGTCAGGCCTACATAGATTGTGTTGGTATATTCAGAGCCCAATATATTACACTGTACACCCCAATTTTGGACGCTGCTGCCAATTCCAATGGTAATATTGTGTAAGCGGGCCATTGGAAATGTGTACAAACCGCCCTTGCGCCCTCCATGCAACCCGGTGGCTGGATGCACTAATTCAAATCGGCATCCATATCGTGATACAGTAGCGGAAGCGATCCGGTGGGTCGGTTGCACACCGCGTTTCAGGTGCGTTTCCGGCTCATCAGGTTGCCCGTCGTCAGGAACCCCTTGTCTCCCATAGCGCCGCGCCATTCAATCGACAACTAACCCAGCGTGGCACGACCGTCCCGTCGCAGGTCCTTCTGGAGTGTCTCAAGTCCCTCTATCAAATCCCTTTGTAACCCTATGTTGATATCGTTCTATATTGCTGCCACGCGAGAAAAGGATCAGATCAACCGCCGTTCCTTCACAGCGATTCTCTGATCTATCGATAAGAGTTACATTTGCAGCTGCGTCCACATCGCCTCGATTTGATGGGTGTAAGCCACAGTAGTTGCACGCTAGCTCATAAGAAAGTTCAAATCCGCTTCGTCCTCTTCCTCCCGCTCGGGGGTTGTGATAGTCTTGGCCCCAGGCATGGTCACTTCCTTGTTCGGACACGAGGTTTTCCCACCATCCTCGTTGGATTTGGGTCTATAAAAGTCGCACCAGGCCCTTTAGAAACCGAAGTGACAGTTTGCACACTGCCCATCCAGATCAATGTCTTCCAGAGTATCTAGGACAACACAAGACGCCCAGGGGCCAGGTTTGCGCTTACAGTAAGAGCAAGCATTGTCTGACGCCAGTCGCCGCCCCCTTGCCTGGATATATACCGATTCGATGTTGACCTTGCGCTAGTCGACGGCTTGAAAGAACTGCAGTCCAGTCCAATGTTTGGTTAACACCGGTTCGCGCACCACCTCCTGTTCAACGATGGCATTCAAGAGGGTTCCAGGCTTGACCGATTCTCTTTCTGCTGTAAGCCACCCATTCGTTTGGGTCATTCGTGCCCAGAAGCCCGGCTCGTGGTCTCTATCTGTTGCACTGCGCGTTGGAGCTTCGTAGTGCACATTTTGTGTCTCGGAATCTATACCTTTGTTAGTTTTACTTGCCGCTCGTTACTATTTGAATGTGGGCTAGTGATCATATCCATCTCCGCGTTATCGTCGTCGTTTTGGCAAAGAGGTAACATATTCGTATGCTGAATCTTCAGTTCTGTGTGGTGAGCTTTCGTCGGATTTATAATGAGATCCCGTTGCTGATTTGAACGAATAGTAAACGAAGTGACGAGATGAGTTTGATTCATTATGGATTGGCCATAAATGCTTTTTACTCTCTGCGGCGTTGGCTCGGTTAACATATCACACCCGCGATGTGTTTCATCATCTGCAACTTTTCACCTTTCCGCGGCGCAATGAACAAGTGATAGCTTTGAGATGTTGATGCTTTTGAAGTCAACTTCTCTCACTTGATCTACAGCAATGATGTTGGGTTTGTCTTGGATTATAACATTTTCATCGGAAGATCCCCATCTTGTGTTGCATTCATCTTCCTAGGTAACTATCCAAACGAGATGCCATCAGCAAGTTATAACCAGAAGTAAAAATAAGCCTCTCCTCCCAGCTATGCATCTGTTCCAAGCCAACCAAACACCATCCATGTGAATAAAAGCAATAATAATGATACAGCAGTACCATGCCCTTCCGTGTTACGAGTGCGCTTTCCGAGTTCTCAGATTGAGACAATCTCCCCATCTATATTGACGTATTCGTCGGCCAAAATGTCTCCCCAGAGTCCGTCTGAGATCTCTTCCCCCTTTGCACGCAGTACATGCCTAGGAATAGCCCGAAAGCTGAGTCGATCAATGCATGTGGCTTGTCCGAATAATATACCGACCAGCTGGTTCGGCATCTTGGACTTGGGTATGACACCTGCAACGGCATCCAGAGGAACAAGGCAATTCGACAAAGCGATGCCGGCATCAACATGTACAGAGAGGCCGTCCATTCCGCGATACGAATCGTGGACCGAATCCCGCAAGTATTCCCGGAAAGAAGGAGAGAGAAGCTCTTCGGTGATGAAAGTCCTATGCGCCCCCGTATCAAATATCATATTCACCCCTTTGAGCTGGCATACCGGGTCTGCTTTCCTTCCATCCAACCCTTGTATAATAAGATCGGCCTGGATCATAGGAAGGAAGGAGTCTTCCAGTACTGGCCGGAGTGATGCGTAGGGATATCGGAATTCCGTGTTGGCAGCCTCCTTGGCCATCTGGCGGAGACGCTCGCGACCTTCTTCACTCAGAGGTGGGCGGAGTTCTAGCGTCTCCAGGTCAACACTGGTTCGAATGGGGAGAGCTTGGACATTTGCCGAGTGGGGCTCCGACGCTGCTTGCAACCCCAACTCACGTATGGCGCGACGGTTTGTATTGCGGTGAGGAAAGACGAGAAATGGCTCGTCAACACCGTTAAGGGCTGACTCGACAGCTTGGAGAGCCGACCTCCATGTAGTGTACATGGGGATGGTCACGGAAAGTTCATCGTGTTCCCCATTCATTGACTCGGCAATCTGGCGAAGGACATCTCTTGGGTGTAAGGTTCTTGTTGAATTGTTATCCATAGTGATCCTAAAGGATAACACTCGTAAGTTCTCTGTAAGACCATAGAGGATGGAGTAATACGTGTCCTTGCTTATTGGCTTGAAGGCGGACACGTTTGGTTTCAGTGTCGACAACAGCTATCGCTGGACTGCATCCAGAATGGGGTCGTTTAGCACTAGCCATGATTATACGATATCAGTGATTGCGTGGCAATGTCGTTAGGTGAAAGGCTGCATACCTTATGTCGCGACAAACGTAGTCGTTCCCTGTTGTTCAAAAGCAGAAGTCACGTTCTTCGGACGTTGGCAAGGCAGGAGCGGAGTCGATGATAGAGGACAGATTTTTTAAAAAAAAAAAAGATTTGTACATACATACTAGTTTGTAGTCGGGCTGCCTACGTTGTCACGTGGGTCCAGGATCTCTAGCTTAACCCGCTGGCAGAATCCGGGGTATAAGCCCATTCCTGCCGCTCCACCTGATTGGCTGAGTGAATCTACTACTTGAAACCCATTCAAATTCTTTACAGGAATGGGTGACTATCCCAGCCTAGTCAGGACTAACATTCCGGGGATGCGATGTTCCACGCTGAATAACCACTTCTAACAGAAATCTGTTTGTATGGAAATGTATGGTACAACTTGACGATAACCTCTCTATGTTCACCGACATGGAAGGCAATAACGGTCGCGACGGTACTTCCTGTATACTGTAAGCTTGACTCCGTACCTGGGATTTGAATAACACCTGGTCTAAGAAAACACTGATCCTCCAACACGAGGCTTCCATTTATATTAGAAACACGACCGTTCGCTCCCCATTATAATCCATATCAGAAGGCTTTAAATTCTTCCTGGATCATTATCATGTGAGCGTATTCTATCGACCCCAAGATTACGAACACCTATATCCGCTGAGAGATACTTGAACCGAAGATTTCTAGTTTGAACGAACATGTCCCCGCCCATCTTAATCCACGAAGCACTAGGTCTAAATAGTCGCTAGCTCCGGTTAGGCTGACAAGATGGGGCCTGAGCCCACTTCTCTCGCTCATTCCTCATCATTGCCTTCTCCGGGGAGATTATCGCCCGACTTGTTGAATATCGACATAAAACAAAAACTGCCTCTGAGTCTAGGTGACCAGGGTAATGTGAGTATCATGTGGCTTATTCTTCATACCATCAAGTTCGTGCTTGACTCGATATAATCCGACCGCGCATTTGCTTTACTTCGGATTGGACCTTCAGCTCCTACATACGACACTAGTTGACACCAGTGAGAAACACGCATGTATTCAGACATCATCAATAATCTCATCTCTTCTATAGAGCCAATTACCTTGAGTTTTGTCAAAGCTTCACTCGTTTCCACGTCTTGCTTCTTTCGTCTATAATTTTGACCCCCGGTGGCCGTTTAAGACACCTCAAGTTACACAATACACAATCCAGACTGAATGGACGTCATCATAGCTCTATCAGGGGTCTATCACGGCGCCTAGGCTCCGGCCCATGTTGTGGTGGACTTTGCTCCAAATCGGAATAGGAAAAAGGGCATTCAGGTACACCTAAACAGAGTTATTGGTCTTTTTATGCACTCGCCCCATAGTTTATACTCTCAAAACACTCTCCAGTGATCACCATCAGCATTTTAAAATATTAGATACGGAATATATAAATACAATACCAATACCTCAGATGTGATTGACCTCGTGATTGGCTCTATCGACTCTGACTCCGTCTGTACCGAGGAATTTCAAACCAAAAGAGCATTGTACTCTGCTGTGCTACCGTTGCACCTTGTTTTTTTATTCTTTTTTATTTATTTATTTTCTCTATTTTCCCCCTTCCTGCAGTCTCGACGCTGTTGCCCAAAGGACGCAGGGTACTTCTCCATGTTCCTCAACCCATATCGAGGATTCGATCGCGGTGCCACCTAGGAAAATCGATGGATTACGTTGGAAAGGAGTCAAAAGAAAGGAAAAACGATGGAAAAATATCGTTTTTCGATGCCTTTACAGCAGCTTAATTCCATCGTATATGATCTCATTTGTCCCCTATCGATTTTGTTAGTATATTCGCGCCGTACCCGCGACACCCAGAAGGCCACAAAAAGATCATTATTTCCCTTCGGCTCTCGATCTAATCCTCTCAATATCCGATCAATCTATTGAGGGAGAAAAATATTAATCTCCATTAACTATTCAACATGTGCCTTTTATCCAAGACAACTTGACCTAGCCTTTTACAAAGCCCAAAAGCATCTTCAGCCTGCAGGAATTCAGCTAGTCTTGGTCTGATTCGCCGCCACTTTCTTAGCAGAAGACTTGTGAGTCTTAATTGTTTCTGCTCGTGACCAATCACGAGACGACCGTTTCCTCTTTTTATTTTTATTTTCCTGCCCCTTGCTCTTTTCTCCCCAATAGAGATACAATAAAAAGACATCAAACCCTTCCAGGTTATCTTATTAACCAAGTGTGGTTGCAGAACACCTGAACCCTCAGGCTCCCACCTTCACCGCCTCGAGTTCCCCTCTCAAACCCAAGTTCATCCCGAGATCCTACCAAAAAGGCCTCCTAACGACTTGATCTAAATCTACAGAGGTTTGAAAGTCCTGCATGAGCATCTTTCGCTCTCTTGCGCTACTTTCGATCCCTCTGCCCCGGATACCTTACGCGTCTACTTGACGCTCCATCTTGCGACGGCTCTACCGTCCGACCTTCGCATCGCTATGTATGGCACATCTCACTCGTTATCTACAATGAATAGCATAGGTGGCATTGATGGTTCGGGAACCATCGATCCCGCAAATTTGAGCAACTCCGGTATGTATCTTATCGCATTTCTTGCTGTCTTGGCCTCGCGCCTTTTTCATTTCCAATATCACCCAACACAAATTCTCGCGCGCGTTCTGTTTTGGGGCTGGATGGAATCACATCTTCTTGCTCACTGCTTCATCGCTTTGTGCATTCCTTCCCCGCCACTGCTTCCAAACTGATACCCCTCCTAGTCTCTGTTGCCCTACCAGCACATTCCCATGCAATAGCAAGCCCCCGTGGTGTCAAGCGTAGTCGCACTCCAGATCGCATGGGAAATGGACATGTCGAAGGGGATCAGGATGATGGTACGTGGGCAGCGGGAAGGCATTGTCAATACGTTCCATCCAGAACCGTTCTATATTCCCAGCAACGCTTGCACCTTGCCTCGTCATAGCCTCGATACTTCATGATAGGGATGCTAACATTGCCTTGTTTTCTAGAGGAGCAAAGTCGCCGCAAGCGTGGGCGTCCCCCCAAGACACCCCGGCCAACCTCTAGTGAACAGCCCATCGCAAACACTGCTCTTCAGACTCCTCAAATGCAAGCACGCCCACTACCGCAAGCCACCGCCGGGTCGCCGTCTCTTGCATCACCGGACAGCAAAAATACACCGACAAAGGGGCTGGTCAAAGCGCTCCCAACTGTGAGAGATCACACATCAGACCAGCTGAATGAAGAAGGCGATGAGTACATCCCCAAAGAGTTTGATGAAGCAGGAGAGACCAAGGTAGATCCTATGGGGTATCCGCAGGGTGGCCGCGAGTATAAATGCCGCACATTCCGCGTCCCTCTCCGGGGGAATAAGCTATTCATGCTTGCGACTGAGTGCGCAAGGGTATTGAATTACCGTGATTCATATCTTTTGTTCAACAAGAACCGATCGTTGCATAAAATCATTGCTTCCCAAATCGAGAAAGACGATCTTATCCAGCAAGATATCTTGCCATACTCCTATCGATCCCGCCAAATCGCTATCGTCTCCGCCAGATCCATGTTCCGACAGTTCGGGAGCCGGGTGATTGTGAATGGCCGTCGGGTTCGAGATGACTACTGGGAGACCAAGGCTAGGAAGCAGGGCTTCACGGAGGATGACCTCGCGGGTGAGAAACGCCCCGGGGCAGCTAAGGCTCGCGATGGTTCCGTCTCAGAGCCAGCTACAAACCTGTTGCCGGCGCTGCCTCATAACGATGTTGTCTACAGTAATACCATCGAGCCACTGCCTCCCGGACTCTCGCTGGATACTTCTGAGTCTTCTATGTCCCTAACTCCACTCCCCATGATTCATATGTCGACAACAGATGACCCACGGCTACGGGATTACACTGTCATGTCTCGTGCACGCCAGGAAATGACCGGGCAACCTTACCACGACCGCACGCAAACTAGCTCAGCAGCAGACCTCATCAACCAAGCCCAGCACACATCAGATTTCAACAAAATGTTGAGTGTTCAGCGCAAATTCCGCCAAAAAGGCTTGGATGAGTTCTACTCCAAGCCCCGCGAGGCCCCAGACTCCGAGGCCCAGTCCAATACTGCTCTTGACTCGGGTTTGTCTGTGTCACAGCCTGTTCAGGTATCACAGATCCCCTCGGCGGGGATGCCAAATACCGCTCACACACAGCATATGCTCCCTCAGCAGATTCCTATGCAGCCTAATCCAATGATGGGTGGACAACCAAACTACCCTCAACAGGCTCACCCACAGTCCGTTGGACAGTCTCCCCTGAGAATCCCACCAAATATGCAGCCCAATCTTATGCAGCAGCGATCCAACCCATCCATGGGTGGTGGTATGGGCCAGGCCCCTCCATACGGATATTCACCGCAACAACAGCAGGTTTGGGGACAGCCACCTCCGCAGCCGCAGCCGTCCCCGTTGCCATCGTCGGGTCACCAGGGTGTTGGAATGTCTCAGTATGGTCAACAAATGTCTGCAGCTCCGCAACAAAGCCCATCTCCCCTCGGGCATCACCCGCAGCAGCAACATCACCACCAGTCTCCTCGCAACCAACAGCGACAGTCAATACCTCAGATGCCGCAGCAGTATTCCCAGATGCAACAGCACCCTCAGGCAGCGCAGGCTCAGGGTATGCAGGGCATGGGATATCCGGGAGCCAACCCGGCCGGTTATCCGGGAATGGCACGGCCCATGTATCCCCCCAACCAGGCTCATGGTGGCCAACCCTTTATGGGCGGAAACCCTCAACAGCCGGGTCTTGCTATGAACATGGCAGGCAATGGTATGGCTGGGTGGCCTGCCGGACCTGGTGGCCAGATGCAGCCTGGACAACCTCAACCGGGCCAGTCTGGCAGTCCATTAGGGGGTGGGTGGTCGTACTAGTTTGAGATGACTGGCGTTATGTAGATTGGCGTTTGTTTACCAACTTTTACACATCATCCGAGGCGTGATTTGTTTTTTTTCTCTTTCGCCACATGCTTTCCTTCATACCTGAAATGTTCTCATTTTCTGATGTTCCAGTGTTACACTACATTCTTTGCTGTATCCCATGGTGAAGAATGTTCGGTTAATGTTAATCTGGGCCAACCTTCTATACCCTTTGTTGAGTTGTACTTGGTCAAGGTACCTGTTTCTTTTTTTTTTCACATTTCTTTTCTTCCTGTTTTCTTTGCTGGGCGTTGGTTCCTTACGCTCGGCGTTTATTCCGCTACATTTTGGACAGTGTGTTACAAGATTATGAGTATGTACGTTTTTGTTTTGTTTCTTATACATGGACGCTAGAGGGTAAATCGCTATGGACAGTCTAATTTTCTTGTGCCTTGCCTGAGATGTCGGATCATCTCTTGGCCGTTGGAAGAAATGTGTGATACTTGTTCACTTGCATTGGCCCTGTGTATTTGATTCTTGTTTTTAAATCCCGGTTTTCTTGTCTATGTATCAATGCTTAAAGGCTTCATTCTTGTTATGTCTACCTTGTATGGCTTTCAAACGACAGTTTCTCTTCTACTTAGTTTCCACTGCTCTCTATAATTCATTTCTTCTAGCGATTTCAGTGGTAAGGGATCTCCATGTCTTGTTCTTTTTTCTCAGAGGTTTGCCCTGATTTCAAATCGTTCGCGTCTTTCCTTGTCGTTCCGAAGTAGATGGACGGTGTTACGATCTACGTGATCACATGCTTTGCTTGCTTCCTTTTCTTTGTTCTTTGTTTTCTACTATTTCTATTCGGGTAATATTATACTTCCTAATTAGGAAAGAGTCTGTTGCTTGCTGGGCTTCTGCTAGAAGATCCTGAGGGATTTACCACTTGCTTCTTGTCTTCTTCCTTCCCATCTTCCTCGTTAAATGAACTGGCACGTAATAGACGGTTTGATAGAGTTATTCTATATAAAATAAAACCAACGATTTTTTGCTTACAGTCAGTCACAGGCATGGCTTTATCCTTATTTAATACGTGTGAAAAAAAAAAAAAAAAAAAAAAAAAGAGGTATTTCCCCTCCGTATATTTTATATGATAAATAATAGAGGCCAAAAAAAATAAAAACAAAAAACAAACGTCCCCGGGAAGGCTTGAACTTCCAACCTCCCGATTAACAGTCGGACGCGCTAACCAATTGCGCCACGGAGACTTATTTGATGAAAGACCCATCAGTATTTCTAATTATAAGGCAGATTATTTTATCCTGTCAACCCCTTAGTATCACAGCGAAAGTTTAGCAGATTAGTTAAGTGGATTGAGCCGAGATTCTCAGTCATAAATAGATTCCAGACTTTGCCTTTTTTTTTAACCATCAGCGTCCGTGAAAATTGCTTTATAAGAGACGTATATAGCTAATTAGATAGGTATGCCGACCGCGGCTATGAAGTACTGGTCCAGGCCGTTCCGATCACCACGGCACCGCTCACCGTTAGAGGTCGATTTGCCCAGATCTATCACGTTTAGTATTCCTGGCTACCTATGCTCTATGAGTTCTTCCCATACCTAAACAAGCACATACGACCATAGGGTGTGGAAAACAGGGCTTCCCGTCCGCTCAGCCGTACTTAAGCCACACGCCGGTGAGTTAGTAGTTGGGTGGGTGACCACCAGCGAATCCTCACTGTTGTATGTTTTTATTTATTTTTGCCCTTCTTAGATAGCTAGAGATATAGATAAGCGCTCTAGAAAGGGTTATCTTCAAGTATGCAAGTAGGTTCCAATGTAAGTGGTATGCAAATATTATCATGCATACAATTCAAGTTCCTTTGTCTGGCAATGATTACATGTTTTAAATATCCCATGGGATATACCTCTCTCTTTATTTCCGAGCGAAGCAGGGAAATTAAACAGTGGGACTTAATTTAAACTGGTATCCAGGCGAATATATATATATATATATATCTCACCGCGGTATGTCCGACACAGTATCCCGTGCTTATTATTTATAGCTACCATATATAACACGAAGGTAGTAATTAAAGCGAAAAAACAGTAGACATCACCAATAGGGACCTGATAGATGCTCATCTGACCACCACAAGAAGGGCATCGATAGTTCCGACAATCAAACCAAGAATCGGTATAGCTCACGCCTCTTAGCGACACACATACTATGTACCAGTAAACATGTCAGAGTTAAGCTAAAATAGGATACATAAGCAACAATAAAAGAAGTGAGGTTATCTGGCACCATAATACCATCATACATAGCCATGGATCACGTAGTAATCGCTCCCACTTTATTGTATATCCCGTAGTGAACCATGCTAGTACCAAGGAAAGGAGCATCACTCCTTCCTTCTTAAATTCGACTTAAAAAAAAAAGTTAGATGCAGTATCTGATATAGACAGACTCGGTGAATATACGTCCATGGATACGCCTGATGTACTACACACGAATAAAATTCGACTAAGATTAAATCAACCCCGCTGTACATGGTTATATATGCTCAATAGAAAACGAGAAGGAGAAAAAAAAAGGCGTGGCTAGAAAGAAGAGCTAGAGAATGCCTCGTAAATGAAGTAATGAAATTTATAAAAAAACAAAAAGAAACGTCCCCGGGAAGGCTTGAACTTCCAACCTCCCGATTAACAGTCGGACGCGCTAACCAATTGCGCCACGGAGACTTATTTGATGTATAGCGACCAACATTCATGATATGTAAAGAAAAATAACAATATCGGGGAAATATACACTCGACGAGTATGAAGTATGAAACTTGACTCTTTTGCCTTGGGTTAAGTCTGCAGGGCACAATTCACTTCATCAGTTGGTAGAATCTCCATGCCTATAAACCTATTATTTACTAGCTAAATAAGCCTGTGATTAACTAGCATCTATTACTCGCGATTTTCTATGGTCACATACCCCTACGCTTGAACCACGACACTATCACACTGCAAGTCTATCAACCCACCTAGGGAACTAACCATCCGAGGAGAAAGGGAGGGGAAAGAAAAAAAAAAGAAGAAAAAAGTAAAGTACATGCGCTATGCCTGGAGACCAAGACGACCAGACGTAGAATCAAGAGAAAAATCCGTACATACATGAAATCCCGGAGATCTAGACGACCAGGTAAATCAGAAGGTGGAGTTGTCAGCTGTTAGATAGATGTCTCAAGGGAAAACCAGAAGAGAGATCATCCCCGATAGTAAGCCCAGAAATAGAGAACAGCAGTCACAAATCAAGATAGCGTCCCCCGTGACCTCTTTGTTCTGTAAATCTGGCTCACAATGTATCCCTATCCCTCTAATTAGGGATTCTGGATTAGAGCAACGGCCGATGGGAAAAAGCAGTGCGGACAGGTAGGCAGTTTATTGCGATGACGGTTATTATTCACCACCGATCTCCAGTGGGTAAGAGCCATCCAGTCCCGGCCATGGAGAGTCCAGAATGCAGTTGGGTAGTGAGTGAACGAAAAACCAACGTGATGGGCACTAGTGCCCGTCATCGAGTATCCACAGCCATCAACACGAAGCCAAATGAGATTACAGGGAGCAAAAGCTCGATAACTGAAAACGTCCTCCCAGGTGCCACTCATGAGCCGAACGTGGACCAATTCAATACGAAGCAGTGTGTCCCGAGCCTGTCGGAAAATATTCCTGAGAGTTTCGTGGTTGATTCTCACGCCTTCCAGTCGGAAATATTTCAGTTCAGTGAAGTTTTCCGCTTCTAGATCAGACACGTCGAACCAGGTACGGGCATCCAGACTGAAGACTTCGATTTTCTTTGCGTAAGAAATAAGCTGGACCAGATAGGGAGCAAATCTATCAAGTGGGTACTTTGTCTTGACCATGGAGCGGGGCCATTTCGGATCTCGTCTACCATCGGGGCCGGTGTTGTCATTAATGGTGATATGTAACTCTTCGATTTGCGCGAAAACATTGGTGAAGTCCCTGGCATAACTGTTCAACTCGAAGAAACGAGCAAATTCCGCGGTGGTTGGCATGGAAATATGCAGACATCTCAGTCTTGGGACAGGTACAAAGCGTAAAGTATGGACAAGAGCGTTTGTCAGCTTGGCGAGCATGGGCGGCTTGATTTGTCCTTCTTCGCTAAATGTGTCCACAACGGAGGGTGATTGCATCCGCAAGGTTTGAATGTTCGGGAAACGGCTGACGAGGATAGGAAGAGCCCCGGAGGCCAAGTCATCGATATACCGATCATAGTCCAATCCTGGCAGCCACGCTCCCACGAAGCCAAAACGAACATCGCGTACGTAGATGGCATGTGGACTTTCTGAAATCTTAAGGATGCTCTCGAGAGGTTGACCAGCAGAGTATCCGACGACGGCCTGGAGGTATCGAAAAAGGAGAGGAGTCGCAATTCGGCTCCAGATCCGGTTCACCAGTCTCAAATTCGAGAGATTCCTCTTGGTCGCTGGATTTTCGAAGATATCTCCATAATCGAAGTCAATTTCCTCGCGCGATTCACCAGAAAGCGTTGCGTAGAAAATCTGGGATCAAATTAGCTGGCTGGACAGGCTTCAAGCTACATTGTGTTGACATAGTGCAATACTTACAGCTTCCCAAGCTTCATACGGGAGCGTTGGCTCTCTTACCAAGCACAGAAGATTGCCAGAAGCTTGAACAGACTGCGTATCATTATTAGAAGTCGAGGGAGAACGACTCAAATTACCAGGCTTGTGTCTCTCGAGCGGGGAAGGAGTATTGGGAGGGCTTGAGATGGAGGAGGGACTTTCAGCCAAGTGAGGGGTCCCAGGAGGGGATTGCTCCCCAAACAAAGAGGAGTGGTGAGAGGGAATCTTAATAAGTGCATTAGGGGGAGCATCAGAGTTAGCATCAGAGGGAGCATCAGAGCGAGCAGGTTGAACAGGCGAGCTGTCCAGGGCCATTGCAGCCAGCCGCGATGAGGGCGAGGTGACCAGGGCCCCTGCATCCTGTCGCACCAAGAGGGGACTGCTCAAGGCCATCGCACCCAGCTGCCCCGAGGGCGATTTTTGGACCTCCGATGCATTCATTGCTGGAATTGACACGGAAAAAACCCAGGAACGAACGAAATGGTAGCAGAATGTCACCAAGGTCGCGCAAGAGGTGGTTTCTGCAGAGAAAACAAAACAGTAAAGGTTTGTTTTGATGAACGGAAGCTCGTCGTCTCGTTATGGCAACCGTTTTGCCAGCCTGGGCCCAAGGAAGGCAGGTGCCGATTGCACCGGCCTTGCAACCTTGGGACTGATACCATTTCTCCGGGTACTAAAAAAAGCGGAAAGAAAGGATGCTGGGGAAGATGTCACATCGAAGTACATTCAAGATTAGAAATACGGGAGAAGCAATATATACGCCGCGCGCATCTACTTCTACGGAGCTTGCGCGCGTTAAGCCGACATAAGCCCTATCGGCCAATCATAATGAAGCATATAAAAGAAGCATCCGGAGCCTCATGAAGTTCCACGGAATCATTCGCTTTTTACTTTTCTGCCCTAGTTCCTGTTTTTGCTTTGTGCTTTTCATGTACCTTTCCTGTGATTCTCTGATTCTCCTATTTAATCCCATCTTATCCTAAGATGTATCTCCAAAGTACAGTCGAGATTATCAGGATTGCCAGGAGAATATAGACATCGCACGCAAGAACTATGCAGGGTGTTATACATCTGACCAATAACAGTAAGGCATCCCTAGAGAAGCATCGGGAGCCTCATGGACTTCCACCCTTTTATTCGCTTCATACTTATGTGTGCTATTCATTATTTTAACCCTGATATTGTCCTGTTAGTATCCTGTGATTATCCTATTCATCCCATCCCAATATATTGACGCTGCTCACGTGATACTATTCTACTCCGGTAAAACCCTTTGTCTCCACCATCCGATCTCCACTGACCTTTGCCACAATCAAGTCTCCGTGGCGCAATTGGTTAGCGCGTCCGACTGTTAATCGGGAGGTTGGAAGTTCAAGCCTTCCCGGGGACGTTTCTTTTTTATCTTTTTGTGCTTGTCTCACTTATGATATTTATTCTACACCATTTTTTTTGCGCGACGAAGCACCAGAAATGGGGGTGAAGGACGGATATTTGAAAGATCACGAAAAAAACATCATAGAACAATCTTAGGTATAACGAACCTCCCTTGTATCATTCATCTCAAGCCAAATGAAATGGACCAGGTTACTGATCTACGTCAACCATGGAAGGACAGAGCATAGGATTACTCTTGTATTATACATATTTGTCTTCTCTTCCCCATAGAAGCGTTAAAAATCAATATCCTCAACTCAGTTACATAACAAATCACCTAAAACCCCGTAGCCAAAGGGGTTGTAACTGGCACCGCACTGGAAGGACAGACACAAGCCGTAACCGACGCAACGGGCGGCTCCGTACAATGCGGCGTCAAGTCCCAAGGCACAGAAGTAACCGGCGCCTTACTATGAACCTTCTCAGCCTTGACCAACACCGGAATAACAGAACCAGTTTTCAACTTGAAAGTACGGTGTCCAACAACTCTCAGAAGCGATGAGATCTCACCCGAATGAGAGGTAATAGACACAAATGAGTTCTTCTTAGACGAAGAAAAGAACACATCTCCCAATGCCTGCGCACTCCTAATATCCTGCGCACCACTAGATTCACCCGTCACGCCATTCCACAGCTTATCTTCTTCGCTGAACCCGTGCTCAATGCGCCAGTGCGGGAACAGTGAGTGGATATAGCTCCGACTACGACGGTGGTCACAGGTGTGGACACTGATTGATTCGCGGAAGAGTTCCTTGATGGTTGGCTTGAAGGATGCGCTGTGTTTGGGTAGGTCCAGGCCCGTGAAAGTTAGGTTGGCGGTTTGCAGGGCGCGTGTCATTGGGCTGACGTAGTAGAGATCTGGTGTGTGAATTCGTTGTTCGTTTATTTCCTTTTGCCAGAAGGCGTTTGCCTTCAGCGCTTGGGAGGAACCTTCGGGTGTGAGGGCGGCGTCTGCCCAGGCTGATGTGCCGTTGCCGCTGAGTTCGGACCAGTAGCACTGAATGGAGATGGTTAGTTGGGTCTTGGTGTGAGATTATGGTGGTAGACAGGGACTTACGTTCCACGCGGGTGTTCCATAGTAGGACTCGGCGGCATTGTGATATCCTTCGCCGTGTCGACCAAGGAATAGAACCTTGTACTCGACGTGTGGTGGGGAATGGTCATTCAACTTGTTGACCTGGTTGTAGAAGCGCTCCCATTGGGTTAGAGACTTGTGTTTCCTGGAATCCTTGTCTGCGGGATATGCGCGGCCGATCAGGCCGAAGTTCTCCGCAGTCTGAACAGGTTAGTGGACTGAATGAGTTAAGGGATAAAGACATGGTTTTTGAAGCGTAACCATTCGGAATTTCTGCTTACATAGTCAAATGTAGAGGGGTCAGTTGACTCCTCATCCTGCAGAAAGTAGCCTGGAACTACAGAGTACTTGATCGTTGATGCTTGCGCGATAGCCAGGCCCACAAGGGCGGAACTGAGGGTGGAGAGTCTCATTGGAGATACGTGGATTTCCAATCTTTCAACCGCTTTGTTTTTGCCGAGGATGAGATCGACAAATCCCTCTTATATGTCTGGACTGTAGCGCACGTGGTGAGTAGTTTATCCTGATCCTAGTGAACGGGTGGATTCCAGTGGCGCTTTTCGGCTTCCATGACATCCTATCGTCCAGTGCCACGTGCAGAGCAAACCCCATCTCTATTGCACGAGATTTTTTGGCTCCATAAAAAGACCCCAAAAGGGTAAGGTACTTAAAACAGGAGATAATCCATCAATTACCGGGCGATAGTCGTGCTTCATTTCCGGAGCTCATGTTGGACTCCGGAGAAATACCCCAAAAAAACCATAACAGATAACCTCCTTTTTGATTGAAAAATATGAGATATAGATACGTAACAAATGTATATATATCGTGGAAACTGTGAAAATATCAAAACCAAATGCTGCCAAAGCCATATGCAAACCCAAGTTCAAATCCCATCCACAAAACCCGCTTCCAACGGGAATAAAAAAAAAGAGGTCAAAAATAAAAGGCCAAAGAATGTAAAAGTGGTCTCGAAGTCTCCTGAGGGAGCTCGGCAGAAATTAAAAAGGTCCTATCACCAAAAATCACAAAAACAATCCCAGGCCAATAAACAACATGCAAGGAATGCTCCAAATATGTAAAAACCCGGTGAATACACCCCAAAAAAGAGACACGAAAAGAAAATAGTATATAGAAGACATAAAGTGACAGTGCTTCTCCGCGCACGGAGGGGTAGACATCTCCCTGAGGGAAAATGTACGTAAACGAAGGTGAAAGCGAAATTTCTGCAGAGTGAACTCGTCCCAGACCAAAAACACCGAAAGATATCGCGTAGTTCTCATACATCCGTGAGGGAAAAGTCGAGAGACCTTTCCCTTAGGAAGGGTAATTACTTGGCGTCGTGTTGTTCGCGAACGTGTAGGCTTTTGGCTTCTGCATCGATGGCAAGTGATGGCCACTAAAGCGGACATCATGCTCTGGGAATTCGTGCATCATAAATTCAGTCCGCTTCCTCTCTGCAAGCTCGGCAGAGCCTGGTAGGTCGGTATCTTCAATCGAATAGATCAAAGACGGCGAGCCAGAGACCGATTCCATGCCAAAAGCCTGTCCGGTGTGATCGGTGGCCCCGTTATAGCCCATGGGGGAGACGGTGGTTGAATGCGGCACCTGGAGACCAGCCGGGTACTCGGGCGAAGAGATGGAAGCGGTGTCGGCCCAGCTGCGGGCTGGCATGGGAATCGAGTCACATGAGATATATTCAGGGAAGGAAGAAACATGAGCCGGAGCCGACATCGGCGGGGCCACATTTTGATAAGGGAAGGGGGAGTAAATATCCATTGGCGTGGTAGGAGGTGATGCCATGTTGACCTGCATGGGCTGAGAGGTAGGGAAGAAGTGGGCTGTCGAATGGGCCGACAAACAGTAGTTGCTTTCCGTGGGGGAGGCAGGCATGAAATGTTGGAGGTCTTGGGGAGTCAGGGGAGTCGGTGGAGCTAGGCTATTGGTCGAGACCGAGGGTCGCAGCATCTTCTCGGCCTTCTTGATAGACCCGGAATCCGCAAAAGTGAAATTGAGAGGAGACCGCTGGGCAGCTGATGCCTTCCTCACGCCGGCATACCGGGAGTTGAGGCTCTGGGTTGACTTGGATTGTCTCATCGAGTTGCCGATACCGGAGCTAGGCATACGAGCGGTAGGTGACAGCGAGGACATCGAGGTCGAGTTAGCCAAAGGACGAGTTCCGGAGGTGCCAATGGCAGCCGGGCGAGGGCGCTTGCGTCGTGCGGCGAGGTCAAGCTCCTTGCCGGGTTCCTTCCAGCAACTTGCTTCCACTCGATCGAGAGATTGAGACAACCCAGGTTGGGCGGTAGTACAGATTCCAATGCCATCCAATGAGGCAGTGAGCGCATCAGACGACTCACGACGTGTGACTGAGATATCTGGCGCCTGCATGGACATCGGATATTGCATGTTGCTGTAGACAACGTTGTCGTGTCGTGATTCCCTGTCCTCAGACCACTCTTCCCGGTGAGGGGGCAGGTGGTTCGAGTACACGTCCAAGTTCTGCACAGAGTGGGAAGGGTTCGACATCTCTGCCATTGATTGGTGGTAAGTGGTATATGAGGGCTGCTCTGTAGTGTATGCCATGTTCTCATTGTGCTCGCCGGATCCCCACGAAGCTGGCTCTTCCTTCATACCAGACCAGCCCGCAAAAGAAGAGTTTATGTTGGCAAGATTCCCATGGTCATTAGCTGGAGTGACCGTTTTTGGTGGTGGCATCGAGCTAGGGGACACTGCCACTTCTTCCTCCTCCCCTTCTTCTTCGGTGACAGGATCATTCTTGCTTCGGGGGTTGATTCGACGACCGAATCGATCCCGAGCAGCACAGGCAGCATTGAGCGCCCTCTGCAAAGATGCGAAAGTTGCTTCTCTTGCCGACTCGCTCTTTGTTTTGTGGTGCTTGGAACGGCTGGATGTGGAATCTGTCTTGGTATGGCCACTGGATGTGGAGGTAGTTGTTTGCTTAGGAGTAGCACACTTCTCCGATTCCTCCTTGGCGATTGATCCCTTTCGGGATCCAGACAATTGGTCCAAAGTCTCTGATTTCCGGCGAGCAGCCTCCTCGGCCTCGGCCTTTGCCTTTGTCATCTTTTCAAATTCCTCCTGGCGTTTCTGTTGCTTGGCCTTTGCGCGGCGATTCTGAAACCAATTCTGCCAAGTCAATTAGCTCTCTGGACAGACGAGAAGGTTCTCTCTATTTTTACGTACTGCAACGCGAGGCAGACTCAAATTTGTTTGAGCCGCCAATTGACGCTTAACATTGCTGCTGGGTTTCGGGTGAGCCTGGAACTGGGCCTCCAGGGTTTCGACTTGTTCCTTGGTCAACCGTGGTCGCGACAAATTTTCTGTGTATTCGTCGTAATCCATAATCGGTTGGTGGTAGTAGTCGATCATCTCCATTGGTGGGTGAGGGTACATATAGCCGTCGATAGGGTGCATCATCGGAGGAGGGACCATGGACGGGTCATATGCCATATGCTGGTCCATTGGGATGCCCTGATGCCCCGGATAATTCCATGAGGGGTGGATATAGCTCATGGCGATCTGAAGAGGGAAGTAGATAGGTGTAGGAGATAGGAAATTGCGGGAGAATCGCGAGAGATAGAGAGTGATGAGGGATGGAGATGCTGCACAAGAAAGTGGCAGCTTCGAGGAATAATGTCTATATCATGAAGTAGATTTGGGGGTCAACCTATGATGGAGACAGGGACCTTGTAAATGTAAAGAATGGCAGTACGGGCAATCCGTTCAAGAAAAAGAAATGAGCAGTTATAGCCTGTGATGATAGTTAAGGAGAGACTCGGGAGTTAGGGACCCAAAGGAGTGTGCATAGAAAAAGAAATGAAAGAAAAAGCAAAGAACCGAGTAAAGGAAAGACTGTTGTGGAAGAGAGAAAGGATGAAGAGAGAGAGAATGGAGATTGGAGGCGCTGGGGGGAGAAGATCGGGGGTGACGGGTGGTAAAGCGCGGTACAGAGTTGCCGAATCGAGTGATATTATTGGATGATAGAGTATTGCTCAGTAACGGGTGGTAATCAGATGAGGTCTGTGTACTGGGTACATGAGACTTATGTATTATCTGTACCTGGGTTGCGGGTACCTATACTTCGATATAAATATAAAAAATTATATTAAAAAAGAGTAGAAATAGTAAAAAAAGCAATTCAGATCTGTGATGGAATTCAATGCGATGAATACCCACACAAATTGTAGAAATTATACCCACCGTATTTCATCCATTTTTTATTCTTTTTTAGCCCGTGGAGTCGCGCTACCACCCGCTCGGTAGGGGGTGGCGGCCTGACTGCATCAGAGTCACATTTTGATTTCATTTTATTCTTTTATTCTTCTTTACGACGCATCTTTTTTTTTTTTTTTTTTTTGAATTTCATCTTTTCTTTTCTAGAATAGAGTTGACCCTGAACAAGATTCCGATCTCGTCCGGTCTCCCCTCGTGAACCTATTCCAAGACGTGTAACTGAAGAAAAAAGAATATAGATTCTAAGCCTGACTTGGAATCTCAGATGTTCATGTTCACACAGGTATCTTATACTGTATAGTTTGGAATCTTGGAAGCTTTGGAGTAAACAAAGGTGATCCAGGGTTCAAGTGTGGAGAGCCGAGTTTGGCTCGGATGCCTCCCGCGGTAATTTAACAATGTGATACACCCATAATGTCTCTTCAGAGCTTGAGGAACACCTTCTTCGTATTCCGCGTACATAAACCAAACGCAAAAAATCCAGTTCCTGCATTAGCGTCATGTCTGATCCCAGAAGTCTCTGCAAAGAAAATCATGCCCACTATTTAATTTGGAAAATTCAGGAATTGATGTGCAATATACGCTACAAGGAGTACAGAATACGGAGGATTTTGTCTGAAGTTATCATGTAACTTATAAAGATAGATCTCCAATTATGGTGACCGGATTTGCATAATCTACTTCAGGTAATCACATTTCCTTGGTGTACCGGGTGACTGGGGACCGGTGTGCTGGGTCAGACGATCTCCCTCGGTAATAATAGGGATGATTCGATCGTCATGAATGATGTCGATTGTACAAAAGTACGTAGAATAGACTATCAACTCCTGAAGCAACCTTGGAAGGCTGTAACTGACATTCGGGTTGCACTAACACAAATCGATACTAGTGCGGGCGCATGGCAGGTCAGCCAAGATAGACTAAACATCAATAGTCGACAGATCCCCCGTCGATCACTCAAGGATCTGCCGAGCTTTTTTATCTTCTTTGTGGCGTCCCCCTCTTTGGGCATCTTTTGTAATCCCTGTTCTTCGGCTTCCAGGCTGCAACCATACCCCCAGTGTGACACCATCTCGTCTTTTCCCGGGGATCTGGTTGGACCATGTTCGACAGGCGCTAAACGTCTTGAAATAAGTCGCTCCATGCAAGCAAGTCACGAGGGTTGCCCCAACTTTGTCCGTAACGCATGCCCAAAGATGATCACTGCTCGGACATCCGGACACTGTCTTTGACGCTATGGTCGTTTTTCTTTGTCTCAGCTTTGTTTCATCCCACTCTTAATTTGGTACTTAGGAAGCTCGTATATAATACCCACAGAGAACTCCATACTGTGGGATCTTTTAGAAGCTTTCAATTTGGCCGTTTACAACCACCAGTAAAATATTTAAGATCTTGGGGCGAACGCTAAACTACCCCATATGGAACCGATAGGTCCCCGAACGCTTTCTCATTGTGATCGGATCGCATATGGAACCCTCTCGCCGGCACATGGATGACCGGAGAGAACAAGGCAACAATGAGCCAGTCTAGCGGAACTTTTAGTCTAGCTGTAAGCCACAAGAGCACCCCCATCACCGATTTAGTGTCAATTTGATGATCTGCCCTCTTGACTACTATATCTGGTAGAGTGATCTGACCTAAAAAAACCCGGCAACCCTCTAGCTAAGGTTTATCGTACTCGATGAACCAGTCATATATTTACTAGAAGGCCACAGTGGAGTGATTGGCAAAAAAAAGAGGAATTGTTCCGGAAAAGTCATCCACATTACAGACTCGTTTGAGACTGGTAGCTCCATAGAGTAGGTAGATCATATGAGAGGTACTCCGTAAACAACGTGGCTCTTAGATCCCCTCAAACTTTGTATGGTGTGCCAATTCTTTCGGCTCTTTAGAAGGAACGATGTGATGGACGTGATAGTGATGCAAAAAATTAGATGTTCCCGATTCAAGCTTCATGTGCATCAGGGCACGTATCGCGCACATCACACCCAGTGAGATTCTCGATGGCTTCATGACTCGGGGCGATTGTGCTCATTTTTGTCTTGGCACATCATGCCCCACACAAATGGTCTCATGGTCCATGGGGAAAACAGTACTCCGTACATCATAGGCCAAGGAGAATCCAGATTCGTGGACAACTTTGATATTACTCTAGCCCGAGAATCCCCGCTCCAAGTAATATACAACCAAAAAGACCCTATATGGCCTATTCAGGCTATTACAGTGTTGCGAGATCTGCCCTGACCCTTGGGCCGATCCATGAACCTTCTCTCGCACGGATCCCGACCCCGTCTAACTATTGGATCTGTGAGCTGTTTTGGAAAAAGGAGGCAATTCCCCGACCTTGACAGTATGATAGCAAAATTAAATATCCCATTTTCAAACATTGTCAATTGGGGATCTCCGGATCCTCTACTCCGTATGGAGTATGGAGTATGATCTTCCCGCTAAACCCCCTGTTTTATCGTGGCTTGGAGGTTTTCTGGACTCGTCAACCAGGATATTTTAGTGGCTTCGGAGTATTTCGGTCAGACGCCCGGTGGCTGAGCTGTGCTCTGCAGATCTGTCAATGTGATAGATCTCGCGACTCCCCTTGTGGCGCTGATCGAAAACACTGTGGCGGTGCGCAACTATACCGAGCTCTCTGCATATAGCCTTGAAATTATTTGTCACTTTCGTGGGCCTAGTGCTCAAGTTTGCAGGATAATCTCTGCGAGATCAGCCATAGAGGAACGGTCTGCAATATGATTGGACATGCCCTTGAACCCGGTGTGTCCCTATCTGTAGTCCAGATCGGAATTAAGGAAGTGTATGTGATGAGATTGCATTTGCCCCTCATCACCCATTTTCATACAGAATACAACGTAATAGGTTCATGGACGAGGAACCCCTCCAGATTGGAGTAAAAAGGGCTCTCCCATATCGTCTTTCTTACTTCAATCACTTGTGATGATATTCAGGAGTCTGCATTCGAACGTCTCTTCCGGACCCATGCGCAGGATGCAACCCCCTTGCATGCTATTCTCACCGGTCGAGTGACTATTGGAGAGAAGTCTCGTTCTCGCCCCAATTCTCTCATTTAGGTAGCATGCGTCCCATCCCTCAAACCACTTGGCTCACCAATGAAGCCTGCACAATACTCTTGTTCCAAACTTGCCGGGAGGAAAAGTATCCACATCCTCGTGAGCATACTCCTTCCCCGAAAGAGCTGGCTGCAGCTGCAGACACCTCGCAGCCACTGAAACGCCCAGCCCCAATAAGAGACCAGGACTGTTTTTTCAAACCTGAAGTCATCCTCTTCGGGGGTGCATTTTCGTGTTCGCTGTCTGATTCCAGATACACCCGGGGCTCAAGCGTGCATGAACGGTAGTTCGCGGCCCGCCCTACCCGAAATGATTGGATCAGATGTGAGCAGCAGGTACATTTGCGTGCTGTAACGTCCGACCGAGGAAACCCGGCTTTCAGCTGCAAGGATGGAGTAGCTGCATACCGATGAAATGTGCCTGCCACGCACGCCATGGTGGTCTAGGGCGTCCAGTTACCGTGTCAACAGCTATACAGTTTGATCCCTGCCGGCCAGAGTGTCTAGATAAGCCACCATCCTTGTTATGAGAATTGTCGGCTGTCATTAAACGAATCCGCACTCTGTACTTCGTACTGCAGCAACGATACCATGGCCGATTCGTATACAAGTCTGAGGTGAACTTCATACCGGCTTTAAGGCACCTACACATGGTGGGTTGTATGTGGAACTCAACTCGTACATACGTACTTTCTATCTTGCATCTTGAACCTTGCCTGGCCCGATTACACCCCCGCCCGGGGAACCTGAGCTGCTTCAGGGACTTTGTATCTTTGCATGGTTTCAGGATATGCAGAGCCTAGAACTTGTGGTCGGGCGATTCAGCTCTGCTCAAAAGACCCAATGGCGTCAAGACCTGCTACATAGCCTGGGACTGCAGCAAAAAAAATCCCCAGGGTTCCCTATCTATGTAGAAACCAGGTACTCTTTTTCAGCATCACCAACTGTGATCCTCACCTTCTAGGGAATACGAATAATTATGGACATTCGCCAGTTGAAAAATCCTCTAGCTCGACAAAATTCACCTCCATGCCAACCTAAGCAAACCAAAGTTGATAACAACGGCCAAAAAATATGAATATATATCAATCTACGCTGTATGTAGTGCACGTTACTTCTAAAAAAAACCATGAGACCTTCAGGCTGTGCATCCAGCTCAGAAACAAAAATACATTACGCAGCTGCGAATACCACAGTATATCCCTGCCCATGCAGCAGCGAATCGGCGAAACCGAGATGACAACCACCGTCTATACGTACGCATTCTTGATCTCAATCTGCACCTGGCCATTAACAACCGCCTTGACTGAAATGCTCTTCAAATCTTCCACAATCCAATCTGCACCAGCCTCCTGAAGCTGATGCAGCGAGTGCGTCGTCGTCAACGCGATAACCTTGAAACCAGCAGCCTTACCAGCCTTAATCCCAGACGGTGCATCCTCGAGTACGACAATCGAGGTTGACTCTTCGATGCCAAGCTGCTTCCGGCCTAGCAGGTAGCAGCGCGGGTCGGGCTTACCGAGCGGCACGTCCATTGCTGTCACCAGGTTCTTGGGCTGTGGGAGCTTGAGCACTTCCAGCCAGCCGTCGACCAGAGGGCGCGTGCCGGATGTTACAACGCCCCATTTTGCGCCAGAGGTCTCGAGGGCTGCGAGGAGGTCGCGGCCGCCGGGGATCTCGACGGCGTCGGAGCCAAATTGTCTTGGGATCCGGCCTTCGATGTTGTTGACATCTGTGGTGAGGGCATGTTGTCAGTTTTATATCTTATGATTTTGTTGGAAGAGAGTGGTCAGTTCTGGATGGTCGGAATGCCTAGTAGACTCACAGTCCCAGTTGGCCTTGGTCTGGTCGTATAGACCCATTACATCGATACTGCGGCGGCCATGCGAGGTCGCGAGGATAGTCTTGGGGTCGACACCGAGCTCTGCGCCAATTCTGAAACAGAATTTATGTCAGAGGTTCTGCTCACATAGGTCGCGTTGGTTAGGTTCAGGACTCACTGGTGCCAGTGCTTCACAATCGCTGTTTAACACCGCATCGTTAGCATTGGTCCTAATTGATACTGAGAGGACTTGAATGAGGAGCAAATACCATCAGTTGAGTCCACAATTGTGCCATCGAAATCAGAAAGGAGACCATCGAATGTGTGGACCTGCGCAGGCGCCGAGAACGATCCTGTTGTTGAGGACATGGTGGGGGGAGAGATGCGGGGAGAGTGGATGGAGTCAATGGTGAGTATACGGAGAAGCCTGTGTTGAGTGGAAGACGAGAAGAGGCCTGTCCGGAATTCTCTGAAAGTATCAACAGGAAGAGAAATAAGGACTTCAAACAAGATAATAGAAGTTAAGACATCATGAGATATATTTCGTTCTTGGCCAGGACCCGAGACCGGGTATATGCCTAGTTTGGCAACTGTCCCGCAAGCTTAGTAATTTGAAACGTCCTCGGAGATCGGCCTAACTGCTAATCCGCTTATCGGCTGGGAAATCTTGGCACTCAACTTTTTCTACTCCCGTTGCGGACAGACTTTGAGGGTTTGCTGTGCACTTTTTGCGATCAACAATTACGTGCATTCAAAATGGTTACTAAAAGCGGCTTCGGTATGATACTCCCTTTTACCCCCCGCTTATGCGGTCCTGAGGCGCAATTCTAACAGGCTACAGGCAAAACTTCCAAGCGGGTTCCCGTCCGCCTGAGGCACAAGATTGAAAAGTCTGCTGTTCAGAAGCAGAGAAAGGCAAAGAAGCTCGCAAAGAAGGTACTACAGAAAATATCTCCGTACAGGTTCTGATCGAAGGTTCTGACCATTTTCTCTACAGAACCCTGAATGGCGGTCAAAGATTAAGAAGGACCCCGGCATTCCCAATCTCTTCCCCAACAAGGACAAGCTTCTCCATGACATGGAAGAGCGGAAGCGCATGAAGGCCGAGGAGCAACAGCGCATTCGTGAGCAGGCACGAGCACGCAAGACTGAAGGCGTCTCCGCACAGACCGGCACCGAGGCTGTCGACATCGATGAGAACGATATGTTGCTGGATGATGATATGGATGCCGAGGGCAATGATTCGAACCCCATGGCTGCTCTTCTCGCCTCAGCGCGCGCCCGTGCCTCAGAATACGATGATAACCAAAGCGACGACGATGACGAGATGGAGGAAGATGAAGACGAGGACGATGAGATGGACGAGGACGATGAGGGCGGCGCAACTATTGACGAGTCGCCAATTGTCAATTCAAAGTCTTTCTCAAAGGAGAGCTCACGACGCCAATTCGACAAGGTCTTCAAGCAGGTCACTGACAACGCCGATGTCGTGCTATACGTGCTCGATGCCCGCGACCCCGAGGGCACCCGCTCTAAGGATATTGAGCGCGAGATTATGATGGCAGACGGTGGCAACAAGCGGTTGATTCTCATTTTGAACAAGATCGACCTGATTCCCCCGCCAGTGCTCAAGGCTTGGTTGCTTCACCTGCGTCGCTCCTTCCCCACTCTTCCCCTTAAGGCATCCAGCGGTACCACTGCCAACGCACACAGCTTTGACCACAAGCAATTGACGGTCAAGGGTACTTCTGATACTCTCTTCCGTGCTCTCAAGTCATACGCCGGTGCCAAGCAGTTGAAGCGGGCCATCTCTGTCGGTGTCATTGGATACCCCAATGTCGGCAAGTCGTCTGTCATCAACGCACTCACCGCACGTCTGAACAAGGGCTCGAGCAACGCTTGCCCCACAGGTGCCGAGGCTGGTGTCACCACTAGCTTGCGCCAGGTCAAGCTGGACAGCAAGCTCAAGCTGATTGACTCACCCGGAATCGTTTTCCCCAGCTCCAGTGACAAGTCTAGCAAGAAGAACAAGAAGCAAGAAGAACAGGCCCGTCTGATTCTCCTCAACGCCGTCCCCCCCAAGCAGATCGAGGATCCCATCCCCGCAGTCAACCTCCTGATGAAGCGTCTATCCTCATCTGAGAACCTCCTCGCCAAGATGCTCGAGCTGTATGGCATCACCGCCCTCTTCCCCAGCAATGGCGACAAGACAACCGACTTCTTGGTCCAGGTGGCCCGCAAACGCGGCCGTCTCGGAAAGCGCGGTATTCCCAACATCGAGAGCGCTGCCATGACCGTTATCAACGACTGGAGAGATGGCCGCATTCAAGGCTGGGCCACTGCGCCCGTGCTTCCCGTGGTCTCAGCGGATGCTCCTGCTAGCGCTATTGAGCCTGGTGTCGACACCACAAAGGTCGTCACCGAGTGGGCCAAGGAGTTCAGTATCGAGGGTCTCTGGGGCAACGGACAAGTTGATGACGAGGAGATGGCCGAGTAAGGGCTGGTCTTCTTCCTCGCGTTATGAACTCATTATCTCATTTGATTCTATCTTTCTGGATACCAAAAAGTGGGCGTTTTATGTTGGCATTCCATCCTTCCCTAGGTTTGATCTCAATTTCAGTGGTATAAAAACATCAGTAAAATGACTCTTTTTCCAAATAAATCCACCAAAACTGTACATCGTAATACATATTATTGTAGAAGTGAAAATAGAAATGATAGAAATGGAAATCAAAGTAGAGTAGACATCACCGCCAAGCCCGAGAAATCCAACGCGTTGGCGCGTCTTCTTTGCCACCCTCGAACGTCGTCCCATCTCCAAAGCCCATAACCACCGCTCAAACCCGGCCACAACTCCAAGGTCCTGTAAAGAGAAACAACCAGGCCTTGACTCGATTCGATATCCAAGGGGGGCCCGATTTGTCAACCCCCCGATCCCTTAAACCGCGTAACCAGAACAAAGACCAAACCAACAAAAATGCCTCCTCGCAAATCTACGTCCTCAGTGACTCCCGCTGATCCCGATGACTCCATGCTCCAGCAGTCCCCTTCAGTGCCGCACACCGACAAGCCCGTCTTTGCGACGGAGCAGCAGCTGAAGGCTCGGGCTGAGGCGGGCGCAAGTGTCGAGGTAAGACAAAGCCAGAGGCATGAATAGCATTGCATATTACATGATGATACCATATCTGCGGACTCCTTCGTGCACGACATGTGGAAAAAAACAGAACCAGGTCAGACTAACGCTATCTCCGTAGGACTATCTCCTACCACGCTCATTGACGATTCGTCTCGCGAAGTCGGTTCTCCCGCCGAATACGACAATCCAGAAGGACGCTGTGTTGGCTATGCAAAAGGCTGCTACGGTGTTTGTTTCCTACCTGTCTTCACAGTATGTTTATACCCTTGTCCCCGCTGTCCTTGGCCTTTGCATTCGAGTCCTCCGGTCCGAGAATACAGAATGGTGCATCTCGATTTGTTCCCAATCCCACGGTATGATACGTCGAACTAACCTCGATTGAAATCTTAGTGCTAACGATGCAACCCTCAAACGAACAATCGCCCCAGCAGACGTCTTCAACGCCCTCTCCGAGCTAGAGCTCGACTCTTTCCGCGGCAGACTCGAACAGGAACTCGAGGCATATACGGAAATCAAAGCTGGGAAGCGCAAGCCGAAGAAGGTTGGTGCGAGTAGCTCGACACAAGATGCGTCAGGCGAGGGCGCGACTCAGGGCGATGGTGATGCTGAGATGCTTGATAATCCCGCGAAGAGGGTGAAGCGGGATGGAGAAGTGGAGGTTGTTGTTGGTGCGTCTGCTGGTGATGATGGGGATGAGACTCAAGAGGAAGACGTCGAAGAGGAAGAGGAAGAAGAGGATGAGAGTGAGGATGATGAAGAGGAGAATCATGCGCCCCGTGAGAATGACCTGGAGCATGTGGAAGATTTGGACCGTGAGCCTGGTGCGAGGAGGGGGCCTTTTGATCCTGATGCCGAGGAGACGGATGAAGATGAGGACGGGCCTGGTAGTCAGTTGCGGGATAATCTTGGGTTGGGCTAATTATCTTGGACATGTCAAAGGGGCTTATATTTGGATGAGCTAGAACTCATCTTGGATGGCATTGGAAGAGGTTGACTGGCAAAAGAAAAGAATGTTTCTGCTGTACAATACACATAATGACGAATGGATTTTATGCTGCGCTCTGTTGGTATATATTTTGGATATACGTAGGAAGATGGTGAGTAAACTTGAATAAAATCTAGAACATATTATATCAAAGCTTGACATGTTGCACAGCTGCGCAGGAGTTTGAATAAATATATATACGAACCCCCAATGCCGTACTAGACAAAAGATTACAGGGACAAGAAAAAGACACATATAATCCCAGAAGAACGAGGAAAATTGTATTAGACGAGAACGAGACAGCACCTAACAAATCGTATGGAGCAGTCAGGAATATCTTATTTAGATAATCCACATATGAACACCCATACAGAACATGAGCGAAAATAAGAATAGCAAAAGAATTGAAATCAATAAACACCACGCTGGACTAAGCCAGCTTCTTGACCGAAAAACGCCCGAGCCAGCCCATGCGAGAAACCGTAGTCTATCAATGGTATCTTTCGAAAAGAGGACAGCAGCAATCATCAACCTAAAGCAAACGCAGGTGATGCAAGTAGGAATACAGTCCACGAAGAGGAAGTATGTAAACACAAGTGAAGAAGTGTAAGATCAAGAAAGGATAGCAGTGAAGGGTAGCACTGGAAAGAACGAAGAAAATAACACCCAAGAACGCCATCTTGGTAACCATGCATCATGTCATGAACTTGCAGTCGACCGAGAATAAAATATCAATATCATGACTAGACCATAAAACAGTCAGGAGGAAGCCACTCGCCGAGGACGAGACTCCGAGTCGAGCACGATGTCCGCTTTCTCGGGTTGCTCTGATCTGATGGGCAGAGTACCGTTGTTTCTTGGGGCGCCCGCTGAGACTGGTTGCATAGCTTTGAGGTCGGCCTTTGTACTGACCATACCCGCAGATAGAGATGTTTTGGTAACGCGGCCGCTGTACGAGGTGATGGTGGCATTTTTCTTGACCGGAAGCTTTCTCGAGGCGGCGGTTGCAACCTTCTTGGTACGAGGATTGGGGGCGGGTTTGGTGATGAACTTGGAGGTAGTAGGCTTGCGAGCAGCAGGCTTTCCGTTGCTGATAACGTCTTTGATAGTTCTGCCATTGCTTGCTGGATTTTCCAGCTTGATTTTCGAGACCTTGGTGGCCAGCTTTTTTGTGGGCTTCTCGTCTTGGCTGGCAGAAGGTGTGACAAGACCAGTATCTGCGCGAGGTCTCTTTTTCGGCGTGACCACGACAGAAACGTCGGAATAGCTGTGGGGAATGGGCTCGGGCGAGGATTCGTACACGCGCGGGGTAACGTCCTTTGACTCCCATGGTTTCAGGTTCGCCTGTCGTGCAACTTCATCGCATGACCCCTCGACGATCAAGTCAAAGCAGTTGTCGAATTCTTTCCCGCTTGGTGGTTCATTGTTGATGAACATTGTGACACCATCCTTGCGACTGCGGATCGTTGTGCACAAGCTCTTGACGAGTCGACGGACTCCGGGAATCTTCAAGCTGGTACCGGCGACAATCAGGACGCGAGGGCGGGACTTGATATCGGCATTCATCACGGAGGTGATTGCCTCTTCGTCGGGGTTGTGCTCATTGTAAAGGACAATGCGCGGGCGCATTCGGCCGATTCCGTGACTCCGTTGACCAACGGCTTGGCGAGCTACGTCGATTTCAGCACACTCTGTGCAATCGGGCGGATCGGCTTTCATGAACATGTCGGGATCGAAGTTGGCGAGGTAACGACATTTCTGGCATACCATCTTCTCAATACTGCCGTGTAGTTGAATAGTGACCGGCCAACTACCCTTGACATTAAGCGGAACTTCAGTTGCCAGTGGCCCCATGGAGGTTTCAATGCCATCGATATTTTGGGTGTAAAGTCGCTTGAGGCGAGACTCGATACCTAATCGGGCGAGCATTTGGTGGAAGGCGGTGGGTTTAATATTGGCGACCTCCTCCGACAGCGACCGGACCATTTCGTGGAAGGGGGCGGTCAATGCATCATCCTGATAGACGGCAGCATCGAAAAGAAGCTTGCCAGAGGCTTTCAGGTTATGTTTCTTTTGCAATGATTTAAAGAGACCATCTGTGGAGCGAAAGTCCGGAACTATAAGAGTTAAGAGTGGTTCGATGCGGCAGAATCCTAAAGCAGAAACTTACTACCCGCAGCTGTGGAAATGCCGGCGCCAGCGATGACGACAATGTCTTTTTGGTGACGCAGAGTTTGAACGAGCAAATAATGTTGATCATTCTGTTCATAGAGAGATTTGGATAGATCGAGATATTGAGTGGTCCGTTCCTTTGGTAGGGGGTTGCGTCTCCTCTTTGGACGGGCTTGGCGTGCAGAACCCTCAGCAGACTCAGCTTCCTGAGATGAAGGCGTCGGGTATCGCTCTGCTGGCTCTGGTGATGATTCTAGTCTTGGTGACGAAGGCGCGGAACTTAAATCCGATATATCAGATGAAGAATCGAAATCGAAATCCCCCATGGCTGCTTGGGAGTTGTGAATGGACCGAAAGGTGTAACCGTGTAGGAGAATTGTTCACCCTTAGGGGAAGTCGGAGCGAGAAGAACCGGGTTGCGGTATCTCTAAATTGCTCACAGACCGTAGAAAACCTCGAAAAGAGAAACCATGTGTGTGTAGGCAACAAAGGATTAATAAAGATCAAATGGCGAGTCCCTGAGATAGGGAGGATGGTAGGGAATAGTAGGAAATAGAGGAAGTTGACGATGAGGTCAGCGTTGGGGGGGGAAGGGGATGCAATGAAACTCGTGCACTTCAGGGCTCTATGGCCCGGAGAAAAAATAAAATAAGGGCGGCCCGCAGAACCTTTGTTTTGGTCGAATGTAGGAATGTTGAACTAAAAGAAGTAAATTGGTTCGAAGCGAATGAAAAGGTGGGACTTGTTTTGATGCGGTTGTGGGTTTAAGACTGCACATATACTTCGGAATAAAGAGGGAAATAGTCCAGTAATACGCGCTTTTGGCTCTTTTGGCTCTTTTGGCTCTTTGATACTCAACCATTGTAGAATAGTCAATTGTCCTTTCCCACTTGAATACACGCTCCTAATAGCCCATCATTGTGCTCTTCCTATTATTCTCTTATTTTTCCCGATCTTATTTTTCTTTCGTTTTTCTTTTCTGTTTTCCATGTTTTGACAGTCCAAGGACTCAATGGTGATTCGCTCTGTTTGATAGTGGAACACCTAGCAGTTACCTGATTGGTCCATTGTCGTTGGCAGGGCTACCCGTCACCTGATCCATGTCACGAGATCTGACTAATCTGGGAAATCCACTTGGTCCCCAGAGGTCCAGGCGCTGACGGCATAGGAACATCTGGATTTGGTCTATGGTCTCTCCTTATATTGAAATTGGGAATTGCTGCATTGACTGTGACTTTGCTGGTGTTTGAGACATCTTCTCAATCGTTAGGCGCCAATCTCGGGAATCCCGCCGCCCCTCCCCCCTCTTCTTGAATAATAATAAAGCCCTTTTGATATTCAGTCCGGGGAAACTCTATGAAGCTATGCTGTATTGATTCCCTGATAATCAAACACACTTGAAAGTGGACAAATATTATGCCCTTGATCATGGAGGACGGTATCAATGTGGATGACCTCTTTGGAGAATCCAACTCCCTGGAGTTGGGCTTGCCCGCCGCCTCCCCAATCAAAGGTCTAGCACAATGCCTAGATGAAATGCGTCTATTAGGCTGCTGCAAGTAAGCTTGGAAGAAGACTCCTCATTCACATTCCAGGAACTAACAATTTTCTAGGAAAATTGCTTGGTCTCGGATGGGATGTATTGCATCTATTTCCCCAGACGGACTCCGGGTGATTGTCCGCCATCTCCAGTGCCGTCCATCAGATGGCAAATGGGTGCTTGGAGAAGAGTCATCTTTAGCTTCAGTCTTGGAGGCCCATAATGGCAATCAACTAGCCCATCTATCATGGAATGAGACTGGCTCAGAACTGGCCGTTGTTGACTGTTCTGGTCGCATATCAATTTATTCCATTTCCATTGCATTGAACAGCATCACAGGTTTGCGTCAGGCCTCATTTGACTCCGGCGACGATGGCAACCAGATTGTTGGAATGATGTGGCTGAACTCCCAGCGTTATGTACGTCGGGTCCCCTTATCATTATCCATTATAGATCAATAGGAAAGGACGTTAACATGGCAATATAGGTGCATGCTTTTCACCAAGCAGCCAAGGTGAATGGTCGATGGGCATACTCACCTTTCCGTCGACGCCCCGTCGGGCCATTCCACCCAGCCAATAAAGGCGCATTGATATGTGTGACCAGAGCTGGCCAGATCAAGCTGATATATCAAAACCCTGACAGTAAATGGGCCGAGCTGCCAGCCGAACTGAAGAACACAGGGTACTCGGACAGACTATTAACGCATGCATCCATGGTCGCAACACAAGGTATTATCTTTCAGTCGGTCCATTTCCTGCCATCACTGACGCATTGAAACAGCTGGGATCCTTCTCTCCACATACTCCGTATGCCAGAAAATGTGTCTTTATAGAGTACACGTCTGCTGGAACCCGCCACAATGGGAACCGGCGCAGGGAAAACAGACTGGCCAATTTCCCATCCCCACCTTCCGTTTCATCCACTGTAAGATCGACATGCCCAGCAATATATTGAACGTCAACCGTGGCCCGGACCACTCCGATCAGTCTTTGCCGTTTTTGAACTCGGTATACTCGTTGACACGACTAGAGATCATGCCGGGACAGTTTGATAGCCCCGCGGGGTCCTCTGGTAATCCTTGGATCCTGGCTGTCTTATCGAAGCCCCTCCATGCCATACATGACTATCCAGACCAGCAAGGTCCGTCGAGTGTAATAGTCAGGTGGCATTTGGAATCTACACCCCAGGTCCTGCATCCCAAGTTCGACGAGGTGACGTCAAAAAAGAGCAACACTCAAGCAAATGTGCGAATTCCTCGGGTATTTTTTGTATAAAATCGAGACTGACCGATTCTCAGGGAAGAATGGAGCTGCGTAGGTTGGATGACGTTTATTGCGATAAGTACATTGTCTCGGTCGATATAATAGAGCACGGGACTGTTTTGGCTGTCAGTCACGATGACAGCTCAATAACATGCTACGACACACGGACAATGGCCGTTTTGAATGGCCTTGACGATTCAACCACAGTGACCTGTCTGGCTCAGGCCGGGTTCCAGTATCCACTCGAAACATCAGGTATGCCCGGAACTGATCGATATTACTTTAAGATGCGTGGCCAGAACTGATATGAACAGGCCTTCACATTGCTTTCTCTCCTAATTCTTGCGTTGCCGTTACGCTGGACAGTGACGGACATATGCAATTGAGGCTGATGGAGCATTCATTCGGATCCACAGAGGGTATCTATGACGAGAGTATGTGTTTCTCAAATCACCTGTATAGAATAACAACACTGACCGAGACATGTAGACAATTTCTCCACTGCCATTGCGGCCTTGACATTGGCATTTAGTCGAGGCTGTGGAGTTGATTTCAACACAGATGACATACTCATGGTTGCTCTCGCGCAGCTATCACCAGGTGAGTGCTTTGGAGGCTTTCGTATGATATCGTCAAGCCCGCTGACAAGTTTCAAAGAGGCTCAAATCACGTTCATCAGCGAGGTTTATCGTGCACTGCCGATTAATTGCAATTTCACAGCCGAACAGGACAAACTGATGAGCCACCCGTACATACCTCGTTGTCTCAGCCTACAGGCCGGGCTGGGCTTCAAAGGGAGACTCAAGCGCCGCAACCTCTCATCGGCCGTGCCGTGGGCAAGCCTTCAACTCAGACATGCCTCGGTTCTATTTGCATATTTCTTCCAGTATAATAAAGGGACACCAAATGAAGCGCATGATCCGGGTGAGTTCAAAGAATCCAACTCATTTATCCTATCCGTTGCTAATTGAAACAAAAGATGTTTTACGGATGGTGTTGGGTAACACCAAATGGACATTAGACTTCTCTCACTTCCTTCTAAACGAAATCTTCGACATGGCCGACGACTTCGAAGATGTTTTTAATGACCCAGAAGCATTCACACAGAAATGTAAGGAAGCTCCCCATAAAAAAAAACTCCAGCTTCAAGCCCACCCATCTCACTAACATCACAGTGAAAAACTCATCCTCCCTCCCCCTCCTAATCCTTCTTTCAAGCATGTCACGCGCTTTCCTCCGCTTCATATGCCGTGGTCTCCGCGGCGTGCATGCCGGCTTCGCAAGTGCAACCCCCGCCTCCCTTACAGACGACTCCCGAATCTACTATACAGAGATCTGCCAAACACTAGAATCATCACCGGTCCGAATCGACGTGTACGAGAAGTTCCTAGCAGGAGTCGACTCAGCTGTGAAGCACGCCTACCAAGGCGCTGGCTTCGGCGACGCCGAAAAGCCCGGTCCAGAAAAGGAACTACTGGTTAATGCGCGCATCCCGCCGGTCCTCACCACAGCCGTGGCCACCCTCCTTCGGCAGACAGTCCCGGCGCTCAAATCAGAAATAAACCGCATGGGTATCTACCTTGGGGACTATAGCTGGCTTGGTTTTGCGAATGACAGACGCACGGCGCTATACCGTAAACAGCGTGAGGTCGATATCCTCAAGAAGTGTCCTCTGCGCCCGCCGTTGCCGTTGGGGAATGACGGTCGCATAGCGCCGTTGAAGAAGCGTAGGTGTGCGCGCTGCTGTGAGGTCTCTGGTGATACGAATCTGCCCCGATCGCTTCTGTCGTTCAAGATGATTGCTAAGCTGGGGCTGTTGCGGTCTTGTCTTTGCGGGGGCATGTGGGTTCTTGAGACGGATAATGGGGATCTTGGGGTTAGGACTGTGAGTGTGAATGGGAATGGCAACAGGGTTAGCCAGACTTAGGGAACCAGTTAATGCTGAAATCGGATACTATGGCTCGCATTCTGGCTATGACTGAAGATCGTGTTGCCTGAACCAGGACGTATTTTATCTTACATTATGTAGACATACTTGTGGGGTGTTATTGGGACGTCTTGCATCTAGATTCATTTGACCATAGCAAGATATCCTTAGTCTAGCCTTTTTTGCTTTGTACTTTGAGTCTACATGATGTAGACTAGAAATGTAAACCACTCAAGATATGTATATTTTAGAAATATATATCCCCAAGTCTGGCAGACGATACCACTGGAACGTTCACTAGTCTTACATGAGAGCAAGAGCAAGGAATCTTGAGAATGTCTAAAGTCATGTCATGTCAAGAGTCGATTTGCATCCTATTTAGATACATAATCAAATTCCATTTTTTGGATGTAAAAAAAAGAGAAAACCGACCCCTCCACAAGCTTTCGGATCCACGCTGTCACGTCCTGCTTATGTCCAAGGCCAGCAACGTCTTCCCACAAAACTCCATATCCGAACAAGTTCTGCGTTTAAGCCTGGAATAATTCGTCAGCATTGTGTTCAGCTGATTCGTTTCGTCTGGTGGGCGAGGTCCTTGGTGGCGAGGGCAAAGATAAAAAAAAATCTATGGATCCTCATTCCACCTATTCCCTGCCCAGGATTGTCGGAATATCATACCTTAACGGCGAACTTCCGCTGGGGGAAGTGGATGGCACGCTTGCGGAGCTTGTCGGTGGTCTGGGTACGCTCGTGCTTGGTGAGACGGCGGCGGATCTCACGGGTGAGCTTGGGGCGGAGGTCGAGCGGGAGGTACTTCTTGTTCTTGTAGAACAGACGCAGCTGAGCGCGCTGGTTGGCGTTGATGACAGTGAGAACGCGAGCGATGGACTTGCGAACCTCGCCGCTAAAAAAATGAAAAATTCCAGTCAGCATCAAAATCTCGAATATCGATAAACCCCCAATATCGTGCGGTTTGCGGCATATCGTAAAATCCACCTCTTCCTCGTTCGATCTCTTGGGTTGAATGCTGGCGTAGCCCTGATTATTGTATGTTGTCTTGCCCGGGTTCGACCGTTCCCATGCCGCAAATCTTCAAATTCCTTCCGCACAAAATCAAATATCGGGGGTGTCGGATACGCACATTCTCTGAGTCTTGGAGGAAGCGCCGGAAGAGATCTTCTGAACGCGGAGCTGGTTAAGCTCCAACTTCAACTCCTCGAGCTGTGTGGCGAGCTCATCCTTGTTCTTGCCCCAGAGCTGACCAGCCTTGACCTTGGACGACTGCAAAAAAAGAGCGATTCATCAGCATTTTGATATCAGAGCCTTTGCACAGCACGACATACCATGGTGGCGTTGAATTGTGTGGGTTGTCGACGTTGAGAATTGAAGATGTCCGAGTGTCAATTTGCGACTGGTTGTGGGACTAGGGCTAAGCGAATTTGTGACTTTAGCGGGTGCACGTGATTACGGTGGCACTAATGCCTTAACTTGATGCCTGAAGTTTTGTGGCGAATTGATGCCTGGGCCCCAGGGCATAACTTGCTGTATTTGGTTAGTGCGCTTTACCCCGTCATGGGCTGGCACTTACGTAGACACGCAGGTAGCACCTCGGTCCTTGCACTTGTTGATTATTTGGCCTGAGAAGAACTCATAATCAGATCAAACTTCTCTGGCGACTTCGTCTTCACGCTTCACATATTTTCTGCCTGCTATGGCATCCTCAACCAGTTCCGGGTGGACACAGCTCCGGCAACAAGCACGGTCGCTTGAAACTCAGGTACCAATATATCACCAGGAGTTCTACAATGTTAAACTGACGCACCAATAGACCGAGAACCTTTTCCACACCTATTCACAATTTGCCTCGATTACCAAACCACCACAATCACCCACCGAGGAAGAGCTGCGGCTTGAATCGCAATTGAAAGACCTCCTCGAAAGAGTACGTCTATTCACCGACATTCAACAGAAAAAGAACCGACAGCTAATTGACCTCCATACAGCGCGAATCTGTCATCGCCCAACTATCCCGTCTCCTTGACTCCGAAGCCACCCTCACCTCCTCCGCGTTTAAACATAACAATGTCTCTCGCCACCGCGAAATACTGCAAGACCACCGCCGCGAGCTCCAACGTCTGAACGCATCTATTGCTGAATCGCGCGACCGCGCAAACCTACTCTCCAATGTCCGGTCTGACATCGACTCCTATCGCGCATCCAACCCTGCCGCTGCCGAAGCCGAGTACATGCTCGAAGAGCGGGGCCGAGTCGAGAACAGCCACAGTATGATGGACAACGTGCTGGGCCAGGCATATGCCATCAATCAGAATTTCGTTGTCCAGAGCGAAACACTTGCCAACATCAATCGGCGCATTGTCGGCGCTGCTGGCAGTGTCCCCGGCATGAACTATCTCATGAGCAAGATTGGAAACAAGAAGAGGCGGGATGCTATTATCCTCGGGTGCTTTATTGGGTTCTGCTTTTTGATGCTGCTATTCTTCCGGTAAAGTATGTATGCGAGACCCCGGCGGTAGGTCAATTATATCGCTGCCCCTATGTCATATTGTTCTTGTGTTAGTTGCTGCTCTCCAGCGAGTGGATTTCTCTTATCGAAGGCGTTTGGGTTTGGGCATGCTCCGAGTCCCCCTTGATGGGGGAACAGAATCGATGATAATTCTCGTAACAGGGTCTTGAAGGTGCCTGTTTCTTATACTTTCTATTATACAGATTCTCTATTGTATGTACAAATTCAACCGAGAGCGGAATCATATCACATCCAAGGCTCCAGTTCAAGTAATGCCCCTCACCCCAGTCTCAATCAGTACCTGCGAGATGGGTCCTGCGCCCGGAGAGCGGCTTTCTTCTCCTCAATAAGCTTCTGCAGACCAGCATTAAGTCCCTCTAATTCAGACGCTTCAGCCGGTCCACTGCCCGCCCAGCGGATGCGACACTCGGAATCAACCAGGTAGACATAGCCGACCTTGGAATTCATCATGCCAATCGTCTCTTTGAGTGCCTGTTCGAAACCCTTCTGCACAAGGAAGTAGCGCGAATGCTGCTCCACAGGCAATTTCTGCCGCATCCGCCACATGAACGTCTTTATCAGGAATGCCTTCAACCGGTTCTCCTCAAGATTAATATCAATCCTCTGTACATGCCTTCCGCCGCTGGCCAGCGCCTCCACGAGTCCCGGGTTCTGCTTCGGCCCCGTAAATGTCGCAACCTGGCTCTCGGCCCACAAGCTTGAGAACAAGTTTACGACTGAGATGCTGCCGCGGAGCTGCGTCGTCGTGTTCTGGGGATCCTTGGGTGCTGCAAGGGTTATGCCGTGCATGTTTGGGAAGTAAAGGGCTTTATCAGCTTTGAACAGTCGTGGGTTCGAGACAAAGGTTTTGCCCTCGGCGAAGCGGAGATTGGACCATTCGCGGAAATACGGCTTGGCGACTTGTTTTGTCCTGTGGATTGCCATTATTAGTACATCTATCCCGGGGCGTAAAGAACCAGAAGAGGAAGAGGTAGACTCGTACAATTCCTTGCGCCGCTTGATGTGTCGGTCATAGTTGGTGAAGTCGTCGCGCCGCTGGCGCATCGACCGCGTGTCAATACCTGTGTTCTGTCCTTCTAGCGGCGCTTGCGGGCTACCGATGGGCCGGTCCAAGGTTGGAGGAACGAAGTCTGCGTCACCGGGCTGAGGTCCACCCGGGTTCTGTTTGAATTCGATGGCAGTCGAGAATCGGTGTCCCTCGTTTTTTATGGTTCGTTTCACGGGAGCAGGGGCGGCGTCTTTATTGTCGATAGGCTTCTCGGTTTTGCTGGAATATTGGCGCAGAGAAAAAGGTTTGGCCCGTAACTGGGAGAGAACTGCTGGGTTGCGGAATTGGCAGCTTAGACAATGGCCGGTCTGCAGGAGGGGGAGGTCGACCACCAAGGTGGGGAGAGTGGATTTCCACATGTTGACTGACGGTGTATCAGTCAATGGACTCTGTGGTGGATTGTGAGGTTATTGCTTTCGAACTCCGCGCATTTGATCTTCCATGGAAATCGATAGTCACATGACACGGTATTTCCATTTTGGGAATAGGTGAGAATAATTCTCTGGAAGTAATATATGTAGAGTAGAATTATGTTGTAGAATTGACGATATATAAAGCACTATCTAGGTCTGCAATTCCCGAGGTCTCACACCTGTATATGTCGGTTATAGGTCACCTATTGAGGAAAGGCCTGCCACTTTAGAAGCACGTGACTTGGCGCCCATTTCGCGCCAGTCAATCGCGTCCACGGGGTCACCCAATGTGGTCCAAGGAAGCCTTCGGCCCATTACCTCTCTCTCTTTTCTCCCAGGGATTATACGAGTACACGGTCCCACGGTGACTCCAGACACCTATATAATGAACCATCCATCGTCTAGGCACCCGTCTCTCCATTGGATTCCGGACTAGCGCACTATGAAGGACCATTTTCGGAGTAAAAAGACCTTTTTTGTGGCTCTTGACCGGCTGGATGATTCGGATGATTCGGATGATCAGGATGAAGAGGAAACCAGCTGGAAGAGTCTCCTAACTTTGTCTGCAAAAGTTGACAAACTTAATCCAAACAAAGTCGCTCTTTGTTCAGAGCGTATCCCACTTCCTCGAGCAAGTTCGGACCCTATATCTTTGTGTGATCTTCAAACCAAGAGAAGCGGTCCGGTCGCTGCCCCCAGACCTACTCCCACGCACCTCCCTCGGACGACTGGAACCATGCCTAACATCAAGAGCGGAGGGCCTCCTCAAAAGAAAAGAAAGACAAGCCATGCTAAGATAATCCCAGATGACCAACAGATCTTCAAGGGATTAATATTCTGTAAGTTCTCTAGATTCCTCACAGCCTACTCTCACTAAACTCTCGGTTCCAGTCTTCTTCCCGAACAATGATGTATCTCCCTTCCGACGATTGCGGATCCAACGAGCACAAGATTATGGTGCACGATGGAGTCGAGATTGGGCTGCAGATGTCACCCATGTGATTATGGACAAAGGCTTGCTATCTAGCGATCTCCTTAGCCACCTCAAACTCGAAGCTTTGCCAGTCAGTTCATTCGTGAGATGTTCAAACTTCAGTATTAACTGTCGCAGACGAGTGTTGCTCTTGTCAATGAATCCTATCCATCCGAATGCATCCAGTTTCGATCGGTTCTTGACACCTCGCAGCTCCGCTTTCGTGTCAATGGAACCCCGACAACCGCAGAGAAGAAGTCTCCAGTGGCAGAACTACCTCCTGATTCCCTTCCGTTGAAGCCATCTCGGCGGGAAAAAAACCAGTTTCCAGAACGTTGTTTGTCTCCAGTGGAGGAATCGACGCCGAATCTGCCAAAAGACTTCAAAGAAACCGTGCCCGAAAGTGTGTCCCACACCGTGATCACCGAACCGGTTCATGAAACAACCGAAGAGGCGTGTAAAAGAGCAAGCTGGGAGCGAGATGCACTGGATGATATAATAGATGAGGCCAAGGCCACAAGCCATCTGGTAAAGCCTCTTCTTTGTCAGTGAAAGCTCAAACGACTGATCTTTATAACCAGCCTCTGGATCCACTTGAATTTCCCATTGACGAATCTGCTGCTGACAGCTCCGATATTGAAACCTCGAGCTCAGGGGAGGAGTCAAGTCGGAAGACACGAAAAACATCCACTGAAGAAGCCAAAGGCAAAGACAAATCTGACTGGACCAAAGGTTTCGCCTGTATGCAGAAGTTCGATCCGGACATGAAACTTGCCAATCCGAACACCCGAACCATCGAGATACTTCAGCAGATGCTGGAATATTATACCCAAACTGCAGACCAGTGGCGGGTTCTGGCTTATCGCAAAGCCATCACCGCTTTGCGAAAGCAACCAAACAAGATTACCACACGAGCGCAGGCTCGGGCAATCCCTGGTGTCGGAGAGCGGTTGGCTGACAAGATTGAAGAAATCGTCTTGACTAACCGCCTTCGTCGTCTCGAAAATACCAACAACGCCCCAGAAGACTTGATAATTCAACAATTCCTCGGCGTTTATGGCGCTGGTCTTCTCCAGGCCTCCAAATGGGTCGCGCAGGGCTACATATCTCTGAAGGATTTATTGGAAAGGGCTCCATTGACCAAGCAGCAGCGTATTGGGGTGGAACGTCATAGCGACTTCGCGCAGCGAATTCCCCGCAAGGAGGTCGAAGCCCACGGGGCGATTGTGCGAAAGGCGGTGGAGGCTGTGGATAGGGATATGCAGGTGATAATCGCGGGCTCTTACCGCCGCGGGGCACTCACCTGCGGGGACGTGGACTGTCTGATCACCAAACCTGGTGCCTCGCTGGAGCAAATCCGCACCATGGTGCTCGGTCTTGTTGTCCCCAAATTGTTCAGCAGTGGCTTTCTGAAGGCCAGCCTTGCCATCTCGTCGAACCGTGATGGATCGAAGTGGCACGGTGCATCAGCCCTACCTGGGACCACCCTGTGGCGTCGGATAGATTTACTGTTCGTTCCTGATGCGGAGATTGGGGCGGCGTTGATATATTTTACGGGGAATGATATATTCAACCGGAGTATGAGATTGTTGGCACGCAAGAAACGCATGTGCTTGAATCAGAAGGGTCTTTACACGGATGTGCTTCGGAGCCAGCAAGTGAAACTGAATGGGGGCCGGTTGATTGAGAGCCGGGATGAACGCCGGATCTTTTCTGTGTTGGGTGTGCCCTGGCGGCCTCCCGAGCACCGGATCTGTTGACGCACACTCTACGGCATAAAACAGTCTCGATTTCATCCATGGACTCATGAGACTATTTGCAATAATACAATGTGATGGCAACAATATTCTTAGTGTTAGTCCTAGCTACACATGATATGGGGAGGTTTTGGGAAGCACCGAAATTATTATGTGGGAATGGCAATATCTTTGGATTGGCGGTTTTCCTACATGTAGGGATAGTATGTATGCTAATGATTCGTATTGCTGGGTATCAAGAAGATACCCTAAAAATAAAAATAAAAATCAAGGAAAAAAGAAATTGTACAGCTTGCATAGCTGCCCATACATAGAGTTTCCATACAGAAGAAGAGAGAGAGAGAGAGATTCAGAGGGCAGCAGTCACAGTGGCACAAAGTGACTAAGAATTCCTCTCCCTCCAATACTCACCTTTCCTCTTCAACCTCATCCCGTAACAAACTCATCCTTTCCCTCGTCTCATATCTAATTTGATAATCGAGACATCATTCTTCTTTCATCACCGCCTTTCTCCTACCGCCTTGAAGAAGACATCACCGCCTTTCGTGCGGTGAAGCTTCCATCGCGTGTTCCTCCCCTTGCGACTTCCAGACCGCCCTCTACTGCCCTGCGTTTTGCCCGCACATCATCGATTCACTCATCTTGAGATTTGTTTTTTTTTTTAAATTCCGTTTCAAGTCTCTTTTGAGCTGGTCCTATCTGAGGTTCACGGCCTGGGCCTCCCAGTCCCTTGTGACTGTGTGCGTGATTTTCTCCCACATCCCACATTCCACGTTTTCTAACCCGAGTCCACAGACATATCAGCTTGGCGGGACTCACTGCTCATCCTGAGTGAGCGACACGTCGATTGCTCTGGTCGACTGTTTACTGTCACTAGACTTCCACTTGACACGTGAAACCCTCTCAAAAACACGTCCACAACAACCCCCACAATGGGTCGCAAACCCAACCAACTCATCCTCGAGTTCTTCCACCGGGGTCCCAAGCTGGAAGACGCGAGCAATCGCTACCAACATACTTGCAAAGCCTGCGGCGAGGTATTTCCCAAGGGTCGCATTGACAGCCTCACCAACCATCTGGTAAAAAAATGCCAGGCAATTCCCCTACGCGACCGCCAACGCGTCTTGTTGCGACTCCACGAACTCCCCGACTTGACCGACGGAGACTCGAACAAGGATTCCCCTTCTGGAAATAAAGGCAAGTCTGCTGATGGTGGATTTCCCAACCGACAGAACTTCGACGGCCTCAATGTGTTGGCCGAGGCCTCGCGACAGGTGGGCGCTTCGGACGTGACCAAGCGCGGACCGGGATACACTCAGTCTGTCACAGCTGGAGGCAAGACTGTGATTGTTGATCCCGCGCTTGAAGCGGAGGGATTCCAGGGACATTCACAAACAACTGACTCCAAGATGGAGGGTACAGCAAATGCCGAAGGTATGTGTTCTTTTTTGTACACAGTTTGCACGCCAAGGACCACTAACAATTTGTAGGAACTCCCCAATCATCCAATGCCCCTAGTATTCCTGCCCTTCCAAGTCACACTCCGGGCGAGCATCCGTCATCCATGTCTCCGCCTCTTGGCGATGCGTCCATGTCGCCTGAATCTGCCTCGAATGCGCGCCAGTCACAGCTGTCGATGATTGCAGCTTCTGCCAATGAAATGGTCCCCCAAGGAATGTCGATTGACAGTGACAACCTCAGCTCTGATATGAAGCTGGGCCAATGGCAGCAGCTGTCCACACACGAGCAGCTGCTTTTCGACAGCCTGCAAGAGCATGACCCTTCGTTGACTGCTGCCACCCAGCGTGCAGCATCTTACCCCCGCCCCATTGCCATGAACCCAAATACCCAGGCAAAGGGGTTTGTGAACGAGTTTGGTAACTCAACCAAGCCCATGAAGCCCAAGGTGCGGGGACGTTTCACTGCAGAGCGACGCCGTGAAGTCCAAGACGTGCGGAAGAAGGGTGCATGCCTTCGTTGCCGAATGCTCAAGAAACCTGTATGTATCTATGAATCTCTGTGTGAACTAAGTGAATATCACTGACAAATGTTGATAGTGCTCTGGCGATACCCCTTGCACAACTTGCGCTAGCGTGGAGAGTGCTCGTCTATGGAAGCACCCGTGCCTGCGTACCCGACTTTCTGATGAGTTTGAACTTTACAATGCTAGTATGATGCTTATATTTTGCTCTTTTCGATAATATACTGACTTGGACTCTAGATCTCAATTCGACACTTGCCTACCATGACACCAACAGCATTAAAAACCAAATCAAATTTGAACACTACTCCGGTCGCATCGAAGTTACCCACTTCGAAGAGAGTAACTCTTTCATGACTTTCAGTGGACTGCAGGGACACCGCACTTCAGTGTCTGCACTTGACCCTCAGTTGCAAGCCCTTGGAGATGACCAGTTCTCTGGTCCTTCGCAAGAAGTCTACCTCCTGGACGCCGACTCGGATGACATCCCAAGCAAGTTGGAGATGTACATCAAGAAGAATGCTTCTTACTTCTACGAGCGAGAGACGTCACCTTTCATGAAGCCCACTCTGCTTCTTGCTGCTGAACTCAGCCAGGGAAAGAAGGTATGTTGTTTGACATTCATTGTGGAAATGTGTTTTAATAAAGATATAGGATATCCTTCTGGAACGCGTATTGGAGCTGTGGGTCGCGACCCATATTCTCGTCGATACAGAACTCACCTGGAAAACTTACTACAACCCTACTCTGCCCCCGAACTCGTTGCATTCTCTTTCTCAGCCATCGGACGAGGGCCGTCTGCCCATCGAGGAGGTGTCTGACCCAGAGTCATACGGACTTCTCTGCAGTCAGTTGCGCGCCGCTATGGAGAAGCGTGCCTCGCAGCTGAGCAAGTTTGTCATCAATGATTTGGAGCGTCGACTCCTTCAGCGCCAGAAGTGTGGCTGGTTCGATACTTACATTGTTGCTATTATCCTCTTGAACTGCGTGGAGCGCACCTGCTGGCTGTTCCGCTCATGGGACAACGAGAACTTTTCTCAGCGCGTAAGTGGTCTATCTCTATTCTCTTATGATGCAACTCACACTAACAATCCGTCCAGTGGCCCCTTGACAAGCGTCCCCCTTACTACTTCAACCAGTCTGACCGCTTCGCCGACATCCTAGAGATGCTCTTGCGCATGCGCCACATTCCCCCCAAGGCCACTTTCCGCCCAGACAATGGTATTCTGAAGGCAGTCGACGGTAGCGACGAGCACGCCGTCCGCTGGTTTGATATGATTCAAATTACCCGTACGTCACACATTGTATCATGATTTGCGCATATCTGAAGTTCCCTAACTAACATTCATTTTCTGCCCAGCCTACTTTATCGAAGAACGCAAGAATGCCGTCTTCGACCCATCCGACTCACGCTCTCTGGATTGCCACCATAGTGCCAGTCTCCTTGAGCCTAACAATGCCACCTAGCTTCTCACCGAAAGAAATCAAATCATGAAAAGCCAAAAATCACTACAAAAATCGAAAAACCACAAAACTTCGGGAAAAAAGGAACCAGCAACAATGTCCGAGTCACCTTTTTTCGTCCTTTGCGTTGTCAGTGTAGGTCAATTGCTGGTGAAACTTGCCATTACGAAAGCGATAGCGAAATGCATGGCATCAGTCCAAGTCTCTTGAATTTAGGCTGGTTTTGGGTCTGATTTGCTTATGGAGTTTGTTTGCAGGTGGATCTATTTTCAAGCGAACTGCGATAGAACATATCAGGATCCATGTGGAATGTTCTGATATTTCTAATTGGGTGTTCGTGGGTGTTGAAGGAGGTGTCTTATATCTGTAGCTCTAAAGCTTTATTCGTTAGGCTTGAATGTATGAAGTAAATGTTATTTCATGTTCTAAGTATATAGTGTTTTGTATAGATGTAATATTTGCATGTGCACCGAGGTTCAGGAACAGGATCAGGGACCCAAAATATAAAGATATTTTAGATCTTTCAGTCTTATTGGCCGATTCTTTGAACTTACATTATTTTCATAACTTGGATGACGTAGGTAATCGGACGATTGGCGTTTCACCTTGTCCCTTTCACACCCCGTCTTCATACTTCACTTCCTCAACTATGCCTCCATTTCGCAACTTTCTAGGACGAAAGTCCCAACCCAATGGAGATCCCACTGTCTCAGATGAGAACTTACTATCTCCAAACCAACGCCCTGCGCCTATACCGATCCGCAGTAGCCAGGATGAACCCTCCGAATACAAATTGAGTGGTATGTCCGAATCTCCCCCGCACTGTTGTGACTGCAGTGACTGCAGTGGCGGCTTGGCTCTCTTGAAATGCTAACCCCGGTCCCCAGTGGTCAACGATAGCGGCGTCTATCTTCCGGTATAGGCTGTTTGGCGGGAAAATGTGATACACCTGCTAAAATTCCTGCGACAGCCTTCTCCCCCCGATCGCCCAAGTTTCTGGCGCCGGTACCCGGGCTCCAACAAATCCATCAACCATCGAGATCTCGTTGACGAGAATGAGCCTTTCTCCATCTCTCGCGAGTCCTTCGACTCTTATCGCCGATCCTTTGTATGCCCCCCCGCCTTCCGAACCGATCCGCATAAACCCAACTAACATTAAATCTTTCTAGGATATCTCCGCCCGCTCACCCATAATCCATCCCGATGCTGGTCCCTCTCGAACTTCTCTTGATTCTCGATTCTCCCGATTAACCCCATCGGGAACTCACTCCAACAGCTTCACCAAGCCTGACCCCATGGAGGAAGAAGCCTTTGAAGAAGTAGGCCTAAACGATGAAGTGAAACCTAAGAAGAAGGGTTTCCTCTCTAGATTCGGTGACTCTACTAATGATGCGCAATCGCCCGGCCCCAAGTCTTCTACTTCGTCCTTCAACTTCCACATCCCCGGCCGCAAGCGCGCCCAGAGTGGCGTCGGAGCAGAACTGGGGTCTGTGAAGGTAAATTCCTCTGCACCTGCGCCCACCGATGAGACATGAAGTGATGAATGATGAGATATGCTTAATGCGTTGTGATTCTCTCTACGGCGTTTTGGGTTTGTTTCGGGTGATGCAAGCCACACTCGCTTAAGGGATGATATAATTTGGGATTTGGTTGATGGTAATAGGGATCGCCTTGTCCCTGAAGAGTCTGGGTGGCTCATGTCACTTATTAGCATTTTGTACATCTGTTGCCATCGAGTTGCGACTCGGGCCATCTGTGCTTCGTTCAGAGACAATATCCTACATTTTTTTTCTCATATAACTCCTATGGCAATCAGCCCCTGGGCCTCCACAGATAATTCAATCCTATTTTCTGTAAGAAATTCATTAGAAATATGTATTTTGATACGTTGCTATGTGTATGAAACTGGGAGTAAACTCCAGGGCTGTGTTGTATCTTATCAGTGCAAACCGTGCAAACAGCCGGCAAAAAAACTTCCTCCGCCTGCAATCAAAAAAAATTATCCACCAGGACATCGAGCAGTCTCCGCTCGCAAAGACCCCGGTTTTATTACTTTTTTACAGAGATACCCTACAGCCTACAGAAATCATCTTTCATTATGGCTGGATTGAAGCGTGCCGTCGACGGCAGCGAAGAGCGCAATGGCAAGCGGAGCAAGACCAAGGAAGGCTCCGCATCCAAGTCCAAGAGCGTGAAGTCAAGCTCTTCATCCAAGAAGGACTCCAAGAAGGATTCCAAGTCCAGCAAGAGCGACAAGAAGCCTTCAAAGAAGATTCAGAAGGAAGAATCCGAGGACGACGATGACTTCGACATCGACGATGTCTCGGATGAAGATATTGATGCCCTTGATGCCCTTTCAGACGACGAGATGCCCGATGTGAGCGAGGAGGAGAAGCCCAAGTCAGACAAGAAGTCCAATGTGGATGACGAAGAGCGCAAAGAGGCCCCAAAGAACACCAATCCCAACCCCAACAGTAAGTTTCAGTTCTGCCTCCTTGACGGCGCCTCATCTAATCTTTTATTGCGCGTCTAGATTCTCGCGAATCCCACCTTAAGCAAAAAGCACTCCAGCAGGAGCGCAAGGCTGCGAAGCCCAATGCCGATACTGTCGCCCGCTCCAAGAAGTTGTGGGAGCAGTTGCGCCGCAAGTCCCATGTTCCTCTGGACCAGAGAAAGAAGCTTGTCAAGGAGCTGTTTGAGATCATCACTGGGCGTGTTCGCGACTTTGTGTTCAAGCACGACTCGGTGCGAGTCATTCAGACTGCTCTCAAGTACGGAAACCTCGAGCAGCGCAAGCTGATTGCGCACGAGTTGAAAGGCACCTACAAGGAGCTGGCACAAAGTCGATACGCCAAGTTCTTGGTTGGAAAGTTGATTGTCCACGGAGATGACGAGACCCGCGATTTGATCATTCCAGAGTTCTACAGCCATGTCAGACGTCTCATCCGCCACCCCGAGGGTTCATGGATTCTTGACGACATCTACCGCACAGTTGCGACCAAGGCACAGAAGGCGAGACTCCTCCGCGAGTGGTACGGTCCCGAGTTTGTCATTTTCCAAGATGAGAAGGACACCACTTCCGATCTCACCAAGATCATCGAAGCCCACCCCGAGAAGCGTGGACCGATCATGAACTACTTGCGCGAGCTGATTAACCAGCTGGTGCAGAAGAAGAGCACTGGTTTCACCATGCTTCACGACGCTATGTTGCAATATTTCCTCAACACAAAACCCGGCAGCAACGAAGCGAACGAGTTCATCGAGTTGCTCAAGGGCGATGAAGAGGGTGACCTGGTCAAGAACTTGGCTTTCACCAAGTCCGGCTCCCGCCTGATGTGTTTGACTTTCGCATACTCCAACGCCAAAGACCGCAAGCTGCTTCTACGATTCTACCGCGACACCATCAAGGCGATGGCCGGCGATGTCTACGGTCACCAGGTTATCCTTGCCGCGTACGAGGTCATTGATGATACCAAACTCAGCTCCAAGTCCTTCTTCCCCGAGCTTCTGAACCAGAACGAACCCGAAGAGACCCGTCACGAGGAGCTCTGCTACCAGGTCAACGACTTGACTGCCCGCATCGCCGTGCTATACCCCTTCGCCGGCGAACGCGTCAAGTGGCTCCTCCCCGAGGCCGATCAACCCGTCCTCGAAGAAGTCCGCGAGGTCCGCAAGGAGACCTCCAAGAAAGACCCGGCTATCCGCCGCCTGGAACTCGTCAAGGTTGCTTCGCCGACCCTGCTCGAATTCATCGCTGCCCGCGCCTCTACCCTCCTCGAGACGACCTTTGGCTGCCAGTTCCTCTCCGAGGTGCTGTTTGAAGCCGACGGCGACAAGACCGCCGCTCTCGCGGCCGTGGCTGAGGCCGCCAAGTCGCACACCGAAGCCCGCGATACTGCACACGCCGGACGTCTTCTCAAGTCTCTTGTGCAGGGTGGACGATTCAACCCGGCCACCAAGTCTATTGAGAAGGTGGAGCCCGCGTTGAACTTCCACAATGTGCTATACGAGCAGATCAAGGATGAGGTCATGGACTGGGCGACGGGGGCTAACCCCTTTGTGATTGTCGCGCTGGCTGAGTCTGAGGACTTTGAGAAGAAGAGCGAGCTGCTCAAGACTCTGAAGAAGAACAAGAAGGCGCTGGAGCAGGCCTCGGCGTTGACCGTGGAGAAGGATGGAAAGACCAAGCCCAGCCCGGCTAGCAGTGGTGCGAAGTTGTTGCTTGCGAAGATCTAGATATAAGCGTTTCTACGGGATTATTGCATGTGTAATTACGTTGTATACAAAAAAGCATACCTTTTCTTTTTTTCATCTTTTCTCTCATTTTCTCTCATTTTCTCTTTTCTTCCCTCTAACGTTGCGATGTTCCTGAAATTACCTTCTCCACCGATGTGGACCTCTTCCTACGATCTCAGGGGTTCGTCCATTTTTATTTTAACCATGGGAAAAATAATTCAGCCATATGGAGTATATGGGTTATATGCAAATGAAAAATGTCTGGATCATATCCTTACTGCAACACTGCATATTCTATGTACTCTGGACTTCGTACATGGGTATACATCACATCGCCCATTATACGAAATGGAGACAATTCAAAGAAAATACAGAACCACATAGACCTGGATCTACCTAGTAATCTTATTATACGACAAAGCTTATTGTGTTATAGAGTGAAATTTCGATCTGATCAATCAACTGTTATTTATACCTAATACTATTTAAACTACTACTATTGACAAGTGTAAGGGTAGTCGAAGCCTAATCCCCATTTATCTACTTGTATACTCCGTATTTATACATGAGCAAACTGGGAATATCTTCACAACAAAAGATCCCAAAGAGGTAATGATCACGGCACGCTAAACCGTACTTTGTCTAAGGGGATTTCAGACTGTAACGGTACCCAACCCGTCTATGGGTCCTGCGACTCCGACCCTTTCTCTTCTATCCATTCTGCACGGAAAACCCCCCAGGCCCCAGGGCCTGAGAGAGAAAAACATGCCCTCACTCACTCTATCAGACCCGTCCATGATCCTACCCTACGAAGGCGAACGCGAATCCCAAACTCCCTCCCCACCCCAAATCGCCTACCTGTCGCATCTCAATTCCCGCTCATCAGATCCAAATGCCTCCGTGTCTGCACCTAGTCGACAGAAGAAAAATTTTTCCCGCCATGCCTGGACACACGACGACGTAAATGTCAGTCGCCGTCTCTCGGATATCGGCGAGGAGCTGTCGCCCGCCAGATTGGGATTCGGCGATTCGGACGAACAGCTGGCCAGCTCACCGCTACTGCACGACGATCAGAACAGGGATAATGCGGCGTGGAGTAGCTCCAATTCCACCATTAGTGCGGGGAGCAGACGCGCGTCTGCTTCTAGGGAGGTGTCGGAGGCGCATAACGGACGCGACGAATCCCACGTTGCCCCCGAGGTCGCGAGAGCGCAAGCTACCGCCGTCGTTACAACTGCGGGGGGTTCTTCTGTGCCGGCTAGCAATGCCGTGGCATCTGCAGCTGCAGAGGGTGAGGGGCCAGGGGAGGAGTTCTCCTCGGCGATACTGAGTAGCGAGGCGGAGAGGATTCTGGAGAATGCGAAAAAACGACTGAATGTATGTTGGTTGTCTTGTTTTGCGCGTCGCAGGTTGGCTAGGGAGTAATAATACTAACGCTTTGTTGTCTCAGCTTATGGAAAACAATCTCACTCGAGCTCGGTCCACGACGCGCACGAGTGCCTCGCCCTCGCCCTCGAATTCGGGGTATATCCAGCCAATGGGTATGCACCAACCAGTGGGCGGACTGTATCGGTCGATTTCGCGCACAGATCCTAAGAACTCGTCGCTTCGACGACAGTCGCTTATTGTGTCGCAGGATACGACGAATAATCGTCATTCGAGAGGGCACTCTGAGACGAATATTCCGTCTGATTCGAGCTTCTCGAATGATAATAAACGCATCTCGCGTTCGGTCAGTGCGATGGGCGCAAGCACTTCGTCCAGTCTTCATACGGATGAGCGGTCGTTCCCTTATGCCCCTACGAGGGCGTATCTGACGCACCGGTCATCAGTTTCTTCTGTTCGGCCTCCGATACATGTACAGGACCAAGAAGCACAGGACCAGGCGGCACAATCACCTGTTTCCACCGAAGGCAGTTCGTCGGACTCACCGCATGGCTTGGGCATTTCCTCGGAGGAATCGAAGTCCAGCCCGGACGGGTTCAGTCCAGTCTACAGCTCCTATGGTCCCCCTAGCCGCGCGCAGTCGCAACTGCAGGTGCGTGATCTTCAGTATCAAATGAAGGGTCTTCACATCAAGATCTCTTCTCTCAAGGTGAAGACTCAGGAGGATAATCTTCGCCGGCGCAGCTTGCAAAGCTTGCGCACGCCCAGTCCATTGACGGCTGCTGATAACTGGTATGGGAATGCGCTGGAGCTCAGAGATGGTCAGAGCAGCCGGGGCTCCAATCCCCGACGCGAAGCCAGCTCTGAAAACATCCGGGAGGTCTCGAACGATGTAGCGACGGAAGACCGACGCCGATCTGATGAGCACGCCGCTGAGAATACATCCAAACACGCCGGTAATTGGCAAGGCGATGAGTCTGCTGACTATGCCGATGACCAATCTGTCGCCGAGACCATGTATGAAGATGCCGAAGAAGGTGATTTTGATGGCGACATTGACCGCGAAGCTCTGGATGAGATCTTACGCGAACCGCTCGATGATGATCTCGAGAATGACATGGAAGCATTCCCTGGCGAGCCATTGCACACGGACGCGACACCCCACGAGATGCGCGAGGATGCGTTCGACTATGAGCATTTCATCTTGCATAGCGCACTGGGCAACTATACCCAGCAACTCCGTCGGATGAGCAACAGCTCGAACGGATCCGTCGCGACAACCCGGCCCACATACAAAGCGCGACACTCGCGTACCAACAGCGGCATGTCTGTCTCGACAGTGGCAACCTTTGCTACGGCAAATGAAGGCGAGCGTCCCGACGACGAGGACGACGTTGACAGCGTGATGTACTGGGACCGACGGTTTAATCATGGTGTGTTCCCGCGATCTATCTCCCCTTTTCCGACACTAACTCTTGGACAGAGCTGCGACACGGCCATAGCCGTAACCATTCCCAATCTCATGCTCACGGCCATGCCCACAGCTACCAACCAAGTCCCATCCAAGAGGTCGAGGTTGAGGGTGATCGTTCTGAAACACCTCGCGGACCACGATACGATAGCGGCAACATTACTCCAGTGGACCCGAACAATCTTTCCCCCCAGAAACTTGCTGGTCGTTCATCCTCAGCTACGGCCGGTTCTGCAACCCCAACCTCCCTTGTCTCGTCTCTTGTCTCGACCGTGCGCGCGGCATCTAGCACCCCTACCGTCGGCGGTATCAACGACGATGACACACAGATGCTGGAAGCACTGTTCGGAAGCCTGGGTAAGGTTTGTATGGATCTGCAGACCATCACAACCTCTTCGGATCCAAATGTGAAAGCTGCGCGTGTACTGCGGCGTCGTCTGGATGCTGCGCGGAGAGTGCTGGAGGGAGAGCTTGATGCTTGATTTGATCATGCTTTTCATCGCATGGCATAGTGGATGATGCCATGTACCATGATTTATCCCTGATTTGTGCGATTGACGTTCTTTTGTTTTCCTTTACTTGTCTTCCACATTATCATGATACCCATTGTTTTTTTTTTCTTTCTTTGTTGACTGTGATTTTATTGTACCTAGGTCTAGAGACTCTAGAGTATCTTAGGAATAATTAATTAATGTCATGATGTATGTGTATATGAGATCTAATATCTAAGAATTCCAGTACACAATCATAAGATTCTTATAAAGTATGTTGGCCAGGTATTTCCCCCCTTTAAACTGACCCTCATCTTTCTCCGTCTCCTTCATTTTCTTTATCTTCTTCAAGTTACAATCTAACATCTTCACATTTTCCCCCTTTTTGCCCCGCGATCTCCTAATCGGGTCACTGATCGCCCAACGATAAGCAGAGCCTGTCGCGCCCTCCATACACGCCACTGTCAACAAGTAAGAAGCCCACGGTGGATATACAAACCGCATACTAATAACCCCAGAAAACGTGCATCTAAATACCGAAACCAACCCAGCCCAAAAGCCGGGGTAAAAAAATACCAAAAAAAGAAAAGAAAAGAAACAGCCAAACTGAACAATCCATCCCCCCAAACTCCAAGCCCAAGAGAAAAAAAATCCAACCCAAATCTCCGCAAAGACCTATTACGCTCTTTGCACACTCAAAAAACCTTCGCGATGAGCATGAGCGCAAGCGCAAACACCAGACCACCGCCTGGACCAGGGCCGTCGCATGCCTCGCGCCGTCTTCTCATTTTCCAGGAGACGCGCAACCCGCAGAACGTCGCAGAGACCATCTACGTTCCCGTCAACAAACTGGGACTACCGATTTGTGGCGATGGGCCTGAGCTGCCTTCTATTCTGGAGTTGCCGTTGCGGGTGCTGAGGGTATTTACGGATATTTTCAATCAGCCGAAGTATAAGGGGTGGTATGTTTTATTTCCTTTCTTTGATTTTTTTTGGCATTTGATTTTGATGTCGTTGATGTTATTCAAATATAAAATCACATGCTAATTTGAATAGGGCTGTTGTCTCTGCAGGTCCGTATCATGATATCTCAGAAGAAGGGAAATTTTATGCTGTGGTTTTGGAGCAGACGCAGAATACTTCGGTGCATGCGCATGAGACTCATATGGGGACTCCTTGATGGAATTGCCGGTTTTTTTGTTTCTCTTTTTTTTGTGTGGAATACCGTGATAGAGTGTTTTGATTTTTTGTTTGATTTCTCATGTACATTTTTATCGCTATTGTTAGCGTGTTCAATTTATATTCAATTTATCCTATCCCCAAAAAATGGAGAGCCTAAAAAATGCATATGAAAAACTAAAAAGAACGTGCAAAAAAATAAAAAAGTAGTTGTCTCACCAAATTGCCAACTTCCCTGTAACAGGACGGTGTAATCTGGCGACGCCATCCCAGGGTGGAAATGTCTCTGCAGAATTGCTTCCCTCAAGTGTCATTTCCATTGCTTAGTGGCTCCCAGCGTCGTGGATTACTCGCACGAGTGAAAATGCCAACCCCAGGATTCGTACCAGGCACCTTTCCTGCTGGCCTTGCGACCGAAGCAGGGTAATTGGCATGGCGGTGAGCCTTCCACCAGGTTATCCATGACAGATTAATATTATTGACCTGGTTTTAATATAACTACCACACTTTATTAATTTTTTCTATTTAGTTTTGAGTGGAATCTACACTTCTTCTCTAATATACATATAAATACATTTCAACATTGTTCACTCCTCACATCGCCCAGTGTCAATATCAGCCTCGGCAGGTTTCACAAACGACGGGCGATAAGCAACCTTATGCCCAATGTATAGCACCGCAAACAAGATCAAACTCAGGTAGTTGATAAAGAAGTCAGTCACACTGAAACTCGGAATGAAAGCAGTGAACCCCTGAGTGATGATGATGAGTGTGTTGAAGAACAAGCCATACCATGAGAAAAACGGCTGCCAGGGAGCCTTGTATGGAAGGCTGTCGCGTGGAATGCCTTGCACAGCCAAAGCTCTCATAAATGCCAAATGACAAATATTCAGAGATGCCCAGGTAATGAAACCAGCCAAGCCAGCAATCTGAATCAACCAGTTGAAAACGGTCGCTCCGTCATTTGACACATTAAGGAAGCCCAACAGGCCAAAAAGTGCCGTGAACCCAACACTTGCATAGGGCACGCCGTGTTTGGTTGTTTTCAAGAAAAACCGAGGAGCGAACCTTTCGTGGGCCAAACCGACTAGAATCCGACTGCCGCTGTAAACGTTTGAATTGGCAGCGGACAGGACCACAGTGAGTAGCACTGCGTTGATGATACTCGGTAGGACGTTGACACCGGCGCGTTTCGCAGCAATGACAAAGGGGGATGCATCTGCATTAGTGGCATCGGAGACAAGGCGTTCATCGTTGGCCGGCACGACGATACCGACGAAGAAGATCGTAAAAACAAAGAAAAACACGATCCGAAAGAATGTCTTCCGAATGGCAGAGGGAATGTTCTTGCGAGGATTTTCCGTTTCACCTGCGGCAATACCGACAAGCTCAGTGCCTTGGTATGAAAACCCGGCTTTGATCAAGATAGCCCAAAATCCGACGAATTTAGCCAGAGCGTCTTTTGCAGGATCCTCGATTAGATAAGCGCGGAAGGGACCAGGATGAACCCAGTATCTGAATCCCAGATAACCCTCCCTGCCAACACCAGCATTGATGCAGATGGCGAATATCATAAACCCAACGACGGTGATGATTTTGATACTGGACAGCCAAAACTCGATTTCACCGTAGCAGCTCACGGGGAACATGTTCAAGATGATGATAACAACCCAAAACACAGCAATGAAGATTGCCATTGGGATTTTGTCATCCCAATATTGAATGATTAGGCCGGTGGCAGTCAATTCAAGGGCAAATGTCGACGCCCATGAAAACCAGTAGATCCAGCCCATGGCAAAGCCTAAGCTGGGATCGACTAGGCGTGTCGCATATGTAGCAAACGCTCCTGGAATCGGTAGGTAGGTGGCTACCTCGCCCAAGGCTATCATGACTGAATATACGATTGAGCCAATGAAAGTGAATGCAATCAGGGCACCGACAGGACCTGCGGTAGCAATGGAACTTCCACTGCCGATGAACAGACCAGTTCCAATGGCACCTCCTTTTAACAGATGAGCATAAAAATCAGAACGAAAATTTAATTTGGAAAGGTTCTTACCCATTGCGATCATCTGTAGATGCCGGCTTTTGAGCCTTCGCTGCAAGTCCGGCTGCGGCAGCAATTGGCGTGACTCGACATTGCTGTGTTTCTCTGGACTCTCTAGATTCTCTTCAATATCGTGGTCGTACATTCTCTCTGCGTGCATTATCAGAGGATTAAGTTTTGAGTTTGACTCAGATGGAGCCGCTTTTTGAAATCTCAAATTCAAATTTCCTAGTCTCTGATTGGCTGGAAATCAGGGCTTGGGCGAGGTGGCTAAATTGTCGGAGACAGTCCACTATTTTGATTGGGTAAAAGCTGGATTAAATGGGCCCAAGCCCTAGCTATGCGCTGACATAAACCCGGTGCCTTGGTGCCTTGATCTTAATACGATCCAATTGGCTCATCTAATAGCTATATAATGAACATCTGATGTCAGCATAGAAGAGAGTGTCTACTCATGCATCTCGTATCTTCCCAGCAAGGGAGACAGATATGTCGTAATCTTCTAATTCCGTGTCACCCTGGATTAGTGGGAACTATTCCGATTTCTTCCTGATTTGTTCATTCTTTCAGCTACAGCGTTCCTTTGAATTATTACGGTGATGTCAACACAATATATCCTTGGAGTGTACTCGAGGATGTCGAATTCGCTGATTTTGTTAGCGGTCTTATCCTATCAAGGATTTTGCTATGTGTTACATAGACTTCATCACCTTTCTCATGTATATATATATATATAGATATATATATACATCCATCTTCCCTGTATTTTTCTTTCCTGGACTTCCGTCTCCCCAAATGGCCATTCCCGTTCGTCCTGAGATTAAGGCAGAGCTTTCTGAGATTCTACAGGCTTTTATTTTGAATATCGGCTATGAATCTGCTCCTCTGAAACTATATCCTGCAGTCGAAGATCAAGTGAAGCTGCATTTCAAGGATAACGGATTCTCAGATGAATTTATTTCAAAGATCGAGCCACAGATCAAGCCTAGCGTCGGAATCGCAACCACTGCCTTTCAAATGACCCCCTTCGATATACAATGCACGGTGGCAATCTTCACTACTTATTGTCTCATCATCGATGATTCTGCCCATGGCCTCGAGTTCAAGCAACACCTAAAGCGATTCAGTATTTGCCTACTGACCCGACAGCCTCAAGAAAGCCCGGTTCTCGAGAGTATGGGAGAGTTCCTGAGCTCATTCCATTCTATCTTCGGTCAATTTTCTGGCGACATGATCATCAAGGACACACTGCAGTTTATCAGCGCATGTTACGCAGAGGCCGAGAGCGAGAACCTGCAGTTCCCTGCAGAAGCACATCTATTCCCTAGCTACTTGCGTCTGAAAGTCGGCGTAGCCGAAGCCTACTCCTTTATGCTGTTCCCGATTGCACAATTCTCCGAAGCCGAATGCCTCCGATACTGTCTACCGCTCATACCATATTTGATATGGGTTTTCAACTGGATAAATGACATTATGTCATTCTACAAAGAACTGGTTGAGACGGACCATTTTAATTTCGTCGCGAACTCGGCCCGGTGTAAAGGGCAGACTCAGATCGAGTTTCTGAGGAAGCTTTGTGATGATACAAGTGACGTGATCCGGACCTTGCGCACGCTTGGGAAGACTCATCCCAGGCTATCTAAGGCCGTTGAGGCTTTTGTTTCTGGTTATGTTACGTATCATCTGACGCAGACACGGTATCGATTGGAGGATTTAGATTTGTCACCCGTTTCCGATGCTAGAGAATGGTCGAAAGCTGTGATTGTGAGCAGAGAATAAACGCTGCATGCGTGAGTGGCTATTAGTGAGGTTCGGGAGTGTAGCATTGGGAATTCAAGACATCACCAAGTAAACGAATCTGAGCCGAAGTTGATCTGTGCAGATATTAGATAAAGGACTTGTTAGACCTCGCGGCTGACTTTGATTTGATAAAACAGAACGGAGTGGAGGCCGAAAGAAAATCTAGTATTGGGAGTAAATGGAAAGGGTGAATTGGTGTATGTAGAGATAATACTTGTTTTAGCGCAAAAGGAACATAAGGTCATCATAGTACTTTCTGGTTTTAAGAAGAGTGAGACATGGAATATGAATTAGCAACCTTGGGAGCCCCTAAATGAAATGACCGTCAGCCTGGGGCACAATGCTCTCGGATAGCAATGGGCTCATTAACCAAATTATCGTTAGACCAAACTTCAACTAGGACATGACATGGCTTATTTCATATACTAACGCCGTCAAGGATTGTTTCTCAGGTGTCGTGTCTTCCTATGTGTTGAAATATTAAGAGTTGCTGAGCCAGGACTGCAGCTTTGGGGGCGCAAAAGCGACACCAGCTCAAATAGGAAACGACCGACAGAAAAATATACCTTGTGCTTTAATACTCTTTACCATGAAGCGCAATAAGCGGAATCTCTCAGTGGAGAGACAAAAATACAGTAGAAAACCCCGTAAGGCTCAATACACGTAATTTTGAAGCATTGTTTTCTAATACGGTAAAACGAGTCTAAAATACCACTAGGACTATACCTGTACATAAACACAAGATAGGAAGAAAAGTGCCCCTCGGATTGTTGGCCTCAGATTGTATTCTAGGATGGGAAAGAGATAAGGAAAACCAAGCTTGGAAGCTGATCGAAACGTTCCGGGGTGGCACCAGAACACTCGAGCCTGAGCACAGAATTCATTGGACCGAGAAGGCCCTAGGAATGACTATGGAGCTTCTTAAATCACTTACGCCAAGGGGGCCGGCCCCGACTAATCTCCCTGGCGGAAACGAAAAGTATTACTTACAGGACACTGCTTTGGCCAAGTCAACATACTCATTGGCTGCGCAGAATCTTTCATGTTCCCGATATCGGCTAATACACATCTGTTAGACCAAGACGTATATATACCGCACTGATCGGCGTCTTTTAGCCAAGCTCGTAGTATTCGAACCGAAGTATCTCGCCATGACATCGACTGAAAAGGATATCGCTTGCGATATGGGCTCTGACATACCCCATCCTTCTGAGAAAGAGCCAGAAACATCTCACACACCGAGGGATACGGCTGACGGTCATGGAAACTCGGATCAGGAGACTCTCGATCGAGAGGCTCAGGCTGGTGTGAAGGGAGTTCAGGCTGCGGCCGCCGTGTGGACTAAGTCGCACTTGATCCTGGCATATGTGATGTGAGAATCTATTCATGATGCAACGTTTTTATTAATTCAACCCACTGACTCTTCTCGTCTGAAGCATTTGGTTTATTTATTTTGTTACCTCCATCCAGGAGGTCGTCATCCGTTCCCTAAATCCCTACGTGACCAGTGCCTTCATGCTTCATTCTTTGACGGCTGCTACGAGTATCATGGCTAATATCATTGGAGGATTGAGTAAAATTCCATTGGCAAAGATATTGGACTCGTGGGGTCGGCCTCAGGGTATGACTTTGATGCTGGTCATCTGGGTTGTGGGATTCATCATGATGGCGGCTTGCGACAACGTTCAGACATACGCTGCTGCGCAGGTTTTCTCTTCTGTGGGGTATGATGACCACATTGAGTTTTTTTTAGTGTCTTTCCAACGGCTTGGCTAATTTGCGATAAATCTAGATCCCAAGGAGTCAGCTATTGCTTGACAGTTTTCATTTCAGACACCTCCGCGTTGAAAAACCGAGCTCTCATGTTGTCATTTGCAACATCGCCATACATAATCACCACCTGGATCGGAGGACCAATCTCCCAGAGTGTCCTCGAAGGCCCCGGCTGGCGATGGGGATTTGGAATCTTCACCATCTGTGTTCCGATCGTGGTGGCTCCTCTGTGCCTCCTGTTCTTCTGGAATCAGAACAAGGCCAAGAAGCTGGGCTTGCTCGCACCCAGCCGTGGTCCGCTCACCTTGTCCGCAGTAAAGCAATACTGCATAGAGGTCGACTTAATCGGAATAATTCTCCTGGCGGGCGGAATGGCCTTGTTCCTTCTTCCGTTCAGTCTCTGGTCCTACCAAAAAGATCAATGGCGCTCCGCGATGATTATCTGCATGATAGTTTTTGGAGGGCTTTTGCTCATCGTATTCGCTATCTACGAGCGATTCTGGGCTCCAGTGACCTTCATCCCATTCAATCTATTGATGGACCGAACTGTCCTCTTTGGTGGGCTCATGTTTGTCTTTGAGTTTTTCAACTCTATGGTCTGGGGTAGTTACTTCTCATCAATGCTCCAGGTCGTTTGGGGTCTGGATGTTACAGAAGCCAGCTATGTCTCAGCCATCTACAGAGTCGGATCCTGCCTCTTTTGTCTCCTCGTAGGCTTCCTGATCCGTTGGACTGGCCGCTTCAAGTGGCTGGCTGTTTACTTTTCCTTCCCGCTTATGATCCTGGGCGTTGGACTGATGATAAAATTCCGCCAGCCCGATGCGGGTATTGGGTATATTTGCATGACTCAAATCTTTGTTGCCTTCGCTGGTGGAACCACTGTAATCTGTGGTGAGCTCGCTATGATGGCGCCTTCGGACCACCAGCACATCGCTGTTATACTTGCTATGCTGAATTTGTTCAGTAGCATTGGCAGTGCAATTGGATCAACTGTGTCTGCCGCTATTTGGACTAGTGAGTTCCCGAAGGCATTGGCCAAATATGTACCGGCGGAGGTGGACGTGGCGAAGGTTTATTCGGATATTACGGCCCAGCTGTCGTATGAATGGGGAAGCCCGGCTCGGAATGCCATTGCTCACGCCTATGGAGATGCGCAGCAGTATATGTTAATTACCAGTGTCTGTATGCTGGTAGTTGCTTGGGGATGTGCTGCGATGTGGAGAGATATTAAGGTAAAGGATCTTAAGCAGGTTAAGGGGCGCGTGATTTAAGCTGAGATACTTTTGATAAAAAGGTGCGAAGCTGGCAGATGAAGTTTGTGTGGATCAGATTGAATTTAGTGGGTGTCAGTAATAATATTGCTCTAATTAGTTGTCTGTTATACAATGAACATCTACCATATAGGATCGAAGAGTACCTATACATTAACCTCCTTTAGATTTTGGCGCACTCAAAACAGTAGTTCAGTGATTACCTCTCGTTATCCATGCTCACTAAAGACACAAGATATTGCGATCATATCTAACACTTAACACCCATTCTCTACGGGTACAATCTTGGAAACACCTTTCTGAATCCCTAGACCGTGAGCTTCGGCTCGAATATACCCGAGACTCCCTTTGACGCTTGTCACGGTCTCAAATCCTGACTTCCGTGCTACTGCAACTGGACTTAGGTCTGAGGGAGTAGCGCCCCCAAACACCTTCCACTGATTATGCTCAGTGGCTCCATTCCAACTCATATAAATATTGGTCCTGTTCCGGCCCTGATCAATGCAAGAGAATACATCGGGAAGAGTTTTGGGGACGCCGACCCAAGGGGAGCGATAGGATCGGTAACTTGAGATGACATTGTCAAATCCAAACTGGGCAGTCATGACACAAAACCCGTTGGAATTGTACTCCTTGATCTTAGGATTTGATCCATATCCCATCAAAACGTGCTTTTCAGGCAGCAATTGTGTGTTTCCTTGAGAAGTTGAGAATATCTCATCCCGTTGATCGTGGAGACTTTGGACCAGGGAGACCTCGTGAGTGGCTAGATTGACGTTCATAAATATGCCTTCAGTGTGACCAGTCCCGTTTTGAATGTCAGAGTTGGCATTGTCAAAGATGCTAAGAGTGAATGCATCCTCAGTCTCTTCGTGGATTCGGGCGTCGTGTTGGTAGCTGAATTTGATTCCGTTGAGTGTAAAGTCGCCGCCAGTTTGACCCTGTCGCATATTAGTATCTGGGACACACTCGAAGAAGTTAAAATTTACCTGAAGTGTCCAGTCAACTGATCCATCTTTCGCGATCTTGAACAGCGAACAGTAGTAACGAGAAGAAATGATGTACGTTCCATCTTGAAACTTGTCCACTGAGTTGATGTGGAAGTAGCCATAGGGCGAGCTGCTGTTATATCCCCAGTCATGAACAGGATAGAATGGCTGTACATTTTCCAAGGGAATCTGATTAATATGGTCCAGGGCACTCCAGCGGAAAAGTATCTCGTTGGTCTTGATGTCGATCTCATAGAAGAGCGAGTCAGCGATCCAGCCATTCTTGGGGCCTTCCACAGAACTGAGATCAGCCTGGGTGACATTGTAGCCGGTGACCAGCATTGTTCCATCAGTTGTTATTGTGCTCTCATGCATGTCAATCCAGGATATAAAAGAGGAACTGTCAATGCTGCCCAAGGCCTTGTAATTGTCGTTTGTCACGGAGACATTGTAGATACTTTGATAGGACTCATCCAAAATTTGGACGATACCGTATCCCCAGCCAAATGGCTCCGGGACCCCAAGGCCGTTGAAGTATGTCAGGACAGGCTTCCCATCCAGCTTCTGTACTCTGAAACCCTTCAGATCACCGGGCGGGCTCTGCCAGACAAGCTCGTTGCTGTCTGACATGATGAACACGCTGTACTGATGTGCGTCCCATGATTGATCGAAAAAGAGGTATCCGGGCCTGGTAGGGCCGGATTTCGAGATTTTGAGACTGGGGGGCTCATGAGGGCTGGACTTGAATGTTTGCCAGGGCCAAGTGGTGTTCTCCGCCACAACAAGTGTAGCCTGGAACCCGCAAAGGGCGGCAAAGCCGGAACAAAGACGCATAGCAGGATTTCCCTCCCTGCAAGAGTGGATTACCGATTCCTTTGTTTCACTGAATGTCTCAAACTCAAATATATGACAATGGGTTGTTCGGAGATTCCCGCGACCAGCCGATGTCGGCCAGCTAATCCATTCACTGATATGAGTGATTTAATATCTGCTGACATGGTATTGATCGTCCGGAGCTGTGAAGAATTCAGGTTGTATCTAGGTCCATGGGTACACAGATTTGGTTCACAATGTGGGTCATCTAATAATTCTTGATCAGATAAGATTAGTGGCCCCACTTTGTATTTCAATACAGTACAAGGGGCTACCTGGTAATACCCGTATTGCCTAGTACAAGGCGGTTGGAACCTTCCGAGGCTGGAAACGCTAGGGAGTGATCGGCACTTGCCGAGCTGGTTCCAAGGTTCTCATTCCACCACATGCGCCACGTCCATAAGCTCGGAGTGGAGTTGGCTCATAGTACGGAGTATTACAGAGTACGACCTCATCACATGCCCTTCGAACTCTCTCAATATCTCCACAGTATTACCCCAACCCACATGGATACACATCAGCATCACTGTCCACTCGATTAATGGGATAATTATCTACCGATGGAGTCACCGGGAGTGGCAGAGGCACTATGGAGTACAGGCTCGGCCCCTTTTTTCCTTCTCCTTTCATGTGCCTCTGTTGTCATTCTTGGCTCAGCTAACAATTAGATTAAGGAATTTCTTTCACACATCTAATAAAACTCTCCGTAGCTTCGTTCACTAATACGCCAAGTCTTGGCTCTAACTCTCTGTCCGCTTCTGTCAGCTTGGGCCTCTTTGTAACTTTTAGACTTCTTGCCAAGATCGTTGAAAAGGAACGGCTAGTTTCATCGTATAATGGCTTACCTGAATTGTCGGCTTACCGGAATTGTTCGGGGTAATCACTTATCTGGCAAGCTAAGGTTTCTGTCCAAATTTTACACGTCGGCGGCTAGGGAGGTATGTTGTAACTGCAGTCCAATGTTCTAGGCACTTGAGAGCCTCTCGGGGCCAGAAGGAATAAGTCTGTGGGAGGCCATACGAGCATATGACTGAACATGTCTTGGATTTACAGCCTAAACAAAAATAAATACATATGTAGATACCGTTACACAGAGGACTTCTTGTCCTCCGCCCATTCCTCGAATGTCGTGTTTCCCGCAGCTGTGGGCATTTTTACCATGAGCGGTGCTCGAATATCTTTGTCGACCCTGGTAATTTCGGGCTTAAATAGGATGCCTTCCGAGAGAGTCTGGAAGCCAAGTTTTTGATACAATGGGACTCCCTCCACTGTTGACTCAAGGTAAATTGGCAAATCCAGCTGCTCTGCCACGTTCATTCCCCATTGCATGAGCTGTGCCCCGATGCCTTTACTCTGGTAGTCTGGATGCACCGCAACCGTGTGGCAGTCTATCGCCGGGTCAACACACGGCCATTGGGAAAATAAGGTTAGGTAGTCACTCACACACATGCCTCTTGGACCCAATCCACTTCTCCCTGTGTTCCCAAAGCTGTTCCAAAAAGCCTTCGGCACGCTCACGCTGGTCACCCTCTAACCATCCAATCCACGGCTTTTGGCGCTCTTCGTTGGTTCTTTCCCGCCAGTAGACTTGCCATGTTGCCATGCCGGCGATTTTACCGGTGTCGGTGTCAATGCATTGGAATGTGTGGTCCATGCTCAACCCTTTCCAGTATTCAAGAGTCCCTTCGGTGTGTACTTTGCGGAAAGTCTCATCGTTGATATCGGTTCCCGGGTAGATGAGATCGAGGATCAATTGGTCTTTGAAAGCTGCAAACCAGACATCGTAGATAGCCCGGATATCGGGGAGAGTGGCGGGGACAACAACAAAGCCCATATTGAATACAAAGAGAAAGTATACACACTATTGAGGAATGTTTCAGAAAGAGTTGAAGAAAGTACGTAGCATGCAGTGTATGGTATTAAGTGCATCTGTATTCAATAAACTCCTTGGCGCCAAGTCTCCCGAAGTCGGATCTGATAAGACAAGGTTGCATTGAAAGTCAAAATTACGTATGTACGTAATTGGGGCTGTAATTCCTCCGGGGCCGGGTATTGAGTTGTTTTACCCGGTTATGGTGGTCCGATCAGTTGTTCAGGTTGACAAGTTGTCGGCTCCTGACTTGCTTTCTTTTTTTTTCATCCCAATGACTCCTTTGTTACTACCAACACCCCACTATACCGATCACCGCCATGCCTAGTCTCGAAGAACAGCCCCCCTTCAAGGTTCTCATTGTCGGAGGGTCTTATTCCGGTTTGGCTGCAACCCTGAACCTTGTTGACCTGTGTCATGGCCGGAAGTGTCGATTCAATCTGGATGAGAATGAGCAGGGTCCTGGGAGCACAATTCCTGTGCAAGTAACCATCGTGGATGAGCGCGACGGTTATTGTATGTGATATCCTCATGTAACCTCTGAAAGAATGTTACTGACACTACGTGTTTTAGACCACCTGATCGGACTGCCTTTAGCCATAGCCTCCAATGCTGATGCTAGCACGTTCTGGAAGAAGTTCGAGGATATCCCCGCTCTCCAATCCCCGGATATCAATCACATTCAAGGACGAGTAGACTCCATAGACTGCAAATCCCGGACTGCGCAGATCCATCAAATGACTGCGAATGATGGACACAAGATTGTCGAAGAAAAATACGACTACATGATTGCGTGCTCGGGCTTGCGAAGAGAGTGGCCTAGTGCGCCCAAGTCTTTGACTCGGGAGGCATATATTGCGGAGACTGCAGACTCTGTGCAGACTATCGAGGAAGCTGTGGAAGGCGTGGTTATCATTGGAGGCGGTAAGCGACACCATATCTTTCCATTTGAGTTATACCAACCAATTGGTTCATCGCAGGTGCTGTTGGTATCGAGATCGCCGCCGAGATTAAAATGCTTCGACCTCAAGCAAAGGTGACCCTCGTTCACTCTCGGCAACAGCTGCTCTCCTCTGAGGACCTTCCCGATGAGTTCAAAGCAAAGACACTTGAAATATTGAAAGAGTCCAAGGTCGAAGTGCTGTTGGGAGCACGCGTCCAGGATACAGTTCTCGGTAGCGACTCCTTTCCAGCGAAGTACACGCTCAAGCTCTCGGATGGCCGAGAACTCATTGCCGACCATGTAATCAATGCCGTGTCAAGGTTTGCGCCAACATCCTCATATCTTCCTAAGGATGCCTGCGATTCTGAGGGATATGTCCGTATCACACCCGGTCTTCAGCTTGCCGCAGATGTGCCCAACAAGGAATATCACTACGCTGCCGGTGATATTGCTTCCTGGTCTGGTATCAAGCGTGGTGGACAGGCGATGCACCAGGCGCACTATGCAGCTTTTAATATTCACCAGCAGATGTTAGCGGAGCGATACAATACGAAGCCCAAGTTTGTGGAGCTAGTTGAGGTAGCTCCGATGATGGCTTTGGCCCTTGGGAAGACAGCTGTTGGCTATTTTCCAGCTATGGGGTTATCCTCGGGTGACGATATCCATAATATGTTTTTCAAAGATGATCTAGGATATGAAAGTAAGTTGGCGAGTTTCCAGTCAGATTTATTGAGCTAACGAAAGCAGTTTGTTGGAAATGGATGCGTTTGGGCGAAGCAACCGAGTAAATGTTTAATTTGATAGAGAAGTCATAAATCGACAGATATATGTGCGGTTGTCTATCATAAAAGAATGAGATTAAACAATATAGGTCTATATCATCAAAACCAAAACCGCCAAAAAAAGAACAACTACCCACTTTTTCTATTCAAAAACACCTAGCCATCCACTGTCTGGTTCAGGGCATTGACCCTGTAAGTTTCACTCTGCTCGACTAGCTGGGCGTGTGTGCCTTGCTCAACACAACGTCCATTCTCAATCAAGAAAATAACATCCGCTTTACGGATCGTATACAAACGATGCGCAATCGCTATAACAGTCATGTTTTTGGTTGCCTTCTCCAATCCATCCTGAAGCAATCGTTCAGACTCTGCATCCAAAGCGCTAGTTGACTCGTCTAGGAGCAAAAGCTTTGGCTTTCGGATGAGCGCCCGTGCGATAGCTAGTCGCTGCTTCTGGCCTCCGGACAAACGATCACCATTTGGCCCACAGTGTGTATCGTATCCGTCGGGAAGCTGCGCAATGACGTCGTGGATATTGGCCAGTTGACATGCTTCTTCCAACTCCTCTTGCGTAGCTTCATGACCAGGTCGTGCACCAAGAGCAAGATTGAAGCGAATAGTTCCTTCAAACAAAATACTCTGCTGTGGTACATATGCAATGGAGTCACGGAAGGAAATGTCACCGTAGGCAACATCTTGGCCATCAATATGGATGGTGCCAGATTCGGGAGAGTAAAGGCGTTCGACAAGTGAAATGATGGTAGATTTTCCAGCACCACTAGGTCCAACCAAAGCGGCAAACTGACCAGGCTTGATGTTTAGGTCCAAACCATGAAGTACACGAGTGTCTGGCCGAGCAGGATACGAAAAATGGACTTGCTTGAGGGAGACGCTGATGCCATTGCGAGTGTCATCGATCTTCTCACGAGTGGTCGCCATAGATTCGACGTCGGTCGTAGACCTTGAAAGCTTGCTAGACAGAGTATGGATAGGGGCTGACAGTTTCTTCGTGGATCCCAGGTCTAACAAATTTAACAACCGGCGGGTGGCCTGGAAAGCACGCGAGACATCAGGAGCCAAGGCAAACATCTGTCCCCACAGCTGAGAGCTGACGAGAAGCGCTAACTGGACGATGAAGAACTGTGTCTGAGAATAGTGACCTGCAATAATGTTTTTCGCTCCCCACCAATATGCCAGGCCATATAAGAAGTTGCTGAGACCGTACCCAATGGCAAGCCAGATATTGGCCCAGGCACTTTGGCGAGTTATCTCCTTCATGGGCGCCGCTAGTGAGCGACGGTATGTTCCCATAATCTCGTCTTCCACAGAGAGAGACATGACGGTCTTGATCGAGTTGACAGCCTCCACTGTAATTCCCACTGACCGAGCAAAAGCCTCCAGATGGCGCTCTTCAAATTGTGCCAATGAGGTAACTCGCATCCATCCAGCACCGAGCAGCAAAGGTACCACGGCAAGGCAGACAATGGCGATGCGCCATGCAATGATGTGCGACATGATGATGGCAGCGAATAGGTTGATGAGGATAGACAACATTGTGCATACAACGGAGCCCGTCAGACCTGCAAGGGCATTGCTGTCCTTGGTGATCAAGGAAAGCAGTAATGATGGGTTGCGGTCATTGGATTCGTGCCATTGGAGATCCTGTTCGAGGATGGATCGCAATGAAAGAACTCGCACTTTGTAGATCACATTCTCTGCCATCCAGCCGAAGAGAGACCAGCTGATTAAATTTGCGAAGAATTCGATGATAGCGAGGACAAAGAACATGAGTCCGTAGAACTCTCCAGCATCACGGATAGTCCGAGGCTCCTCACATCCACTCAGCCTAGCCACGACGTTACCAAAGATCACTGCCGAAGCACAGTATGTGCCACCAATGACAACGGCACCCGTCACGGCGAGGACCAGAACAAAGGCATACGGTCGGAACATAGAGCCTAGGGAGCTGGCTGTTGAGGAAAATGACCTGTGTGTGTCGACAACACCACCGGTTTGTTTGGACTCAGGATCTTGTACAACAGAAGTATCGGCTACCTCATCTTTATCGCGGACATCATCGGTCACGGAGAGACAGGGCTCGACCTTCTCTGTTATTTGATTTACAGGCGACACCGATCGGGTAGATGCTCCTTCTTGGGTACCATCGACATTGAGGTTCTGGAGGCGAACTAGCTCTGCGTAGGCACCGTTAGCTGCCAGCAACTCTGTGTGACGGCCTTGTTCAACAAGTTTTCCTTGTCTCATGACGATGATATTACCCGCATTTCTGATGGTAGACAGACGATGCGCAATGGTGATAACAGTTCGCCCCACGGCCACACTCTCCAAGGCTCTTTGAATCCGCATTTCTGTCGCTGAGTCCAAAGACGCCGTGGCCTCGTCAAGGATAAGAATTCGGGGGTCTTTCGCCAATGCCCGGGCCAAAGAAATACGCTGCTTCTGTCCGCCACTGATCAGGTTCCCGCTGGAGCCAACTGAAGTACCATAGCCTTCTTGGAGCTTCTCAATAAACCCATTGGCATCAGCCAGTTTTGCGGCACCTTCAACCAAGTCTACCACCTCTCGCGCCTGATCACCGTGCTCTAGAGAGGCGGCTACAAGGGCTTGACCGTCTCTCACAGCCGCAGCAATTTCACCCAGCGCAGTGCCAGTCAGAATCGGTTGAAGATGAATGTGTGCAGGGGAATTGATCAGACCCAGGGCAATGTTCTCGAATATTGATCGATCCAGAAGACACGGCTCTTGTTGGACAAGACTGATATGACTCCTCAATGCACGCACATTTAGGTCTTTGACCTCATGCCCGTCTAGCATAACAGTTCCTTCTGTCGCATCGTAGAATCTTGCTATTAATCCAGCGACAGTGGACTTTCCACTTCCAGACAAGCCGACAATGGCAGTTTGTTGACCGGCAGGACACACAAGTGATAGATTCTGGAGCACTGGCTTATCTGGACGAGAAGGGAATCGGAATGAAACATCGCGCAACTCCACGTGGCCTTTGACCTCCGACAAGAGTTGTCCAACATTCTTCGCAGTGCCATCAATTGTGGATTTGTGCTCTATATCAGCCTTCAATTTTGTGAAGGCAACGGAAGCGGCGTCGAAGCTTTGGATGAAAGGTGCCACTGTACTGAGGATCAAGGACGCTGCGAGATAGACATAGTCAGCGAGAGGTCAGATTGAAGCAATGGATATAGATGCTTACCATCCACTAGAATAAAAATCACAGTATATGTCGCCCCGACTGTCATACCGCCAGCACCGGACTCTACCGAATCCGCAATCTGCGTAGATCCCTGCCAGAATGCCAATGCATTGGCGGAGAAAGCAATAAAGTAAAGCAAACCTGCCTGAGTGGCCGTGGCAATTGACTTCCGAATTCCAGCAATCCTGGACGGGTTCAAAAACTCAATGAACTTCTCTTCGAGCCGCGCGTTGGCTGAGAAAGCATGAACTACCATCGTGTTGGAGAATGCCTCCAGTGCCACCGAAGATGCCTTGCTCATGCTATCCAGCGCGCGTCCGAAATACTTTTGCACAAAATATCCTCCCAGCAGCGACATGATCAAGTAGGCGGGAGTTAATGAGACTAACATTCCAGCTAACTTGGGGTCCTTAATAAAAGCCACGATGTATGCGGTGACGAAGAAGGCAAGACTGTTGATCACGATGCCGACCTTCTCAGATGTTCCTTGTTGCACGGTTGTAATGTCACCTGTGATTCTCGAAGACGCCTCGCCAGCTGGGAGGTTGTCGAAGAAGGCCACATCCTGGCGGAGAAGGGCTTTGAAATATTTTTCGCGCAGACGCTGAGCCAGCCTCTCGCCAGTCAGATTCCAGCTGAACACATAAATGTAGATCAAAAAGAGGTAGGCAATTCCGATGTAGACAATCATCAACACTTTCTGGTTGATATCACCTTGGTATGAGTCCCCGTTGGTGTCGTTGGCGTTGCAGGTCGTCGAGTTCATCTCATCCACCAATTGACCAAACACAATGGACATGATCGGAAAAGGGATTCCGGAGGCAACTGCGGAGACAAGGCCGAGGACAAGGAGTGCGATATCTGATCTGCTAGGCTCGCCATAGACGAACAGGCGAAAGAAGACGGCTTTTTCCCTCCACTGTCACGAATCAGCTCGAGAACCCTATAAAGATCTAGGGGTAACATACGCTGCGCTTTTGCGCTGGTGCATCTTCAACAGCCATACTAAAAATTCTCTCTGTAGGCGTAAATAAATGGGAACATTGAAGAAGGTTATTCGTTATTTTATCCCAAGGGTAAATGAACGGACAGAAACCTATAAGCTCCACTGGTCGAATGTTTCGATTACCAAGAATTTACAGACAATACGTAAGATTGAACCCTTTATCAGATCAACTAGTGGAAAAATTCGCCAAGAGCCAAGAGTACCTGCTTTTTTTTTTGTTTTGGTGGGCCTTCTTGGGGGTGGACGGAGAATGCCGTATATCCTCCGAACAAGGACGTCACCTGAGAAGGTATAGCAATTTCCGACGATGATCTCTACTGTGTTCTCTATTCTGGCCTGTTCACCCTTTCAACCCCCCGGAAACTGCCCGTCTATCGCGTATTACTTCTTGGGGTAAGTTGGGCTCAATACGACCATCAAACTCAAAATATCGGGCCCCCGGACACTTCCCGAATCTGATTAGATTACGCTTTGTCCTTGCTGCGAAGAGACTTGGCTGCATTTCAGGCTGTAAGTTGAAACGTACGAATATACACGCCTGAACGCTTTCTCTGTGCATGAGATGGCATAATACAATCAGATCATATTTCACATCTTGCATCTATCACAATTTCAAGGACCGGAACGGATTGCGGTCGAGAGTGTCAGATCCGTCAAATCGTAGGGGTGCTACATGGAAAAACTTCTCCCTACTACCAATGATGAGTGCGGACCGTTTGTGTGGCAGATCAACCAGCTTGGCCAAATTCATGCCCGTAGCATGGTCGTAGGCCAAGGGAGCGAGATTCGAGTATTTTGGCTCTCCAGTCACAACCTCCGTACGTGGATCATCTAGGAAGATGTAATGCATCAAGCCGGACCACCATGCAATCGTGCGGTGTGGGCCTCGGAAACGCTCATCGCCGACTAGCGAATGGCGGCCTCTGTCCCAGTCACCAGCATCGTAGTACGCACCAAGATGGTCCTCCTGTAATTCAAATCAGCTACGTTAGGTTCTCTGGAAGAAATGGAAAACATACCTTGGTCCAGTATATCTCATGATAGGAAAAGAAAATATTGTTGAACTTGGCCAGAACAGCGATCTGGTGTGGATCCTCCTGGATTTTGCGCAAGTATTCACGATGTTGGTCCAGAGTACCAGTCTCATTCCACCCCTGAGCCACTCGAGGGTCATTCTGCCACTTATTGAACAGCCCCAGGTGTTCTTCGTTCGTGTAGTCTAGCGCATAGACTGAGAAAAACTCGTCCAAGTGTGGAATGTACCGGCTGTAGATGCGAGAACCAGGGGCTGGTTTAGGTGGTCGTACCGGGTGAAGGGCATGTACTCGACGCTCGGGGAAACCAATGGTGACTGTATGTTGGCGTGGTCGGGAAGGATAATTGCTCAACGGCTTGCGCATATAGCTGTAAATCCCCGGATCAGAGACCCACGCTGGACGGGTACCAAAGGGTGAGCCAGCTCCTTGCCAGAAGCTGCTACGGGAAAAGACCAACTGTCCCAGGTAACTTGTGGTGATTGGGATGGGCTTTCCTGGCGCAGCAGATGGTTCAGGATGTGCGATGGCTAAGCCCACTCCCTGTAGCTCGCGTGCAAGAATATCGCTTCCATGGCCAGACAGTACTACGCGGAATATCTCGAATTCGCTGCGCAGAGTCTCAATGGCATAAACCACATTCCAGATATGGCCCACCGTCGGCGTCTCCGAGCCTGTCCATGTAATATAGGTAACTGGACTTCTCTGTGCGCGTGCCCAGGGTGAGTTATTTCCCTCGTCTGGCGTGGAAGAAGGATCGGGTTGAGCCAAATCTGTGAACCCCAACGTCGCATGGTCCAATGGTTTTGGGGGTGGTATGCCTTCATCGCTGCGAGGAGATCTGAACAGCTGAAACGTGCGGAGATTTTGCTCATTGGATACGACGTGCAATTTATAAGTTGTCTTGTACGGCTCCGGCAGCCGCACCAGGGGTAAAGTACTCAAAGGCATGACGATGACGATGCTACCAACTTAGAAGAGGAGCATGAAGGAATAAGTAATCAGATATAAAATGTCAGAATTGACCACCGTACCCTCGGTATACTCTCGCTCGGGGATCTCTCAAATATACGATATAGGGAATTGATCATCCTCGTCTATGTCTACTAGGGAGCGGTCCACCGGGAGTCGGAGTTTACAGGCAGCTGAGACCTTGGCTGCTACCAAAGGACATGCGTGTATCTCAGTATAGCTGCTTGGCACAGACTTGTAACAAAGGGGGAAAGTCAATCCCATATTGCTTGAGACGAGAGTGTACAAGGTTGGTTCAAAAGATCAACGTAATCAATGGACAGATATCCGATGTCGCAGCCGATCTAATCAACCGAGCGGAAACTTGCGAATCTCCGAAAAGAGTAAGCTTGGAGAGGACGATCATCATAACAGTCACAGTATCTCACAGAATACCATATCGAAAGTTTCGAATATGCCTGTCCGCGCTCTGATCATCGTTTCAGTAGGTTTTTAATGCCGAGGTGGGTCCAGAGTATCTCGGCGGCTCTTGGCAGGGTTTGGGTATGTGGTATGATATGGTATGATATGGTATGTATGGTATGTATGGTATTGAATGTTATAACCATACATCGTGTGATCTCTCTTCACTCTCGTATACATACCAATTCAACTTGAAGTATATGACGGCTCCACTGCAACTATTGGCAATGAAATCTCGGCACCTGATCGGACTGTTCCTGTCCGTTGTGGCTCTATGTTGTATGTGCTGCAGACACGGGCTTTCTCGCAAGATGCCAAGTCTGTCACTGAAGATCAGTAGCAGATAATTTAATCAGTTCGTTGCTTCGTAAGTTCCAGACAAGCCCTAGAGACTGTTTCTTGATATTACTATTTTCCAATAACATGGGTGAATACATTGAGCCCAGTGCGACCCCTTGGGTTGGCGAAGGGTGGAGGAAACCACATGATGATGGCTGGTCCGACTACATGGCCTTACCCATGCTTCCCGATATAAGACACGACGAACTTCTCGCTCTGGCTTGGATCCTTATTCTATTTCGGGGGACAGTGAACAGTGAGGACGGAGGCTTTTCTTATATAAAAAAGAGCAGCATCCAGAGCAGTCTCATCTCCGATGTGATCGAGGGGGAAGGCAGCTCGCTGAGATCTGCTTTGGAAGCAATCCGAAGGTGGGGTCAATTCGAGGGGGAATTATCGGATACACTCTTGTGTCAGAATGCCTGCCTTGAGTCTAAAGTAAGTAGATCCAAGTTCATAGCTGGCATCAGTTGTTAACTTGGCCAGTGTACATTTTCTCTGGAAGCAAGGCTCTCGCGTGATGTTTTGTATATTCGGGGGACTCCTCAGTCCCTGACAGCCACACAGCCCGTCAAAGCCGTTCTACCTCATATCTTCGCCGACATCATTCTTTCCATCGCAAGTGACCTTGATCAGCCACTTGTCAAGGCCATCCAGGTTGGACGGCGAGAGCTGTTGCAATTATGGAAGTGGAACGGGCCAATGCCTCCCACCATCGATCATTGTATCCAAGATATAATCAGCGAAAAAGCTCAAGGCCAACTCGATCGACCCGCAGTCGTCTCTTGGGATGGAGAGATGACATATAGGCAGCTAGAAGAGCGCTCAACAAACCTAGCTAGGCATCTTGTTGATCTGGGACTGAAAACTGGCAAAGCGGTTCCACTCTGCTTTGAAAAGTCCATGTGGACAATTGTTGGTGTCCTTGCAGTAATGAAGGCCGGCGGTGCATTGGTTCTCATGGACCCCAGCCAGCCCGAGGGACGACTGAGCACCATCGCCAGCGAGGTCGAGGCTGGTTTTATCTTGACCTCGGAGTTGCAGGGAGAGCTTGGTTCACGCATTGTCCCAGACGGAAAGCAAGTTATTGTTAGTGCGCTGATCGACCAGGAAGCCTTTAAATCACTGCCTGTGGATCTACCTGTGGTTCCAGCATCGTCAACCATTTACATTCAGTTCACCTCCGGCAGTACTGGGAAGCCCAAGGGTGTGGTCATCTCACACTCCAACTACACTAGCGGTGCAGTACCTCGTGCCGTAGCTGTGGGATACAAAGAGCACTCGCGGGTGCTTGACTTCCCTTCGTATGCATTCGACGTCAGTGTTGACTGCATGTTGTGCACTCTTGCCAACGGCGGCTGCATTTGTGTACCTTCAGAAGACCAGCGAGTCAATGACCTTAGCGGCGCAATTCGTGAAATGAGGGTGAACATGGCGCACATGACACCATCGGTCGCGCGTGTGTTGGCTCCTGATATCATGCCCTCGCTGGAGGTCATCGGTCTTGGTGGTGAGGCAATTTCTGCCAGCGATGCGGCCGAATGGGGCCAGAAGACAAAGATCGTAATCGCATATGGCCCATCGGAGTGCACTGTTGGTTGCACGATCAACAACAATATCCCTCCTGGCCAATCATACACTAGCATCGGACAGGGAGTCGGAGGCACGACATGGGTGGTAGATCCATCTAATCATGACCGATTGATGCCAATCGGTGCCGTGGGAGAGCTGCTTATCGAAGGCCCCGTCGTTGGCGATGGATATCTCAATAATCCAGAGAAAACCGCCGAGGCTTTTATCAAGGACCCAGCATGGTTGGTTGAGGGTGGAGGGGATGTGCTAGGTCGCAAGGGCCGTCTCTACAAGACCGGTGACCTCGTAAGATATGACCCTGATGCCTCAGGTAGCGTTGTTTTTATCGGCCGTGCCGACCAACAGGTGAAGCTGCGCGGCCAGCGTGTGGAACTGGGTGAAATCGAGCATCACGTCCGAAATTATTTCCCCGCTGGAGCAAGTGTCGCAGCAGAAGTGATTTTTCCTGGAGGAAAGAAATCTGATGCCACACTGATTGTCTTTGTGGCTGAAGAAAAGAGTGAAAAGACGGGCACAATCTGCGAGATTATCTCATTTTCGAGTTCATTCCAAAAGCTGGTCGCTGGTATTGACGATGCTCTCGCGAAAAACCTGCCCCGGTATATGATCCCCACTGCATATATACCACTCAATCACATACCACTTCTGGTATCACTCAAGACAGACAGGAAGCAACTGCGTGCTCTGGGGAATGACTTAACAAGGCGACATATTGCAGAGCTTAGATTGTCCACAGTTCTCAAATTAGCACCCCGGACAGAGATGGAGCGCAAGCTTCATAGCCTATGGTTGAAGCTATTTGGCGATGAGGCAGAGATTGGGGTCAATGACCACTTCTTCAGCCTCGGGGGTGACTCGTTGAAAGCCATGAAGTTGGTTGCTTCTGCACGAGAGCAATTGCTTGCTGTACAAGTCACTGATGTTTTCCAATCACCCGTTCTCGAGGACCTGGCCCTAAAATTGAAAGAGATTGACAACAAAGCTCCGCTGGATGTTCCTGCATTTTCGCTACTTCCAGTAAGCTGGGAGGCCGATGCTGCACGGGTCGAAGTGGCTTCGTTGTGCAACTTGAATCCAGACGAGGTGACTGATGTGTATCCATGTACACCTCTCCAAGAAGCGCTCATGGCCCTCTCCGCGAAATATACAGATGCCTATGTAGCGCAGAGAGTTATTGAGCTCCAGGATGTTCAAACCGCCAGACGACTACAAGCTGCTTTGGAGCGTGTCTCAGCAGAGTCTGCGATCCTACGAACAAGAATTGTTCAAGTCCCACGTCGGGGTTTGATGCAAGTCGTTGTACAAACCAATACTCCATGGCTCCACAGCTCCAACTTGACAGAGTATCTGGGCACTGATACACTCAAGGGGATGTCTCTAGGAACTGACCTTGCTCGTTTCGCTATTGTGGACGATGAGACAACCAGCAAAACCTCTATCGTCCTGAGCATTCACCATGCACTTTATGATGGCTGGTCAATGCCATTGATAGTTGACAGAGTTAATGGCGCCTATCGTGGTGAGGATATTGGCAGCCCAGCACCGTTCAAGAACTTCATCAAGTGGCTCAGGGACACGGATCAAGTCTCCACAGAGAAATACTGGGAGACTCAACTCGAGGGTGCTACAACGCTACAATTCCCTCTCATTCCATACACCGGGTATCAAGCGCGTGCCGATTCCCTGCTGGAACATTATGTCAAGCTGCCACGAGCTTCATCCAGCTCCACAACGAGTATTGCAACCACTATTCGAGCTGCCTGGGGTCTTTTAGCCGCGCATTACACATCTTCTGACGACGTCGTATTTGGAGAGACGATGACCGGTCGCACAGCTCCCGTGGCAGCGGTGGAGGAGATCGAGGGCCCGATGATCACCACTGTCCCAGTCCGGGTTTGCATCGATCGCAAGGCTCGAGCATCAGGCTACCTTCAGCAGATCCATGACCAAACGGTAGATCGCATTCCCCACGAACACATGGGTCTGCAGCACATTCGACGTCTGAACGCCGATGCTCGAGAGGCATGTGAGTTGCGCACAGGCATTGTAATTCATCCAACAGTCGAAGAAAGCATGTCCTCTTCGAAAGAAGAGCCAGCTACCGCATTTGTTCCAACCAGCGAGGCAGAGGCTGCCCGCGAGGCATTAAAATTCAACTCATACGCCCTTATGCTTGTGTTCACCGTTGATACAAATGGGTTCCTTATCATGGCTAGCTTCGATTCGAAGACCATCGATGTCCCACAGATGGAGCAAGCGCTCAAACAGTTTGATCGGCTGGTGCAGCAGATCCTCGAGGATCCGACTCAGCGGATTCAGCACATATACGATTCTGCGATTGAGAGAGATCTTACAGAACAATACGGTCTGGCCAAGAGTGGCCCGGCGAGCCTCCCTACCGAGGAGCTTTACTCGTCTGTCACATCTACTTGGATCGTGAACCCAAACGAGCATGAGTGTCTTGTACCATCTGGGGGGCTGGGTGAGCTGCTTGTTGAAAAAGAAGGCGGATTGAACTCCAGCAATTTAGTTGCCAACCCAACCTGGTTCGAGCATCCAACCAAGTTGTACACAACAAACCAGCTGGCGAAATATACCAGTGATGGCTCTGTCATTATTATTCGTGCAAAGGATGCGCAGGTCGGTCAACTCCAGCCCCGAAACAAAGACCTTCATGGATGTCAAGCCATTACGACGGTCACGCAAAAAAAGCTCCAACGGGTCTGGAGCCAGGTCTTGGACATTCCCTGTGAGGATATTCTTCTGGATGACAGCTTCTTCGATTTGGGGGGTGATTCCATTCGTGCTATGAAACTGGTCTCGGAGGCTCGTATGGATGGCCTTCACCTAACTGTTACCACAATTTTCAATCACCGGTCTCTGTTTGACATGGCTGAGCACACAGTGGAAGCTCAACCATCAGTCGTGACATCCCAGGATTATGCGCCATTCAGCTCACTTGATGTAACCGACGTAAATGCGTTCATCAACAAGATGGCCCCGTTGCTTGCTCAGCCTGAGTGGAAGATCGTGGATGCTTATCCAAGTCGCCCGCTCCAGGAAATTGCGATCCATGGAACTGTCCAGCTACCTCGATATTCTATGAGATACGAACTGTTCTACATGGATACCGTGGTAGATCGCACCAAACTGTTCCAAAGTTGCCAGGAACTTGTCTCTCGAAATGAGATCCTTCGAACTGTGTTCATGGACCACGAGGGGGTCTCATTGGGAGTGGTTGTCGATGACCTTCCCTGCCAGATAATTGAATATGAGATTGAAAGTGACGTGAAAGCGTTCAGCCAGAAACTCTGCGATGTGGATGTTCAGTCACGCGTTCCTCTCGGATCACCATTTTTGAAATTCTTCTTCGTTCGACATGTGGACGGGCGCAGCAGCTTGATCATGCGAATTTCCCATGCCCAATACGATGAGATCTGTCTTCCGATTTTGCTGCAGCAGCTATCGGCATTATATGAAGGACGACCGGTACCGAAGAGTTTGCCATTCTCTTCGTATGTCAACCATGTGACTCGCACTAATCTGCCAGTCAGCATTCCGTACTGGCGTGATCTCCTTCAAGGGTCGTCTATGACACGGATTCAACCCGATATCCCTGTGGTGTCTGCAGCTCATTTTGCCATTTCCAAGGATGCCAATATAGCCGCACGGCCACGGGAAATCACAGTTGCAACCCTCCCTACAGCGGCTTGGGCGCTGTGTCTTGCGCGACGCCTCTCCCTCGATGACGTCACTTTTGGCGAGGTGGTGAGTGGTCGCAATATTGACCTACCCAACGCGGATGCGATTGTTGGACCGTCGTGGCAGTATGTTCCGGTGCGAGTGAAGTTTGCAGATGAATGGAGTGCCATGGATCTTTTGCGGTTTGTCCAGCGACAACATCTCGAGAGCGCGCGATTCGAAGGAATCGGTCTTAAAGAAATTATCAAGGACTGCACCGACTGGCCGGAGACCGTTGACTGGTTTGATTCGGTCGTGCACCAGGACGTGGAGCACGTTGAGGATCTGTCTTTCATGGCAGCTAGTAGTCGCATGCAGACTATCTACCCGCATTTCGAGCCGTTGCGGGAGATCAAAGTGCAAGCATTTCCAAAGGGGGATACTCTGTGCATTGAAGTTGTCACTGTTCAGTCCTGGTCGGCCTTTGCTGTGTCGTTGCTGGATGAGATAGTCGACACTGTTGAGCAGTTGACGAATCGGGTCCACTCCAGAATTTTATAGATGGGATAGCTTCTTCTGTTTTCTACTCCTTTTTCTAGGTTAATTCGAAATGTCGAGCTTGATTCAGTTAGGAAAATGTAGTGCCCTAGTAAAAGATTGAACCGATCGGCCAATATAGGGTAGCGATATTGAAATTACGCCACAGATAGCTGCGTGTGAACTCGAAGTCCCGGTAAGATATATTTTAGGCCCGTCGCAACGCTCAATCACCACGCGACCAACCCTTTGGGTGAATAAAGCTTCCACATCCTCAATTCGGTTTACAATGTCTTCATTCCATCGCTTGAAGGACATTGCCATGGTGTGCCGGACGACGGGCTCACGGAGTCTATTCATTGGAAGGGTATATCGAATTAATAGTAACTTGATAAAGTCTCTGCTTACACCGAATACTGCTATGTTATATCTCATGGTCTAACGAAACAGTGTGGTGTATAATCGTCTTAGACTCGCTAGTATATACTACTATGTATGCATCAAGATTTCTTCCATCATGCCGAGCCCTTACTCAACGCACCAGAATACCCTTCATGTCGCCCTCAGCTCGCCACTTTTCAATAATACCAAGCCAATGTTCGATTCCCGAGCCCCAAAGACCCGACCGCGCCAAGACCATCTGTTTCTGGGGTGGCATACGATCAAGGTCACCTTCCAGATTAAAGTATCCCGGTGTGCATCCAATTGCAACCCCCATTGGCGCAGAATGCATCATAAGTTGCATGCCCCAATCCTCTGCTGCCTCTGTGGATGGGGCAACAACGAATTGCACACCACCGGCCCTACGTTTTGCTTCAGTCAATATATACGAGATGTGCTTCGCGTACTCGTCGAGGTTAAAGCGATAGTTGCCACTTGTAGATGCCTGCTGAGGTCCACAGAGGAAGAGATTTGGGAATTTGACATCGATGGCACCGTGCAGGGTCGTAGGGCCGAAGCGAGGCCATTCCTCACTCATGGAGACTCCATTTAAGCCTATGATTGACATGTTTGATTTCTCAGATGGGGTACCAGCAGGCGGCGCAAGGAAGCCTGTCGCAAAGACGACAACATCGACCTGGTAGGATTTATCGTCAATAACTAGTGAGTCTGCCGTCATTCGGTCGATGCCATTGCCGTCGGTATCGATGAGAGTCACGTTGTCTTGGTTGAAAGTCTTAAGGTAGTCGTCGTGGAATAATGGGCGTTTACACCATACCGGATACCATGGCTTTAGTTTCTCTGCGGTGAAGGGGTCCTTCACTTCTTCATCCACGCGAGCATGGATGCGCTTTTGCCGGGGAGCGTCAATCTCAACCAATCGGGCTGTGTATGCTGGGATTTCTTCGGGTGTTTTAGGTCCCTCTGTATACCCGGTTAGACCAACCAAGCCAGGAGCGCGGGTCCATCCATCATTGACCAGGTTGACTGCTGGCATCTTGCCAAGAGTGAAATGTTGGTGGAAGTTCCGCATTCGCTCTCGTTGCCATCCGTTTGATTGTGCAACCTCTTTACGGAACCATTCTTCGTCAGTCTCTTGCTGATCACGGACGTCCACTGAGGCTGGCGTCCGCTGTATGACATAGAGGTGCTTGCACCATTTTGCGAGCTGCGGAACAATTTGCACCGCCGTCGCTCCTGTGCCAATGATCACGACCTTCTTATCCTTCAATTTGGCAAGCACAGGGTCTTTGGGTGACCCACCTGTGACATGGTATGCCCAACGAGCAGAATGGAACATGTCACCTTGGTAGTCCAGAATCCCCGGGATGTTCGGCAGCTTGGGCCAGTTAAGTACACCGGCAGCAATGGTCACAAACCTGGAGCGAATTTGGAGACTCTCTGGAGATTGGCCCTTACGACGCTGGATTAGGTCGACCAACCATTCTTTAGCATCATCATCCCAAACAATCTTCTGTGCTTGAGTTTGGAAAGCAGCACAGTCTCCCAATCCCCATTTCTGCACAACAAGATTGGCATACTCCCGGATCTCTTCGCCTTGCGAATACCGGTGCTTGGGTACATATCCCGTCTCCTCTAGATATGGGAGATAGGTATAGCTCTCAATATCACACATAAGTCCGGGATACCGATTCCAGTACCAGGTGCCACCAAAGCCACCAGCTGGGTCGATAATCCGAATGTCTTCGGCTGGTATGCCATCCTCGACCATACGGACGGCATTCTGGATCCCGCCCCATCCGGCGCCGATGATGAGGATTTCGCTTCGCTTCTCGGGGAACTTGGTTTGGAGAGGTTGAATTGATGTAGGCTCAACCCACGGATCATCCGCAAAATGCTCATACTGAGCTGACTTTGCGACTTCGATGAACTGTGCGTTACCGTCGTGGCGGAGCCGTTTCTTTCTTTCTTCCTCGTACCGGGATTTCATTTGGGTTAGTTGGGTGGGATCAATCTCCGCATTGGGAGTAAATAGAGTGGTATTGTCTTTACTCATGATACTGGACATGGTGGACAACAATGTGTCTTGATGGGTGGTTGCGAGGTAAAAAAAAGAACAAAGCCAGTTTATTTAGATCATTGCAAATGTCAAAGCTGAAACCAGCCACGTCAGCGGGTTTCTTTGTTTACCCCGCGGTTAGCAAGGGGGCCAAGCGGCAGTTGTGTAGTATGGAAAAATGAGATTGGGACAATAGATGCTGAGACTGAGATGGGTGGCCTATTCCTGGACTCGCTGTTTCCTCCAAGTCAAGAAGATAACATAGAACTCCTCCGCATTTGTCTCGGGTAATTGGTGATGATCTCCAAGACTAATATCGCTATTTGTGCCCAAGTTGGATTGAGCCTGAAATGGCACCAAAGCTGGGGCTGCAGGAACCGGCTCCTGTGTCTGGGTAGATTGAGATTCTGACCCAGTCTCAATATCCAATGGCCCTACACGTCTTTGTCTTTTCAACTCCGCCTCTTTTGCCCCAGCCCAAGTATATGCGCTCTTTGACTTGTGGTCAGCAGCCAGATACAAGCCATTGTCAGTCTGCATGGGAAACTTCCACTCCAGAGCTTGTTGTATGATGGCATCTAACTGGTCTCTCTTCCGCATAATCGTCTCGAACTCGATCACCAATTCCTCAAGACAGGGGATAGAACTAAATCGATTCCCCCATGATCGAGCTGCGTCTTCCGGGGAAACAGCCTCGCCCATCTGGGTTGCGCGGGTTCTCCCAGGCCGGAACGGATCGATGCCCAGGGGGTCATTGTTCTCCCAGAACCACCAGTCCGTGTGGCGAAGCGTGATGGTCAGCTTCTTCGGCGCGATCCTGCACTCCCCTCGCAAGCTGGGCTCATCGTTACCTAGCGTTAGCCCGTCCCATATCTGGGACCAATTATTGTCTTCTAAGAAATACTGCTGGGTAAATAGGTGTAAATGCTGCACCTGAGCCCGCTGCTTCGGAGTCATCTTGTGAAAATAATTCAGCGGCGACGAGGCATCCTTGACATGCGGTGGAGACCGATAGAACCAGAAAGTATGCTCATTGATTGCTGGAGGGAGGAGGGACGCCTCGCCGTAAATTTGCTGGCATGTCTGGAGGAGGGCCGTCTGGATGCGCTTAGGCTGCTTGTACCCGGGTCGGTAGTAGAAATCATTTTGCTGATAGATAGAGTGGGGATTTTCGTCTGGGAGAACATCCTCGGACTCCAGGGCAAGGGTATAAATGCGGTTGCGGATCTCGGGGGGAATGACCGTAAATAGGGGCGATGTCAATGGGGCTGCAGGTAGAGATGGGACAAAGTCCTTGAGGATCACCCTTCTCTGTGTGCGGTTTCTTAACCCTCGAATGCGATGCGAATGCATGTTGGTAGAGTTATGGGCTAAAGAAACCTCGATTTATATACAGGCTAGAAATATTCTAGATCATGATTTGGATTTCGCCTCTCTACCCCGCTAACGCCTACGCAAGCTTGTTCTGATGGGGAAAGTACTAGCCTGGGTGTCTAGAAATATCTAACGCCTTATGCTAGGCAGTGTAGTAAGACAAAACTCCGAGGCCTATCAAAAGAAATAAAAAAGCACTTCTGAATTAAGAGAACAGGACTGCTAAACTGACCTGTCTGAAAATTTAGTCTCTATGGAATCATGTGATACTGTAAAGCGCCTCCATTACGCAGGTAATCTAATCATTTCAGGAGTGAACCTGGGAACTTCTGGAATTTTAATAAGCAAAATTGGCAGAACAAGTGACTTATATCAATAGATTTCAACTAAATCCATATATTCTATACACTAATAATAATAGTTTATGAAGTTCATAGAATATATATGTATATATATTTAACAGCAACTTAGTCTACTATATTACTAAGTTATACGTCTATTAAAGATAAAACGGTGGGCATAATGGACATGTCCGCGGGCTATAGGCGTTGTGGACGGGCAATGGGCACCTCCTAAGTGCCCGTGGACGGGTCATAAAAGTCGACCCGAAACCTAACCTTCAGGCTTGCGGGTCTGGGAGTTTTGGCGCAGTCTACCCCCAGATAAGAGCATTACCAACGTTCGATTTCTGTAAAAACCAGGGTCATAGGAGAGATGCATGTCCAGATAGATATTTAATTTAATTAATTTAATGGTTTAGTTGAGATAAGTATAGTTGAATTCAATAGGTCAGCGGAGGCCGGCTCGCTTATATGGCCGGCTCGCTTGTGAAATATGTTAGCTAGCTTCTGGACCCACTGTGATGCCCCCCTAGCTGGACAACGGCATCGAGCCTTTCACCTCCCATCACACAAGAGACGGGCGCTTATGATCTAGATCCGATTGGATCGAGATCAATCCCATTGTTTGCCTGAAAAACATAAAGCGAAAGCTTAACCCCGCAATTTTCTATTTCGAGTAAATAATTTCCAATCATTCTAGCACTACACTACCTCATCACCAAGCGACAGTCAATGGCGGAACCCATTGGTGTAGCATCTGGCCTGGTGGCTGTGGCTGCGTTTGCATTTCAATCTAGCACTGCCCTCTTCGATGTAGTTCAAAGCTACCAATCTCATCCAAAACGCGTACGCGACCTGACGGAGGAGCTCGAGACTCTGAATGGAGTTCTTGGTGCTCTAACAGAAACCTTGAGTGCGAACACCGATATAAACCTTGCTAGCCTCGAACATCCCCTCCGTCGTTGTGGAAATGCCTGCAGAGATTTTGAAAGGGAGCTTAAAAAATATTCATCGCGATCTCTTGCCGGCAAAACGAGCTTTCGAGACTGGGCCAAACTAAAGTACATGGGCGAAGATATTGATGGTTTCAGACGGATGTTAGCTGGTTATAAATCAACTATCACTATTGCCCTCACTGATGCAAATCTGTGAGTTTCTTTATATATATTGATCATATTTAACCTAACGCTAATGTGTCTATCTAGCCGACAGTCCTCTATCGCAGCTGATAGCCTTGAAAGCTACAAGGAAATCATTGAAACCACCACCGATGATCTCGAAGCTCATCTAGAGAGTATCGACGAAAAGCTCGAGAATATTATCGCCAAGAATACATGCGACTCAAACACGGATGCTGGGGAAATCCAGCTGATGGAAGACGAACGCCTGAGCACCCAAAAATGTCTCGAGATATGTGCACAATTATCAAGCCACATTGATCAGATTCAACAAATGCGGAAGTCTCGTGACAACACCGCCGATTCTGGCAGTTCAAGCAACATACCCGAAAGAGTCACCAACGACGGTTTGCAGGAATGCAAAAATAGCCTCGTTAACACCGCTGCTAAACTGGAGAATCATCTTAAGATACTGATGGACCGAATTGTGACTAAGTCGAAGACAAGTACAGCCTCTCAGGAGGACGTTGCAGAACTTCTCAGGTTACAAGAAGAGTGGGAGACAACTCGCCAGTGTATGCATATCTGTTCCAAGGCTGGAATGCATTTGGACGAAAATGTTAGTACGATCGATAATTATGCCACTGGCGACGCCATTCAATTCATGGTCTCTACCAATGACAAGATAATTAATGGCAGAAACCATGGGCTGGGATGGAGGACGAGGCAAGTTGGCGGCCATCTGAGTGATGCATCGCTTCAACAGTTGTCAAGGGATATGACCAGGGTCAATTTTGTGAATACCGATCATAAGGGCTCGCCCTCAGGGCATTCCATGCAAGACGAAGGCTTGCAAGGTCAATCTTTATCGGAATTCAAAGATCGTCATGGCCGAGGCTTTAAGCTGGCGACGGGGCGGTCCGCGCCCAATGTTTCGTCCACAACCCCACCCAAGAGCGAACGATAGCGACGCTCTACACCTTGACCCAGACGTTGCCTTGCGCCTTCCAAGAGCAAGAGCCAGGAAGTATCTACCTATATTGGCGGTATCGAGTATTCATTTTGAGTATTGGAATAAACAAGTTGCATTATTATTGAAAGAAATTAAGACAACGAAGAGTGTAGCTTCCATGCATCAGCTCAGATCTTCTTCATATATAGTCCCTTCATGGAACTTCTCACCGAAATCTCTTAGCCATTTGTCAAACTAAACACCGATCTTTCAAAAACGCACTGGTAGAACTTTGGCGCCACGGGAATTGTTGAAGAATCGAGGAAAGAAACGAGGCAAATCCATCTCTATCTTTTAAACCGAAATCAGATGGCAGCCTTTGACCAACATGAACGGCAAAGTTTTGATCCCTAGAATATGTTGAATGAGAGCTTCCAAATTTTTACGCATTTCTTGAGTTGCGCAGCCGAATGACATCGGCGGGAAAAGCGACTCGTTCGTAGCAAGCTGTATCTGTCCAGTCCTACGGGAGTCCTCAATCCTACGCGAGCTGGACTTTTTGAACCAGGTCAGGAATTTCGAGTTTTTTTGGACATATTTCAGAATTTCCGCCATGGCCTCCGCCTAGGGATCAACCTTTTTTTTCACACGGACTGTACATGAGTTTCGCAAGAAGTGTGGCAAAGAGCGGCCGCGCTGTGGATATTTCACCGATGCCGTTCGATAATCTCGGGGGCTCTCAACCCTAGAGTAACGGGCCCCGTCTAAAAGGACCCCCAATCGATTTGCAAAGAAATGAAAAATATTCATGTTTAACCGCTCTATCCTGTCGGCCCGCGCCTACTAACCACATCCATTCTTTATGCCCACTTCCTCCTTCCCTCGTGTACTTTTAGTCTGTAAGATTATTCTGATCAGAATATCCATGGTGAAGATATAAAATCTCGAGCTAGCATACCTGGCATTTCTAACCTATTTCTGAAGCGTGCGACCGGGCCCGTCGAAAGGGTTTGTCTTTTGGTGATGGGGAGGCTGTTTCTTTATGATTTCGCTGCGGTCCTTTGAAATTTGCTGGATTGTAACTTCGGACGCATCTCCTAGAAACTGAGTCGCGTATTCCTTGGCTGTAACTGATTTTGCGGTCGTTGTATGCCCCTGTGTAGAGTTTGTAGTGCCAACAAATTGGAACGCATACTTTTCTGCAACGACGTCGTCAAAGATGTTGCGGTGTTCATCTTCTCGCATTATCGGAGTGAGCTGTTCATCTTCTCGCATTATCGGAATGAGCTGTTGGTTGGACATGTCAGAAGGTTCCTGTTGATGACGATTCGGCTTTGGGTGGGGAGTGGTTAATAAACGTCTTGATGACTCATCAGGCCATCCTGAGAGATCTATTTGTGGTTATAAGACGGGAACGGAGTGATCTGTCAGCCACACCAAATGCCCTTTAGTACGTCCAATGATCAGCCATTAATACGCGCCTTCTCGTGTTATCCCAAAAAAGCTAGTTTAGGGCGGTCGGACCCTTGTCAGAACTAGGCAGCTAAAACTGCTACGTATCTCCTCGCTCTCTCTACTTATATCCACAGCCCAAGCTTGGTATTACCTTCCTATCGCTCTCAAACCCCAAGTCCGCTCCCTTTCGTCTCATTCAATATGGCTGAGGTTATTGGTATTGCTTCAGGCCTTGCCGGCTTGGTTTCCTTGGCGCTGCAATCGAGCACAGCGCTATACAGCACTGTTCAAAGCCTTCGCAATCGAGAAAAGTCTATCCGGGATCTCCGAGATGCGCTACAGGACCTTGATGAGGTGCTAAATATCCTTCGAGAATCAATTGACACCGCCCCCTTCCTTAACAGTGGAATCATTGAACGTCCCTTGGGTCGATGTTGTAAAGCTTGCAATGATTTTAACGCGTTGATCATGAATTGTTCCGAACATTCGACGGACAAGAAATTCAGTATCCGTGATTGGGCAAAATTGCGGTATATGGGCGAAGACATCGTTGGCTTTCAGACTATGATCTCAGGCTACAAATCCACAATTACCATTGCCCTTGCCTATGCCAATATGTACGTTTACCCATGTTTAATATCTTGGGCAGGGGAGGGGGCGATTTCTTACTAGGCACTTGTTAACTCTTCCAGGAATTTAACCAAAACAACGAAAAACGTTATCGATGAATACAACGAACTCATCGAAGACACCAAATGTGATCTTACTCTTCATCTACGGTCCATTGAGGATAGATTGAAGTCATTGTCCTCTGGAGAAATGGAATCCATGAATTTTCATATGATGGAAGAGGAAAGAGAAAGCACGCAGCATGGCCTCGAAATATGTGATCAATTTTCTGCTTATATAGAGAAGACGAGGTCCACTTCGCTACAGAAGATGACTCGGGTTCCAACCATTTCCGAAGTGGGATCATCACCCATAGGGCACAACTACAACAACATACCTTGGTTGATCCTCTCTCAGGCCTTGACTTCTGCGGAGAGAGAGGTCATTAATTCTAGGTTGAGGCTACTGCAACATCACCATGAGCGAGGACAGCCCCGAGTATTACATCACCAAAAATCGCTGCCACAGAACGATAAAACAGGCGAGCAGAATGAAAGTCAAGAAGAGGCCGCCAATATCAAAGAATCTTTGAATTTCTTTGATCGAATATCTCAAGAAACGAGCAAAGATCGAACCAACCATTTCGAGGATATCACGACTGGCGATAGGAGTACACAGGCTGTTGTGTCAACGCTCAAAGATCTTATCTCTGCAAGACGAATCACTTCGGGATCTGACTCGCTACAGGTCTTAGGGCAGGTGTCTGATGATTCACTACAGCGTATGCTACAAGGACGCTATAAAAACAGTGAACAGTGAGTACAGACAGCAAAAGGAACCAAGGGTGGATAATACGGGTTCACGGTGGTTCGAAAGCAAACTGCATAGACAGATGGTATTGGTGTGTTGGTGATAAAAAGGAGTTGTGGGAAAAGAAAGATGGCGAATCACTTCGGACGGGTTAGCAGCATTACGCCGGTCTCTCCTTGTTTGCCAACTCGGAGATCAATTGAGTGGTACTTGCTCGTCTTGTCTTATCTTGCATTGTACCTTGTAAAAGAAATTGACATTGTAAGGCGACCGACCCCAGTAGCTTAGCGTGGCATCCGGAAGCGGTGCAACTCTATCAGACCAGCTTGTGAATTTCAAGGCACACACTTTGGCTCCCAGTAAACATAGCTCCAGCAGGAATTGTAGCTATGAGAAACAGAACAGCCCCAAACGATGCCACTGGAAGCTGTGCTGTGGACGATTAAGACATGTCTGTCTTTCACAAGCCTGCAATGCCGCATTTCCGGACAACACTACACGTCATCTGAGATTGCGTATCGTACTTTCATCCTAATCCAATGGGGCTAAACGAGTCTCGAGATAACCGAGGTGACCAACTGCTGCGGAGAAGCGTTAGCCACAGCCAATCATTCCCAGTGGCAATAGATTCCGCCGATTAGGCCGTGGAAGGAGTGGGCCTCCGCAGCCTCATGGACTCAAATGAATCAAAAAATTCAAAGTCTATCGATTAAATTTGCACCGGTACATGTTTTCCATTGGCAGCTTGCAGCAGCCCCAGTGATGCGACCGTGTTCTGAACGACACGTGCGGGTTTGTCTGTCCGGCATATGTATGCCATGACTCGCGTAAACACGTCGCAAATGTACCCTGCACTTGCATAAAACAGCATCACTCTTTGTTCCCCTCATGAGGCTCGGCCAACTGGCTATCCAATTTTTAAGGCTGTCTCCGTCCTATAGCCTTTTATAAATAAGCCGTACAGTCCCAACGACTTCTTTAGACAAGAACCTACCCTTGGCCTTGAAAACCCCCTGAGATTCAAGTTGCAATATCTTGGAAACAATGTCTCTTATCAACTCAAGTTCTTTGAATTCAGGAAAGCATGACTCCCCAACTGCCGTTATTGGTGGTAGTCTGGATGGCTTTTTCAAGCACATCCATGCGCTGGCTTCAAGCTCTGAAACCCAAATAGCATCAGCGATGCATAGCGAGATCTCTAAACTGCGCAAAGAAATCAATGTTAGAGATGGAGAGCTAAAGAAAGTCCAAAACGAGGTTCTCGATATCAAGGAAAGAAAAAGAGTCGCTATTGAAGAGATGTTTGCTGCCAACGAGAGCGAAAAGGCAAAACAGAAGGACTTAGCTGCGCAAATCAAATCTCTTTATGCCACTGTCGACGAAAAAGAGGACAATATTAAAGAGTACTCGACAAAATTACGAGGCGCTGAACAGCAGATAGCGGATCTCAAATCGGCTAACTCGCAAAAGGCCGCCAAAGTTTCCCAATCTGCCACACAAATCAACACACTCGAGAACAACTTGAAAGAAAAAGAGAAGACGATTGACAAAATGAAAACCGCTGGCTCGAGCTTGAGATCAATGTTTTCATCGGAGCAGAAGAAGAAGGAGGAGCTAGAAGCTGCTAATGTTACAATGAGCAAAGAACTAAAAGCAGTCAAATCTCGACTTGAAAGATTGGAATCTTTCTTTGTCCAACACTCGGCAGTCGAAGAAAAATCCATGTAAGTCGAACATACTGATTCGCAGATCTCCATGAGCTGACTGCTCGCATCAAAATATAGCTCGATGAAGTTTAAGGATATTTGGAACTTCGCTGCTAGCGAATTATCTGTTTTATTGCAGCAAGATGTCCCAACAGAAGTCTTGAAGGTTTGTCCTCCAACCTGTTTATAATGCTCGTCGCTTACAATACTCTTAAGGAAAAACCCATCTGGGAGAAACTTAGAAAAGCACAGGATATAGTGCTACCACCAAACTTCCCTTTGATTCCTTCCAATTCGCCGGGAGCTAAAGCAATGCGCTTTGCTATGACCTTGGCGGTTCTGTCTAGAGAGATTTGCCGGCACATATTTCAGCCGAGCTACCTTCTTTCAGGGCATACTCGAATTCATGACGCCCTGGCTCACCTTGCAGAAACTGATGGTGAGCAAGAAGCCTTTTGCCGTTGCGTAATTCTCTCCATAGATCCCAATGCCGAAGATGAGGCTCTCCAGGCCGAAATACAAGCTGTGATCGGCAATATGTCATCATATGTGCAGGGACTGCTCTCCGAACCGCAACATGGCTTATTTTGCACGAGCATCAAAAGGATAGTGCAAAGCGCGGTTGAAGTCTGGCTTGAAATTCAACGTTCACAACAAAAATATGCGACTGATTTTGAGTTATTTGATCTTGAGGATGACGAATGGAGCCATTTGCCTCTTGCTGGCGTTAATACAAACGGAGACGACCTTAATCTTCTCACTGTGTTCCCGTGTCTCTCGCTGCTACAGGATGGCGATCATGAACCACTGACCGACATAATCCAACTTCGCAGCTCACAGGCATTGTGCTTGGCAGCGCAGCATGAAGCCACCGAAATGGCAAGATCCGCCATCACTAGAAGATCTTCAACCCGTCCGAGGAGAAAGTCAACCTCTCAAAGCAGCGCAAGCTCAACTGGGAAATCTTTTTTAGGTGGGAATTCAGCCAAGGAATGACTGCTATGCCGTGGAGAATATTTCGTAAACGGCAGTATGATGCAGATGGAAGGATTGATATTTAAGGTATTTTGCCACGGCCTCCATATAGATGGGGCTCTACCTCGGGTCGATGATTGGTGTCCAATGAGATGACTAAACATGCTGTTCTTAATCGCAACGACGAAACCATAAGGTTATCGCAGGACTTGTAACACTTAACTATAAACGGCTACAGGCATATATGTAAAAATGGCACAACTCCACCGGGGCAGCAATCGGTCCTCTTCCCGGATGTCTCCGATACTGTATCCTTGGGGATATGTGTTTTTTTAATAGTAGGGGGGAGGGAGTAGGATAGGGTCCTAGGCTGGGATCCTCATCACAGCATGCGACGCACTCGTCTCGAAAAATGGGGGGCTTAGAATGGCAGCCTTGTGGGCAACAGAGGGCGACCAGGAAAAATGAAGGCATTTAATCATACAACCACGTCGGCCAAAACGATTACGAGCTCGGTGATCTGTGATTTAGCGGATAGATCTTTTTGCTTGTATATTTGAATTTTTACCCTACATCTACTCTCCAGGCTCGTCGGAATCCACTATCAAAATCAAAGCACCCCGCGGATGTGATCTCTCCAGCTTTCTGTCTGCCCAGGAATTGTTAGGTGGCACGCACGGAGACTGTGAGGGAGGGCGCAGTATATAAACATCAACCGATAGACCATCCTGTACTTTTCCGTTTCTCCTTACAGTGCACACATTGATATGCTTTTTACTACGTACCTGGGACACATCCAATGATGTCAAGACATCGCACGAAGTTCCATTTATGTGGCGCTAAGATTCAATAAATTCTATGAAACTTTTTCATTAATGGACTTGGTTCTGGTATAGTGGTATAGACACCAAAACGAGAAGTCGATATATAGCTCATATTAAACAACAAAATGTAGATCGTATCATATGTCATAGTTGGCTCCAAATAAACAAGAAGGCAACATATATCATCTTTCATCTTTCATGAATCATGAATCGAAAATTGGCCCGTAGGCTGGAATCCCTTGTGATTCAAACTCGTAAACAATACTTTGAGTCACCGCAGGGTTGCTTATCACAAACACCGCCTCCGCTCTAAAGTCCTTGAATTGCTGTCGAATGACAGGAAGCATGTCAACACGGCCAACGAGACTGGTATCGAAGATAATCGGGTCTGGGCTCATCTGATGAACGAGATCAAGAACATTCTGGCCATAGGTCTTCACCGGGTCACGTGTCTGCCAAATGACCTTGATCTTGGGTCGGTTTTCGTCGCCGAGGAACCCGAGGCATGGTCCTATCCCGGACCCTGTGGTCACTATTATAATGCGGTCGAAAACACGAAGACCGTATCCGACGCCACGCATCAGCGACCCGCGCTTCCAGAGATGGGTTGGCGGTTTACTGATGGTATCAGCGGTCCAGTCCCCTGCTTTTGACACCACGACAGACCAGCTTCTCTTATGCCCGTGGCCCTTGACAAATGGTTTCTTGCCAGGGGTGTTCTTCTCAGGTGCATTCTCAACAACCGGGATGGGATCTGGAAAGCCGGCAAAACTGTGCCAATCGCGTAAAGGATGCTTGGAGACCTGGACACCCTTCGCGAAGCTGATTTGGGTGAAATCAAAAGATAGTCGTACAGCATGCGTAGACAGTGGCTCTGCCTGCACAGGGACCCTGCGCAAAAGCAGCCATGGATGGGCTATAGCGATGATAGCCGCGATTAAAAGCCAAAATGCAGGAAGAGTAACGAGGAAGTGGCCAAGACTTTCCTGGGCCGCATTACTCGATTCATGGGCAAATATCATGACCAAGGCCACGAAAAGCGCCAGAATCAGCCACGAGGTGAATCGGTGAGTGAGCTCAAAGTAATCATGCATCCTCCTGCGGAAGGTTGGGTATGCCACGACTACCATCACGAAAAGTAGCACAAGAGTGACGTAGGCGACGGCGATTGGTGCGGCCGAGAAGCAGGCATCCGTTACTGAACTGATAGGAATGTTTTGCCAATACATTTGTGACAACACGGCAACAAATCCAATATACCATACCAAAGATGCAGTCCCACAACCACTGTGAACACCACCATAGTGAGCTGCCTTGGCAGCCCTACGACGCAAAGACAGCGGTGCAGTGCGAGGAATCGAACACACCACTCTATAAATAGCATTGACCATCATCGGGTGTCGAGCGAGACCGCAAGCCACCAAGTTGACGGCCGTCGCATCCACGAGTGCGAGGAGCTTCCGATCAGAAATCACCACGTAGAGGAAAACAGCCAGATTTGCGAAAAATACGAAAGTGAAGAGCCGTCGATAAACAGTAAACACTGCATATCTGAAGTGTGCAAACCGCTTCCGTCGAGGCACTGTGGGCTGAGCCTCTAGATCAGTCTCGTCGGGAGACTCGTGGCCATTGGAGGGGACCTCTTTGGCGACCTCCTCTTTGGCGACCTCTTCAGAAAAGATGTCATCAATGATAATCTCATGGTCTGCGACAATGGCCCTGGCCGGGGGTTCCGGCATGGACAGGTTGTTTTTTTCGGCGTCCGCCATTTGCTGGAAGTGAAAAGACGTAAGGGAGAGGAGGGAGCAATGAGATTGGATATAAAACCGGACTGTTTTATTTCATTTTTGTTTATTTTTTTTCGAGTAAGACTAAAGTACACCAAAGGACGCCTTGCACATTTTAGTGCGATAGAGCATTTTCGGGAAATCGCGAAATCGCGAAATCCTACTTTCCCTTCCCTGGCGAAGGAAGTACACAAAGGCTCCACTGTGTGGAGATATCCTATGCTGCACAGAGATACAAATTACGGAGTAAGTCAATGGTCCAGCCCAAGCTCAAGAATCCACCCCTCAGTCTGTAGATCCTTCGAAAACTTTCCATTGGTTATTTTGAAATTTGACAAAATTCCAAGTACCTCGGTCGACGTGAATAGACGAACACCAGCATTGGGAGCCCCCGATACCACCCAAAAATCGACAGTTAATATACATAAGGTGTACTTTCCCCTGGAGCTGGGACCTAGACTTGAGATATGCGAGACCAGGGAGAATCAAAAGCAACAATTGAAGATCGGGATGGCCGGCGGAACCCGTAAAAGCAAGCTAAGCGGGGCTTATCGCCTTGCTTCTGAACCTTAGAAGTGGCATGTACATACTCCGATATGTATGTAATATCCCGTACTATGCCATCCCTGCAGCAATCGAGGCCATAAAAGGGCTAATAGGGCGACGTGTACTTTCCGTACCAAGTCCACGTTCCTTGTTATCATTCCGGAGAGTTCGTGAGAATTCCCCACCCAGTCCCGCTCAACAAGACTCAAAACTCGGTCTTCATGTTGATCAACGTGATCGAGAAATGTCGATCCAGTTCCCCATATGTGAGACTATGAGCTGTCATAGTGGAGCATGGAGCAAGCTGTGGACGAAGCTGCCGCGCTTGGTCCCCTACTTTGTATTATTTTAATAGTATCTTCCATTGCCTGCACGATCCTGCAATCTGCACAACGGGCCCATCCGCCATGCCACATGCGAAGTCCAAGGATAAAACGGGTTATCATGTGAATTGAGACTCGGGACCCACTCGCGGCACGGGCTTACAGACACGGCAAGTCTTGGCAATTTAGTACGTTTGGTAAGTTTCGTAAGTGGAACAGCGTATTGTAAGTAAAAAACACATATACTGAACTATTGAAACTAGCCATAAAAATGAGATGCGCTAAAAAGCAAGATGGAAACACGGTTGAGGATAAGGTCAACTACTCCATATTCATTCGAGAGATCTTCAGCTCGGCACTGAGACAAATGAACTAGTGGAAGCGATTTTTCTCGCTAACGCCTTGGTCGGTTGCGAGCCAAGGAACTCGAACGAGGACAGTTCTGACCCCAATTCACGAGAGACCCAGTTTTGAACGGCAGTAGCTTTGAGGGAATCGACTAAAGGACAGCATTAGTCAACTGAAACAGCATACTGAAATATTATCAACGCAAACGTACCACCCAACGCAGACAACGGTAGATCCGAGTCGATAGCATCCGCGGTTGTAGCCATTGCGTCTGCTAGATATTCACTCAGAGTGTTTAGAACAATCTCAGTTGCAGCATCGAGGGAATCAGCCTCCTTGAGTAAGGTGCTGGTCTGAATAGAATCCTGAGCATCCTCAACAGCGACACAAAGCCGGTGATCAAACTTTCGATCGAGGACCCAGGCCGTAGAACCATTGCTGCGAGACAGAGAGTCGGTCATGCCGGCGATGACCTGAGACGGAAGAGAAAGTTTGCTGTTAATTATCACTCTAAGCAAGGTCTGGAGCTCATGGGTCATGATTTCTGTGCCTTCGAGATGTTTGTATCGGCGGCGACGTTGTTCTGGGTCTTCGGAAATATCACTAAGTCCACTGGCATCTGGCACAAGGCCGATATTAATAGAATAGCCTGGGAGACCATGACTGTGTCGCCATTCCATGAGAGCATCAATGAAACCATTACCCGCAGAATAGTTAGCCTGTCCCATATTACCAATGACACTTGCCACGGAGGACAATGCCACGAAGAAAGTCAAGCTTTTCTTCTCCGAAAACAGATGGTGTAGGTTCAGTGTTCCGCGGATCTTGGACTGTGTGGATTGAGTCCAGTCATCAAAAGTCATGTTCTCGAACATTGCGTCCTGAAAATAAAGTAAGGAATTAGGTAGTGTTAATGGGGAAAACGAGACCAGGGTAATCACCTTCAGAACTGTTGTACACTGAATCACGCCTCCGACTGTCCAATTGTTACTGCGGATCTGGTATGACAGATGGTCAATATCCGCCTGTTGGGAGATGTCACAGCGTAGTACATCTATGCGGCACCCGCGATCGCGAAGGAGATCAAGGGCGAGCTGCTGGGTAGGATGTACGCCGCCAGATCGTCCAAGGAAAACCAAATGGTGGGCCCCAGACTGCACCAAGGTATCAGCAAGCGCAAGGCCTAGATTGCCCAACCCACCTGCTAAGATATATGTGTCTTCCGCTGACAAGCCAGTAAGATCTGGCAGTGGCTGCACAATGGGAACCATTCCAGGGGCCTTAAGATCTATAATAGCTCGGGTGTTGGTTGTTTTGCAGTGTTTTAAAGCTGATTGGAGATCAGAAACAGCGAAGATGGAATAAGCTTCCACGCGGTCCAACATCCGATTCTGCTTCATGAAATTGATCACATGCCGAAGGGAAGCATGGAGGTTGCCGGGCTTCTCTGAGAATGTTTTCTGCAGTCGCGGCGAAGAGAACGTGCAGCCACTGTCAATGAAGCTTTCTGGAAGAGCACTCAGCTTCATATCGGTAGACAGATTAATGTACTGTCCACCTGGGACCAGACACCTCGCAGCATTCCGACCAGGATACCCGCCTAGGAAGCAAATGCTGGCGTCAACTCCACACCCATTTGTCAGCCTAGAAACGCTCGTTTCCATGCCACCGTGAACGCCCAGAATTCGATTCGCCAATACCGGGTATCGAGAACGAAGGCTCTCGGCGGTATCTAGAGAATCAGCTGCCACGATTACTTGCATGTTCATGGCAAGGGCATAATCTATCATGGCCTGGAGAGTTTTATTGATTGACCCAACCAAAAGTACCGATGAGTTTGAGCTGAGACGACCAACTTGGGTGAGAATTTGATAAGCGTTGAGGTATGCCAGAGGAGTTGATATTGCCTTTCTCGGGTCGGTGTTTGAAGGAATTCTGATAATGTCACTTTCCAAGGCCCGAATTGTTGTCGAGAGTCCAGAGTTCGCTGATGCTAACGTCAAAACCTTATCGCCAACAGCCGAGTCGTGCACACCAGATCCAATACGCGTTACTTTTCCAACAATTTCGAACATGGGAAGAGCTGTCTCCGGTGTCTTCCTCTGATCCCCGTGTAAATCAAAGATTGTCGCCATTTCAACCTTGATCTCAGTGTGGTCTGGCCGAAGCTGGTCTTCGGTAAATTTTTGTTCTTCCCAGTGTGCATTGTCTGCATCCTGGAAGCTTAACTCAAGTGGTCTTGGGTCAAGCGTTAGGTCTGAGAGTATGGGCCTGGGGCCATTCAGCAGAGTGTCCATGGCCTCAACCACCGTTGGGGTCTCGAGGACTCGTGGAACTAGCAGTCGACCGTTTGCCAGACGATACTCCAAGTCTGGTCGGCGTGAGCTCTCTTGTGTGGTGAGCTGCATGACTTGGAGAATGCCAGCAGCTAGTCTGAATTTGTCCTGCAAATCGTTCACATCCACCAATAGGTGTGGGATAATAGTGTTCCACTGTTCATTACGAAGTGTTCGCAAAAGGCCACCCGTTGCACCGGATTCAACATTGTCAACGGCCCCCTCGGTCCAGGAAGGCGACACCCAAAGAACGTATTGAGCTCGAATCAAGTCTTGGAGATGTTGCAGATCATTTTCCGTCCAGCCGGATATCCAGGGGCTTCCCAAGTCAAGCAACGAGATCACAGTCTTCCCTGCTAGTGTAGCTACCTGTTCCAATCCAACAGGCACCAGTCTAATGTTATGACCAGCAAAGATCTTCTCGAGTTGCTCAAAGACAGGGAATGAGTTAGAATTGTCTGCTGGACTCAAAACATAGATTTCAGGGTCTGTTGCCCACGAGACTGGTGTCCTGCGCGCGATGATAAACTCGCGGTCTTCGGTCGTACTATAAAGTTCGAGGCCATCGAAGCGCTGCAGCATCTCCACTGCTGAGTCCAAATTTGTTCCTGGAACCCGCATTGCTGCCAAACCTCCGTGTTCAACTATGGTTAGCAGGCAAGACAGGATTACCTGAGTAGAATTGCTATCCCAAAGCGTGGGCTCATCGATCACGACCAAATCATATTTGTCCTGAGCGAGTGACGAGGATGGAAGTTCATCGAGTGCAGCGAGAGGCGTCAGGCGAGTTCCTGGGGGACTGTTCTCTGCGGGGGTGGTACCCACCACCTGGCTATCGGGGCCGCATGAAGCGATAGTGACCTTTCCTAGGCAAGGTCGCTTTCCGACGTTTGGGAGGAACTCTTGGAGATTTTCGATCCAAGAGTTTGATGCATCCGAAGTAGTAATGAGCGCCTTGGCATCCCCGTTGGTATGGCAAAGTCTCTTAATCCAGTCAACTAGCTGGAGACTTTTAGCTTGCGGGGCCGTATTCTTGTTTCCGTGGTGGGTTACGCTGGGGACAAGCGGCGATTCCAAATGCTCATCCCAAACAATCGACGAATATCGGCTCTCCGATGAGGCTTCTTCCTGATTTTGGGAATTGGGATTGAAAGGAAGGCGACCGAGATGAACACCTTCAAACGTAATCCAGGGGTGTGACCAGGAGGGATCCGATGCGATACACTGGGATCGCGATTTTCCATCTCGCCACTTAGTCTCTGTGTGGACAACGAATTTTTCGCCTGTCTGGGGTTGGAACGTATTAGAGATGTAGATATTTTCCACGCCGACAGGGATATTCGCGTCGTTGTTGGAGAGTGCCTCGGAGCAAGACAGAAGGGCAGACTGGAAGAGGCAATCAAGGGTGGTGGGATGGATAAAACTGGATGACTCCTTCTCGAAGGGCATTGATTGTTTGGTGTCTGTAACCACCCCAGATAGCCAGATACGAGGCTCTGAATCGCAGAAGGAAACTCCAGTGATTGTCTGGAAGGCCGGGCCGACGGTGAGTCCTCCTGTTTGAGATAGCCATTCACGTGCTTGTGTGATATCAGCCATTTTTGCGACTGCTTGGGTATTCTTGATGCGCTCCAATGCCACTTCCCAGTTTGAGTTATGCTCGGGACTGTCTCGGTCTTCATATCGTGTAATGAATGCACCGTTCGCGTGTTGGATCCAGCCACCCCCGGACGGAAGTGAGAAAATTCCGAATTTATACCAACCCGGCATGCCTGGATGAGGCGAGACCTGAAGGAGAGTTTCCAAACCTCGTTCTTCGTCAGGAATAACCACTCCTCGCATGAAATTAAGGTCTTGGAATTCTATTCCCTTGATGCTGGCCTGGCCATCAGCTAGCTGCCGCGCTGCCTCGGTAGCCATCACCAACATGCCCGCGGCTGGGAATACAATCGATCCAGCAACAACATGATCGACCATCCAAGGATTCTCCGAGAGCCGCAAGAAGTTTCTCCATCGTGGCTCCAAGGCGTTTTGATAATCCACAGCAGCCCCCAAGATATCATGACGGGGATGCTTACGTTGTCTCAATTGCGATGTCTCTAACGGCTCATGCCAGAAGGACGTTTGGTGATTCCAAGGATAGGAAGGCAAATCAGCAATCACAGTTGGGCTTGTGGTATCGACACAACTGTTGACCGCCACAAGGTCTACTGTATGTCCTGTACTCCAAAGAGACCCAGCAACTTCGAGCGCTGTTTCCAAAGCATTTTTGTTCCGCGAAACCAGTGAATGGTAAGGCAATGATGCCATGTTTGCGTTGATAGATTGCAGAATCTGAGTGACAGGTCCTTTCAAAACGGCGTGTGGGCCGATTTCAACCAACGCGGTCCATTTGATTGGAACCGGCCGTCGGCGAGACTTGATAGACTCGCTCAGGCTTGCGAGTTGTGACACCGCGGCAGTAAACTCTACCGAGCTGACCATGTTACGCACCCAGTATGATCCACCAAGCTCGGTGGGATACACACGCTCTTTGGTGACCGATGAAAGCATGGGGATTGAACCACTGTATCGATCTTCTGGCTTGATACAATCGATGGCGTCACCTACCACTTGAACAAGATCTTCCATGTGAGGGGAATGATACGCCGTATCGATGCGCAATTTTCGAGCAAAGTGACCATCCTGTTGTAGCCTTACTTCAAGCTGATCGATGAAGTTCACATCACCCGAAAGGGTTGTACTGGCTGGACTATTGACACAGGCAACGACAACTGAACGTGGGGGCAGCTCGTCAAGGTATTTCTGTGCGTTCGCTGCCGATATACCAGTAGCAAGCATGCCTCCTCGTCTGTCACTCTGGACAATTTGTTGCGAGAAGAAACCGCGGAACCATGCGACTCGCATCGCATCTTCATGAGAAAGATATCCGGCAGCATATCCGGCGGCTATATGATACACATACGTCAGTTGCTATATACCTTGAGATACTTGTTGCAAGAGAAAAGAACAGGAGATGTTCATACCAATTTCACCGCTAGAGTGACCAACAACTGCGCTGGGATAAACCGACCAACTGGCCAAAATATCGACCAATGCAATCTGCAACGCGCAGGTAATGGGCTGGCTGCGATCGGGTCGGTTGATTTTACTGTCTTTTGCCTCTGCAGTTATCTCATCCACGATATCAAAAGGACATCCCAGGGACGAGAGAATGCCTTGTGATCGTGCCATGCTTTCCCTAAAAGTGGAAATTCTCAAGAGTTCCCGACCCATTCCAGCCCACTGGCCACCCTGACCTGTGAACACAAAGGCAAGTTTCGTTTGAGCTTTGCGACTAGCCCGAGAAAACTTGGGAAGCCCCTTGTCCAAGATGCTCTGTAGCTGGTCTTGTGAGTTAGCAACCGCGAAACTGCGGAATCCCAACTGCGATCGGCGTGTCAGCATTGTATGAGCTAGATCTTTTAGTGAGATCTCCTGCGTGGGGTTTTGTTGACGTTGAAGGAATTTGGTCCAGCTTTGACCGGTCCGTTCAATGCCAGCTTGGTCGAATGTAGAAAACACCACCACACGAGGGGCAGGCTCCCTATCTTCAGCATCGCCCTGAAAGGATCCCGGGGGGCCTTCGACAATTAGGTGTGCATTCGATCCGCCGAATCCAAAGGAGTTGATGCTAGCTCGCCGTGGAAGATGGTCCGGCCAGGGCATTGTTTCGTTGCTCAGTCGTAAACGCCAATCATCGAGCCGGATCTTAGGATTGATCTTTTTGAAGCCGACGTTTGGTACCAACATACCCTTTTCTAAGCACAACACGACTTTGATTAAGCTTGCAACTCCTGCAGCGCCCTCTGTGTGACCAAGATTTGTCTTCACTGAGCCTATATATAATGGCTCATCAGTCGGTGTTCGTGCATGACCCAAAGTCATTCCGACAGCAGACAGCTCCAATGGATCCTATTCATTATCAAGTTAATAAAGTTAATGTGAGTATCCATCAATAGAGTTGTTTTGCTTACCCCTGCCGGAGTTCCAGTGCCATGGGCTTCAAAGTAGGCAGTGTCTCTCATTGAGATACCATGGCGTTCATAAACCGAACGAATCAAGTTGGCTTGTGACGCTGGGCTGGGCAATGTAATTCCAGGGGTACGACCATCCTGGTTGATTCCTGTGCCACGGATGACGGCTCGAATATTATCTCCATCGGCTAATGCGGCGCTGAGAGGTTTCAAAAGCACAGCACCAATGCCCTCTCCCCGACCATATCCATTCGCAGACTCATCAAATGAATGACTTATTCCGTCTGGACTCATCATATGCATGTAGGAGAGTCTTTGTGTAAAATTAGGGTGCAAAATGAGACTAGCTCCAGTTACCAGGGCCTACCACAAGCATGTTTAGTACGTGCCATATGCGGATGGATAAATGTTGCAGTACTCACCATTCCACATTCCCCAGATCGCAAGGATTGCGCTGCTAAGTGGACCGCAGTCAAACTCGAGGAACACGCAGTATCCATCATGATACTCGGGCCTTGGAGATCAAAGAACCACGACAAACGATTTGCCAGCATAGTCCTTCCATTACCGGTAGCCGAGTTGTGAGCCATATCATAGATGTCTCTTGTCGATAATAGCTCATAATCGTTGGTCATTGAGCCGGAGTACACTGCTGTGTTGCTCCCTGGCAGTGTATCTATCGGTATTCCACCTATTTCGCTCATTTTAGCCTGGCTGATTTTCCCATAAATGTTTAGATTTCGCCTGTCTTACTGTTCTCAAATGTTTCATATGCGACTTCGAGCAACAAACGCTGTGCTGGGTCCATTCCCTCCGCCTCTTTGGCTGTGATAGAGAAAAAAGGAGCATCAAATCGTGAAGGATCTTCCTGCAAGAAAAACCCACTATCATGATTGATCTAATCATCCATGACCTTAATGTTAGAATGATAGACCAACGTCTAATTGAGATATTCATACCGCTCCTTTGCGTTCATGGCTGGGGTGATGCCATCCCGAAGCTTCATATCGGCTCGTGGGAACTGTCCCATGTCCAGTGCGTCCGTCGCATAGCATCTGCCAAAAGTTCTCCACGGAGTTTGCTCCTCCAGAGAAGCGACACCCCATTCCAATTACTGCGATTCCCTCCATATCTGCAGTGGCAGAAGTCGTCGTTGGTCGGCCAGGCATCTTGTGGGTATAGAATAACTGAGGACAGGTTTGGACAAGATTCAAAAAGGGGATGCTGCGGGGTATTATAGTCAAATCTATGCCAGCCTCCGTCGTGATTGTAGACCATAAATCTGGGCATGGATCCAGGACGCTAGTGCGGTTAATGCGCGTACAGTCTCGCATATTCACATGCCTATATTACTGGCTATCTAAGCTATCTAAGCGGAACACGCAGTGGAGCCCTCGACACATTCATAATCGCCATGAACGATATGTTTTGTACACCCTTTGCAGTTTAGCTTGACGATCCCCTGTTTCCGAGTTTAGGAACAAATGTCTGGGATATTGATCTGGCTAATGCAGTTGGATCTGGTTCTCCATAGATATCCAGCTCTAATGACAGACCAATCTCACAGTTTGTAGGTTTGCGTCGGCATTCTCGTGAGGAAACGATTACGAAAATGCTGTCAAGTGGAGACTGTTTGATCCATAGATCAACGAACTAGATCGTCAATGCTTCAAAATAGAGATGTGAATTATACTGTGACAACATATTACCAGTATCGGTCACTGTATTTCAAGTCTATTTTCCATCGACCCGCATGGCCTCCACTATATATTTTGACACTAAGCCAATGTTAGTGGCGGGATGTTGCCTATCATTCCCTTTGAATCTTTTTTTTTAAGATTCGCAGTGGAGAATCCACTTTCCCTTCCTAGCACCCCCTATTTGAGAGTTCCACTTTACGGATTCTCCGTCCTTGCATGGATGTATTCTAGAGAATATCAACCTTGCGTGTTTATCTAGAGGGCTAGCTCTTTAGTTCTCATTGTCTTACATTCTCGCGCCTGAGATGATTGGCTATGGTAAATGGGAGAACTGGCATCGCCTGGGCCACCGGATCTTAATCCCGTGAGATCTTCTAGCCTATGGAGCAAATTTTACAATAGAATAGTAATTGACTTTATTGAAGGTAACTAACACTTGCTTGCCCCTCCCTGCACGCAGATCATCCAGAATATTCCGTATATGGAGTACATTTCACCTGCATTTCGGCGATCTTGGAAGCTTTACGGAGTATGGTGTGCAGTAGTCTACGGAATACGCTAGCCAGCTTCTCGAGCACACGGCAAAAACATGGTACTTTTATCAGCTCTTCAATAGTTCAATGTCGCCCTGAATCCTGGGTCACTCTAAGACCTTCTAAGCCACATACGGACAATCCGCATGGGGCAATAGTATACGTCGCTTTCACAACCCCCAATTCCCCCATTTGAGGGATTTATCTAGACACGTTCGAGCTATACCCCGCCTCTCTCACACCTTTCATTTCCCCCACGCTGTGATATCTGTTATGAATGATGGCCCAAAGCGGCATTATTGTCCAAGAACCTGGCCGCGCGACGCTGGTACAAGATGTCCCGCTCCCTGAATTGCCGGACAATTACATTCTCGTCAAAACAAAAGCTGGTATTTTTCCTCGTGCTCTTCTTCGCTCCCGTGTCTCATGAATAGCTGGACTAACACCGTACGAAGTCGCTTTGAATCCAACGGACTGGCGTCATATAGATTTTGTACCCTGCACGGGGGCCACCGTGGGCTGCGACTATTCTGGAATAGTAGAGGCCGTTGGCCCCAGCGTTAAAAAGTCCTTCAAAAAGGGCGATCGTGTTGCTGGGTTTGTACACGGCAGCAATGCTGTTCGACACAATGGCGGCGCATTTGCTCAGTATGTGATTGCTAAGGGCGATCTCCAAATGTTGATCCCCGAGTACATGAGCTTTGAGGCGGCAGCCACCTTTGGTGTCGGTTTGACCACCGTTGGTCAAAATCTTTACCAAAGCATGGAATTGCCTTTCCCCGGCGAGGAGAGCGAATCAGATGACACAAATATCTTAATCTATGGAGGGGCAACGGCTACCGGTACGCTTGCGATTCAATTGGCAAAATTATCAGGATTGCGAGTCGTCACGACATGCTCTGAAGCCAACCGCGGCCTCATGCTTGAGCTTGGGGCAGACGCAGTTTTTGATTACCACGATCCACTAGTGGGTGAGCAGATCCGAGAGGATACTGATGATGCTCTGGAATTTGTTCTTGATACAATCTCCACGCCCCAGTCGGCTGCTATCTGCAGTGCTGCCATTTCCTCAGCGGGAGGTTCCTACAATGCTCTACTGGATGTTCCATGCCCTAGAGATGACGTTGATTCACATGTCTCAATGGCGTATGATGTTCTGGGAGAGCCTTATCGCATGGGAGCGCACGAGATATCCCCCGATAGCACTAACTTTGACTTCGGCATCAAATGGTGGGGATTAGTGCAGAAATTACTCGAGGAACGTCGCATTCACCCTCATCCATATCAGGTGAAACCAGGAGGTTTGGCTGGAGCGTTGGCCGGTCTTCAGATCTTACGGGAAGGTAAAGTCCGAGCTTCCAAGCTAGTCTATCGGGTCGATCAATCCGAGTAATATGTCAAAAACAAAATAAATGAGTTCTTTGTTTCCTATGTTTCAAAAGACAGTTATGAGTATGACTTGACTGTAAGTGTAGTCTTGTAACCAACGAAGGACAAAGAGATAAAGGTACAATGGCATTACCTCCCTGGGTATTTATAGAATTGCTGGTTCGTACCGCCCCTTTCTGCCGCCTTGGCGGGCCCCACTGGAATCAGGGGTTCCCATGGTTGGCATCCCACTTTGCAAGATCTCAATATCATCACAATGGAAATGATTCCTCGTCGATCAGCACTCAAGCCATACGCGGCTGAATTTCTCGGCACTGCCCTCCTCATCGTCATCGGGGATGGAGTTGTCGCCCAATGCCTACTGTCCGAATACCAATACGGCACCTGGCTGTCCATCAACCTCGCCTGGGCCTCTGCCGTGTGTCTCTCTGGCTATTTGGCTGATCCCAGCCCGACCATCAACCCGGCGGTAACTATTTGCATGGCTCTGGTCCGACCATCTGAAGGACAATGGAAGCAAATCCCAGGCAAGCTAGTTGCGCAGTTCCTGGGCGGGTTTGTCGGCGCTGCCATCGTATATACCAACTACCGATCGGCGATCAAAGCTTGGGATCCTGAATACACCATTCCCGGCGGATCAATTCTAAGCCCGGTCGGCCATCACTCAGCGGGCATTTTCTCGACCTATCCAGGTTCCTACTTCGAGTCGAACTGGGAGGCTGTATTTTCTGAGGTGCTAGGCTCGGCTGTGTTGATGTTTGGCTGTCTCAGTATCTCCGATCCGGTGAATGCTCGTCGATTCCCTGCTCCACAGCTCGCTGTCTTTTTGCTGCTGCTTATGATCGGAGCCGCATTGGGCTGGCAGACCGGCTACGTATGTTCACCAGGTTACCAGGTTAGGAAGCCTTACTAATACATGTCACTAGGCCCTTAATCCAGCTAGAGACTTTGGCCCGAGATTGTTCTCCGCTATCATCTATGGCCGGGAGGTCTTTACGGCGGCCAACTACTATTTTGCTGTGCCCCTCTTCGCCCCTATTATCGGCTGTGTTGTTGGTGCGGCGACTTACGACAGTTTGCTGTTCGAGGGAGAAGGATCGCGCATTGCCGATGCGATGGGCAAAGTTGAGGCTTACGAGTATCATCGCCTGGAGTGATGTCTGAATTTTGTAGACTCAATGGTAGATTTGCTAGTATGGGGTTAACTATATGTAAATTATCATCATTGGACATAAACATATATAAATGGTGAGGTCAAGTGAAAGCAAGGGGATAATTCAAAACTGATATTTCTTTTTGCACATCTCTTCTTACCTCAGCCGCACCGAGCTATTGTCGGATCGTTAGCACTCTCGCCAATTAATGCAAACCGAAGGTCATGAAAAGAAGCGAAAAAGGACTCTAAAACGGCGCTTCGGTCGGCAACGTATGCCAAGGCGCTGGATGCTAAATGCCAGGTGCAAATCGCAAGAGATTAGAAAAAGTTCTCATGAAGCTAGATTAATAGGAAGCAAGGTGAAAATATGTGGATTTATTGAGATAGTGGTGCTATTAGACAGTCGTAACTTCATGGAGTTGGTGAGGATTATAAATTTGAGCTCTGTTATCCGGGAGCCTTTTGTGGCCTTCTACTTATAGATAATTGTGGTAGAAATCGCGTTGAAGAACACTTGTGGACAAACTCGCCATTATTGCTGACACATCATCCTTGTTGTTCGCTTGTAAACACCTAGTCCACCAACCTATCACCAAAAGATCTCAAACCAAATTATGAACCCTTCAAGCCCAAGCCAAGGGGAGCCAATCAATCTACTCTGGTCCGTCTCATCATCGGCTGTGAAGCTCATACCCCCTTGACATTCATGTCGACGAGAATCGCCAAGCGCAAGCGTGCGAGGAAGGCATGCATCCCTTGTCACCAGCGTAAGCGGAAATGCGACGCTGGGTATCCCTGTGGCACGTGCACCACCTATGAATATAACTGCAGGTACGCCGACGACAACACCACCAGCAATGCGGATGGTAGCATACACGCTCCGCTCCAAGCCGAGCGTGTCAGCGCCAACGGCGGAAGTAGTATGGTGAACCGGACCGCTGCCACATCGCGTAGTCCGGATAGCTGGTCTTATGTAGCACGAGATCCCCGCGGAGCCGACAGCTCATCAAAGAGTCCTACCGTCATAGCCGGCACGTCCGCGGCCACGGCCACGGCCACCGGCATCTTCGACGAGCATAAATCCAGATACACCGGGGCATCGGCGGCCATGGCATTTCCGCACATCTTGAGTGCAGCCCTCGGCTCTGGCAGCCCTCCCAAGATGCACTCATTTGCCTACAACTTTGGCATCCGCCCTGAAGAGGCTCCCAACGCTCATGGCTTGCTGGGGAAGCTCATCTCGGAGGACGACCTCAGCTTCTTCTCGGGTGTGTACTTCTCGGTAATGGCCCCTATTACTGACTATATGGACCCGAGAATCTACGCTCAGCGATGTCGAGATTATTACCATGGCACCGGTAGCACCGCGGTTGCCTTTGGCGCCGTGGCCGCTGGCGTCGCTGCTCTCGGGTCTTTCCTATCTCCCAACAGACACCCGCGGGAGCCTGACCTAGTGCAGTACGCCAAAGCTATTCTCGATGATCCAGTCTCAATGCGTATGCTAGGTATTGACCACATCATCGCGTGGGCTATGCGAGTGTTGTACTTACGGGCCACAACCCGCCCCAATACTGCCTGGGTCGCGTCGTGCACCGCCATGCATCTCTGCGAAGCGGTCGGGCTGCACGAGGAAGAGAACATCAAGAAGATGGCGTCTGTCGCCGGTGCCGCTATTGTTGGACATGATGCGGACAGGCTGAGGCGAATTTTCTGGATCTCATGGGCCGGGCATAACATGCTGTGCTATGAGTACGATCGTTCGTCTGTACGGTTTGGGGCAGTGACTTGCCAGGCTATCATCCCAACAGCAGGGTCAGTTGCCGACCAGTTCGTGCAAATAGCCCAGATTATCCCGGCTCCCAACTCCCCGTTCCACCTCGAATGTCGCCCTCTAACTCCGAGGGAGGAGCTATTTGAGCGTCTGAAAGCATTAGATAAACTGGAGTTCACTCATCCGTTTTTGGTAGTGACTAAGGCGGACATCGCGTTTTGCTTCTATCGACGCATTTACCAGCTCAAGATGGGTATATCAGACGAGATCATTCAGCTCGTCATTGATAGCGGCAACGCCGCAGTGGAGGCGGCGCAGCAGCTAGCGAACCAGGGTCATTTATTCTGGAATGTCATCGGCAGCGTCTTCCAGTATGCCTGCGTTCTGTTAGCCATCGACACCCCGGCAGCCTCCGTCCACATCGCTGCTGCCTTCAAGGGCCTAGAGAATCTGGTCAAGACTGCCGACACAGGACTGACACGTAAGGCATTGTCAATGGCACAGCACCTACTCAGCCTCAATATGGCAAAGAAGCGAAAGGAGCTTGCCCAGCTGGAAGCTGTCGAGACGAACCATCAATCATTTCAGGCGCAGCCGGAATTTGAGGCCAACACCTCTTTCCTAGACATGGGCTGGGAAGAGGACTGGGACCAATTCCTCGTTGAACCATATCTATCGATGCTAGGTCCTGACATACAGTTGTAGTGATACGGGGTTTGTTGGGCATTGATTGACTTCGCTCATGCAACCACTCACGGCATGGTGTCATTTTGAAATGATCTAATGAAGCTCAGCATTGTATTTATGTAAACTGGTCATAACTATCCTGAACATACCCCTCATGAGTTTGGCTCGTTCCCTGCGCCGTTCGCTCAGACGCCTTGGACTCATGACGCTCCACAAAGCGAAAGATCAAACCCACAAATAAGACCATGTGAAAAGCGCCCCAGTACCCTTGTAGAACATCCTTCCCTCTGTTATTGACCTACGAGTCACTCTCTTCTCGACGAAGACGAAGACGTAGACGACTATGCTGATATCACAATGATGTACGTGTTAGGTGTCAGCCAGGCGACAACGAGACCTTGGTTCCAGGGGAAATTGAAGAGGACCAAGGCAGCCACGCTGGTGATGGAGTCGAGGAAGTCGACACGCTGCCAGACGCTGGATCTGTCATACGCTGGGTTGGTCGGTGGCGGGTAGCGGGAGTGGTAGAGACAACCAAGAGGGCCAGCAGAAGGCACGCGCAGCACCGGCGCCGTTGTGATGGTCCTCTGAAGCTTCAGAGTGTATTTTTCCGGGTGTTGGATTATCAGAGGGCGCGTATGTCTTTATGCTGCTCGGTGCGGTGCGGCTTCTGCGGCTATTGCGGACTGATCACTCTGTACACCGTTCGTTCTTAGGCGGTGTTGGTGTTGATGTCAGGGACATTGTAATGGCCCCCTGCGTGCGGCTGCTGCGGTAGCCGCGGCATCAACGGCAATGCAGACGTTGCCCTCGTTGTGGATTGCATGCCATTGCCCCGTTGCTCCTAGACGCTATTTTCTCCGGGCGAATCAAGTGTGAAGGCTTGGCCAGCTTCACTCGGATATACGAGATAGATAATAATTCTCCGAAATTTCCGAGTCCGATCATAGGAATAGAGAGATTTCAAGACCGAGTCTGAAATGTATAAATGGACAGGCATCCTCCGCTTCAGGTAGGAACACCAGCCCAAACAACAATAGAATCTCAGCTAGTTCAACCATCGCAACACTTTGTATACTCGAATGAGTTTGAGATTCTGTTCAAAAATAGCCAAAATGTCCAAGTACGCCAAAAGCCAGCCCGTCGGCTTCAAAAATGCCATCGAGAGAATCGCCATTGTCGGTGTAAGTAAGCCCCTTAACAAGACCACGTACACAACACTAACAAACACCCTTAGGCCGGAGGCACCATTGGATCGCACATTACTGCTGCCCTCCTGAAAACCGGGAAACACACCGTCACGGCAGTCTCCCGCAAAGGCAGCAGCAACAAACTCCCCAAGGGCGTCCTCGTCGCCCCAGTTGACTACAACGACGAGGCCAGCATTATTGACGCCCTGAAGGACCAGCAATTCTTTATCATCACTATGGCCCCCACCGCACCCCGGGACACACACAGCAAGCTCGTCCAGGCAGCTGCCAAGGCTGGTGTCCCCTACATCATGCCCAACGCGTATGGCGGCGACATTGACAACATCAAACTTGGGGAGGAAACGATGCTGGGGCCCGTAGGCAAGGCCAACAGGGACGAGATTGAGAGACTTGGCATGCAGTGGATCACTATCTGTTGTGGGTTTTGGTACGATTACAGCCTGGCAGGCGGCGAGGCGCGTTTTGGGTTCGACTTTGACAAGCGTTCCCTGACAATCTATGACGACGGCAACACTAAGAACTCAACCTCGACGTTGTCGCAAGTTGGGCGGGCCGTGGCCAAAGTGCTGAGCCTCAAGGAGCTCCCCAATGACGAAAGCGACAAAAGTCTTACTCTATCGGGGTTCCTCAACAGGGGCGTGTACATCAAGAGCTTCGTGCTCAGCCAAAACGACATGTTTGAGAGCGTTAAGCGCGTTACGGGTACCACTGATGCTGACTGGAAGGTTACCCACGAGGCCAGCAAGAAGCGATATGAGGATGGCCTGGCGCAAGTTAGAGGTGGTAACATGGCGGGTTTTGGCAAGTTGCTCTATGCCAGGACGTTTTACCCGGATGATTCGAGTGAGTTCTCGGCCAAGGCGCAGAATGAGCTTCTTGGATTGCCAGAGGAGAGCCTGGATGAGGCTACTAAGGCTGGGGTGGATATGGTCAAGGACCTGCAGCTTCGTGTCGAGCGTATGGCGGCCTAGAGAACAGCATCTGGAGAATTTGTATCACTTAATAGATGTACGTTGGCACGGGAATTACAATAGATTTTGAAGTCAATAGTATATCCTTAGTTCGTTGACTATGAGCGTTCCAACGGTTGCAGTTGATAACTCATCGGCAAGAACCAGAGGGACAACAGCCTGCATCATGACGCCTAGGTATTCTTTGTCATCCGCAGTACAGCAGCGGAGGCCGTCTCTTTTGAGGACCAGGACTGCGCTGCAAGGCGAACAGAGGAATCTACCTGGTGTGTTCAAAGGTAAAGACCTACAAGTTCGATCCCCATTTGATGACTGTTCATTCACATTAGTGACCCTGCGCAGAGTGTGGATCAAACTTACCTAGGGACTTCAGCCACAATAAGAGACGGCACCGAGACGTTCTTCAATGGTTCAATGGTTTTTCAACTAATAGGTTTGCTGGAAGGGACCCCTCCTTTTGATCATATACGCCATCGTATATTACTTGTTGAATTACTCTCCCAGTGAACTATCTGCGAGATTTTTGCCGAATAAGCTTGTTCCTCAGAACGCTCTTCCACGTTCTTAGGTTAGGAGAAGAGGCCAATCATAGCCTACATTTGCCTTGCCTATTAAACACCAGGATTTTGGCCTCCACGGACATCTGAGGTGGAGCATTATGTCTTCGTGGTTTCCGTGGAAGAAAGCATAGCGCAAGGACCCTTGTCTGTAGTATGAATCCACCATGTTGTGTGATACGACTTCCCAATATCGTTTCGAAGAATTTGTGCCAAAAGCTCGGGGAGACCCCGTGATAAAGCCAGGCGAGTGGCCGCGGAGGCACCAATCCCCATTGCTGACATGATAACATACTGAGAAACGGAACCAATTAAAAAACATTGGATATCTCTACGTCATAATTTATTCTATATTTAAACGACTTTTACCCTGCGATGGGGGTATTGAAAACAAGCACACCTTGTGGGAGCTGGGCTTGTTGACTGCAATATATATCCGCGAAAACAAGTTAATCAACGCGAACACATGCACCGTAAGGGGACTCCCATTAACGAACATATCAAGGGTTGTCAGCAGGAAATGTCTGACAGTTTGAACTTCAACAATTGGATATAGACACAGTTTCCAATATTCACCTGTATATCATTGCGCACTACGAAGTATAATAGTACGAAATAATTAGGGGGTATCGATGGAAAAGTCACGGTTGTGCGTGCATTTTTGTCCCAATAGCGTGGCATTCTCCCCGGTTACTGTGATGTTGCCATCATGGTATCGGCGACCCCATCTACGACGGGGTTTGCGAGATGGAGGACATAAAGCCGGCCCTCGCAGCCTGATCGTCGACTTCACCCTTCGATAATAGTCTTTGCGCAAAGTCACTGCAGCGAGCCTTAATCTACCATGGCACCATTGAAGAGCAATCCGAGAAAGGCGTTAGCTGTCGACGACTGGAACGCCTTCAGGAGCCAGATCCAGAACCTGACGCCGACAAAAAGGGCTCGACCCGGCGAAAAGTAATAGTTATAGGAAACAGCTTCAAAGGGTATTACCCGCTCCGAGCGAAAGTCTAATAGTCACTAAGCTCTCTAGATAGACCACCGAGGAACTTAATTTCCCCGGCTAGAGGTTCTGGCTCGTCGAGATGTTCTTACGATAAGTCATTAGCAATAATGGCGTATAGAGGGTTGAGTATTCTCCTGTGGTTTTGTCGTCCACCACTTATGATAGAATCATGACCGCTTCCCCTGTTGTTTCTGTGAGACAATGTTTCTTCTTAGTGGGCCTCAATGGGTTAAACCAGGGAGTGGTCAACAACATTTCAACAGGGTGGATTGTAGATATCTAATGTTTCAAGATCTCCTCATATTTGAAACTAAGCACATCTTATCTATGTTCAGTGTCCATTGCGTACACATTATTTGTGGGCTCTAGACAGACGTACCGATTCCCTCAACTACAACTATAAAGTCAGCTTTTTCGCCCAGTCCGATTTAAGTCTATTCGGCCGCAGTAGAAGCTATTCGTTACTCTCTGCTCTGTTACGTGCGAATCGAGATGTGAACAAACGTCTGCATTCGGTGATACCAACGAAGGAATCAAGTCTAAGGAGAGAAGAGAAAGGAGGAAATCCACGAGGATGCGAGTTGGGCTTTCGTGGGTGTCCGGCCCCGAGCACCTTCCCATTTCGGAACCTGCGAAACATCCAAACAAACAAGGCTAACCCGCCAGTTTCTCCTCCCAACGGACTTGAACGTCCTCAATCATAATATGCTCCAAAATTTGAGCTGTATGCCGCAATTCCTATTTGTAATATATGAGACTTGAAGGAAACACTGGAGATGAGGACGAAATCGAGTCTTGATAGACATTGCCCGTCAATGAGTAGTACCTAAAGCACATGTGATATCGGATCATATAGATTGGAAGCAGCAAATCCAGCTGCTACTTTGTGCGCGTCCAATTAGCTAGTAAACTCTCATGCATTCTGGTATGACAATTCCGATATTGCGCGCTTATCGATGAAATCCTGAGGAAGGTAGTCAAGTAGTCAACTTTCAAGATTGATATGTCACGAGATGTGTGCATGAGTAAATGTCAACAGGCCCTGCATATACACCGCAATGCTCATGTAGAAGAGCTTCACAGGAATCTACAGGGTAACGAGATGGTGGTTATAAACAACATCAAGGACCACTTCAAGGCAACTGGGTGCGTTTCTGTCTATATCAAACCATTAAGCCCGACAATGAAAGCTCGCAGGACAAGACGAATTCCTCTACCTCTCAATATGATATCCTTAGAGGCCGCAAGACTACCGCTAATACCTCCTGCCCCACCTGCAATGTAGATCAGCCGAAAATGTCGCCTTGTGACCACCTATCTTCCGTCTAATTGCCTATTTGAGCGCAAAGTAGGCGGAAGTCCGATCGAAACAGGTAGCTCCGACGAACTCCCGAGGTTTGCCAAAGTGTAGATCCTGTCCGAGTAATTCCGCGTCATCAACTAAATTTGTATCAAATTTGAAGAATAACACGGCTGGCCTGACACTTAATATTTTTCCGTGTCACTTAGATTTTTACGGAGTAGCCCCATGAGCAGTTCCAAGTCCCAACTTTGGCTGCCCTTGTTGTCTACTTCCATGTTCATTGGTGAGATCATATTCGTCTCCTTTGAGCCCTGTTTTGCGATCTGAAACTAGTGCAACAACTGAAACTACATTCCCCTTGATATAGAAAGATTCGCACGGAAGGAACAAGGAGAACAACGGGGGTACGCCTTCATGCTTTCCGAATTCAAGGGGACTCCTGAGCATAATATGAAGTGAGACACGAAACAAGAAGATCCTTTCCGATTATCACACGGGAAGAAGGATAGCAATTCTCCCATACCGTTGATTTTGCTCCGAATATCGAACTATCAACGATGCCCACTAGTGTCGAATCAGAAGTATAAAAGGCAGCCGCTGGTCTCCGAATTCTTGAAATATTAGAATCCACCATTTGAATCAATCAACAAGAAAACTCCTTTTCGTCCTATTGAAAGATGCAGCTCCTATCCCTTTTTACCTCGATGGCTCTAGTGTCTGCGGTGGTCTCGTCTCCGACAGCAGACTTCAAATCACTGGTGGCCCGCGCAGATGATCGGGGCAACGAAACCATTGCTGGACTCGGAGAGCGTAAGCAAGCGGTCTTGGATGCTGGTGGCAACACTCGTGACATGGCTATCGCGATGCTGGAGACGTGAGTTTACTTATTTGGTCTCTATGCCTAATAACCCAGCTTACAAGTATTAGTACCACCATGACTACTGACTACACATATGGTATGCCGAACGGTTGAAAGGCGAGACTAAGAGCAGTGCTAATATTGATACTCCAGGTGACGGGAAGACAGGCGACGGCACAAACTTCGGCGTGTTCAAACAGAATTGGTTCATGTTGAGACATTCCGCGTCTGCTTTTCTAGGTCAGACCACAAGCGATGTGAAGAACGGTGCTGTTCTCAAGTAAGTTCCAGGGTCTGCTAGAGGCGCAGATATATTTTGGCTGACGCTCGGGCGCTAGTTCGGATCTGGCAATGGACATCCAAGCTCGTCATGATGGCGAGGAGCATTATGGGTATGAAACTTGGTTCAGTGGCCACCGCAACGGGGAAACGGGTGTCAGTAACCCGGGCACGGCGGACATCACCGGTGAGTTGTACTTGATTTGATCACCTAGTTCACGGCGGCTAAATTTTTCGACAGCGTACATCGATGCCGTAGCATGGATTCAAGCGCAGATTGAGAGTGATGAAAAATACCAGAGCGACGATACTCGGTTCTGGGTTGATGTCGTGGCCATTTGAAAACTACCCACACACCCTTGAATCAGGCTTTGCGCCCTATACTATGCGACGGGATTCGCAGCGGTCACGCACCTTGCTTGAGACCACATTTCTTTCGTTTACTGCTCCGGCGATATTGTATTTTCACTCTTGTTATCTGAGACTTAGTTGTGAGGTTTTCGCACGAATACACTCTTTTATCCAAAGCTTTATCACTTTTAAGGATATCAAGGTTGATTATATATGTTCTCAGGCAACTCCTACCTCCCATCACACCTGAGCCAACAAAGATGGGATCAGTGGGCGCCAATGTCGCCACACTCGACCCGGTCTCAATGGAAGTATGGGGCCGCTGCTGAGCGCTTTCTATCTGGTCTGTAATTTCGAAAACAGACACTTTCTTGGTTGCATTCGCAGTAATACGTGTAGAGGTATGCTTCTTTTGGTGCCTTCTCGCGATATCGCGTCAATTGTAATGGGCTATGTCGGGTTTAGATAACACTATTCTAGTTACTAGAGTCTGTTATAGCTTGTTCTATCTCCTGGCATAACCTCAATGGATTGCACTTTCTTCTGAGTTCTCATGTGGAGACTAAACATGATCATAAATCTTCATTGGTAAATAGACATCCGTCTATCGTAGACCTTTTGATCTACTACACCGTAAACCCCACAAAATATGAATGATCTATAAGAATATTCAGTCTACGGTCGTATTTGCAGGGTTCATTTCCACTAGGCCAATTTTGGCAGGTACTCTGGCCGGCCTCGAGAACTCGCAAGAGTGCTATTGCGGAAATAGCGTCGATCCTCCCAAGAAGCCGACTGTCACATCAATGGGAAATTGCCTATACCCTGCAGCGGTAACCCAGGTCAAAGGTGTGGTGGATATGGAATTATTGGGATTTATCAGGAATGCACTGGTGACTGTCACAATACGCATTACCCCGTGGTTCCCCACTAGAGCATGAGTGGCTAGCTATTCCGACTAGGGCTCGCTGCAGGATTATGTAATGCTCATCGTTTTCCTTAGTCCCTAGGTATTTGTATGACATGGACCTTTGTTCTTCGTTTAGTTTTCTTTTCTTCCCTGGTTTGATTTTAGGGGCACGTACTCAGTATATTTCGAGCTCGTTAACGCTGATACTCCACATTGTGGCTTGTCTGATGATCGATCATCATTTTAACCCTTGCTACGCTCCATTTCAATTTCACGGCCTAAATTAAGCTATTAGCAATCGACTGGCCATGATAAAGTGCAATATAGAATATTGAGGAAGATTCCCAATTCCCCGAGGGCGCAGTCAGAGAACCCTGGAACTCTATTTAACAAAATACGAGAATCAATAGTGCACTTGCCGCGTTGACGCCTTGGCAGCGGAAAGCTGATTTCGTAGCGTCAGATCACTCTCGCTAGGTTCAAACCTAGGGGGGCGTTGATTTTCTTGACAAGCCACTTTCCTTTCTTGGAGTGATTTTGCCTTGCTCCATTTTTAAACCCACCTTGACTGGGGATATCAAGAGGAGAGGTACAGAGCAAGATATTTATCACCATGCACTGTTGGATTTTACTTCTGCCTTACTTCCTTTTGCAGTTCTCCACATCCATATCAGGGGTCCAAGCAAGACGAGGTGGTGAAGGCGGAGATTCAGACGACTACGATTCCGGCGAGAATAGCGGGGGCAGCAGTAGCACCGACTCCTGCGCCACGCCAAAACAGCCAACCGTCTGGAAATGGGACTTGATCCCCAATAATGTAGGAAACTACACCTCCGACGGCACCTCGGGCAGCGACACAAGCTACGACGGGTCCTTTTTCAAGGGCGAAGCCTCCCTCCACTACATGATCACTGAGAATGAGACGTGCTACCGGTACCTGCACGACGCTGAGAATACCTTACATATGCTTGGGTATGTCTGGGTGGGCCCACAGGCACCCTACCCAGTTGGCCCGACCAACCCTATAATCATCGGCTTCAAGACATGGGAATCGCGCAGGTCGTTGGACAAAATTTCGGACTCGTACAGCTATATCCAGTGGGATGACAGCAAGATTAGTTGTCCCAGTCGCCCGGATCTGTTCAGGATGACGACAACCTATGGATGGACTGATTGGGATGCGCGGATGTACAAAGCTATCGATGTGATGAATATGACTATCTCCGAGGCCCCCGCTCCCGCTCACGGGGACCGGGACCAGGACCAGGGCAGGGTGCGATTTAACGCGACAATGCCGGATAAACTTGATCACGATACCACATGGCTTTTTAGGTTTCCCGGGAGGATATGCTCGAGTAATCTGGACTACTTCGATACTCCCCCCGAACAATTGGTAATGAATGGCTCCTTTACGAATACGACGTTCGACTTGACGCTTTCGGGGATTGGCAAGGCAGTGAAACCTAGTCAACTGGTGGCTGAATTCCGCTTGACCTTCTCGGGGGTATTTGACGGGGACAATTCCACAGAAAAGCTGAGTCTGCGACAGCCTGGTCAGCCGCTGGTTGCGTGGGTGCCGAATTCTGGCCTGCGTGTTGTCTCGGTTGGTTGGATCCCCAGTTTGATATGCCTCGGGGCTCTTATGGTGTTTATGTAAATCTGAATGAAGTAAACGTTGTGTGTGTCCGTTGTACGGGCGCAAAAGTTTGATATATGAAGGGTAGCTTGTCTTGATGCATGTTTACATAACGCAGGCGAGTATTCTGGCAGTCGGGGTGCTTTACCCCCTGACTTGAACATTTCTATCCTCGAGCTAGAACTCAACGTTTGCGTATGCAAACACGATGGCTTAGGGCATAGGGCCCCTAAACGCTTAGCTTAGTCCCACAGGGGTGACTGAATGTTGATTCGTTGGTCTCTGTAGCCGTGAATTCACTACGGTAATTCGGTTTTCGCGCTGCCATAGGATCTCACCTGGATACCATCCCTTCTAGCAGACCTTTCTCAATAATCAATTCTGGCTCTCTACTACGCCTGAAACAGTACATACGACCATATGGTGTGGAAAACAGGGCTTCCCATCCGCTCAGCCGTACTTAAGCCGTATACTCTGTACGGCCAATTTTCAATGCGCCCTCAGCACCCGAGCGGCACCATAGGGTGAGTGCGGGTGATACGGGTGAGAGTCTAGAGAACGGGGTGACAATTCTCACCCAGGGGGTGATAGTGGCCAACCCACTGAGAGCCAACGCCCGTTCCTAAGCTAAAAATATAAATACAAGAACCGTGGTCCTTCGTTTACTCTGTCATGATTTTCTTTGTTCTCAAAGACGATGTTCACAAAAAAATCCAGAAAGCACTCGAGGAGCGCATTGCCGTGCCGCACGCATCACGTGGGTTCACATGAATATCAAAACGAGAAGGAACACGAAGACAATATTATCTGCAACCCCGAGCTGGCACCCGCTATGCTAGAAAAATATGAGAATGCAGCACTAAATTGGGTTTTATCAGTCTAGGCCTTGACAAGTGTCGGGGCACCAAAATGATTTTGGTGCCGTTTCCCGATGCACTTACACTAGATTCCGCGGCATTCACTATATACGAGTTATTATATGGTGCCACACTAGCATAATTCCGCCAAGCATCGCATCGCCCAAAATGGATGGATAAAAGGCTGAGTTAGTAAACAAAATACTGTTTTTTCCAGCTGTATCAGGATCTTCTTCACCAATGTCAATAATTACATATATTTAAACAAACATTTATCAGAAGAAGAACTCAACTAGTGGATCTAATACTTCTAGGTCATTTTGGAATTGAATCAAATCATTAGGTCAATGTTGGTTGGTTCCAGACGAAAAAAGTGCAAAACTATATATCATAAAGGCCTGTCAGATATATATTTATATTATATAGTTATCATGCATTTTCAGAAATACACAGAATTATTCCGATTCCTTTTAACTCCCTAGGAATGATACTTAATTTCAATATCATTAGAACCTATGGTATGATTCATTGAATTACTATGTTTTTGTCACAGGAGAAAACGTGGTTTGCGAGGAATCGGTGTGCCCTTGCGTGGGCGGATAACCAACAATGGCCCATGCGTAATTGCGCCAGCAGGTATACCCACTTCCTGGGAAAGGTGCCTTGTGTATGTTGCGGGCAGTGTGTTGTCGATTAGCCGGAGGTGGCCGGCTTTAAATAGTCCCACTTTTGGTCTAGCGGACTGTACCAACGACCTTCCGAGTATATACTTCGATCCATGCAAGGGAACGGGGAGAATAATTAGACGTTAAATGTTTCCCATACATTCATTTAATATGTATCACACCGGAGTAGGTTCCAGATCATCAAGCTGCAATTCCCGAAAAACCTTTTCTAGATTCTCAAGACCCGTAATAACATCACCATAGAAAGCCTCTTGAAGCGCAGGACTCGCAAAGTCACTGTCATGCCCAAAATCGCAGTGCAGGCATTTGTTGATGATAATTTTAAAACTCTTGCTCACCATACGGTAGCTATCGTCTACTAATCTTTGCGCTGTGAAATAATCCGCAAAGCCCTGTGTTTCTCCTTTTTTGAGGTCGATCGGTTGCTGTAGGGTTCTGAGGGGAGCTTGGTATGCAAGTTCAAGGAACATAACACCTAGCCCAAAGAGAACAGGGTTACGGATGATGTGATGGTAATCGGAGGATCGGGGCTGAGATTTCATTAAGGAGTTTGGAGCTCGGATAGATGTGGTCATATATGGTAAGACGTGTTGTGCCTGCTGGAGCAAGGAATCGTGATAGCCGAAAAACTGAACGTCGTCACTACGCCATGCATTGTTGAGCCACGGTGTAGAGTGGTAGTAGAGAACAGCAGTGGCGAGACATCTGGCTAGTCGGACGCGCTCGTAGAGACCCATGCCTTTAGTGGAGTCGGTTCCTGACAGCAATATCAGTTGGGAGAGAGATGCGGAAGGGGTCGTGCTGTTGGTCTGATTTCCCATATATGCCAAATGTTTACAGATATCGTTGTCTCCAAGCAGCCCGATGCAACCATTACATTCTTGTTGGTGCAAAGACCTCTCGACCACGGTGCAGAAATTCCGTTGTAGGTAGAGATTTGGGATTCCCATAATGGGCTCTCCAGGGCACACTGACTGTAGAGGCCCGGGTAAAAGACGGAAATGTACACGTTTATGAGATGTTGTTGGACAATGTGCTTCGTTAAGTTGTCTTGGTCGTTTGAGAGAAGAGTGACCCCTTGATAATGACGTGGAGACCGGTTGGGAACTCGGCTCAGAAGATTTGATGGTTGATTCCACGTTAATCCAGATTGCCTTCCCCGGCATCATGACATTCTGGATAAAGGCCACATTGAATCGCACTCGTGTCTCATTAAGGTCCGGTTGGAGGGATAGATGCACGTCATGGACAGAATGCGCATTACAGGCTGTTCCAAGAGCATCATAAAGGCTGCAAGCGGCTTGCTGAACAATGCGGAAGTGCTGAAATTCGCGGCGACCTTCGGGAGTCTTGGCTATTTTCGAATCTTCTGATAGTCGAGGCTGTTTGCGTTCGGGGATAGAGGATGCAAAGACCTGGACCAATGATTTTAAGTCTTCTACATCATCCTGAATATAGGGTCGATTAGTTTGTAGGGTGGTGAAAATTACTCTGTAGCTGTCTCACCTTGAGCCTGTCTGTGGCAGTCCTGTGCTGCACTTTCGCCTTAGTAGCAACAGGAAGACGCCTTGTGATGTCTTCAATCTCTTCAAGCTTCGTTCGGATTGCTAGAGTCAGCTCCAAGCAAATCTTTTTTGACGAACCGAGGTGATTGTTGAGGGAACCCGAAGCATCCGACGATAGGATTTCCACATTGCTCGAGAAGATAACGCGCTGGGTTTTCAATGTGCTCTTGAGATCAACATCTCGAGGCAAATACTTTCGGTTTTGTTTGAAACAGGAAAGTGTAATCTTGAAACTTGATTCAATTGTCGGCAGAACTACAATGGTCAGATTAGGGCCAACTAGTTTAGAAGGACAAAGATTACCTTGTAGTAGGTCATCATCGCTGGTATCATGATTCTTTTGTGACTGATATGCTTCGTCATAATGAGTTGACTGAGAGGATTCTACTTCGGAAAGAGTATCGGAGCGCCAAGAATAATATCCTTGTGTGGAATCCTTAAGCCGTCTGTCACTTCCTTTAGGCTGATCAATGATTGCCCATTGTTCTAGTAGCGACCTCATACATGCAGCGGCTGTTGCGGCTGTGTACCTTTGCCATATTTTATCCTTGTGACTATCAGCATAGTCACACACCCCTTTCACCACGATACAGGGCAGATTGTTACAAATGCCTGCACCCTCCATCTCAAACGCGATCACGTTCTCCTCGGCAGCAATTCTGTCTCGGTCCTCGCCAGACTTCATGACCGTGTCTCCTGAGGCTATTCGCCCGAAGTGGATATTGATCCCATCTGGAGATGGACACGAACGAACGACCAATCCCTTCCAGTCACATTTCAACGTTTCACATGTGGCCTCCTGGGCCTTTGTGCAATGCTCGTCCTTCTTGCACTTCCTGCATCTCGAGGGACTATGATGTTTATGATGGTAGGTCGGCTCGAAAAGTCGATCTAGCTTTCTCGCAGGGCGGCGATAGTTGCTAATTCGCTTTTGTAAGGTAGTGAGATGGTGATGGGTCCTGCCGAGTAGATGTTCACGACCCTTTCGACATCTGATTTTGTGCAAGAAGGCTCGCACTTCGATATTCAGAGCAGAATCAGTTACTGTCTCCTTGCGTCGGAACCCCGCCGGAAATCTCCTGCCTAAGTCGTATATCACTATCTCATCACTGATGATTACATCACCGAGAAATATATCGTTGTCGGTTCTGCCTGGTACCCCTCCGCAGATTCCAACAATCAACGCAAGTCGGATACCCTGAAAGCTTGATCGGAAACTCGCTGCGACGCTTGCTGCGTGGCCCTTTCCGATGCCGGGCATATATGCCAACACGACATTATGATCGCCGATTACCCCAGTTCGATATGCATTCTGGTCTCCCGGTGCCTTTCCGTATCGATCGCCATCTTCATCCCAGAAACAGTCGAAGAGTGCCTCCACAGCGTCGGCTTCCAACTGTAGCGCGCAGATAATCGCGACATCGAAGTCCCTCCGGTGTTTCGGTGGCGAAGGACTGGCCATCGTCGTGGCTGTCAACAGAGTAATATGGTAGGTGCTTGGGAATAACGGGCTTCTCAGTGAGGTTTCTTGCGGGCTGAATGTGGTACGGGTCAGCCTCTCTATGTCAGCCTCGTAGGAAGTTACGCTTCTTGGACAGACCAGGTGAGAAATCTTTTATAAAAAATACACCACGTGCATTAGCGCTACGTATTGCCAGGAAGTACTCAAGATTTACAGTAACTAGATAGTGTCAGGTTGGAGGATAAACCGTACGGGCAGGTATCAGAAATCGCCAATTGATTATAAGATAGTTGGGGTATGTAGGTGGGGCCAAGGGACTTATGAACTGTCACTGTATGTATGTAGTTAGTTATAACGGAAATCTATGGTTTGACAACGTATGGTACCATTCAGTGGTATGTAACTCTCTAACTAAAATGACAAAACTGACAATTTCAATGGACATGATGACAGACATGACGACAAATTGTATGGACTTTTGTATGGTATCCTCCGTGTCACGGTCATGTGATCTTATGGGGTAAAATACCCTGTAAAACCCATGTATTCGATCCCTCACTTTCGACAGGTTGCTTACCTGTCCCGTGGCCAGTTGCATTCCCAGCATCCCATAGGTAGTAATCCAGTGCCAAGATAAAGATAGCCTTGGAACGCATTAACTCCCCAACACCAGGTAAACTGCTACTCTTAATCATATATGTTGGAAAGCATACTCCGTACTGTTTCTATCAATATTGGGTTACATATGGCCGTTTTTTTATTTGGGGTAAGGAGGGTAGTTACTTTACGAGCTTTGCATTTTCAGCCCCCAAAGGTTGCACGGCCTGGCGCCTTCTGACACTCGATACAATCTGCCGTTCAACATCAGCAGCGCGATGAAGGCAACAAAGGAAACAACGCAATCACTCAGTGACTGGGTCATATCCAGAATCGATCACAGCACTCAAGATCCAAACGTCGGCTTTGTCGAAACTCTATATCATACCTGCTCAACAGCCCTAGTCTACCTTTGGAGATCACGATTTCGATTGATACCACACGACTCGTATAAGAACACCTTGAAGAAGGATGTAGCGAACATCCGGCTGTGGGAAGAGAACTTCCCTCCCGGTCACCTCGACACCATTCTGGGACAATCATGTCATTTGAAGACGAATGTGATCGAAAATTTGAAGGGGATCGGCAATATTCTGATGCCCTACTTCGCGGGCTACGACAGAACCACAACTAGCGGACAAAACCAAAGGAACTCCGCATGGGATCTCGCACAGGAACTTGATACTCAGTTAGAGAAGGCGACAATAATGCTTTCGGCTGAAGAAAGTTCTGACTCGTCTTCAGATGACGAGGTTTCCGACGATTCATCTTCAACCATTGAACGCGAACAGAATCGCCTCGGACGAATCCACTGTTATGTCAGCTGCTTGATGGATCTCGCACCAGTGATCGACAAACATATTTCTTTTTTGCAGCGTAAAGTGGAACCACGGCCAACTCCCCTTGAGAATGTGATTCGTTTATCACAGAGTGCGCAGCCTTTTGCCATGCGCATCCGAGACCGGTTGGTACCCGCCCCGGTGTTTCCTCGCCTAAGCTGATGATCAAAATAGATTTACGATTGCACTAACTCCCCTGGTGGAGCGACTCGCAGAGGCTAACTGGGAAAGGTCCATCCGCATCAGAGCGCAAGAAGAAGAAGAAGAACCGTATCTCGCGGACCATGACGCTCTGACCTTATTTAAACCCTACTCCCTGTTCAATGATTCCGGTCTTGGGACATCTGTTCCTACAAGGTCGCAGTATGCCGCCACTGCCGCCTCCCATACTTCGTTCCTCTCAGTTGCCGGGAAAGAGGCCCATGGTCGCCCCCGAGTGCCTTCTCTACCGCAGGAAGGCGGACTTCCTTTTCAATGCGACTATTGTCGAAAAACCATATCTCTGCGAAACCGGATTGAGTGGAAGTACGTATTTGAATGAGCATAGTATCATGGAACTGAACTATAACTAACTGAGCAGAATACATGTTTTCGCGGACTTGCAGTCGTATCTCTGCACACATGCAGAATGTGAAGACGCAATGAAAACATTCCCAAGTCGTAAGCTATGGGCTGACCACGAATTCAACGAACATTTCACTCGAATCCAGTGGCGATGTTTTATGTGTAATACCACCACCGTCACCCAACAATTGTTTGTCGACCATTTGATTATATGCCGCAACATCCCACTGGCTGGGCATCGTTTGACAGCAGCAATCTCTGAAGCTCAAGAGACAGTCTTGAAACCGGAGTTCAAGGATTACAAGTGTGCGTTATGCTCACAGGATGGTTGGCAAACGAAGAAAGCGTATGCCACTCACGTAGGACAACACCTGGAGGAAATTTCATTGGCATGTCTTCCGAGAGACGAAAGTGGCAGTAGTGACGTTGATTTAAACTCAGACACATCAAGCAACGCGACCAAGAGAAGCTTGGTTAAACCCCTTTTTATAGATAGCCTGGAAGCTTATACAGATATGAGAGATGCAAATTTCCTAGTTACAGGGCTTCCGGATGCCCCATCTTCCTTCGTCGATACTACGATTCGTTCATCCAAGCAACAGACGAATATGGCGCAGATGGGCGTTGAGTGCACGGAAAATCTGGCGAGTCAGGATGTGGAAGCTGACCCCGAAGCAGAACAGAAGCTCATGGATAACACACTTCCTACTGAGGTTGTTGAAGTACTTAATGCGAGAAGCAGCGGGGAAGCCCAGGTCAAGCACGCTTCACTATCGAAGCAGCAGTCACTGTCACCGCTCCAACAACATCTGACACCACCGGTACCACAGCCCTACCCGGTATATTACCCAGCAGAAGGCTATCCCAGGCCTGTACAGGATGTCGAAGCTCGAGCAAAGGAAGGCATGGATGTCTTTGATGCTTCAGCGTCGACTAAGAAACCGGATGTTGGTTATGGATCGTTAGAGCCCACAAGGTGCTGGTCGGTGCCTGAACAACGCGACTTCAAAATGATGCTGTCCCACTTCGGTCGAGACTTCGAAGGCATATCCAAGTTCATGAAGACGAAAACCACAGTCATGGTGAGATGTTTTGCGACTGGATTCCTCCTTTTTTCCGCTATTTTTTGCAAGTCATGACTGATACTGCGAATAATATAGGTCAGGGATTTCTTCCAACAGCGTCTAGACTCCGGCCAAAAAGAGTTCGAAGAGATTGTCGCAGAGGCAGAAGCCAAAAAAGTACGCGGTGAGCCAACAGGCTCGCTTCCGGTTCCCAGTGCGGCGCCTAAGTGGCAGTATGAAGCAACATACCCACATATCACGCACCATCGACCACAAGCAGATGGTCTCCTCTCGCGGGAGGCTGGTCGTTTGGTGGTTCCTACCAGTCCGCGGGAGAAGGCCCAGCCGCCGTTCAACAAGCAGCATGACATGCCCGCGTTTACCTTCGCGCCAGGCATTCCTCCTGGACATCAGTTGGCCAAGAGACAGCAGCAGGATCAGGAGAGAGAGCGACGCCGTGCGATCGAGCAGCGGCAAGCCGAGGAGCACGCGAAGGAGGAAACACGAAGACAGCAAATAGCAGCTCAGCAGGCTCAGGGCCAACTTGCCGCGCAAAAGCAAAACCATCACCCTATGGCTCAACCAAATGGTATCAGCCAAGGACAACAGTCCTCACCTGTTATACGTAACCAGAATCCACACACAGCTTCGTCACCACTGGTTGGTAACACTATGCCCACACAGGCGGTTCCGATGACCATTACTGCATCTGGTTCTGGTAGTCCTCTACGACCTCCATCTGCCCTACAACATACGCACGCCAATGTCATGAGCCACCCGATAGCGCCCTCAAGGACTCAACAAGGACCAAGTCGTCATAGTACTCCGCAGATGACCCAAGGCACACCGGCTATGTCGCACACCACGCCAATCATGCGCAACGTCACACCCACTCAGCGTATAGGGCATAGTAGCCCGAACAACCCAATTGGCCAGACTCCGGTAATAAACCAGGGCATAAGTGCTACCCCGCAAATAAGCGGCATGCCTTTCACCCCTCAGCAGCAGATGATGCTGCAACATCGACAGCAACAACTTCTCGATGCGCAACAAGGACATATACCGCACAACCAATTCACGGCGCCACAAATCGCTCAACTACAAGCCAGTAGACATGCCCAACAAAACATCCAAACCTATCAACAACAACAGCAATTGCCCCAAGCCCAACAGCAGCAACAGCAGCAGAACAACCCAATAGGCCAGACTCCGGTAATGAACCAGGGCATAAGTGCTACCCCGCAAATAAGCGGCATTCCTTTCACCCCTCAGCAGCAGATGATGCTGCAACATCGACAGCAACAACTTCTCGATGCGCAACAAGGACATATACCGCACAACCAATTCACGGCGCAACAAATCGCTCAACTACAAGCCAGTAGACATGCCCAACAAAACATCCAAACCCATCAACAACAACAGCAATTGCCCCAAGCCCAACAGCAGCAGCAGCAGCAGAACAACCAGCCCGTTCAAGCAGTTCCTTGGCACAGTCAGCAGGAACTTCAGCTTATGCGTGCCCAGTATACTCAGATGCAAACCATGAAGCAGCAGCAAGGGGGGGCAGCATCCTCAAATACAGGGCCAACAAAACCAGCAACACCAGGGCACCCAACAGCTGACTCCACAACAGCAACAGCAAACACTCATATCAGCTGCTACCCAGGCGAACGGTCCTCAAATGGATCAAAATAGACAGCCCATGAACCCGGCTCAGAGATATACACAGCTGTACCAACAAAGGCTACTTCGGATGCGATACGACATGTCCCAACGGTTAGTGGTGCAGTACGGCCCACCAAGCCAGTACCCGCCCAGTATTGCACAGCAGTATGGCCCCGATCTTGAAAAGACCGCCAAAGAGTGGGCTCATGATGTCATGCGCCGCGAGAGGGAGAATGGCCAGCAACAGATGTAGACAGAGCATGATGCATAATTGGAAGGACAATTTACCCACTACCGCAGGTATGATGCTTAACGCACACCAGGAATATCTTAGAAGCCAACCTTGGAACGACAGCCACCGAGTTTCTGGCGGCTACAAGGCTTTGTAAATAAGTGTCAAGAGGATATGGAGCCGTATAAAGTATTTACTACGACGGACTTAATAGAGTATACTATCAGAACAAGAATCACGCTCGAGCCCGCCACTTTCACCCTAACATTTCATACCTTGGCTAGGAAACCTTTGTCGCTGTTTTAAGAGGAAGGGCAGGTCGAAGAATGTGATCCCCTGCGGCTTGCAGGGCTTACGTGATTTATGCCTAAGGCAGAGAGGCACTTGCCAAGCAAGTGCCGGGTATTCGCTAGGAAGTGGATTAGTTACGTAATTTTAGTCTACTTGACCGCACTTGGATATAACCAATGACAACCATGCGATTCTCTTAGTATCTCATTACATACCTTCTTGCGGGATTGGCTACATCAGGCATCTATTTCAACATCTGCTTCAACGTCTATTTTCAGGCCCGCATGGCGAAAATGGCCCTTCGCACTTTCTTCTTTTGCACCAACGACATTGATACACCTTTTAAGGAAGGCATCAAAGCCTTGACCAGGGCCTCTTTCGTAGTGGGACTAGCGCATGATGGACCATGCTCGGGAATCAAGGAAGAGCTTAGAGGTAAAGCTGATTTCGAAATCTACTGTGTAAGGAAACTTACTCTCCTGTTCTTTCTTCGCCATTCTGCTGAATGAGCTTCCTAATCCACAGTATTCGTGGCTCAAATTCAAGGCCACGATTACTATGCGGGAAAAAGATCGCTGCTGGGGGCTGACGCCCGTAAATCGACATAATAACCCTCAAGTGTCTTCCACGCGGAAGACCAACAACCAGTCGTAGATGTGAGTAGCACATGGTAGTTACGCTGAAAAGAATCCAGGGCCATACCGTTTCCCCTTTCACGTAGGGAGGCTGTGGAATCAGGCTAATTCCTGCGCATCGACTGGTCGATCGGGAAACTATACGCTGCGGACAATATATGTATTATATACAGTTGTCAGTGGCTCCTAAATCAAGAGTATATCTAGGCTCTGGCTCTGGCTCTGATAAATCATCCATTTTCAACGAATTCAGTCGGTATGTGTCCCAGAGAAAAGTAATTACATGGGTTTGAAGATTCTGAGGTGCCTTCCCGTTGATGGGGCTCCAACGCCACCATCACCTCTCCTGCTACCCGCTTTTTCTTTACAGAGGGTAGCCCCCTACGGCATAGCTCGACTTCGGAGTGTTCTAAAAACCACAATGATAAAATGAGGCGTTGCTGCCTTGCTGAAGGCCCAATGCGATATATGCCAACTTCAGACCCCTGGACTTTTCTCTACTAATTTGTCCTCAGAACTGCCACGAAGATTGGCAACTCGCATCATTGAGAGGATGTTCCGTGCTACTTTGGAATGACTATAGACCCCCCCATTAAATGCGGCACTCCCGTCTTTCCCAATGAACGATCTTAGTATCGAAGAGCCCCCGGGGTGCTCGTCAGCGAATCCAGATATATCATGAATGGCGCTATTGATGCAAACCAATTCCCTCCCGGCTTTGACCTCTGCTTGCAATTCCCTCCAGTCTATCACCGGTAGCTCTTCGAGGGATGGGCCCCACTGCAATTGATGTTCCCTCATTTTTAGGGTTTTCTGTAGCTGCTGGAAACTGGCTTTTTCAATCTCGTTTTGCCGGAAACGCTTCAGATCTCGCACTAGGCCCAGTTTTCCCCACATCCAGATAGCCCATTTAGTGAAGTCTAAGTCATACCACTCAACTCCATTCCTGTAGTCGGAGGGGAATTGATGATGGAAGTTGTGGTATCCCTCCCCCAAGGTGAACAGAGCCAAAGCATGTGGAAGGTTTCGAGGAGATAAACGGTCATCATAAGGCTGATCCCCGAGGTAGTGGCAAACCGAATTGATACAGAACACACCTTGATGGGTGAGAAACATCCGAATGATACCTGCGTAAAGAAAGCCGCCGTACCAGTCATTCCAACAAAAGCCGGCCAAGGTCGCAGGAAACGCCCAACCCATCAGCAAGGCGAGAATGATATAATTCCGCTCTTGCCAAACAACAACTGGATCGGCCTTCAAATCTGATATGTCCACACGAGCTGCCCTCTTTGGTTGCTTGACAATCATCCACATAATGTGTGCATGCCAGAAGCCTTGTTTGATATTATATGGATCATCGGGAGTGTCAGTGTATCGATGATGGACACGATGCTCGCGAGCCCACCACCTGATAGGACCCTGCATGGCTGCCGCACCGAGTATGGCAAGGCTAACCCTTAGTGGTGTTGATGCAGTATATGACCTGTGCGACCATAGGCGGTGATATCCTATCATGGAGTCAGTATTAATATAGTAAGGCTGTAGAACAACTAACCAGCCGTCACACAGAGTGTGACACTGAAAAGATAGAGAACTGTAAAGGTAGCTGTCTGGGAGCAGAGAGGAACCCAAAATGTTGAAATCAATCCACAAAATGGAAGAACAAGCAGAGTGATTGCAGGTATCCAAGCTACTTTCTGATACCAGGGCAAAAAGTTCAAAGTCTTTGCATCACCCATGTTGACTGCTTAGTTTGCGAAACAAGAAATAAGAACAAAAGATAACAGCCCGTGCTGTAGTATAGGATAGATAATATTAGACAATACGTGATTTCACTGACGCTTACTTATGGACGATCGGAAATCATTCTTGTTTTATCTTCTTCGAGGCGCATACAATCTATCAGGAAAAAGACAGCACAAGGGATCATATGCAGGATGATTTTATGAATGGAACCCGCCAATCGGAAATCTTAAATATAACATCCATGTAGCCAGGAGATGAGCCAGGAGAGTAGGATCAGCAGATCTAGAATAGCTTGACTTTAGAGTTGATTAATCACAACTTGACCAGCGCGTCCTACACAGTATTACAGTCGGTTGCAGAAGTTTGAAATTATTTTGACTCACCGTTCATTGGCCCGCGTTTTCCACACCGCTAAGAAGCTTGAAATGCGTTAGTCCTGGATATGTTGATTGGGTTCTTTCCAACTCGGGGTGAGTTGATTATTGACTTGGTCCTGATCATTTGAGTCTGGGCGTTGCAGTGATGCTACCTAAGCGCAGACTCTTGGCGTTGAGAAAAATGGTTCCAAACCTTTACAGAGCGACTGTAGTCCCCATTGTCTAGAATCTATAGCGATTGGATATCAATATTGACCCTAGTTCGGCCGTTGTTTTGAGGCTGTAAAAACATATCCAACTTTCAATCTTACTTTCAATCTCAATCTAAATTCCTCTCTTAGATGACAGTGTAAAGATTTCAAGAAGCTGTAATTAGTAACCTCAGTCACGCGTTGTCAGAGTTCGCGCGATTCAAGATTGAACCTTGTTCAGTTCCCTGAATACACCGTCCCGTGTAGAATATCCATCCAGCCCATCAATCCATAGTTGATACTGAGCTTTTTATGATGCTGATCATGGAACTGTGGATGCTTGACGAATAAATCGACATCATATCCACTATGGGACAACGATGCCTTTAGTCCGGAACCGGCCAGAAACAACCAAAATGTAACAATGTGGACTTTTAAAAGCCTGGCCGGAGCAACAATGGGGACGATATTGACAACGACCAATTCAACCGGGTGGCAATACTGGGAAGCCAAAGCCACGGGCACCGTAAATCTATGGTGCTGTTTGTGAAAGCGGCGGTAGAGTAAAGGGTGATGCAGGACACGATGCCCATAATAGAAAAGAACCTCCCGAATCAAGGTGCAAATGAGAAGATCGCCCAAGATTTCCCTAAGAGGTGGCAATTCCGACTCGAAGCGGAAAGTCCAAGGATGTGGGACCAGCCGATGGAGTAGGAACAATTCTGCAAGATGCAGAGAGCTCATGATGAGTTGGTTCTGTAGCACGCCAAAGAAACACTGTCGGATAGCATTCCAAGTGGGTTGTTCAGATGGTGGATGTATTTTACGTCGTGCGAGGAACCCCAATGAATCTATCAATATAAATAACAGACCCAACACCCATATCGTGGTGAGCTGGATAAATGAACTACCCAAGAACTCAACCACCTCAGGGGAATGAGCTTGAACAAGATATCTGTAAAAGCAAAGCATTTGAGGCGGTCAATTGATAATACTTAATAGAGGTCATCACAATACTGTCGCTTTACCAAGGAGGGCATGGCTATATAGCAATTTTCTTCTGAACATAATTTCAGGGCTGCAAAGAAGCAAGGAGGGGACGTATAAAGTTCAACTTAGCAAAATGGTCCCTTGTCATGCTGCGAAGAATGTGATCAGTCTCAATCTGTAGATCACATGTAGTGCTATTTCTGAACAAATGCAAGGTCTGCCAAGGAACTGACACATAACGTTAAACTAAGTAGAGGTGTTCCCTGTAGTGCTGCGAACAATGTGGTTATTTCAATCTGTACATCATCCAAATACCCCTTCCCGTACTGTGCTCAATGTATATACCCTAGTGTAAAATGCTATTCCCCTGATGCCATAACTTGAATTATAATTCCCAAGTACTCATGTCTATTATGGACCGACCTCTATCCGTGTCTTTTGGGCTTCCCAGCTCCTATATTTTCCAAATACCTGATCGTTTTCCCGATGTCTCGCAGAGCTTCCTACTTTCAAAGGAGCTGGGGATGACAAGGATCGCGCCCTACACTCTTGATATCCGTTTTCCATTCATATCAGCCGGTTTATATGTGGCGACTGTTCTTTACTTCAATCGCCTGAACCGTGGACGCAAGAACAAGCACTGGGTTGTTGCTAGGTACCGGGTTTTCCCAGTCTTTGTCTTCACACATAATTTATTGTTGGCCATGTTCTCTGCATTTGCTTTCTTTTCAACTTTCGGCTCCCTTCGAAGGAGTTTCTCTGCCTTGGATGAGTCCCATTCTTTGTCCCATGTTGCGCATATTTTGTGCAGGTTGGACAATGTCTTGTCTTTGGAAGATACTGAGCAACGTAACTACGTGTTCAGTGAAGTAACGGGTGAATTTCTGAGACGAGAGACTGAGTGGATATGGTACATCTCTTGGTTGTTCTATCTTTCGAAGATATATGAATTCGTCGATACTGCGATTATACTTGCCAAAGGCAAAGAAAGCTCGATTCTCCAAACTTACCATCATTCCGGAGTCGTGATTTGCGCCTGGTTATCTTTGCGGTTCAAATCTCCTCCCGCTTTGGTTGGCCTGTTGGTCAACAGCACAGTTCACACTGCCATGGTATGTCTGCTTCATTTTCTTTACGGTCCTGGTACTAAGTGAGATTGCCAGTACACGTATTACGCCATGGTAACATTGAAATTGCGCCCACCAATTATGATCAAAGCCACTTTGACCGCAATGCAGATCGTCCAGTTTATATTCGGATTCCTGACTGGCGTTGGCTATGTTTTTGTTAAATATAGTGTGCCACTCCACGCAGAAGGATATCCAGTCCAATCGCAGCCGGTTGCTCACTATCATATACAAAACCGTACGGTTCCTTGTGTTTACAACTTTGGGCATATATCTGCTGTTTGGGTTGGTGGGATCTATGTTTTCCCATTGATTTACATGTTCACAAGTTTCTTTACAAGGGCATACATTCTCCCTTGCAAAGAAAAGTTACAATAGATGGATATGGATTTCATACCTTCCGTCCATTCCATTGATTAACCCGACGATCCACTTCGTGGTGTGCCGACATGATCGAACTCAATTTTCTCTGCTTCCTTCCACCCATTCACCGGTCGCCCGGTATATCCTTAGTCGGTTCTGCAATTAAACGGGAAAGTATATAGAAGAGGCTCACTTACCAAGATTTCGAGAAAGAATGTGGATGATGAACGTGCCCAGCGTGGAGTATGTGCAAGTTGACTGTGCCTGGTTGTTTTCGCGTGTTACATGATTTTCCCCATGGATAGAGCAAGAACATGAGAGAAGGATACGTTGTTGGTTTGCCAATAGAACAGTTGTCCATATCGGTGACAAGATATTATTCCTACATCAAACTGAATATACATGTATATGACAAAATCCATCAGCTGTCCTTGGTTGTCCATATTTCAGGTCCTATACGCCTGTTGCGCCTCATCAAATGCATGGCCAATCTTATCCGTCCACGGGGTCATCTGGTAGAACACATCATCTGGAATCTTGGTTTTGGCCACCCCTTCAAACAGATTCTTTTCGTCATGCAAGTTCTGCACCATATAAATAGCTAGGGGTCCAACGCCCATGCTCTTGAACAAGGGTGCCTGAAGCAATGTCAGCGTTATCTACGTGCTTCGCAGCTCACAGATATCCGGGTGAGATACCCATACCTTGTCTTTAGCAGACTGCAAAGTATCCAAAAGGATTAGAAACATCTTCGTATACGATTCGGAACACCTAGTCGCCTCCTCAGAGGTGAACTGGTCTCCATCCGCTAAGCTCTTCCGTGCAGTTTGGGCAGCGTTTCTAGCATTGGCCATGGCGTTAGCGACCCCTATGGCGGCAAGGGGTCCCCCATTATAATCATCCAGTGATCTCTTTGCTTCTGTGATGGCTTCAACGAAATCATCCATATCAGAGACAGACTGATTGTAGTTTGCAGCAGCAGACACTAAGCAGACACTGCAGAGAGCGCCGATGAGCACATATTGCCCCAATATTATCAATAGCATAGTAAGCGGACCGTAAGATGCAGGGGAAAGGAAGCTTTAAACAGATGCTGCTTGAATAGATTAAGCCGAGACAGTACACAAGCAGGTGTACGGGGACAATGAGCATGTCCTTCGTATTTATAGTCCACCGGGGAAAATGCGAGGGGTTTGATCCTAGTATTAGTTACGAAGGTCCCTCGATAGGGGCGCAAGGAATGACAGTGAAGAATTCTGGAGTGCCAGAATCACTGGGTCGATGCACCTCAATCGAATGTATCGGAAATTATATCTTGCCGAAATGTTCCTAATCGTTTCTAGACTGGTGCACATTGATCATTCAATATTTCCAGTAAAGGTTGCGGTGGGGCTATTTGCGTGAAACATTTCGGAGTAGAGGGAGGGGCTTTTGATTTCCGGGCCGGTAGGGACTTCTTTCTAAAAGTCCTCGACAAATTGGAAAGGTGTTGGGTTGCTGGCCATAGACTCACTTTCTAAGAAACACTTGCAAGGTACATTTACCTCTTAGCCCCTGTTTGTTCTTCGCAGTGGCTGTTCTAGCGAAGATTTTTACAATCATCAGCAACTTACCTGAACTTTTGAAAGGCCTGATGGAAGTACCTCCAAAATCGGTATTTTCTCCGTTAATTCCAAGTCGGTGATGCATATGTCATTTCCCAGTACGCCCGTGTCATTTTTACGGTCCCCGAAGCTGTACATGAGCTTCTAGGTCCAACTTGTTTGCCCTGTTGACAAATACCATGAAAATTGCATAAGATAACTCAATAATACTAATTTATTTCAAGTCAAGTCTTGACGCCATATTATTTGGTTGCAATAAGACTTTATTAGGTAACACAGTCTGCAGATCATCTCGCAATGCGTTGTACTAGATACCTAATAGAAAGACACAATTCTATAACTATGCCTAATGTAAGGGGTGCGCTGTGGCATTTTTACATTAGGTGGTATTTGTGACGGTGGAACGTCAATCATTTATCAATGGCGGTGTAAGACCCCCCCGGAGGGAGTTTTGAAGATCTGGGAACATCATTTCATATTATCCTTGCTATGAGACTTGGTTTGGAAATCATTACTAGGGCCTTGGCAGTAGGCCGCTCCTGCGTACAAGGTAGCCAAAAAATTGAGCAGAAAGGGTAATGTCCGGAAATACTCTTGAGATGATTTACTTCCTGCTTCAATTCTAACATGTAGCAGTTGGAACTTTTACTGGAGTGGTGAGTTAGCTGAGGACTAAGTGTCCATAATATCTGTATCTGTTCTGATCAGGAATCTCCGCATTACGCCAGTGTAAACAGCATACACCAGACAAACGCACAAGTGGTAGCGCAGTCATGCCCTCCACCATTACCACTGGAAGATATATATGGATTACTCATTTTGGTAAAAAGCTTTCTACTAAAATAAACCAGCGCGCTCTTTTTTCTCTTCCGAGAGTTTGCCCCCACCTCCGACTACTGCATGTTAGAGCCTTCGGGTGGCTAGTTTACAAGAGGTATCGTGAAGGATTAGACGAGAAATCGGAGTCTAAATTCTCTGCTGTGCTTCCATAGATTCATGAACTTGCGAGTTGGGCCTTTGGACCAGAGGGTTTACCAAGTCTACAAGTTCTTGCTTACGGAGACTTTTCTTATCGAGGGCGTTGGCCAAATCTCGTGCTCTGCAGATTTAAATCACTGGATGACTCGGATATACAAGAATCGACTGCTGGGCTATCTGATCTAGCATACAGAGAGGTCACAAAGGCAGACGTCTCGGAACAAGAGATTTTGTACGCCAACGCTCATTTCTTAGAAGCCTGTCCAGAGGATTCTTTGTTATATGAGCGGAATCGCCCTTTCTGATTGAAAATTCCATATTCTGGTTCGTTAACTTCACCGGGAGAGTTTAGTTGGAGGCAGTGTGAATTGGAACGTTTGACTTACTCTAGCATGAATGGAGCAGTTTGAAGAGGCGATAGTATGGTACTAGTTATAGTATGGTACTAGTTCACTGGCCAAATTAACTGATATGACGAGTGGTCTCGACAGGCTGATTCGGGCTCTGTAGATGGCATAATGTCTATGTATGGCATACATTCTGAGCTATACATTTTGAGGATTATGCGACCTTTCGATAGGGAAACATAGACTTCGCATAGGAAGAATGCCGTACAAAAAGTCCTATTAAGGACCTCTAGTGTACAGTTAATCTACAGTCGCTAGTTATATAAGAGTTCACATATAGCTCCCATTTGGTATAACCCTTCGTGCTTACCATTAGCAAAAGGTCACATAATCGTAAAACGGTATAGCTTAGAATGCATACCCTAAATCGATATTATACCGTCTACGGAGCCGAATCGGCCTGTCAAAAATACCCGTCCTATCGGATGATTGGAATTATCATATAAAATAACTTAAACTTAATATCTCATTTACTGAATCTTTGTACTTCGTTTCAAGCACAAGAACAGGGCCGCCAATATCTGTGTAGGGACAAGTCCATATCGGCCGGCTAGAATGACATTCATACGGGCCACAAAATCCATAGCATCGCTAGAGAGATCGGTCTAGAAAAAGGATTAGCTAGTTGAACTTATTTAATGAGACGGAAGAAGAAAAGTATCTATACCTTACTGTCTAGCAAATCATTACTCAGTCTGTAAGCAAAGAGATGGCGAGTATGTAAATTCAACATATATATTTGCATACGAGTCGGACTTACTTTTCTCACCCTCATGTGGCAGTAAATTGATTGATTACAAGTATGTGACTATGATATGTAGGACTATCACTGTTTATGCAAAGTTCATTTGCTCTCTTCTCTTTCTTCCGCGGCACTCTTCTCCACCTGCTCCTTTCGTTTCTTGAGCACATTGTGAATTTCCTCAACGCTCTCTTTCAACACACCTTCTACCTCACTACCACTCTTTTGCGCGATAGCCTGTAGTGACTGCAATTGAGGGATGATGCTGGAACCACCATGTATCACCTTCAGCTACTTGTCCAGGTCACCCAAGCTGCTTGTCTTCGCTTGTTCAACCTTGTCTGTAATGTACTTCTCCACATCCTCCGTCTTACCCGAAGAAGCGCTCTCCTTGACAAGACCCCACAGATCTTTAAGATTGCCCTTTTGCAAGGTCTCGGCATTGTCTTCAACCTTTTGCTTGAGCTTTGGGTATTTATCAAGGTATTTCTGGGCCTCCTCGAAACCCTTCTGCCATGCCTCATCCCCTAGATTTTCAATTTTTGACTTCTTCTCTCGGATCAAGTTTGTGATCTCTTCAATTGACTCGGCACTTTTACCGCGCTGCACAATGCTGGAGATTTATTGCCGAATCCGATTTAACTCTTCCTCAGCCTGGGGCCAATAAGCGTCGCCCATCTTCTTTAGTTAATCCAAACGACCACCAACCTCCTCCTTGAATCCAGGGTGATTCCTGAGAATATCCTCCGTGGCGTGGCCAGCAAGATCGAGCAAATGCTTGAGATATTTTTGTAGCACGTTCAAAGCCTTGGACGCCGAGTCTATGTTCAGTCCTTGGCTAACTTTCCATTCCAGTCTGGCAAACTTCCTCTCAACTTCCCGGAATTTATCGAGTAGAACCCGGCATACTTGTCCTATTGATCAGAAGGAGGAAGGGTTTTGTACAACGAGGACATCTACGTCGGTTATCGTTACTACAAAAATATCAAGGTGAAATCTCTTTTCGCATTCGGTCATGGTCTCTCTTATACATCATTCCGTCTCTCGACGCTTGCTGTTTCCCAGCCATTGAAGGCTATTAACAGAGTCAAGGAAGAAAGAAGCGCTGGAAGTTTCAGTCTCAGTGGAGAATATTGGATCTTACAGTGGGGCAGAGACTGTTCAGGTATACATCTCACTACCTTCCAACGCTAGCATTGCCCGCCCTGTGAGAAAGCTCAATGGGTTTAAAAAAGTCAAAATCCAACAGGGCGAGAAACAAGAAGTCGTGATCGTTATCCCGGTTGCTCTGGCGACCAGTTTCTGGGGTGAGAGGCTGTCTTCCTGGCTTAGTGAAGCAGGAGAATATACAGTCACTGTCGTTGGTACTGGTGAGCAGAATGTTCTTTCGACAAGATTCACGATTTCCCATAATAGGGAATGGAATGGACTGTTTGAGCCTGTCATGCCTGCGCCATGACTTACATATCAAGAGTTAATTTGAATCTATACTGGAGCTCTGAACAATCTGCTTTCGCAGTTTATGATGTCTGCGTTTCTGTACAAAGGGTTATCTTGAGAGAGACCCACGTAATGAATTGTTAATCAAGTAGACTAGGGGCTTCTTTTAAGGACGCGATTGGCAAACAGTCTTAAGAGACAAGGCGTTGTGTTAGAGAGCAGAGTTTTGCTAAAAGCCCTATGCTATTGTAATAAAACCATTTCAGGTTCCATGCAATAAAGTGCGGCTGCCAAGTGAGGCTCTTTTGGGGAGTGTGGGCTCAAAAGCCGCAAAAGCCGGGCGTAAACTTTGGGGCCGTTCGCCAAAGACCGAGCTTGACAAAAGTCCCGGTGCCACCAACCACCTACCATCTTGGCCTGTAGACTATTCATATTTATTGGCCTATAATACAAAGGCACATCCCACCAGTCTGTTATAACTATCTAGTTGCTAGTTCTAGACCTTCGGTTTTGCGTTCTCTAAATTCCAACATTCTTTCTTCACTATCCAAGAGTACACTCTCCAAATACGACCACAGTCATCTTTCGGCCCTCATCACACACATTGATCTTCGCCCATCATGGCTGCTCCGCCCAAGTTAACCCCAACCATTACCGTTTTCAGAGGTTTTCCCGAAAAAGGCTGCTACACCTGGTCGCCGTTTGTCACTAAGCTCGAGGCCCGCTTACGCTTTGGTAATATCTGCTACCACGTCGAGGCAGGTTCACCCCCGAAAGGTCCTAGAGGGAAGATACCCTACATCACACTCGAGCACAATGGCCAGTCTCAATCTATGTCCGACTCTACCCTGATCGCAAAGTCATTCATTTCGTCTGGACACCTAGAGGATCTCAATGGCAGACTCTCCCCCGTGGAAAAAGCCCAGGATCTTTCTCTCAAGGCCCTGCTAGAAGACAAGCTATATTTCTACCAAGGCCACGAGCGATGGGTCATGAACTACTACACCATGCGCTCCAAGATCCTAGGAAACACCCCCTGGCCTGTGCAGGTGATTGTCGGCAACATAATCTACAACAAGAATGTCCGCAACCAGCAGGGCCAAGGAACAGGCAGCTTCTCTACCGAGGAAATTGCGACCTTCCGACAAGAAATCTGGGAATCTGTCAACGGGCTTTTATCGGCTGCGCAAGCCCAGCATCGGGACCGTGAAGGGCCGTTCTGGGTGTGGAGCGGCGATGCCCCCACCGAGGCCGATGCAGTGGTATTTGGCTTTGTGGTATCGGGTCTGGTTTGTGGAGCGTAAGTACCCTTTCCAAGGTGATATGCCTCGGGGTATACCTCACTTGATGATAAATCGTGCTGACTGTTTGGAAGGGCCCCGGGGACCAAGCAGATTGTGAATAGTTACCCGGCGCTGGTAGAGTATGCCCGGAGGATCCATGAGAAGTATTTCCCGGATTATCAGCTTTGAAAGTAAACGTGGATTTTTGATTTACTGGATCCCTTTCTCCTACATTTGAAAATATAACGTTACCGTGATATAATTGCATCCAATCACTCACTTGAACAATATATATCTGTCATTAATCATGTAGATCGCTAATCCGCTCTTATATCGTTTGAATCTGCTGAGAGGACCCGAACAAAACAAAAGCCTTCTAATTAGATGGCTGCATTAGGACAGGGAATTCAATCTTTCGGTGTAAATGGGACAAGATTTCAGAGTATCGAGGCTCATTTTCAGCACTCAGGATCCCGTGTTGAATGAGGAATTCAACAATAACAATAGCACTGTTTGGCTTAAACCGTCGCTGTTTCAAAGCACAGACCACTTCACCGACAGTGTATAGGCTGAAACACTCTACTTCAGAGTCTTTTGGCTTTGGGATCATGTCTGGATCTAATTCGAGTTCATATGTATACTCGACCTCTGGTTGAAATAAACCGGTCTCTCCTCCAGCTTTGTTCCCACGGATGTGAAAATAAGTGAGTTGGCTCATGGGTTTGACTTTCGTCTTCACTATCTCTTCTGGTATGGTCGCTTCTTCCTGTGCTTCGCATATGAGAGCTTCAATGGGTAGCTTCCCGGCGCCGAGACCGCCGGCCGCAGTGCTATCGAGCATACTTGGATAAGTTTGTTTTCCTTCTGCTCTCTTGCCAATCCACAATCGAAGGCCTTGTTCGTCCCTCACGTAACAAAGAAGTTGGACACCGTAAGTCACAATCCCAAACAAGGCACTTGCACAACGCTCTATTTCAAGCAGTAACTCCCCTTCCGGGCCATATACTGGGAAATTCTCATCGCGCCAGCTTTCTAGCATTGATATTACAGCTAGCTTTCTCGTGGCCTTGAGGGTATCCTTAAGCACTAGAGAGCGCATATCGGGTGTGGCCGTAGCTGGCGTAGCTAATGTCACAGTTTGTTGGCGGTGATCGATTAACCACGAGTCGGACCATTGTATTTTTTCAACAATTTGTCGAGTGATATATCCTAATATGGCACTGCAACCATTCACTTTAAAGGTGTAACATTTCTCCAGAACTCCTGTCTCATGTGAAACGAAGCTATCAAATAACAACAACGTCAGTACAAAATGAAAGGATGTATTATGGGAATTCCTTACTTGTCGCATTCCTTCACTATGTCTAAAATGGTCATCGTTTTCAAAGATAGACTGCAAGGTGTCAGACTAGAAAAGCCGAGTAAGAAAAGGGGTTCATCGATTGACACAAATCTGTCATTGGATAATACCTGACCATATTTCTCACCGCCCCCTTGAAACATGTACAAATTTCAACATTAATTTATTTTTCTTCCAAAATATATCCATCAAGTCACTGTGGGCGGAACATAGACAATCTCCCACTCGAGTGAGGCAATCAATCAAAATTGATGGAAAACTCATTTATGCATACATGAGCGCGAGACGCCCGATCTAACATCTTCGCCTAATTCTTGATATCTACCTCTAGCAAGGGCTTCCGTTTTCAACGTACGCCTTCGAAATAACGGCATGGGGAGGCACCTCAGTGAAATGGCAAAGGCGGCTAATCCAAGGTATGGGTTGGTTGACTACGTCATGCAGCTGCAATCACGCGCACGGGCTTAGTGTTCTGTCGCTGTCACTGCAGAGCAGAGGATCGTGGTCTGAGCTGATTGGATGCCTGAATTGGACTTGATAGTATGCCATGGGCTGGTCCGCACACAGAGCCTCATTATCCGCATTATTCGTGTATATAAGATCCACATGACGTTTGTCAAATTGAGAGATAGAAAGGAGGATGGAAGTCTTCGGCGGAACGGCCTCGGCGATTGCCATTTACAACCAGCTAGACGCATGTATTCGAGGTCTTCTTCGACTATACAAAACCTTTCAATTCGCCGAGCAAGAGATAGGACAGCTCATTGACGAGGTATCTGCTTGTCAAAGTCTCTCTGCTATATTCAATGATGTCACTCGTCCGCTGACAGGCCGAGTTATTAATTTGGCTATCGAGAAGAAGCTGGATAAAACGCTAGAGTCTCAGGCCGCTTCGGCTCGGAAGCAGATTGGTCACATTATGAAGAAGCTAAAGCCTCTCATGAAAGGGAGCATTTCCAATCGATTTGATAAATTCATGGCAAAGATATGGTGGCATTACACCAGAGAGGAGACACAGGCTTTACTTGCCACATTGGGCTGTGTGAAGCTTAGTCTTTCCGTATTTACCTCTCTTTTGGCATTGGATTTTTCTCTCGTGGAATCGAAACAATCATCAGCAACAAGTCAGCAGCATCATGAAGCGCTTCTCATTCAGATGTGAGTATTCCAAACTATATTAAACACACTCTTTCTGCGACTGATGTAGATCTATGAGTTACAGAAAGCGTTTGAAGAAAATGGTTGAACGCCAGACTAAGTCCTTACGAAATATGACGAGCAGAATGATCCCATTGAAAGACAACACATATGAGCCCAACTGGATTTTCAACGCGAACTCGATAGTCATCATAATTGGTCAAATTCAAAAAGAGCCTATCGCTGAGGCACGGACATTTATTGACCATGAATTGCTCAATCCACGGGTTCTGACATCAACACCAGGGAGCACCGATCCTGTGAGCCTAAGTACGAATATACAACGAAACCTAACGGGCATTAGTCCGAGCGAATCACGGTCCAATTCAACAAGTCGTTTACCCATCGTACTTCCATCAGCAGAGAGTCCAGAGCCACCAACCCAGACAGATGAAAACTCATTAAAAGTGTACAAAAAGAACGAGATGGTGGTCCGTGATTATGGAGATAATAGTAGGGAGATATATGACCCAGGCTCTTCTTCATCTTCCACTAGAGGAAAGGGCAGACATAGCCACAGGATGTTTGTTCCTGTACCGCCTTTCGTCGAATCGGATTGGCGAAACGGGCATCTAAGAAGGCGTGACTCCGGGGAACAACTTTGAAACTATACATAAGCCTTTCGTTGTTGGTTTATTGGCTTCTCCATATGCAGATCGCAAGAATACTGACATTTGGTTGACATTGCGTCGGTTCAAGCTGTATTTACCTGGTACAATACCTATGAGATCGCAGCCCTCAAACCTTTTCCACGTTGAATTCGCAATTGTTTCGTGGTATGAAAGTTCGTGCCTTAATGCCTTATTATCGCCTGATTTATGACCGTTCCCTACACCGCCCCACATGTGAATATTTTGTGTACATAATTCCCAACGATGACGTGATGTAAGTATGAACTTGAATGGCACGAAAAGTTTTAATTTAATGTCTACAGTAAATCACCCAATATTGATGTGATAATGATTTTTCATGGCATGAAAAGCTTCATTTTACCTACTAGGGACAGATACCTGCCTAGGTGATAGCCCTGTAGAACCAGGGTACGCTGATTATTAAGGTTTCTGTCAAAGGCTGAAATTCAACTATTTTTATTTTTCTGCAGTTCAAAAGTTATAATCCAGGCGATAATACATTGAAGCATCATTTGTATGCAAATACATTTGACTTCTGGTGTCTGTGCACCCTCGTAATCACTCCTTATCTCTGGAGATTCAAAAAATCCATGTTTCTGGACACCAGAGTTACAATTCGGAGGGATCAGGGGCTTTAGTCCCTGTACCATGGTTAAATTTTTGCTTTATCCTGAATTATTTGGGTTTAGTTCGTCATTCAAACAATACCTTCAAACACTTCAACGGGCCGAGAATGGGTCGGGCCTTTGAAAACCTGATAAGATCAAATTTGGGCCATTGAGCGCGACATATCAGCAGTGATATCATAGGCCCAAAGATGGGCTAGATTCAGCTGTATCTATGGATACATGTATACTTAGCAGATGTATCTATCTACACGCCTTTGGAAATCGTTCGGGCCGAGCTTTTGCCGCTCGCATTGTACCTGATTTGATGGGCCATTTCCTGCTGTGCCGATTTTCCGGTGATCGTCCGGCATCTCGGAGATGGGTCGGCCTTGCAAGTATATACCAACGCTACCGCAAGCCTCCGTGAGAATATAAGTACCTACCATGTTATCTTGAAGTATCTCGCACGACCATTCCAATCGCATCAAAAGTTTCTCCACGCCAACAGACTCTCACATTTATCATGTCTTCAACGATACCAGAAGAGGGCTCGGAGATCCCAGAGCCCTTGCATTCCCAACGTCTATCTATGGTCGAAACCAATGAGAGCCTCCGCAACCGGGGTATCACAGAAACACCCCCGCGATTGGATTACAACTACCCTGTTATTGGACATGATGCGGACCCTGTATTCCCTGAAGAGTACACCGTTGAAACCAGCACTGGTCTTGTACCCGAAAAGACCTTGGAGGAGATCCGATCTCGCCCTTCTACCTCATCCACAAAAGCTGGCACGCCGCCTGACACCGACCTCGAAAAAGGAGAGAATGGGCCTACAGAGTTTGTAACATTCACCATCGGTGATCCTGCACACCCCCACAATTGGTCCCGAGCTTATCGCTGGTACATCACTCTTGTTGCCTCAGGTCTTGTGGTATGTGTCGCATTTGGTTCCGCCATTGTCACCGGAGGATTGGGTTTGATTGAAGAGAAATACAATGTCTCTCTTGAGGTTGCAATCCTGACATGCTCAATCATGGTCTGCGGATTCGCAGTTGGTCCTCTTCTCTGGTCTCCCCTCTCTGAGATCATTGGCCGAAGGCCTGTGTACATAATCTCTCTCGGTTTGTATGTCATTTTCAACATTCCATGCGCGCTGTCCCCAAACATCGGTGGCCTGCTCGTGTGCCGATTCCTATGCGGTGTCTTCTCCAGTTCAGGCCTTTCCCTCGCTGGTGGCACCATCGCCGATATCTGGAACATTGAGGAGCGCGGTATGGCCATTGCTTATTTTGCTGCTGCACCATACTGCGGCCCTGTTCTTGGCCCCATCGTGACAGGTTGGATCACCGTTGGAAGTGGCCGTCTCGACCTCTTTTTCTGGGTGAATTTGGCCTTCGCCGGTGCAGTGATGGTCCTGATTGGTCTTATCCCAGAGACATATGCTCCAGTCATTCTTAAACGCCGCGCCGCAAAGCTGCGCAAGGAGACCGGAAACCCGAACATCGTGACCGAGCAAGAAAAGACAAAGCTCACCTTCCGAGAAATCGCTCGCACAAGCTTGATCCGACCTATCACGATGATCATGACCGAGCCCGTTCTCGACCTAATGTGCATGTATATCGTCCTGATTTACGCAATGCTCTACGCCTTCTTCTTTGCATACCCCGTGATCTTCACTAAGCTCCATGGCTATAATGACGGCCAGATCGGACTCATGTTCATCCCGATTCTGATCGGTGCCGGCTTTGCCCTAGTTGTCACTCCAGTCATCGAAGGCAAATTCAAGAGGATCTGCAGCGTTCGAGATCCAACACCAGAAGACCGACTCCACGCAGCCCTGCTGGGTGCACCTTTTATCCCGATCGCCTTCTTCATCTTGGGCGCTACCTCCTACAAGCATATCATCTGGGTTGGACCGGCTTCGTCTGGTATTGCCTTTGGCTTCGGCATGGTGCTCTGCTACTATGCAGTGAACAATTATATCATCGACTCGTACCAGAAATATGCTGCGTCAGCTTTGGCAGCTAAGGTCTTCCTGCGATCTGGTGGTGGTGCAGCTTTCCCGCTGTTCACCACGCAAATGTACGATCGTCTTGGGTTGCAGTGGGCTTCTTGGCTGCTTGCTTTCATCGGACTTGCCATGGTTCTTATTCCGTATGTTTTCTTCTTCTACGGAGGGAAACTGCGTGCAAAGCTCACTCGGGACTAAGAGTACTGTTATTGTTTGTTTTCTTCCTCTTGTGAAAACTGAACATTGGGAAGCCTATAATTGCATGGCGAAGAAACCAAAGTTCTTGGTTTAGACATTATTTAGATATGGTTTGGGGGTAATAATTTAATAGACTTAATGTTAGAGCATCACAATAATATTTGTTTGAATCAATTCGTGCAGAATTAGGTGCTAGTACGGAGCTGTGCAGAAGGCCAGGATGCAAAACCCTCATATTCAAGATTAAATATAAAGGGGTATAGTAAAATACATTCTGTACAGTGCGCTACCCTGCGGCGTAGCACGGTTTATGGTATAATTTTGGCAATTTACCACGACATACGACACAACCTCGATTGACTAGGAATATGTCGCCAAGCTCGTCGTTGACCAAAACACCCTGTACCTTGTGATGGTATTTGGAAAACGATATTATTCAAGACAATTTCTGTGAGGCTTCAAGAGACAAACAAATTGAACATTATCTGAGAGTATTGGATACCGCGCGGTAGTACAACTCGGAAGGAGACCATTATTTGGCTCCTGGGTTGTTTTAAGATAGCTCATGACGTGGTTACATACTACCCAGCAACTCTTTCTGGGTATTAGCACATGATTGCGCCAAAGTCCCGCTAGGAACTACTGAAATTGCAACAACAAAAAGGGTTGAATGGTTGAATAACTGGCTACTGGTCAGGTGAAATTGAGAAATAAGGGCGAAGGGGTGGGGGAGATATATTCCTAGAATGAGGATCACCAGGCATGCGACTATTTTAGACTTGTGTATCTAAGGAGATTGGGGGAACCAACCTAGGTACATACCTAAATCTTACCCGTGACCCCTATAGATTCAATGTTTGTACTTGGTCCGAATTTTCAAGATCAAGATGTCGCTCCGAAGTTAGCCTTGCGGCTGAAGGAAGAACTAATTCGATGTTCAGTGTGATCAGGTACCCTGTATGATGACCCAATACTTGGCACAGGCACAAGGCTGCGGCTGACCGTGAGTGTAGCTGGGAGGAAAATTGAGACAGCATGGAGAGTTTTAGTTTTCAAAGGTGATGTGTTCTAAGTCTTATGTCAAGATACTTCTATGAGAATGAGCCTCTCACCACGTGATTCCGGTCGCATTGTTTTGTGGCTCTTGACGGAAGTTAGGGCCTAATATATATACCGTTGCAGTGCAATCGGAGGTTCCGATTGTCCCTATGATCTTTTGGCTGAATGGTTAAATGCTCTTGTTTAATCACACAGGTGGCCTGAGTTCCCGTCTGGATTACAGTTTACTTGAAGTTTAACAAAGTCAAAAGATGGACGTTCTTCGACTTGCCATGCGATGGCTCAGAGGGGTAATATGACAAAATACCAAGGTGCCAAGCTCTCAAAACCAAATTACATCACAGCTCGTATTCTTCCCCCTCGTTTTTCCAATTGGTCGTAGTCCACTCCCGGGATACTAAGCAGGCCCTGGGAAAGAGAAGACTCTACATCTCTATTCTCCCTTCTTCGCCTCATGTAAATGTTGAGCAAGCACTTGACAAGGCCACCCTCCTTCGAGATTCAAAGTTTCAAATCGCTTAAATCCTTGAGACTCGTAATATTGAACCAGTTTGCCATCGTCACCTGCATAGCAATCCACCCGTAGCAAGGAGGCTCCAATCCCATTGGCAACCTCACGTGCATGGTCCAGAAGACGTTTGCCAATCCCCTTACCAGCGTATCGTCGATCCGTGATTAATAATCGCACATAAAGTTCAGGCTCAGAGACAGCTGTCACGTAAGGCATCTTCTCTCCAATAGCAAGTGCCCCTATGATGGACCGCGGAGCTTCTCCGTTCATAGTTTCGGGGAGTGAATCGGAGGGTCGATTTTCGTCCATTGGCGAGCCATCAGCAACCTTGACGGCGACCCAAAGGCCATGGCCGGTTGTTGCAAATTCTTTCAGTTGTTCAGTGCGTCGTGGGTTCTCCGAAAACGGTGATGTTCCCCACTGCCCAACTCTACCATGCGATGCCAGCCAACTGACTGTGGCATCTAAGATATCGAGGACTGCTGGAGCGTCGTCTACCGTGGCTCGCACAATAGCAATGTCGTGGGATTCATTATGAATAGGCCTTTGAAGACATTTAGTGAATATCGGTGGATGGGCTGTCACTTTTGTTCCTCATTGATATTGTTCCCTTCCATCTACCTCTTCATAGGTGGGTTGGTTCTTCAGGCAATAGAACTTACTTTGGTGCCATTTTTTTCCAATCTGAAATGATACGACAACGGGTAGTTGTCGAATAGCCTCACGGAACTGATTCGAAGATCTTGGGGGTATATGACAAGGCATCACCTTACTCTTTAATATATATTTTACTTCACGCTAAGGTAGGGGCTAAGGTAGGGAAGAGCCTAGATCTATCTCTCTCACTCCCAGACCAGGTGTGCAAATCACATTGGCTGAGACTGCAATTTCCGGTCCAGTGGCGTGCGAAGGTTAGTCATACAGTAATATAAATTTCCAAATACCGAGTCCAAATACCCGGTCGGATACAGTACTAAACCACCCGATCGAGGGTAATTTACCCTGAATCTCCACGGGACGTCGGTTCCAACCTGACAGTATTGACTAGTGAGTTTGCCTATTTATATTCGCACGTTAATCCTGTTTTATTGCTAGTCAGAGAGTTCCAATATACCGAGTTTTTTACCATACAATTCGATACAGACCGATTTTGATCAATCTCCATCGGCCATCACTGGGCCCTCTGGCTTTGCCCGACATTTTCTTCTATCTCCAGACGTCCTACTTCTTACTGCCTTGATAGCTTTAAGCTAGCTGCTAAATGCCTATTCTTATTCTAGCTCTCTCTTATGTCCCCCATGTATCGTATGTGCTGACATCTCCCACCGACATCCACATACTATCCACATTAGGGTGTGCTAAGCTACCCCGTGGTGTGGATTACTCGAATGACTCTAATTATGGTTCAGTTTGGAGCTGCGCTAAACCTGACTACTGAGCTCACGGCCACTGATATAAATCAGCCCCCGCCCTCTCTGAGATTTCTCGCAATCAAATGTGCCGTAAAACATCACAAACCAATTTGTCACCAATTTGAACCACAAACATGATGTTTTCCAAGCAACTCTTGTCCACGGAATGGACTTTTAAGGACCGAGACGACGAGTCACTTGATGCATGGATACCTGTGAAAGCGGTACCTTCCACGGTGCAGCAGGATCTCATTGCAAATAAAAGGTTAGGGGTGCGCAAGGCCCAATACCATTGGGGCTGGGATTGGGGTCCGATAATCATGACAGCTGGCATCTGGCGCGAGGTGCGATTGGAATTCTACCGCCTTGCTCTCGATCATAAGATGGCGACTATTACGGCAGTTGCCAAAATAGATCAATCCAACTCGGAAGGATGTGTTGCTCGCTTCCATTTGACTCTACGTGGACATAAAATTGCCCACTAGGATATCCTTATACCCGCCGATCAAACGGCCCAATCCAGCTTCGAGGTCACCAATCCTGAATTATGGTGGCCACATGGATACGGTCCCCAGACCTTGTATGATGTGTCAGTCTCACTCTTGCGAAACGGAAACGAGCTACACAAGGTATCCTAGAAATTTGGCATTCGGTGCGCGGAAGTGATTCAGCAGCCCGATAAACATGGGAAGTTGTTCTTTTTCCGAATCAACCGAGTGGACATATTCTGTGGAGGGTCCTGCTAGATTCCTGTCGATACCCTACTCCCTAGTATCAGCGCAGAGCGATACCGGAAATGGATCGAGTTAATGGTGGTGGAAGGCCAAGTGATGACCAGGTATGCTAGAGCGGAAGTTATTTTTTGCAGACCATCTAACAACAATTTAAAACAGAGTATGGGGCGGCGGGATCTACGAAGATGATGCTTTCTATGACGCTTGCGATGAGCTTGGTGTGCTGGTTTGGCAGGACTTCATGTTCGGCTGCGGCAACTACCTAGTATGACCCGAGCTACTAGAGTCTGTATGACAAGAGACAGTCTATAACGTACAGCGATTGAGACATCATCCCTCAATCGTGATCTATGTTGGCAACAATGAAGATTATCAAGCGCAAGAACAGTCGGGGCTCACCTACAACCACGAAGATAAGGATTCGGAAAGCTGGTTGAAGTCTGACTTCCCGGCACGCTACATCTAAGAAAAGCTGCTTCCAGAACTGGTATCCGAGTACTCGCGGAGTACTTTCTACCATCCGGGAAGCCCATGGGGCGACTGAGAAGCCACGAGCGATCCTACTGTGGGGAACATCCATCAATGGAATGGTCGGTCTATCTGACCCATGAATGGAATCCCATTGGGGCTCATAATTGAATCTTCTGGCTGACGATTTTATAGTGTGGCATGGAACGCAAGAGAAATATCAGATTTTCGACACCTTGGGAGGTCGCTTTAACAGCGAATTTGAGATGGAATGCTTCCCGCATATGTCGACGATCGAGTACTTCCTGGAAAGCGAGAAGGACAAGCACCCACAGTCGCAAGTTATGGACTTTCATAACAAGGCTGATGGTCACGAGAGGCGACTAGCGACGTATATAGTGGAAAACCTACGCATGGCCACTGATCTAGAGGTCTGTTGTTTACCGTGGTCACCTGAACCCGAAAGAAAGAAGAAAGTACTAACATTCTACTTAGACATACTCCTACCTCACAGGTTATTCAGGCAGACACTATGATGTTTGGATACGGTGGATGGCGCCGCCAATGGGGTGATGAGCGAAAGTGTGGTGGGGCGCTACTGTGGCAGATAAATGACTGCTGGCCCACGATCTCATGGGCAATCGTGGACTACCTTTTGCGGCCAAAACATGCCTATTACACTGTCAAGCGAGTGATGCAGCCTATGGTGATTGGTGTACGACGTGAACATCACAACTGGAATGTTGTGCACGCAGTCCCTCCCACAAAGAGCCGGTACGAAATGTGGGTTGCTAGCAGCCGACACGAAGTACTGCATGGAACTGTCGAGCTACGATTCTTATCGGTGGTGACCGGCAGGGACCTACGCCTTCCGGGTGTCTTCACAGATGTCACCATTGGAGCTAATGGTACTTCCGACATCATGAGTGGAATCATTGATCATGTCACCCAGCTAGAGCCACATGTTCTTGCCGCGCGACTATGGATAGATGGTCAGATTGTGGTCAGGGACATTGACTGGCCACAGCCGCTCAAGTATCTCGGTTTTGCTGATCGTGGACTAGAAGTGAGGCTGTAGCCAGGACCTTCGGCTGGACAGCAGCTCTTGGTAATCAGCGCACGGAAGCCGGTGAATGTCTTGTCTTTGAAGAGCGTGAGAATGTGCGAATTAGCGACAGCGCTATAGATATTATTCTGGGCGATGAACAGGTGGTGGAGGTTACAGGGCTCAGTGATGGTGACCTGCCATTGGGGTACCGTTACCTCGGTCAGTAGTTTGATTCAACCTTTTAGAAATCGCGGTGTGATACAATCGAAACTTCTCGATATGAAATGCCTACAATCTGAAAATAGAAGGGCTTGTTGTAAGATTAATTGACCGGTTAAAATAAATGTGATATGGCGTGGGAGAGAAATGGGCTCCCGAGTCCACATAATACCCTTCTGCACCGAATATTGTTATACCTTCTGTTTATAGATATAATATTTTTGTTTGCTAGCCGTGGATATATAATCGACACACCCCCTTACACCTTCTACTTGTCATAATAGACGATTAATTTAATTTCGGCCCCATTATCGTACTTGTCACGCTTTCCAACTCAGCTCAATAGGAAGTCCGTTCATCTAGGATTGGTCTCTATTACCCTGCTCTATGTCTCCCTCGAGACCAACGGATTATATTGAATGTAATATGGCCGTTTGCGAGTGTTCATCTCCCGCCCTCCATATACTATTATGGAAGTAAAGCGCTCATCTCCCGTTCTCTCCATTGACTGTTATAGCAGTAAAGAATGTAGATCGTAAATACAGATAGAAAAATATTGGGGGAATTTGGACTGTTACGAATGAATGTCTGCAAACTCCGCGTTTTCACAAAAGGATGCCGTAATTGGGGCCGATCCGGGGACTAACGGCGGAAGATTACCCTTTTAGTCGAGGAGGAGGCGGAGGAAGCCGAGTTATTCCCCGTGGAGGTCGACTTACCCCGGTTTTTCGGTAGTGATTGGCCGTGATCGGCCCGTTTGGGGAATTTCCAATCCCCACAATGAAGGAAAAAAGACTCTCACAATTGGACAACCATAATCAAGAGAACACTAGGAGCTGCTTTAGCCAAGGACATCCGAGACATTCACAAACGGGCCTTTCATGCCGACGAGACACAGGAAAAGTGGCCCCATGACTACAACAATAAATATCATGCCGTGACACCCCCCTTTCCCCACAACCTCAGTTATTCTTTCTGTGGATTACATCCCTCTGCGTGGAGAAGACAACGTTTAAGCATGGCAGACCACACACATACAGGCCACCTAGCCGAGAAAGAAGGTGCCAGTGATGCCATGCACCATGAGCACAAGGAGGGCGTCAAGGTAGAGACTCTTCAAGGCTCAGTGGCTCTGGATATTGCCAGGCGAACCAATCCTCCGAATCCATGGAGTGCTCAGATGAAAAAGCTATATTTATTCTTGACTGTGGCATATCTTTGCTCGGCCCTAAATGGTACGAGAAAGACAATCAATAGCCGATGGAAAATTCATCACTAACTGGCTCAGGATTTGATGGCTCGCTTATGGGTGCTCTGCTTCCTATTAAGCAATTTCAAGACACCTTCGGTGCTGGCTTGGTGGGTTCGAAAGCTTCCTTGATTCAAGGAATGTACACCATTGGAGGTGTCTGTGCGCTGCCGTTCGTCGGAGCTTTCCTGGATACCTGGGGTCGCCGGTGCGGCATGTTCGTTGGGTCCTGCTCTGTCATCCTGGGTACTATTCTTGGTGGAACCGCTAACCACATGGATCAATTGCTTGCCAGCCGGTTCTTCCTTGGTGCGTGTCTATACATTTCACATTCTGGATAACCCTGTTAACAACATACCTTAGGCTGGGGCTACTCCTTGGCGTCCGCTGCCGCACCCGCATACGTGGTCGAGATAAGTCACCCCGAATACCGCGACATTTTGACCGGTTTATACAATTGCCAGTACTTTGTCGGTGCCATTGCTGCTGCTGGTGCTTGTCGCGGATGCCTGAGATTCGAAAGTTCCCTCGCCTGGCGCATTCCCATCTGGTGTCAGCTGATTTCGTCCTCCATCGTAGTGATAACTGTTTGGTTCATACCCGAGTCACCTCGTTGGCTTTATAGCCATGGGCGCCGCGAGGAAGCCTGGGATGTTATCACCAAGTATCACGGCGAGGGGTCTAGGGACAATGCTTATGTCCACCTACAGGTCCGGGACTACGAAGATGCGATCAACCTCGAAGGGTCGGATAAGAAGGCATGGGACTTCAGAGAACTCGTTAACACGAAGGCCGCCAGATGGCGCCTCACTTGTGTGGGTATCGCATCTTTCTTGAGCCAGTGGGCGCAGGCTGGAGTCACGAGCTACTACATTGGCGGTCTTTTAGCCACAGCTGGTATCACAGACACAACAAGGGTGCTCAACGTCAATCTGGGCAACACGATTCTTTCTGCTGGCGGAGCTTATATGGGAAGTTATCTCGGCCCAAAATTCAGACGCAGGCCTATGATGATTGGCGCGTCTATTGCTTGCAGTGTACGTATATACACCGTGTGATTCTTTATGTTCTATGCTAAACTTTGGACATGAAGCTGTGCTTTGCGAGCTTTTCAGCCACAACCGGTGTATACGCAGAGACAAAAGCACCAGGAGCTGCCACTGCTTCTATCGTGTTTATCTTCTTGACAGGCTTTTGTTATAGCTTTGGCTGGACCCCATTGCAGGCCATGTACGCCGTCGAATGTCTTTCATACGAGACTCGCGCCAAGGGAATGGCCATGTACTCCGTCTTCACCAATATTGCCTTGCTCGTGAACCAGTTTGGATTCGGAAATGCCATCAATGTCATTGGCTGGCATACATACATCATCCTAGCCGGTTGGAACATTGTGCAGGGAGTGTTCATCTATTTCTTCGCTGTTGAAACAAACGGGCGGACCCTCGAGGAACTTAGTGAGATCTTTGAAGCGCCCAATCCCCGCAAGAAGAGTACCGAAACACAACAGGTATTGGTGTCCGAGACGGAGAACCAGGTGGTGGAAGTAAAGGGTGCATGAGTTATTCGGCTCCAGTCTCATGGTGAGTTAATGTACGCTATCCGTTTCTAGAGAATATATATTGTTGGATCATCCTATCTCCAATTGGGGCGTGTAGTTCAATATATCTAGGAAGTGCCTATATACTATCTGTCCTGTACAGGTGCTACAACATTGACAGCTTTGTATCGAAATCATCAGCCGTAAATTTTCACATAATGCATGGACGGCGTAGGAAAGTAGTAGTTGTTTGCCTTAGAATATGTGTCAAACCAGCAATTTGACGATCATCCGCTAAAGATCGAGATCTAGCGAATATTTGTATGCGGGTCCAACTCTTACTGCTATGATCATCTGCAGAACTCGATCTGTGGGACATCGCCCCTCATTCGGTGGGCCGGTCTATTCTCAAATGTTCAATAGTCCTGCCGATCTAATCATGAAGTGGAGATCATGCACATTCCAACATGCAATTTGATGGACATTTCTCCATTGACCTAGCAGGTCGTAAACGAGGTGATACAGTGAATAGGCTCAAATATTAACCCATTCTATTCAATAACGGTCGCACATTTGTTTTTGATTGCAAAATAAAATTATATACATTGGAGGCAATGGGACAATGCAATGCTCTCACGTATTGGCTGCAGATGAATCCAAGAAAGACATTACCACATTTTCATTCTGAGCATTGAGGTCAAAAACTTCAGGCCAGAGGTTGCTATGATCCCAGCTCAAATACTCCCACATGTGCTGAGACGAAAGGGTTTCAAAGGAAGTAGCAGTCCAATCCGAAACGCGATCGCGGGCGATCTGTTGGTCATTGTTGAAAGCATTCGGAGGAAGGAAAGTTGGGGGGCCGAGACTGTCTCCACTCACATCAAGCGGCTCTACAGTAGGACCGTGAAGGTTAGACTCTAGAATTCCAGAAATGACCTCGAGAGAACGTCCTGCGGTGTGCCCGTAAGGCTTCATGCGACCAAGGGTCAACATAGCTGTTTCAACCTGCGTCTTACAGGCAGTGGGATCTTCTTCTGCGACCCAAGCTGACAAGCAAATCAATGGAACCATAGTCGCCTGGAATAACATCCAAACAGCGTTCCAACCGATCATTTGATTCAATTTGATTGTCGAGGAGATGTCTTGGATAGAAATCTCGGCGATTTCCTGACATTTTTGAATAGCAGTGCGCTCTTCAACCCGAATAGCCATGAAGGGAATTCGTCGCATTGCGTAGTTCAGTAAAGTTGGGCGATAAAGTAACATGCGATGATTGTAATATCGCCAACGCATCACAGTACGCACAGCATGTAGTGACTCGGGACAGGGTTCGTAATCCTTCAGGACCGGTGGCAGGTCATGCCACCAACGAACAAGCTGCGAATCCAGATCGAACATATCCGTGTGCGATAAGGTTGGCAGCGCAGCTAACGATTCTTGAATCTTCAAGGCAATTTTCACGAATTGAATATTTTCCGTCAGGGGGAGGACAGCGAAATAAGATTCCTGCCAAGAGTCAATATAGAAAAAGAGCCTGGATGTTTATGTCCAGGAAATGATAGGGAGGAAATGTTCACCCTGTCAAGCCGGCTAGGCAAATTGACTGTGATACTCGGGCCAAAGTAATCCATACTTGGCCGGCCGAGTGTTTCATGGCCCCATGTTTCCAAACAACAAAGTGACCACCACACGCGACGTTTGAACTCCTGGATTCCGGACTTTTTAGGGTCGAGCATTGAATGAATATCAGAAGGTTCCCGCTGAAGACCTAAAGTGACCGCCATCCGTAACGACGCACCCATAAGGGAGTATGCGAGATTCGGTTGACTAATATAATGACAGTACCATCCACCCAGCAGACCTAGGGCTTGAACGACTTCAAGGCTAGGATCCCCCAGTGAGCGTAGATTTAAGTGATCCATTGACCGCTCGTAATACGCACAGTGGGTATGGTTATCTGCGCCTGCGGCTGTAATATTTCCCAACGCGAGAACTATGTTGAGTAGTGCAAGCCATCGATCATCCTTCCGACGACCGAGTAGGTAAGTCGTGCGAAAGGCTTCTTCGTCTATGAGTGGTGCAAATGGTTGGAAGTTGAGAAAGTACGCATCTAGCATTTCAAGTTCCGTGGGTGGGAGGTCTGGAAGAGGTGTGGGTTGAGATGGGGGCAACGAGGTGCTTGGTTGGGCGCCTTGCTCTTTGGACAAGGAATGGGATAAGTATGAGTTCACTGAGGGATGCAGCCACGCAATGACCTTCAGTGCGGCCTGGATAGATGAAACACCTAGGTAGGAGGTTGGGTGGCGAGCCGATAATGATAATGCGTTGACGTCGTCTGAGATACGTCCGACTGATTCCGGGGCACTAGCACACTGGATTTCATCGGGTTGCTCTTCGGGCATCGTATGCAGTGACTCCAGACCAGGCATTTCCCCCGACAACGTAGAGTCGCGGGTGTCCAGGGAAGCGGCCACAATCGATGAGTCTTGGTGGTGGGAATATTGGGATCCGCCTGTGGTCACCAACTCCAACAGTTTATCCCTTGAGAAATTGGCGATGTTCTCCGGGGGGTGTCTGGAAACAGCCTTTTCAGTGTGCTTTTGTAGTCCGGCGAGGGTAGTGTTGAGTTCTCCCGCTGGCTAATTTGATCAGTTTGTGTCCTCAAACCCTGGGCCCGGGTTGATTTATTTAGCATTTGTTTTTTTTTTTACCTTTGCGATGATCGAGAGTCCGTATAGCCACACAGCTCAGGCTTTTTGTACCATCGACAGGCTTCACATGGCTTCTCTCCATCACATTTGATTTTGCGCCGACGACACGACGTGCAGGCTCGCGGCGTAGATCCACGCCGGCTGAGTCGTTCACTCCGTCTTTTATGCTTGGGGTTACGCAAAACCTCTTCGCTGCTCGGAGCAGCTTTGAACGCGATGAACATGACCGAGAAAGATATAAGGAATAGTCAACCAGATGGATAGAGTGTGTGGCATACGCGAAATTAAGAAAGACTCAAGAGACATAGGAAATGTGGAGATTGAAAGTGGTACGTCGATCTCGGGGTATGCATAACAGTCAACGCGGGGTTTGGCACATGGATCCTTCAGGGGAAGCTTTCGAAGGCTTGTGGGGGATTCGACACTTCCCGAGATAACTCCATGATAGTGCCGAGGTCCGAGCCCGATTGATACAGGCGGAGACTAAGCCTATTTAGGAAATGAAAAGGCGGACCTGCACCTCCAGGTCTTGAAATACTTGTTTGTCAGCATCTTAAATGACACACACTAAAAATCTAATTGTCAAATTATTCTTCCATTAAAAGAGGTAATCTGCAAGGATGACACCATCAAATTCGCTAGGATGGCCCCATGAACCAATTAAACCCATTCCCGGCGTATTCAACTGCCTTTTCCCACTTCCCGTAATTGATCACCATGATTGTCCTCATAGACGCTAACCTTAGAATGGACCAATCTAGGGAACATGCGGTTGTCCCCATACATCCAAATATGGGCGGCCATTTAAACAAGCCAAATACGGACAACTACTGTCCACTATAACAAGCACAACAGATTCTTGATGGTCGGGGTCTTAATGCCTTCAACTGTTCTCTCCTCCTTCCATATTTTCTCATCTGGTCAAGCTGGTCACGCCGAGGACGCAGCCATGGAGAAGAAACCTACAACCGAGCACGACAATCTTCCTGGATTAGCGATCACACGCAATCCTACAAAAGAGTCTAATAACACTATCGGTCGTGAGGGCTATTGAGAAGCCGCACTTGAGGTTTCCCAGGCCCGCGTTGATCTTTTAGGTTCGTTAATTAAAATATATACTAACAACCAAACAGGCCAAGATGGGATTTTCTGCTTTGCCTTTGCTTCCCTCGCAGCGATTTGGGTGTTCTTTCGCCTCGCTGGGACTAAAGGGCGAAGCTATGAAGACCTTCATGTGATGTTTCATGCAAAGCTCAAAAACCGAAAATTCACGAGATGTAGTTACACTCTAATTCAAACTTTCTTAGAAAGATCTCTGATTGGCCTTAACAGCTACATTAAAGCATCTATGGATGACCCGGTGAGGACGCCGAGTCTGATCATGAGCGGAAGCCACTTCGGGCTTCGCGAAAAGAACGCGGGTGCCTCACCCCCACACATTTGCAAAGCTAGGGCTTTGTTCTATGTGTCTTGCTTGAAATTGCGCCGGTACCCATAGAAAAGCGAAAAAAGAGGTCGTATCTGCACGAGAATGTACAACTTCAAAGCAGGGTGAACTTGGTTGCAAGTCGTCTGCTGCCCGGTTATTTATATCTGACCTCATCCTGTCAAGCATCAAACGACTGTATGCGAATTTTCATTGATAAGAGATTTCAAACGCTTGCAATCAGTCACATGAGCCAACCATGCGTGTGTCTGACTCTTCGCCCACAATCCGTTGGGAAACCACAGCCTTTACCATCGACCTAGTCCAAAATGACACAGGGGCCATTTGCGTGCGAAACATTCTTCCTGCAAGGGCAAAGGCCTAGCAGTCGGCCTCGCCCCTCTTCGAGTCATCCGAACTGCTGCTAGTCTGCGTCAAGATAGCAGGAGAGGGCAACACATTCGACAAAACCGCAAAATCCCTAACAGCTGCCTTTCCGCGTGACTGAAATACTAATACAAACGATGGTGAAGTAGAAACACTCCACATTCAGAGTTGAGACGCAAGAACAAAAAACTACACACCACTCAGCTTTCTGTCTACGGACTGATTCCAGTCCTCAGGTCATTGGCTACGATCACAAATGAGTCCGAGCACACCGACATTACCATTGCTCAGCTCTCCTCAATTACTGTTAGTGGCTTGACAGCGAAGTCGCAGCAGTGATACCATGACTACAAACTCTGGACTGCCACCAACAGCTGGTTTCGAGAAGCACTGTGGCGCGAGCAGACACTGCCCGAAATTGGCATCGACAGTGATGGGATATGCGAATTCTCTCACGGACATTTGTGCTCACAGGCTACGTTGAGCCTCCAAAGTCATGGATCCTTTTCCATGAGCAGCCATTTGCCAATGGGTGTTCTAAGATCAACGATAACCAACATGCCTGGCTTTGGCAAGTTGAAAATAACGGGTCTTGGCGGTCGGAGATTGGAGAAATACTGCACCCTGGGTATAGCTTTACGAGCGTCCCTAATGATGGTCTCGAGTCGGAATTTGCCGCGCTCACTAATTATTGGCGACAGATCATGAGGTCACATCAATCAGAATCTGGCTACCATCTTCACCGAACTGTCTTATGGGTGATCTAGATCAGGATAAGGTAGCGGCTCTTCTCAGTGCTGTGGCTAAGATGGGGGCCGAGTACTTCGTTATCGACGCTGGATGGTACGCGGATGATAGTACTTCGTGGGATGAGGCCTGTGGGAGCCTTCGCAAGGAGATTCTAACATTTTAACTGTCGCAGTATTGAGGACCTAAGAAATACCCGTACGATTTGGTAAACAACGGCCTGAATAAGTCAAACAGTTTAGAAGACGTCACAATTTTGCTAGCGTAGGCAACAGCATACTCAGGAAACGCCATTTATACCAGCTAACCCAAAAGCCATGCTTGGGCCGCAAAGTTGCCATTTTGCCAGACGGACCTGCCATGGATATTGATGCTGACCGAGAACTCCACTAGCTTGATTTCGACTTCAGGGTAACTCCTTCTGGCTTGCGTTGCGAGCTATTCTGGCCCCCTTTTCTCACTGATAAAAGCCAAAGCTTAGTATTCTTGGCAAGGTTTTTTTTTTTTCCACCTCAACCCTTGACATTTCACACAAGACACAGGAATTATAGGAGATATGGCGCGATCATTTGCAGACGACAATGCAATACCTAACGGCTGGCGGACACGATACCCGGGATCTGCCATCTGGATCATCATCGCTATTTTTCGGGGATTTTTGGAGGCTTTTTTCTACAGTATATACTACATCCCGAGCTCTTTGCGCCAGAGTTCAACGTGGACCTATCGGCAGGCCTGCATGACACGGCTTCTCGAGAGAGTCTTTCATATTATTACGGAAATTGGTTTCACGCAATCTTTGAGCTTGAAACCGGAGAAACTCGGCGATCGCTGGGTAACCATCGATCCAGCGCCAGCCTCCGCATATTCCGGCGACTTCACGAGTGACACTGTCAAACCGGAGACGGTCGGTGGTACCTGGTATCCAAATCTACCATCGAAGCAGTCGCTACTGGAAGAACAAGGCCTAGTGGTTCTGTCCTTCCATTCTGGCTCGCTCCTGTGGCTGACTGGACGACCAGAAGACTCAGAGCCCACGGCAACCCTGTTGAACAACAGTCTGGGCAACAACACTCGGTCTTTTTGGCTGCAGTACCGTCTCGCCGGCGGGAGTAACCCAACACCATATCCCGGGGCCATGCAAGACGCGGTGACAGCATACATCTACCTCACCAAAGACATGGGAATATCCCCATCGCGCATTGTTCTCGCAGGCGATTCCACGGGCTCGACCATTGCAGTAGCATTGTTGCGCTATCTTGCCTCCATCAAGGAGGTAAAAGATCATGAACTTGCCGTACTTCCACCCCCAAAAGCATGTCTTCTGTTTTCGCCCTCGGTCGAGTATTGCTTCGAAGGTGATCCTGAGGCCGTCAGCACAAATAGGAATATCAAGTCCGATTACGTCGAGGCGCATATGATGGCATGGGGTGCAAGGGCTATTGCGCCCCCTGATACTGTGCAACTGGATGACCCGTATATCTCTCCAGCACTGCATCCATTTGCGACCACGGTTCCAATTTTCGTTCAGGCAGGAGGCGCGGAGGTTCTCGCTGATAGTGTTCGTGGGTTTGCAAACGCGATGAGCTCTGTCCCGGGAAATGTGGTAGAACATCTCGAGGTTCCAGATGTGCCACATGATGTTTATGTTGTGGGAACTATTCTCGGATGGCCGAAGGAGCAGAAATATATCCATGAAGCTGCAGCCAGATTCGTTCTCCAATAATCGGTTAATGTTTCACCATATCGTTTCATTCGATTCTACGTTATATCTATTCTTTGTGAAAGATAAATCCACGGTGCTTCAGCTTGCAATAGAAACACCACAGCAGGCATATATTATAATCGAAAGAAAGCGCTATTATAAGTCAAAATAAGGTGCCAGAAACGTTCACGTACAGAAAGTAAGCCGCCGGAGATAAAAGCCATTTGTTCAACTTGGGAGATGTTCATATATTTTCATGAGTCTGTATTTGTAGCCACTTTGCTAGACCGCGGTTGCGATGAAACTCCAATATAATTCGACGGTTTCTAGACAGTCCCAATTTGTTCTAGCAAAGAGAATCATCCAGTTCATCCATGGTGCTAGAGCTCGGTAGTCTAGCGTTTAGTATGGCTGAGTACAGAGGTAGAGTATTCAGCCATTACTGTGATGAGCTGCTGTTTGTAGTAATCGTGTCAAGCGCCCAACACACCTTGACCTGTCCGTACATCATGATGTAGGCACATAACGAGCGAGAAGATAAAAATCATCTTGGTTGAAAGTGTGCTAGTATATTCTTATTCTTTTTAAAGACGCGCCCTTGTAAGAGTCAGCAGCCTTCTCTATGGTACCTGCTAATGATAGAAAAAATAGTACAGGAAGTAAATATCAAAAACATACAACAGCCAAAAGTATGGCGGTAGTTACCTGGAGCGTGAACAAATTAGCATGTTCTCTGAACCGGTGTGTTCCACCGACATTCAGCTGGCCTGGCTATTGCGTCCTCACCCGGACTCCGCAACTTTGCCCTTGACCCACGCCTCGAGACCGCCTTCCGCGATGATTTCCTGTACATTCGCCGGGAGCTCGCCGACCTGCTCAGTCCAGGTCTCTCCCGACTCACCCTCCTTAACTTCAACGATGCTACGCTTCACATCCCAGGTCAAAGTCCAGCCTGTGCGGCGCGTCGGCTGGCGGCCAGCGACATCACCAGAGGCGGGCTGAGCGAAGGTGGCACGCAGACGCTCAACAAGTCGGGGAACTTCAAGGCCCATCAGAGCATTGTTGATACTGTTTCGGGAGAAAATGTTTCCGAAGCTGCCAGCAACGACGAGAGGAATCTCCTTCGCCAGAATAGCAGTGGCTGCCTGTTCTCTTGAGGATCCGCAACCGAAGTTGAAGCCGGCGACGAGGATATCACTTGGCTTGGCGATGCTCTTGAACTCGGGATCATAGTTCTGCATGCAAGCGGTGGCCATATCCTCCTTGGAGACGTTGTCTTGGTAGGTCAATTTACCGGGGTAGATGCTATCAGTGTCGAGGTTGTCGGCATCGAGGAAAACGATCTCGCCGCTGATGCGTTCGGGGAATCCTGGCAGAATCTCGGTGGCAGGCTTATCCTCGGTGCCGGCGGACTCAACCCGATCGATCAGAGATTCCATCTGTTGGAGTAGGGTGCTGAGCTCGGTCTCAGTGGTAGGTTCGAGACCAGTGCCGAATCCGTGTTCCACACCAGACCAGCCCTCTGGCACCTGGTAGGAGCCGGGCCCAGTGATAACGCCGCTGAGAGCGCTGGCAGCCACGACTTCGGGACTTGCGAGGTATGCGAGGGCGTCTCTGGAGCCCATGCGACCCTTGAAGTTACGGTTGCTGGCACTGATGCCAACCTCGCCGGGTTCTAGAAGACCTGTTCCGAGGCCAATGCAAGGTCCGCATCCAGCAGGAAGTGGCTGGGCACCAGCATCGAGGAGAGCCTGCCAGTCGCCGGTGGACTCGGCGGCCTCTTGTTCGGGCGCGGAAGCAGCCGCAATATAGAGTTTGACACCGTCGGCAATCTTGGGAGTTGTGTCGGGGTTGGCCTTGGCGGCATCTTTGAAGACCTTAGCGGCTGCCGCGAGGTCAGAAGCACGCGAGTTGGTGCAAGAGACGATATATGCGCGGTTGACTTTGATGTCCTGTTGGACGAGCTCGTTAAGTGGTGTTGCGACCTTAACTGAGTTGGGACCTGAGACGTAAGGCGAGAGAGTAGAGAGATTGAGGTAGAGCTGCTTGGCGTACTGAGCATCGGGGTCCGCTGTAAGGGGGTTGGCGTACAGCTCGTCAATCCTTTCGTGTGTGATACGCTCCCGGGTTGTGCGGTCGTCAGACATCGCTGCCTCGGTAGCCTTGTATCGCAGCCAGCGCTTCAGAGTGTTGTCAATAGGGAAGAGACCCGTGAGCGCGCCCCATTCAGTCGTCATATTCGCAATCGTGAGGCGACTATCCACAAGAAGGCTTGACATAGTCTCTTCAGAGCCGGTGAACTCAATTGCATGGTTGAGCACATCACTGTTGAACAGACCACACAATGCGACAATCACATCCTTACCTGTCACACCGACTGGTAGCGTTCCGGTGAACGTTACCCGTGCAACAGGAGGAATCTGCCACCATGTCCGCGAGGTTGCCCAAATACTAGCAGCATCGGTCCGAACAACAGCAGTTCCAAGGCAACCAACTCCACCGTAATGGTTACTGTGGCTGTCTGAGGCTACTGCCATGCTACCCGGCCACGCGTATCCTTCTTCGACCATAATCTGGTGCCCAATACCCCGGCCCGCAGGATAGAAGTCGATACCTTGCTGTTTAGCAAAAGTCTCGATCTGCTCATATTTCTTAAGGTTCGCCGCGCTAGTGTTTTGAACGTCGTGGTCCAGGGTCATGACAATTTGCTTTGGGTCTTTGACCTTCTTAGCCCCCATAGACATGAACTTGAGGGCGACGGGCCACGAGTTATCGTGAGTCATGCAGTACCCAGGGGCAAGACTGATATAGTCACCGCTCCGAACGAGCTTTCCTTCGGGGAGACCGACGGCATAGCGTTGTACAATCTTCTCCGTTAAGGTTTGCGGAGTCCGCTTCTCGGAGAGAGTCTCGGAGAAAGGAATTGAGGTAGCATTCTCGACCTGGGAGGGGAAGCCTTCGAGCTGATTGGAGGCTGTCGTGCTCAGCGAGCGAGTGAGTGAATTCTGGACCGATCGCAAGGGATGGTGGATTGTCCTGCTTGGGACACCGAAGGACGGAGTCCACCGAGGCCGAACCTGGGGAAGTCAGAATGCATTGCCTGCTCATTAGGCGAAGTTGGACTAACCGATCTGCACATCATGGCGGCCGGAGGCCGAGCCACGCGCTTCAATAACATTGAACACGGAGACATTGGTGAGTTCACTGAGCAAACTTTTCCCTATTCCCGACCTCGGAGTTGACTCATGGACTGTGATCACGTGATTACATGTTCCGGGGGTCAGCCCCTTGTGGCGAAGCGATTTCAAAGCAACCCCGGAAATCGAAAGACCACGTGATATGTAAATTAGTCCCCATTTTTTGTCTGATTAGCGTGGAACTACGGAGTACGTTGATATAGATTACAAGAATGGTTGATCGCTTATTCGGCCTTGTGATGTTTTTCCGTGGTCTTTTCAGCGGTCTTCTCAGATACTTTATTTTGGTGCTATTTCTTGAGATATCTTCAGTTTTAAAGGACGGCAGAAAAAGCGGTAAAAGGCTTAATTTGTGAAAGCGCCTTTCTTCCATGTGGAATCTGGCACTTACTCGCACTGTTTCCTCTACCACCTTTTTGCTAGACACCGGCATTAAAATTCAATTAGTTAATCATGACCGACCATCAAAAACCAGGTGATCATCCTGGTAATCTTTCTGTTTGATAGACGCACTAAACATCTTAGATTTTCCTATGTGGCCGGGAATATAGTCAAACTCAGCTGAAGCCACCACCCTACGATGGACTAACAATAGCCGCCAGTATCACAAAGGTCTTTGCACCGTTTACCTGTTCCCCGGGATGATTGTTCGACCAGTCTGCCTAAAGCATAGGAAGGTGATATAGTCCCGAAACTGTTTGACCGACGTTTTGCAACAGAACTCTGACAAAGCGGTGACAAAACGATGAAAAGGTATACTACATTTTCTCACTCGGTGAGGGTTTCAGTAACCTTGCATGTTCTTTCTCCAACATGATAGCAAGAAAAGAGAGCGTGGAAGAGACCCACGTGTGCTAAACTAAGGAGAAATAAATTTCCACTACTTGATATGAGGAAACATGCGATATCTTCTTTTGCAGATCTGAATGGTTCCCAAACTGAGGACTGTCATGGTGAGGATGGCCATGTTGGTCGAAGCCTCAAGGAAAAAGTCTAGCTCAGAGAAGGCCCCAAATGGGAGTCTGTCGAGGACTGCCTTTAAGATAGTGAGGCCAACAGCGCTCTAAAAACTGGAAGTCGCATAGGTTTTTCAAGTATGCTTGAAACACATAATAATGAAGCCATGATGTGACAAGTAGAATTGTCACTAATACATGGGGACGCACGGAAGAAAATGGTTGACCAATCGTATGTGGCCGAACTGTGTCTTGGCATCTGCACGCACCTAGTTAGTGCGACCTGCAAATTCTGCCGATTAGATCTTATAGTTATTACGTTTTTTAGAGTGTGTTTAACAAGACAGATTGAATATCAGCTCTCGAGGACTGAGATTCACTGCTTATCATGAACTCCTATCTTGAAAGGTTACGTAATATGCATGATTCGGCCCGTTCCTGAAAGTTTTGCCCCTGAAGGTTCGAAGTTGGAAAGGGCGAGCGAGGCCACGCGATAAGGGCATTTATCCAAAGAATGCCAAGACTATAGGGATTATACATCGAGTAGTATAGTTTAAGGCAACTTTGTAAAATCAGGTTGAGACATTGGAACTGATAATACCCTTGGCTAAAGGGGAACGTGCACGAGACTCGGACACTCCGAATCGATAATAACTGAATTAGGGCATCGCGTCCTAGGATCGTTTAGGTAGTATAATCCAACGATGGCGATGTCTTTGGAGATAAAACCGGAGGATCCACGCCTGGCTGTCCGGATGCGGGTCAGGTCACAGCCCGTGCGGGGGCCAGATGTACTCCAAGCCAATCAGCGTAACCAAATATCCAACGTAACTGCGTCATTATGCTGCGGTATGGCTTTCGTATTACGATGTATGGCTTTAATGGCTGTCCAGGGCTTACATGGGCTTACATGGGTTTATTTCGCTAATCTTTTTTATCGAACTCTGCTCTTTTAAGTTTCCTCCTGAACTCCCATGTTTCGGCCCCGAATCCTATATTATACGTTGGCATCTGCTTCTGACTACATCTTTCTTTTTACTTCTCCTCAAGCTGTCCTTCTGTTCAGAAATCCTCCAAGTCTCTCTAAGCTCCGTATTGGACGGGGAATCCTATCCTAGAGACCCGACATCTCCGAAATTTGCCCTTGCCATTGTAACTACAACAGCCAAAGCAACAAGACTGCCCACGCGAATCCCAGACCCTTGCGATATACCCCGACATCCCAATTCTCTGTAGCAGATCCACCCGCCCCCGGATCGCCGCCGATCCACTCCAACCTTTGCAGAACCCATACCTCGCAATCTGGACGAACAGCGAAAGCCCCATCCGGTTTCTTTCGCCCGCGCCTTCTCCGCACTATATCACCAACTAAACCCCACAGACAGGAATGAAAACAACATGGCTATCCTAGGCGACAAGGGAAAAGAGACGACCGGCACTGTGTTGGAAACACTCGGTCTCAAGAGCGAAGGCGGCCCGCGTGATGTACAAGAAGGTGTGATGGCGGAAAACGCCGACAACCTGCAACGTCATCTTGGAAACCGTCAGATCCAGCTGATTGCCATCGGGGGCTCTATCGGAACGGCCCTGTTCGTGAGCATCGGCTCGGGTCTTTACCATGGAGGTCCTGGCAGCTTGTTTCTTGCCTTTACCGTTCAATGTATCTTTTTGGCCATGGTGAACAACTGCATCGCTGAAATGACCACTGCGTTCCCTGTCAGTGGTGGTTTCATTCGCTTGGCCGGAAAATGGGTTGACGACGCCCTGGGGTTCATGGTCGGCTGGAACTTTTTGTCGGTTCTCTTTTCGGCTGAGCCGAAATCCTACCGGCTATCTGTGCTAACATTCCTTTTAGCTTCTATGAGGCCCTTTTGATTCCTTTCGAGGTATCGGCTTTCACCCTCGTATTGTCTTACTGGACCCCGGCGCTTACTGAACCTGGTCCAGTCGCAGGCGTCTGTATTGGTGTTATCTTGGTTTATGGGTGAGAAACTCTCCCGTCCAGTCTCCCTGTTTGGCAGGGTCATTTCACTTTTCTTGATACATGATTGTCGACCATTTGTGTATGTGTGAAGTTTTATCTAAATACTAATGCTTGCATAGTTTCCTCAACATCCTGGCCGTCAAGGCCTATGGTGAAGCCGAATTCTGGCTGTCCGGTGGAAAGGTCATTCTGATCTTCTCCTTGTTTTTCTTCACCTTCATTACTATGGTCGGTGGAAACCCGAACCATGATGCCTATGGATTCCGCCACTGGAACAACCCCGGCTCGTTCATGGAGTATCTGGACACCGGTGCCCTCGGTCGCTTCGAAGGCTTCCTCGGATCTCTTTGGTCGGCTTGCTTCGCCGTCGTCGGTCCGGAGTACATCTCCATGGTTGCAGCTGAAGCAAAGCGTCCCAGAATATATATCAAGAATGCATTCAAGACAGTCTACATTCGATTCGGTATCTTCTTTATCGGCGGCGCCTTGGCCGTGGGTATCGTTTGTGCTGCTAATGACCCGCAGCTCAAGGCGGTTGTGACGGGCGGCTCTTCTGGTTCTGCTTCGGCATCGCCATATGTTATTGGCATGCGAAACATGGGAATTTCAATTTTCCCTTCCATAATCAATGCGTCAGTGCCATCAAAAAGAACCATCTTTGATGAACCAAATACTGACCTTACTTTTTTAGCCTCTTGCTGACTTCGATTTTCTCTGCTGGTAATACCTATACCTACTGCGCTATCCGTACCCTATACGGCTTAGCACTCGAAGGAAGAGCCCCAAGGGTTCTCACTCACACCACACGCAACGGTGTACCCATCTATTGCTTCGCAGTGGTGATGATCTTCCCTATCCTTTCCTTCTTGCAGTGCTCCAGTAGCTCATCCATCGTCCTCACGTGGTTCGCCAACCTCATCACTGCCGGAGGTAAGAGAATTGATTTTCCCCGACCCCAACAGTGATTACAATGCTGACAGCGTAACTCAGGTCTCATCAATTATATCGTCATGAGCCTGACGTATATATTTTTCCACCGTGCTTGCAAAGCCCAGGGCATTGACCGCAGATCCTTCTCCTATTTCGGACGACTCCAACCCTACTGCGCATACATTGCATGCGTTTGGATGATCGTCGTGACTATTGTCTACGGTTACCCCGCATACAAGCCTTGGTCGGTGTCCACCTTCTGGTCAAACTACACCATGCAAATCGTCATTCCTCCTCTCTTCATCATCTGGAAAGTCGTCAAGAAAACCAAGTTCGTGAAGCCCCATGAAGCCGATCTGGTCTGGGAACGACCCTTAATCGATGCATACGAGGATAGCTTCCTCGACCCGCCTACTGGCTTCTGGAGAGAGGTGCTACAAATGGTCGGCATTGGGCGGACGGAAGGTGGCAACGATAAGCGAGCGCATTCAGTGTCTCAGCCCCAGGAGTATGCCGTGGAAAAGACGGCATGAGTGTAACTAGAATACGCATGTACGTTTAGGGATCTAGTCGCCTAGGGGTGTTGGTGACTATCCTTGTCACACGAACAACCATCTTGACACGGGAATTTCTATCCTGCTGCAGATCTGTGAATATGATACCCAGCTATTTTGCTCATTTCAATGATGTTTCGACGTAATCTGACTAGAACCGGTATTGATATGCCTTGCCTGGTACCCTGTCCATATAACCTACATATGTCTAAATGGATGAAAGGAAAAGACGAAAGAGGCAAACCGAGTAAACTTTAGTTGACACTGATCGAAATTTATAATCGCAGATGGTCCTATTTACCTAATCTGAACAGATCCCTTCGGCAACATGACTTTGCCGAGTTTACCCACTGGTGGTGAGATTGGTCCATCTCGCCTTCAAACCATGTGCAGCCATCTTCGGCTGGCGGTCCCTGGTAAACACACCCTTCTTATTACCATCCACCCTCCTGGTACCGAGAGACGTCTGGAAGTCAGCAAAGTTCCAAACATGCTCACCTGCCATGGACTCAAGACGGTCGAAGACCCGGTGATACATGTCAAGCATATCAGTCTGGAACTCCTCGCTCCACGGCAAACCTAGGGTAGAGTGGAGACCGGCAATGGTATCAGCGCCGTACTCAGTCATGATAATCGGGCGATTGAATTTCTTTTCCCAGCCACGCAGTTCCTCTTCAAGGGCAGCCTCTGCTTCGCCAAGCTCTCCGGTCTCGGAATACCACCCGAAATACCGGTTGAGGCAACTGACATCGAACAAGTCCGAGATCAAATCCGTCTTGTATGTTGCGAGGCCGACATTGGCGAATGTGATAGGACGAGTTGGGTCAAGCTCGCGAGTCAACTTGGCCAATGGCTCAAAGTATTCACGCGCACCGTCTTCGTTCGAGGCTGGTTCGTTGGCAATAGACCACATGACAACACTAGCGTGGTTCTTGTCGCGGCTGATTAGTTCGCGGATCGCCTGCTTGTGGGCTGTCTGGGTGTTCTTGTTGATACCATCAGGAGCCCAGGTTTTTGGGGCTGCACCTCCGGACACACCCAGCAAAGCAATGTTCAATCCCACGGCGGGTGTTTCGTCGATTACCACAATTCCGTGGCGGTCTGCAAAGTCCATGACCTCTTCGGCGTAGGGGTAGTGCGAGGTTCGGAAAGAGTTTGCGCCAATCCAGTTCATCAGTTGAAAATCGTGAACCATATATGCTTGGTCATGTCCTTTACCGCGCACTGCGGTGTCTTCGTGTCTTCCGAATCCGGTAAAGTAGAAGGGCTTGCCGTTGATGAGGAACTTCGACCCGCTAACCTTGACAGTGCGCACGCCCGTGGCTAGGCTGTAGGTGTCCACTACCTTATCGCGGGAATCCACAATGCTGGCTTCCAATTGGTAAAGATAGGCAGCACCTGGTTGCCACAACTTGACAGACTTGATCTTGACGGTACCCTCAGCCCCAGAGGCAGTTCCAACAACGGCTCCATCCTCGTCAACAACAGAGACTTTGACCTTTCCAGTCCCATTGTTGGCCACCTTGACGCTGTAGTTGATGAATCCAGTTTCACCTTCGACGTCTGTCACAACAGTGATGTCCTGGATATGTTCACGAGGTACAGAATACAGCCAAATCGAGCGAGCAAGACCAGCATAGTTGTAAAAGTCATGATTGTAGGTCTGGACTCTCTTTCCGGTGGCCTCAGCCACCGTAATCTTGCCTGGTGGGATGGTCTCATGGGTAAGCTCATTGTTGACACCAATTGTCAGGCGGAACTTCTCCCCCGCAGTGACAAACTCGGTGATATTGGCTTCGAAAGGTGTGTAACCACCGACATGCTCGGCGAGGAGACGGTCGTTCACATAGATACGACCGTGATGGGTAGCAGACTCGGCTCGAACGAAATACTGCTCCTTAGACCAGCCTTTTGGGACGAAAACATCGCGCTGGTAGTACACCCATCCGACATGGTCGCGGATCTCGCGATCGACGAAAATATCGTTGTAAGACGCGGGGACTGGACATTCGAGAGCACCTCTGGGAAATGGCGCGGTCCAGGGTTGGGTAGTGTCGTTAGCACCGGAAGCAAGGGTGAATTTCCACAGGCCATCGAGATTCACAAGCTCTCGTGAGGAAGTTCGTTGCGGCTTGAGCTTGATCAAGGGCTGTTCTTCCTGACCTAAGTCCTTGCTTGGAGGATTGCTAGCTGTGGGGACAGCAAACGAAGAAGGAATGAGGGATAACAGCGCCAATCCCGTTAGGAACTTCATGGCGATCTATTGTGGTTGAACGAGGCGTCCAACGGTTACTGGTGATGCAAAACCGCTCTGAGCTTCTTCAGTGAGGCATGATAGGAGGTAAATTCATCAATTATATATACTACGTTTTCAAGAGCGTACGATATATAGCGGCAATTGAGATATGTCCGTATCGGTGATTGACAAGCTTGGCATACTAACTAGGTTGTATGATATAAGGTCAAAGTGTCAACTTTGACGCAAATCTGTCAGTATGTTGTATGGGTACTGGAATTTGGCATGTTGCCGAGATGCGAAGTCCGGGGCCCCAACATATGCACTGTTTCTCGCGGGGGTGGGTCGGCAGTTCGGCATTTGTTGTCGAGAGGATGCCGGCTCCCGCATTATTCTTATGCTGTCAGATCCAGTATAAACAGCCTAGAATTAATTCTGGCTTCATCGCTTACCCTGAGCTCTCGCGGGTATGCACGTCACCATAGAACACCCGAGGAAACCTTTGTTGACTGCCGTGATCTAAAACCGCCCTGAGTGTTACCTACGACCCATATCTAACTTCTAGTACGTACCTTATTACCTTTAATCGTATAATTTCAATATCCATATTATGCATTTCTCTTAGGGAGCCTGTCGTTTCTACCTACATTGGCCCCCATGCGTCGGCAAATAACGAATTTTTCTCCTCATCGGTTATTGACTGCATAGCACAACGATAGTTCCGACAGTGCGGAGATGGTGCAATTAAGCCTATTGTAGTTAAGCATAGCGAGAAGACAACTGTAAGCAGTGGGTCGACTTCTTAATCGACTTTAGTGGACTTTTTTAAGGTTCTAAACCACCTAGGTAGGTGGATATAACTGCGGGATGTTATGTAAGAGGTTGACTCGGAGAGACAGGCCGGACTTAATTCCGCCGTAGTTGCAGGTGACTACGGAGAATAACTTTGTTTGCGTGAATATTCAACCTTAGTGAGTTTTCATAGGTGCACGGAGTACTTGCTACTGCAATAACAAGATTATCCGCTGTGTCTACTTGGTTAATTACAGGACTTGAGTTGAGACGAGGAAGATTCTCCGCAAGTTTTGAGGCTAAGTACTTGATCCTCTACCATATATATATTTCTGTATGATGAATGCTCGAAATATATACAACATTCGTGGCTGCTCTATTCCTTCTTCTTTGATACAATACTAGGCCCTCCACAGTACTATACTAACACTAAAAATAAAAAACAAATCAACAAGGTCAAATAGCAGTCGAAATCCCATATACGTGGGACATGACCGGAATACAGGTAGTCTGTGAAGATCTAGATATAGCCAATACAGTCGATGATGCTAGGTAGATAGGAAAAAAATAGGATTCTCTACTCGGTACTATACGAAAGACCAATCTATGAACTTGGAGATTTTGCGATTGAAAAAGGACAAAGAAATTGCATTTATATATACACCTTTCCCCAAACACCTTCTAATCATGAACCTGCGGGAGGTTGAATAGGTTCCAGAACTCATCAAAGTCCAGAGTCTGTGTAGCACCGATATCACCTCCCTTGGCTTCTCTCAGAGTAGTTCCATTACCTAGGTACGAGAACCGGTTGATCTTGGCCTCGGGCGTCCGATCCATTTTGAAGTCCTCCCAGCGCGGGTTCTTCATAGCCTCCAAGAGGTGGAAGATCGATCCGCCGTAGATGGCGATAACTGGGCCATCGATGGTACCACGCTTGTACCAACTGCGACAATCTCGAGTCCACACCGTACGTTCAAGGTATTTCTGGATGTGCTGATTGTACTCCTCGTTGACGTCATCCTCAATCTCGAAGCTGCGAATACCCTCTGTTTGCATCTTTTCCATCCATTTGTAGATGTAGGCGGCTGTTGCCTGGATTCCAAGGATCAGTGACCCATTGGCCAGCGGTGAGTTAGGTCCCACGAAGCCTAAGCATGTCAGTAAAAAGAAAGTATAGTGGAAGGAAGAGAGACATACAAAAGTAGTTTGGAAATTCTGGCACGCACATGCCCATGTACGCCTTTGGGACGTCCTTTTCCCACTTCTCCGCCATGTTGACTCCGTTTCGGCCTACAAGTGGGAATGAAGGCTTGAATGAAGTGTCAAAGCCTGTTGCGCAGACAATAATGTCGTACTCCAACTCAACGCCGCTTCGCGTAAGAATTCCTCGCTCGGTAATTTTTGAGACATCGTCCCATCTCAGCTCAATATTGTCCTGAACAATAGCTTCCAAGAAACCAGGCCCGGGTGTTTGGCGACGGCATCCAACCGGGAAGGAGGGTACAAGAAGTTCAGCTGCGCGCTTTCCCTTCTCACTGTTGCCCAAACGGTCGGTCATGGACTTCCTGAACATATCTTGGGCTTGTTGTTGAAGATCACAGTCGGCAATCACGCGATTGAAGTTCTCTGCTCGTCGATTCATAATGGCAGCGCGGTAGTCACGAAGGACTTTAGGATCCTTGAATAGCTCTAGCGTGCTTTCTGCGAAATTATAATCCTTGTCCATTTCTGGATCATTCGCTGTCGGCTCGTTGATTCCAGGAGCTGGACTGATCCACGTTTGGCTTCGTACGTAACAATCCATATTTCCGACGACTACCAAAGTTAGTTGTTAATGGACTTGATGGACTAGACCTATAAACATACCATTGGCAAGCTTGGGGACAATCTGAATGCCTGACGATCCGATTCCGATACAGGCAACGCGTTTCCCAGTGAAGTCGTAACTGGGATCCCAGTGTGCTGAGTGCATGAGTTTTCCCTTGAAACTGTCTAGTCCCTCAATAGAGGGCCACTTCCAATTGCTGCAATGCCATATTGTTAGCACCTATACGAGAAACAACTACGAAGGGATTGCTTACTTCAACACACCGCTGGCATTGATGAAGACATCACATTCATCCCGGATAAGGGTAGAACCATTCCTGATCTGGAGATCCCACTTTCCCTTTTCTTCATTCCAAATGGCAGATTCGATTGAATGTTGAAGACGGATATATTTCTCAACTTCGTATTGCTTGGCCACATCTTTCATGTAAGAATGAATCTGCTCTGATGTTGCATAATAATTTGGCCACGCCGGGTTGGCAGCAAAGCTGTAAGCATAATTATGCGCTGGGATATCACACTGACATCCCGGGTATCTGTAATCAATTCATTAGCTAATGAGACCATAGATGTACTCTAGAACCTATCCAACTTACCGGTTCTCATACCAAGTCCCTCCCAAATCAGCATTCCGCTCATAAATAACAAATTCTGCATTGGCATCCTTCATGCGTTCATTGAAGACAATACCCATCATAAGGCCCGAGTACCCTGCGCCAAGGCAGACGACGCGAAGTGGCCGCCTGGTGCCGATGGGCTGTTCAACAATGGTATACTCGGGATTGAGGCAATGCTGATGAGCGGAGGTGGTCTTATTGCTAAAGCCATTTTGGAGACCCAGGGGCTTCACAACAGAAGCCAGGGGCTCCATAATTGCTGAAGGTGGTGACATGGCTCAAAGAATAGACGATGGCGGGGTACAATCTTGTGTCGTAAGGACCTTGAGGTATTGACTGGGTTTCCGCTAGTGTCTATATTACTCTGGACTTTTAGGGAAGAATCCTTTCTATAAAAATGGCGTTCTGATCATAAATAACATTTTACATAGACGTTGGAGGGGAATACTTGCCGGATATCCGGCTTGGATTTTAAAATGCCAGTGGATGAAACGGAGAAGATGCGATATTCTCGGAACATATCCCGAAAGACTAACCCGGCCTTCCAGATTAGGATAACCGACATGGCCGAAGACACGGTCCGGCATCGGTCCAGATCTATACCCCGCGCTCATTTGTGGGGAACGGGGGCAACGGGAAAAGCAAGGGAAGATTTGATGTGGAGGTTGGAGGCAATTGCTCTTATGGGATGATACGCAGTTGCTGTGGAAAGAGATACGTGGAGCCTAGAAATTTATGAGTCAAGGATGCTCAACACCCACACCATCCGAAATAGTTCTACTAGCGTGTAAAAGTCGCATCTTTCCCCTCTTCCAACACGAAATCGCCCACAGGTGTGTCATGGTGCTTTCATAATCCAACTAGTTCGTTGATGACACAAATAGCACTTGAAAAGCCTGACAAAGGCGACTATGAGAGTCCCGATGAAAGCAGCTATTTGAAATGCACAAATATATATAAATTAACATTCCGATGCTACTGATATATCGGTTTTCCAAAACTGCGACTTAATGTTCCTTAATGATAAAGTCTCCTGAGGTAGAAGGCTTCGCTAAAGCCCATCGAATTCCATCTTCCATGATCTGATCCCATTGCTTGCAGACCGACAGTCTCTCACCGAACCGTCGGAATCCATGGGGTACCCCTTTGAAGACATTGACATTGGTTGGTATACTTTGAGATTGTGTTAGTGAAAGATAGAGATGAAGCCTGATGCAGTATTTGCTTACCCATTTTCGGCCAAGAGTTTGCCGTATAGCAGCCCTTCATCTCTTAAGGGGTCATAGCCCGCAATCCCAAGTGTCGTTGGGGGCAGCTTCTTCGCATCTTCCGAAGACAAAAGCCCAGGATTCAGCCGTTTGTCAGTCGGATCCGGATTTTCCACTTTTAAAAGACCATTAAACAGCTGCTTCCTGCGCATGCTCAGGATTGGCGCGTTCTCATTCTGAGAATATGACGAGACACTAGGATCTCTTATTTGACGCAATTGAGAATCATAGCACTTAGTGTATACCAGAGCAGGAATCATCAGCACCTGGCCGCAGATGGCCGACGTTGGCGAGACCGGAAGCTTTGAGCTTGATGCTGCCTGCGTCAAGGAAGCGGCGAGCCACGCGCCAGCCGATATTCCACCGATCACGATTCTGTTTGGATCACCATTCAATAGAGTCATGTTCCCACAGACCCAAAGAAAGGCGTCTTCGGCATCGTTCCAAGCGGTTGGATACGTATAGTCAGGGGTATGGCGGTAGTTGACATTGACAACAACAACCTGTGCGTTGACAGCAAGCCGAGAACATATGGCATCTTCCGAACTCAAAGTACCGAACATAAAGCCACCCCCATGAAAGTGCATGTATATGGGCAGCAGCTCGGTGGGAGATGCCGACGTTGGACGATAACTTCTCCCCTCCAAGTTGTAGCCATCGCGACCAGGAATTAAGTGATCCTGCGTGGAAATGTGGGTTGAAAACTCTGCCATCGTCTTTCGCGCCACGAGTTCTCTGCCATCGTTGGCGGCTAGCTTCAGCTCAGCAAGGCTCTGCTCTTGCGGGGCTGGCAAAGTAGCTTCCACACGTAGCCACTCCTCGCTGGGAATACCATATTTTGAGAAGTCACACATCCTGTGGCAGGCTTTGATGAATGAAATCACCGCACTGCTAAATTGGTTGGTTGATGCGTCGTTATCTTAGGTCTGATGTCAGTTGTATACTATGAATCATCGCGCCAAGCCTAATGGTTTATATTCTTCTCAATTCCTTGGTCAAATGCCGGAATTACCGATGGCCCCGGCTCTCGGAGTTGGTATTATAGTATTGAGTCATACGACGACCCAATAATTGACGTTACAGCCATTTCATCTGTTGTACTTGGATGTATCTGAAACCCGAATATGGCCCCATCAGGGAGTTTCGGCTACCCAAAATGAGGCAGACATCACAGATGGGAGCAAATAGCAATGAAGACATAGGGTTGAGTGAGCCGATTCGGCATTTCGTGGAGGATTATTTATGTAGTGAAATCAAGGCTTGGTTCTGACTGATGGATAGAATGACTATGTAACTGACTAGTCAAATGGCAATCCAAAAAGGCGTAGCCGATGCTGTTACTTTAGCATAACATGAGGTAGACACTTGCAATTACCCCCAAGATACATTACAGGAAGGCATTGGGATCAGCCCAGCTCTCAAGTCCTTCCATAAAGTCCTGATAATTGGGAATTGTGTCGGAGCCCATGTCACCCAAGCCATCCCAGAAAATGAAACCCACGTCTTTCTTTTGTTGGACCAGAAGCTTCCCGGCGACGACGCTCGTCTGACTGGAGACAAAAGGGAAGTAATCCATCCAGTCTATGTCACTGTGCAAAACTACTTCCTCCGAGTTGAGAGCTCGAGCCGACTGTTCATTTCCCAAGTGACGGTTGGGAAAGTCCTCCGAACCCAGGCACTTGTCATTTGATCGAAGCCGGTCAAAGGTCTGGTCAAAAAGCCCGGCAGTTGCCCACATCTTTTTCAACTCTTTGATGGAGAGGACCAGAATATCTAGATCCGCAGTGGCGCCGTCCTTGAGGCTTTCGCTCCTGGATGCTTGCAAAAGAGCCATAAATCCCATGCCAACGTACCAACAAGTAATCGGCTGCAAAGATCTGATCTCACTCCTCACCAAGAGATCTTTGAGAATGCGGGCAATACAGGAGCCGGCGACCGTGGCGGGTGGCAAAGCCTGCGGCAGGGATTGTGACGATCTCGTCAGATGAAGCACTATTATTACGGCGAGATAAGGTAGATGCAGCTGGTGTACATCACGGTTGAAGTTCGGTGTATGGCGAGACCCAATGTGAAGTTGCAAATGGAGCGGAAGTGATCGAACCCAATCAATGAGTTCTTTCCCCAAATCCGCAGGGAAGTCTTTAGTGGTCGACGGTGATTTTGCTGAGCGTGACAGTCTCTTGGCGATGCGCCCAATAATAGTGCATAGCCGAACCCAATACACAAATACTTCGGCTTTGTTCTTATCTTCCAGATCCGGGAAATCTTGCACAGATGGTGGTGGTATATTACAGTCCTCGGGGTCTATGAGACACGGCTTACCCTGGCAGATCGCGGTCAAACGCTCTCGAGCCTGACAACAATGTTAGTTTCAATAAAATAGTAAAGCAACTTATTGTACTCACGAAAGCAGTCCACCATATTCGTCGCAAAATATATGGCTGGATTCCATGTCTAGACACATCGGTAACGGACTCGAGATGAATGCCAGCTTGTTGAGCCAGTTTAATGACAATAGAAGTCCACCACCAGGATGAGTGTCTGTGTATTACCGAAGGTGGTTTGGGTGCCCACCAGTAAAAGAGGGAGATAGCTTTTAGGGTGACGACCAGGCCTTCCTCCTCTTCATCATAGAAAAGTCGCCGAGCGCGATCGTAATAAGTTGACGGCCCTGCGTGTGGTATCAGGGGCGGACAAACGTGACTCCCCAAAATCGCAATTGCGTTATCCAATAATGGTGATTCTGCGAGTTCCCTTGACAAAGTCGATTTATCGAGTATTGGACACCAGGTATAGCAGTATTCAAAGTATGTTTCCGTAAAGCTTTGGCGTAGATGCGGCTGTAGACTGACAGGGCTACTCGGCTCGTTCTTCTCAGATCCCGTCGATGATTCTACAGCATCGTGTGTGGGTGTACTAGTCCTGCTCTTTGCTTGATCACAAGCTGGGCGTAATACAAATTCCTTTTGGGTTTTATGTGACTGCTCATGGGATGATGGAACCCAGCCGGACGACCAAGCATCCACCACCGACGGGGTGCTGCTAACTTGTGCCTTTTTGGACCTAGTTTGCTCAGGTACTCGAGCAGCTTGAGTTGTGTTGAAAGTCATCCGCTTTGCATGTGAAAGGAACCCTGAATCGAAGTCGAGGAAGCTTGGCTGAGCTAGATTATGAGGTGAAGCATCTTGGTCCACATTCATGTACACATCACCAGAGTCAATGCTAATCTTGGTTTGCGCTACGCTGAAGTGTGAGGATGCAATCTCGACCCGGTCGTCGCCACGAGGATCGGCGGCACGGGGAGACGCCGGTGATTGTTCAGTATCAGGAGGCAGCCGACCCTTTTCACGCTTAGATGGCCGAGGGCTGTAGGCTGTTAGCTTTGCTGACGCTTTTTATCATCTCATGGGAGGAGACACCAACCTACAGACTCTCCCTGTTGACGTGCAGTTGCTGCAACTGCTTTGGGCTTCAACTATCTTAGCTTGGAGATCACATTTAATCTGTAGCGGCTCATGAGTACGTAGAAAAACCCATAGACGGATGTTTAGAGGCATCTAACCTTCTTAGAGTGGCATGAGACACACGCGAGGCCAGCGCGTTTGCGCTTTTCCCTTCCGGGAGCAGATTGCACCCACTGTGACTCAGTCATCATCGCGGCCGCGAAATGTGGTGATAGCAGCTGGTCTCATCTGCATCATTCGTCAATGTTATTTGAGGATCGCTGAAAGAGAAGTTGTTGTGGTTCTGTGCCACGTGGTCATCGCTAGTGGGAATGTAGGCTGCGGGGAGCCTCCCGAGATCGAATGGAGTGGCACTCAGCACTCGAGGGGATGTCCCAATCCATAGCTGAGCTTTGAGCTGTTTGTGTACCCAATTAGTCACTGACCGGTATCTTGCTTCGAATTGTCCTTTTTCATATGACCGAGCGTTGTAGGCCGGTTAGTGCCGCACGGCCAATTCTGGTTTGAGCAAAACCACACGGCTACCAATTTGTAATTTGAATAATCAGTCGGAACAGACCTCGGGTTCAGCAGATTATCCCCCACAACCGAGACAACGACAAGAGACAGGCGATGTCGGTGTTTCCAAAAGGGGATTGCCGGAGCCACGTGCTGCGCTAGCCCCTTTCCACCAGGACATCTCGGCTACCCCAGCCTTGGCGTTGGCTGCGCATACGATTGAACCCTTCGGCACGCAATTTGCTTCAGTAAAGTCACGGCGCGAGGTGGGGCAGAATGGGTTGCTCTGTCGGCACAGAACGTTCTCCTCTTGGCCAGGCAGGCAAATATGGAGGCATAGCGGCACTTGTCTCCCGCATTCCTGTTCCAGTATAAAGTTGGGGACTTTCGACATCGAAATGTATCAAGAAGTCCAATCCGCCGATCACCTTACTTGACTTGCGAAGTGTCGAGTTATCAAAAGTTCAACTGGGACTTCTACCCCCTCTTCATCTTCCATTGAGACTATTTTCCCACGACAATGGCACCATCAATTGTGACCCCAGACCTACCAACGTCACCCGTGGCGGATGGAAAGGTCCCTGCGGCTTTCACTACCAAAGACGCGAAGGATCTTCCAGAGACCTTGCGTTCGCATTTCGCTGACCATATCAACGGCAAACCTACCGATGGTCCAAAATCCACAACCAGCGACCGGCTCAAGGAACACACAGTTCCATTCAATGACCAATACGCCCTAAACCCTCGCAAATTACGTATTATAACTATCGGTGCCGGCTTTTCTGGGCTTGTGCTTGCGCACAAATTCCAACATGCCTACCCTGAACTTCAGGACTTTGTTGATCACACCATTTTCGAAGGCCGAAGTGATATCGGAGGAACTTGGCTCGTCAATACTTACCCCGGTGTGCAATGTGATGTGCCATCTCATATCTATGTAAGTCTACGCCAACCGCTCCTCATATGGATTTTCTGCTGACATACTCAGGCCTTCCCATTTGACCCTAATCCAGACTGGCCCCGCTTCTATTCCAGCGGTCCAGCCATTCAAGAATACATCAAATCGACAGTGAAGAAGTGGAACCTTGATCGTGATATAAAGTTAGAAACTCAGGTTGTCGGTGCCTACTGGCAGGAAGATTCAGGAAAATGGAAGCTTACTGTGAAGCACGATGGAGTCGAGCGTGATGAGTTCTGTGACATTCTGATCTCAGGCCAAGGTAACTTGGTGTACGTACTCCACTGGTCTCATGTGAACCTGAGAAGCTGGATTAACATCTCGATAGGAGCCCTGCCTGGCCAAAGATTACCGGACTGTCGGATTTCAAAGGCCATGTTACGCACTCTGCGCGATGGGACCATGACTTCGATTACTCCAACAAGCGCATAGCTGTCATTGGCAATGGATCATCTGGCATCCAGATCGTACCTCAAATGACTAAACTGCCCGGTACCACTGTCCGCAACTTTATTCGTGGTCCAGCTTGGGTCTATTACCGTGTCCCCCCGTCAAAGCATCTTGGGCGCGAAACCGAAGATACCAACCCAGAGTTCCTCGAAGAAGAAAAAGAGAGCTTTCGTGACCCTGTTCAACATCGGGAATACCGCAAAGGAATTATTCACCGTACTAACAAGGCATTCCGTTTAGTAAGATCACATCCTTCAACTGCACTGTCTAGCTCAAGCTGACATTAAACGTCATATAGTTCATGAAAGGAGAGCCCAACGAAACTACCGTAGCACTAGCATCAGCTCAGATGGCTGAGAAGCTGAACCATGACCCTGTGCTGTGCGAACAACTTATCCCCAAGTGGGAGATCGGTTGCCGTCGCGTGACCCCAGGCCCCGGCTACCTAGAGTCATTCTCGAAGCCAAATTGCAGTCTGACCTCGAGCCCCATTACCAAGATCACCGAGAAGGGTATTGTCACTGCTGATGGGCAAGAGTTTGAGTGTGATGTTTGTAAGTTTATCCTTTATCCCTTCGCGGACATTTTGAGCAATTCCTAACATAGCATCTCAGTGGTTTGTGCGACCGGTTTTGACGTCTCTAAATGCCCTCAATATCCTCTTGTCGGCCAGAATGGAGTCAACCTCGCTCAGAAATGGAAGGATGAGCCCACCTCTTACCTATCAGTGGGAACCGATGACTTCCCCAACTATTTCACAATGGCCGGCCCCAACTGTCTCTGTGGTCACGGGTCCCTCGTCGAGGCTTTGAATTGGACGGGCGACTACTTTGTCAAAATGATCAAGAAGATCGCCACAGAAGACATCAAATACATGGTTCCAAAGGCCTCGTCCGTGCACGCATTCGGCAAATATCAAGACGAAATCCACAAGACATTAGTGTGGTCCGGCTCTTGTCGCAGCTGGTACAAGAGAGGAACCGTGGACGGCCGAGTTACACATCTTTTCGCAGGGAGTGCTATCCTGTTCCGCCGCCTCCTAGGCGAGATCCGCTCAGAACATTATGACATTGCTTACAACTCGGGCAATCCGTTCCGCTTCCTTGGCAACGGATTCACTGAGTGGGAGATGAAACCGGATGCCGATCTGGGATGGTATGTGCAGGTCGCTAAATCAGGACCTGAGGCCTCTACTAGCAATGATATGAGCTGGGTAGCAAAATAGACGATCATTTGAGGATGCATTCCGCGTCGTTATTCCATGATTTGAGTCATTATATTTGTTTTACATAGTCCGAAAGTTGAATATACCTACTTTGCTACGTTTATTTTGTTTAAAGATTGTTTCTCCTTCCATGGTACAGTCACTTAATTGGATAAGAGTGATCATGCGCTCAAGCAACAGTCGGGGATCGAATCTTATGAAATATCTTTTACCCCTTTGCTCATTAGTACAGATGAAAAAAAGAGCCAGAATGGGATGACATTTAAATCACAATGACCTTTTAAAACTACTACTGAATTTCAGACTACATTTTGAGGAATATTGCATGGATGCGGTATAATACTACTTCGGTTTGCTGACTACGTCGCCTACCAGATTGGAGAGGTATATCTGGACTGTGAGGAAAAGGGAGTTAGAAGAGATTGCAGACAGGACCATGAAGGACAAAGATTTATAATACTGTAATTTGAGTAGTTATTGCGTAGATCCACCATAAACAAAATATTGTATTCTCCTGCGCTCAGGAGATCAAGACTAAGTAAGCTACCTATTGTACTTCAAGTTACCCAAACCACCCCCAATCCGCCTATCGTCGCTTCTCTCACAATGAATACCGGAACTGCATATTCTGTGGGTCTGTCAATAAATGAATGCAAATTGGCACTTGGGTTACTCACCATCTTATCGGTCAAGTCATCCTCATAGGCATGTTCAAAGCCTTCCACTGTTCCCATCTTGTCACGGCGGCGGTTCTCCAACGAGCAGAGGATGCGGTACACCAACACAAGGAGACCCGCAATAATTGCGGTGATAACCACCACGATGAATCCCAGATTATAATGTGGTGAGTCTTCGTGTCGGAAGACCTGGGGTCCTGCGAAATTGCCTGGTGGAGATCAGTGACAGCACTTTTACATTTGTGGGTATAACCTACCAAGGGAGTATCCGATATATAATGCTGAGGAGGCGAGAGATCTTTTGGTATAGCCAGCGTTGTTCGCAAGGAAGAGACCCATCGTCACTGCATATCCAGCACCGGTGGTAGTGAGAATGTAGCAGGCAAAAAGGAGTGCACCAAGTTCCGACCGAGGCAGAAGCCAGAGCATGAGAGCAGCAGTCATAGTAACTAGTTGGGACATGATGACGAGATATGCGCGCCATCCAGGGAATTTGTACGCTAGGTATGTTGTGATCAACATCATGGTGCCGGCATACACGCCGGAAGGTATCATGAGAAGCAGCGAATTGAGTGGGTTGAAGCCAAAGCCATCGATAATGATAGCCTGGAAAGTCGAAATTGGCGCATTGGCAAACATACCGCACAAAGCGTAGAAGAAAATCAACCAGAACTTGATATCGGTCAGAAGCTCAATGGCTTGACCACCTTTGAAATGCGTGTTTCTGACTCCAGAGTTGTTTGTTCTCATGCGAGATACCGCAATGAAGCGTTCTCTATCGTTGAAGCCCTTGGCTCGGATAGGATCGGGGGGTAGGACGAAGTAAACCAGGACACCACAGATGATAGTTAGGCCGCCGGCGAGGAAGTACATATAGAACCATGGGGCGAAGGCTCCTCCGAGGTGCCCAAGTGCATAGTTGACAAGAGGCGAGAAAATGGATACATAGCCTGTGCATGAGTACCAGGCACTAGAAGGGAGTCAGCTGGAGGTCAAGTTCGCCTAATGTTGATATAAATACATACCCCATTCTCAGAGATTGTTCGTCCTTTTTGTACCATCCACCCTAGAGAACGGTGAGCCACAGTCGTTTGATGGGAGTAGCCAAGGTTACATACGACAATCATCATGAAAATTGGACTGATGCCAGCCTCGGTGAAGCCAAGAAAGAATCTTTGCGCGTATAATCCCCGGAAGTTCGTACAGGCAGGCGTGAGAATCAAGGTTGTTCCCCAAACTATGATGGCCAATGAAGCAACGCGTTCAATGGGAAACCTCTGGGCCAGGACAGTGACTGGATAAGCGCCCAGGATAAACCCAAGGTAGAAGATGGAAGAAGACATGGAAAAGCGATTTCCGCTGTTCAGGTGCAAATCCTCTTTGATTCCAAAAAGGGCCTGCAAGGTGCATCAGTTCCTGTAGGATTGTAGGTGACGAGATGGTCTTACCGCTTGTCCAAGCAGGACCTTGTCGGCGTAAAGAAATGCGTAGGTGATGCACAGAACAGGGAGCAGCTTCATGTCAATCTTTCTGCGCAGCTGGTTCTCCTCCTCTGGAGTCCAGGTTGGATCACCCTCATACACCGCCAGGACCTTGATCGCTTCATCGCCGTGCGCGGTGTCGAGCTTTTTCAAGTCACCCTCCTCGCCATTAGAAATATGAGAGACATGTTCCTTAATTGAGCTCATAATAAAGGTCTAAATCGAATCAGATTGTGTGGTAGAAGACCAAAGAAAGCCTCACGGCAATGGCTGGGAGCCCCTTTTTATCCCCGGACATATGGTACTGAAATCCTGGGGAACAGATCCGCACGGAGCTGCTGAGCAATGCCAATTTCTAGGCATAATTGAGCTCCGTCTTGTGGATAGTATTGGGATTATCATGTAGGCATAACAAGACAGCCGACGGAGAAACCGTAGCAGGATTACCGATGGCATAGCCGAAAGGTTTAGTAAAACCGTGCGGCCGTCCATGACGAGTCGATGCCAGCGTCTAGCTCCCGAAAATGCGGGGACCTAAATGCGGGGAAGCGCTGATACGAGGGCAAATCCTGACATGTTGAAATATTGAAACAATAGGGAATTTCAGCCGAAAGCTCGGGGGTATGGAGTTGTGGTTATCCGGATCAGGAAACACCGATAGTGCGACAGTGTGAGAGGCCGATGCCGCTCCAGAGCGGGGGTCCCCACAATTCATCGACTGCGACGTCTCATAAAGAAAAGACACCAATATCATATCCGCTTCGTGTTTGAAAGAAGATCCTAACTTCGAGCAAACATGGCAAGTCGACCACACATCGAGCTGCCTCCTGGCGAGGAGGTGGTGAGCGTGAAGATGATCAACCCAGTCAATTTTGGGCCAGCTATCATCAACCGGTTCATGGAGCCCCCTGTGCCTGGTGTGGAAAAAAAGAAACCCGGACCCGTTTTGACGTTCCTTTTGGAACACCCCTCAGGTCAAAAATTGGTGTTTGATCTGGGTATCCGCAAGGATTATCAAAATTACGCTCCCACTGTGGCAAATTATATACCGACCACGAATTACGACATACAAGTATCAAAGAACGTGGTCGATATCCTAGAAGAGAACGGGATCTCTGGAGAGAGCATCAATGCAGTTATCTGGAGGTATTTGTTGGTGAAGCATTGGAACGTTTCCACAGAAGGCTAACAGTCGCTTGACAGCCATTGGCATTGGGACCATATTGGGGACCCATCCAGCTTCCCTAGCAGCACTGAGTTAATTGTGGGATCCGGGTTCTCGGATGCCATGTTGCCTGGTTATCCTGCCAATCCCAAATCTCCTATCCGGGAGAGCGACTATGCGTAAGTCCTAGTGCATTACGGGGTAAACATCAAGAGCTTTTGGAATTTGAATATCTAACTTATTATAGTGGCCGCTCCCTGCGCGAGATTCAATTTGATGGGCCAGATGCCCTGCGTATTGGAAAATTCCCAGCAGTCGATTACTTCGGTGATGGATCTTTCTACCTCTTGGACAGCCCAGGACATGCAATCGGGCATCTTTGCGGTCTAGCGAGAACGACTGTAGATCCCCCTACTTTCGTCATGATGGGAGGGGATATCTGTCATTACGCGGGCATCTTTCGGCCATCGAAATATCTCCCTGTGCCAGCGTCAATCTCTCCACACCCGTATAATGCAGAGAGTGAGGGACCATTCTGCCCTGGCAGTGTTTTTGATGATATGCAGCACACCAGAGGAAGAAAGCCAACAGATACGGTCTACGAGATGTGTTTCGGTCACGACATCCCCCTTGCGCAGAAGACCCGTGACCAACTGCAAGAATTGGACTGTGATGAGAACATATTTGTTATTATTGCACATGATTCAAGTGTCAGAGATGGGGTTGACCACTTCCCATTGAGTCTCAATGGTTGGAAGGAGAAGGGGTGGGCCCAGAATGTCAAGTGGACTTGGTTTCGGGATCTGGAACCCTTTTGGAAGTCGAAAGGCTTGTAAAGGGCACCCTTTTTATCATATAGATGAGAATTATAAAGGCATTATATGTTAGGATGTTCTACCAGGCAGTGCCGAAGTAAATACTGCTCTATTGGCTTGCGTACGTTCTTCATATCCGTAGCCAAAATAGCCAATTATATTTTGGGGTCACATTTCGATTAAGAAAATATGTCATACTCCGGTAGCTTTAATTTTCGTTTATTAAAGAGAAATACTACATTATCATCGGAACATTCACCTACTTCGGCTCGAGGATTTGAGGAAGTGTATTTCTGATAAAGCGACGTCATTCAAAATAGAAAAACGACTTGAACAAAAAGATAGGATAACTCGCTTACAGTTGGATTCACTGGCATCATGATACATATTTACATATGGTTTCGAACAAGAATATGATGTTGTTCAGTATGTTGTGGTGATGCTATTCATGCAACAAGGCAACCCGGGCTTTCACCTTTCCGTCACAAACACCCTTCAACACCTGGGGAAATTCCTTCAAGTCGGCGGTCTCTACCTGTGGCCTAATCACCCCCTTCGAAATCAAATCCAGGACTTCCTTAAGATCTCTCCATTGCCCACCGTATGTGAAGATAATGCTCAGTCTCTTCTGAATGCCAATCTTCATGTCGATTGTGTTCTCGTCATCAAGAGTACCGACACACAAAAGCTTCCCTCCTCTGCGAACTATGAAATGGTCAGCGCTCTGACACTACTTCAGTTACAGGATACTTACCAATGTTTTGTGCATCCTGGAAAGTCTGGTGTGTTCCCACAAAGTCCAATGTGGTATCAATCTTGCCCTGCAACCCATTCTCGCGCACAAAATCCTGTACTGACTTTCCAGCTGGTACAAGATCTTCTCGAGGAACACCAAATCTCGCAGCCTCCTCCAACCGTTCTTGTCGAATATCAGAAACTATAACTCTAGCCCCGATATGCAGAACAATTTGCAACGCATTAAACCCGAGGCCTCCAAGGCCAAATAGAAAGACCGTCTCGTTAGACTTGACCTCTGCACGTCTCACAATGGCATGATAACTTGTTTTGACAGCATCCGTTGCTACTGCTGCTACAGATGACGGAATTCCTACAAATTTTGTTAGATCGAGTCGAACAAGATCATCGTGGACACGAACCTTCCGGGACATGAACTACTGCTCGAAGGTCTAGGGCAGCATATGGGGCATAGAAACCGTCTTGGCCAATACCAGCGTGGTGAGCCTGCTCACATAGCTGAGCGAGATCCCGTGAGCACTCTGGGCAGTCATCTGAGCCACAGCCAGGGACGGCGATAGTCGCAATTCGATCCCCCTATGTAGGTTGTTAGGCCTGTTGCATCTCCTCGAAGTGCATTTGCACAACTTACCACACTGAAACCGGAGTCCTTCACTTGGTTGCCTATCTGTACAATCTCGCCGCATCCTTCATGACCCTGAAAACAAGAAATTCTGGTCAGCCTGTCGCAGTTCCTGGGTCTTGATAGATGGGACATGATCGAAATACCAGGGTATATCTTTCTTGGAACCAAGGACGCTGCTTTTCACTCGTGAGAAGTGAATGGTCGCTATGGCAGACTAGCAAACAGTTGTTAGCATCATTTTCTGCAGCGGCGATGTCAACAACAACTATCAAATACTCACCCCCAGAAGCTAGCAACTTCACTAGGAATCCCCCACTGGGCGTCGCAGGGACCGGAACCTCTTCCCATACCTGTGTGGTTATCAGCAATAGTTCCCGCCGGCAAATTCGCGGTTACTCACAGGCTCGGGGTTTCCCTTGTGTTTCCTCCACGCGTACATAGTGGCCGGGATGTTAGTGCTTGTAGGAACCGTCATAATTTGCAAATCTATGTTGTGTAACTTGGTGAGTGCCAGTATCTCAACCACAGCCGCTTTATATGTATATTCGCTACCTTTGTACTAACGCGTGCTCTTGACTAGGATCTGCCGTTCGGCTGTGCGGTGCCGACATAACCGGACATACCGAGTCGTCATTTACTTTGGACCGAAGCATTTTCCGGATTATCGTACGGGGCTACCCTTGGTATTGAACACTCCGAGCGGAGTACACGGAAAGACATCGAATACTGAAGATTCGGGTGCATGATATTTACTGTGAAACAAAGCTATTCAAACTTAATTTGATTTCAATACTAGACAAGACGTGCCCCTATAGTCAAGCTTCGCACTCACACTGGCCGTCCTTGACCCTGTCTCTGCTGATAGTCAGCAACAGAACGCGAATCAATCTTTGTAAATTCTCACTTTATAATCATCCAGCCATTTATCCTCGATGATGACCAATTGTGATGCTTGCTTTTTCGCGAAGTATGCGTCTCTGGGGTCGGAATAGTCTTCCCTGTCTACATCCATGAATCCCTCCTTGGCTATGCTCCTCGGTGTGATCATGAGTGAGCGGCCTGGCAGGGTTAGCTATAATATCGCTATAATGTCTTATATAAAGACAAGGTATAAAGAAAGGGTGTGGCTTTACATACCATTGATGGATTTATCGCAGGCGATGCGGATCATTGCACCGGCGCAATCAGCTTGTTCACCGAACTCGACACCACGCTCAATTAGCCAAGCTTCGTACTCCTTGGTCCGGATAGCACTCTTGATCCAGCATGGCGCGACATAGTTGATTCGGATTCCTTGCTCCCAGCTGCTTCGACGGACAGTCTTCATGAAGCCTCGTAGGCCGTACTTGGTCGCTGTGTACTCCCAGTTTCCCTAATGCAGAGGTTAGTTATAGAATTACTCAATTCATGCAAGTATCAGATGATATATTTACTGGCGAATCGATGTATGCGACCATACTTCCAGTCATGATGAAGCATCGGTCGCGGTCAGGGGTATCTGCTTGTTTTCTGAAATAATGAACTGCGAGTTTCCAGGTATAGAATGTCCCGTCCATGTTGACACGGACGATATTGAGATTGGGCTTGGTGGGTGCTCCATTGGGGTCTGTGGACTGTCAGGGCTTTGGTTTCGTATGATTATATATAGCTTAGGTTCGAGCATGTTAAACTTTCAGTTATAGAGAGACATACCATCGAGGTTCCACAGACTGTCACCCGATGCGCGCGAGATTCCGGCATTTGCAATGACAATATCAACGCTGTTATGCTGACTCTTGGTCTTGGCCGTCTCGAATAGTGTAATCAATTGGTCCCAGTCTGTGATATCACACTTGACAAACGCGGCAGTTTCACCATTCGCGTTTAATTCCTTAGCAAGATCTTCTCCTCGGGGGTGAAGGTCTCCAAAGGTGACGAAGGCGCCGGCCTCAACGAAGGCGCGCACCATGGTCTCGCCCATTCCATTTGCACCTCCGGTAATAATGACAGATTTGCCTTTGGCTTTGGTGAGATCGGGCACCACGGCGTGGTCAATTGGGCCCGTGTAGGTGTATTTAGGAAGAGGCATGGTCAACTAGGTTGTAGGTATACAGTGTGTGATTGGAGGTGTTGATTAGGTGTCGAAATGTTACATGGAGAACTGCGGACCTTGGTTATCCCACTTATATCTCCAGCCTGTCTTCCTGTATCCATCTATTTTGTTTTCGTTTCTATGGCAGGCCGGCATAGGATACCCCGCGCTCGCCCCCGCAAGGATTATTGCCGAGACTATTGCCATGCCGGTATTCCAAAAGGGGATACCCGATATATAGCCGGCGTAGTTAATTAATAAATTCATTCGGTCATTGAGTACTGTTGCCGCAACGTTCGTGTTGGGGTAAGGAAGGTAAAAAGTAGCCTTGAGATTACATGAGGCTGGGAATATGTTGCTCTTAGCAAAAACCCACACCTGTGGGAAGCATTTCCCACACATTTGACTTGCAATGTATTGCAATCGTCCACTGGAGCTTACGTCCCAATTTGAGCCCAGACCAGAAACTAGCAGGTATGGAATATATCTTTGTTAAGAGAGAGCCCCAAAGATTTATTGGTGATGACCTACTAACTTACTGACGTACAGCTAAAGTACCGCTGAACGGGCGCGACGCGCTGGTTTTCACCATTTCAAGGGCTGTGTTCGTATTCTAGCTTGGGCAACATAGAGACACGTAGATGAATAATCGAGTCCTGTTTATCGGGAGCCAGTTTTCGAGAAGTTGAGGCCTGGTGAGAATTGTTCAAGTTCTGCCTTAGCGTCGTGCGACGCGGGATGAAGCACCCGGCCAAGATACCTGCGGCTAACTGCAGGTGCTGCGATAAGGCATGGACGGCAGTGTCAGTCCCCACGAGACTAGGCCGAAAACCGCAAGGTCGTGGCCTAACGTGGGTCCACACGGGATACCACGAATTTGCGATTCAGTCAAGTCTTGCGATGGAGTCTGGAGCACTGAAATAATGGTGTGTCATGAAAGTGTGAAGACTTCGGGAGGACCACTGGGCAGAAAACCTTTCACGTCTGAAAAAAAAGAGAAGCGGGAAGGAATCAAAGTTTTGATAGGCAAAGGCCATACTGAATACGGTTAGAGCAGCACCAACATGTGGGTTCCCGAGGACGCGGAACTCCGTCCGGGGACCACACGGGGACCAAATTCGGGTGCAAGTGGGAACGGTACCTACATTAGTGACTAGTGTTTGCATTAGCGGCCCTAACGAGACCTATTGAGAGTTAGGCACGTCTCGAATACAAAATTTGATACCATTCTATGACAACTCATTACATTATGACCACCCGGGCCCTCATTATAACCATTCACACCAGGTGTTGAGCATATATATGACTCCAGCTGGGAGCCGATCCCTAGGCGGCTGGACCAAACAAAGAGTATTTCCTCGAAAACGCATGCTTAGGACGAGTTCGAGTTGTCGAGGCAGCTGAAAGTGGAGCCTAATGAAAAAGACTGTCAGTCGCAGGTTCTGCACTGTTGGGGTATACCAAGACATACCGATCATTCCCGTTGCGTAGGCATCAATGATCTGAATGACAACGCCGTAGGTCGCACCAACAAGGAAGAAAATCCCTAGAAGTACCATTCCCCAGTGTAGCAGGTAGATCACCTGTTGCACAAGTGTACCCTTCCGGTAGTGACTGTTGCTGTGCAGCCACAAGAAGCCAGGAAGACACATGGCAAGGGGGGCGAAGCAAACGGACCCGATCAGGGCAACCAGATAGTTGAAGATAGGGATAGTTTCGCTGAGGATGAAGGAAATAGCACCAAGACTGATTGTGCAGCCCAGCCAAGTCGCCCAATGAACGACAGTGTTGGCCTGCAAATGCCGCGTGTTACCCAAGATGCGCACAAAGACGTATTTGGCGGCGACCTAAATAGCAAAGTCAGTTCTGGAAGCACAAGTCGCGAGGGGGATACTCACATGCAAGTAGATCGTGGCGCTCACAACCAGTCCTAGCAATGCAACACCGTATGATACCATCTTGATCGTCTGGCCGGCGCTCTGTACATCACAAGAATTAGCTAATTGCATCCGTAGGTAGCGTCAAACATAGGATACATACACCCAAAGATGGACTGGCCACCCATTGTCCACACCAACGATACACAACCAAACTGAACGCAAGGTACGATGCATTAACCACAATCATGCACAAATACAACGCCTTCTTGTAGTCCTTCGGGTTTCGCATCTCCGACATCACCGGGATGAAGGCGCTGGTACCAGCCGTGGAAACAAAGATAGTACTGGAAGCAACCATGCCAGCAGCGAATCCGGGGTTATTGATAGCGACGTAGCCGAGGTCATAAGGGCCCTCTTGGGGCGCGGCGGCCGGCCGGTCGCGCGTTGTGACTCCGATAACAACGATCAGAACTGCGGCATAGATCGAAATGAATCCTGCATATGTGAGCCAGCCCACATGCTGGAGTTTGCGTACCGAAGCTGTCGCAATGATCACAACCGCTCCAACCAAAGACCACCAGACGGTGCAAGCAGAGTGATGCGAGAGGGCATTCAAGCCCGTTGAAACCCCAATGATACCACTGCCCACGACAAGGACGTAGCCGATGAGGAAGAGTAACCCGGTAAGCTCCTTCGCGAAGAACCCGCCAGCAACTTCCGCCATATCTGCAATGGAATGGCAGTGAGGATGCTTCTTGCGAAAGTCGCCCAGAATCACGAAAGAGTAAGTGTTGAACGCGCCCCAGGCGACGATACTGATCGAGCCACCCACCGCACCGAGGGAGTACAGCGAAGCTGGCAGCGACAGCACACCAGTCGCGAAGAGAACCTTCACGAAGATAATACACGCTTTAAACCAGCCAACACCCCGGAAGCTGACACCATTCTCGGTCTTCTTGAAGACCTCATGCTCCTCAGTGGAGTCCCTAGAGCTTCCTAGCTCCGTGTCATCCACGGTTGCCTTCTCATTGATAGTCATGGCGATTGAGTTTGGCTAACAAATTGTTGCCCGTGGGAAAGGTATGTTTCAGAGACAACAGCCGGGGGATGTGGGAAAAACCTTACAAATGTATTGTTCTCAGAGACCTCCCATGGCGGTAATCAACTGTGGACCCTGGAGTACAAGCGTTGATCAATTGCCACTAGTTGATATACACTAGTTTTTGGCGACTATGCTGGTTTGAAGTTGGTCTATTGACCTCGCGATGTTCACGGAAATAGCCCGGATAGCCAGCATCACATCATTGAGAATCAGCTTCTTCCTGTTCGTTCAGGGCCGCTGATTCCCCGAAGGTCAGTCGGCAAGGAAAAGTTGAGCTTGCAGCCATCTCGCTGTTCAACCTAGATGTGTGATCCACAGCAAATAACAAGCGGCGTGGGGCTATGTTTGGCCACAAATGATTGGGCTTTCTCTTGGCAACACACTCAGAGCTTTGCTAGTTACAAGCATATCGGCGCGGATCACAGAACCAAATATCCTCGAGTCATAATTTTCGTAGGTAAACTCTTCATTATCGGAAGATTGCCCTCGAGAATATAGCTAATAAATTTGAGTGCATCTGATGTTGAGTAAGCGAGAGAGAAGGGAGAGCGGTCATGTCACGTGAGGCTACATGGCCTAAGGCATTATTACATGTAGAATAGAATCTTTGGGATGCTCTGTGACCAAAGGTTAGCGGACCGGTAATCCATCTAAATCACGTGATAACACACTATCTTATCTCCACCAGTCCGCTCACCTCCCGTAATTAGTATTTAATACTTAGTTTTACGGCATTACCCGTAATATTATTATATTGTACTTTTAATCATCTTAACCTTAGAAAACTACTACGCACTCTTAATGAATTAAATTCATTGAGGTCTTAATCTCGCGTAAGTTACTGGTGGGTTTGTTCACGAGAGGTTTTCTTGGAAGCCACGTGAATCGGTGAAAGTCAACAGTTGCAAACAATATATCGATTGAGAATCCAGTCCAGCCTGGATCTCTCAAGACAGATCGTCCCGAGATAAGCCAGATCTTTCGGATATTACAGGAAAAAGCCGGGGGACATTTGTCTTCTACATCCGCTAGCCATGCGTATCATATGTGCAAGGCAATCAATAACCTGGGGCCAGCTATAGCCTGAAGATCCACGATTGACGATACGACTTAAAATCGGGGGAACTTTGGCCCTCTCCTATTGTTGCTTGCAAATTTCTGCCGATAGTGGCCGTCATACAGTGTCTCCATGGATCCGAAAATAAAATACATAATGAGAGGTAGCTTCTTGGTACTGGGCATGCCCGTGGGCGGTGGGCGTTATGGACGGGCACTCGAAAATCTAAATAGCCCACCGCTCACCATGGACGGGCGATGTCGCAGTCTATTTACATCACCGAAGAAGATCACTCGACTTGAAATTTTACTTATTAAATAAATAAATACCGGTTTATACCATAAAGATTGAACTAATGTGATGGCACAATATGGTTGAAGATAAGTACTAACAAAACAAATGTAAATAACGGTAAGTTATTATGATAACTCAGCATTTTTCCATCCGATTTAGGTTAGTTATGCTAGCATGGGAATTTCTTTGAGTCCCATGGGATCTATAGGCATGTACAGTGGGCCGAAGATTGTAGGGTGCCCATGGGAAATGTCAAAGTCTATACATGACCGAGGCTCCAACTGGCTGGCTCAAAGGGTGAGACGTAATCTAGCTAGACGCTTTGCTTCGAGAAATGACGACTATGCGTTATATATAAGCGCTATACTCAACTATTTACATCGGAACGCTAACTACATACAAGTTCAGAGATCGCCCGCGATCACCGTCCCAGGTACCTAAAAGCTCCCCCCAGTAATTTGTACAGCATAGTCCAACCCAGACTTGACCTCGCTAGACAGCTTAAACGGATCATACTGTATCAGCTCCGCCGGTGTGTTCACAACAACAAGGCTGGCCTCCTCACTCCCACTAACAGTCACCTCACCACTGCCATTCTCTAGATCAACGTATCTCAACGCTCCACTATCCATGTTCCTCACGGCTAGCGTTGACGTAAACGCCGAGTTCGACTTCACAGTAACACTCACACTCCCCTCGCCAGAGATTTGAATTGGGTTAATATTCGCCCCAAAGTACTGCGGCTGTCGGGCAGCCTTCACAGTAAAGCTCTGCCCACTGCCGTCCAGATTCTCATAACCCAGAGTCTTCCTTTGTTCCAAAAACGCCCGGTTTGCAGCCTCACTCCCAATGTCCACATACGCCATATGCGCCCAGTATCTCCCGACAACCTGCTGAACCGTCGCCCGATTCCCGAGCAGCCTCTGCAACGTGTGCAACGGAGTCTCGTTACTCCCAACTTCATACTCCAGATTCAACCTGAGCACCGCATCCTGGCCCAATCCGGTAAAGTTATCCGGGTTATTCGTCAAGTAGGACAAGATAGGCCAGCTCTGGTAATAATTGCCGGAATCCACACTTCCATCCACAATAACCTGGTGGCTATCCCCAATCACCTTCTGAAGCTCGATGATACTATTCCTGTCTTGTTGGGAATACTTCTCTCGCGCACTCGCGCAAAGATCAGACGTCATCCACGTATCCGCGAACCAATTCGCCAGCGGCTCCCACCAAGCCCCTGTGGCAGTCTGATCGACCCAGTTCTGCGCGTGATACGTAAGGGCATGTCCGTATTCATGGACGGTAACCGACGGATCGGTAAGGTAGGTGTTCACGACCTGCACGAAGCTGAGGCCTGTCTTCGGGTCTGAGCCCATTACACCTGCGGCGCTGTCGAGCGAATCAACGGCGTATATGTTCTCCTTGTACCAAATATCTGCAGTGTCGGAGTCAGAGTTGTACGAGAGACCGGAGGAGCGCCATCCGAGGTCGGTGACGAAGCAGGTATATGCGGATTCGAGCATCTGGAGGGTTTTGTCTGCTTCGTCACCTGTTGCGCTGTACACTCTAAAGCGGGGCGAGTCGGTGAACGTGTTGCCACCGGCGCCGACATTGGGGTTTGCTGTGAACTCGGAGGGTTCTGTGCTGGTAGTACTGGGGGTGGTGGAGGCTTGGGTGTTCGGGGTTGCGAAGGCACTGGCGGCGAAGAGGGCCGCTGCGGCGTATTTGGATGGGGACATGGTAATAATTGCTGTTCACTATTTACTGGTAGGTAGTCTACTGGGATTCGTCGTGCATTTATAGCGAGGGCTAAATTAGCCAAGACGGGCATATCATTGCGCAGGATTGTTTCAGTATGTAACCGTGCCAAGAGCTTTTGACATACTGCAGCTGGGCCCCGTGAAACAGACTCACAGTGAAACGCACTAGGGCTGCTTGTGCCCGAGCTCTGGCAGGACTGCGATATTGGTCTATCAAAGGGGTAATTAGTCATGCCGAACTATTCGCAGGAATTTCATCTGCCTGCTTTTAAGTTTGATCTCCTGCTGTGATGTTCAATGTTTCTACAGCATGCCCTTTCAAGAATGATTCTACATTAATTCTTTCTGCTTATTCAATAAACTCTCTGTAGAACTTAGATCTGGTTAGCAAAAAGCCAACCATATCTCTAAAATGTCATCTAAGTCGTTGTTCAAATATTACTGCACTGATTCTGTCTGACCAATCTAGTCTGTCAGTCTATCTGTTACAGCGTAATATCTGTTCCAATCTGTGGGAGAAGAATACAGCATATTTTACCACTAGACCACACACAAAAACCAAGGTAATTATATGGGGCCTCTAGGCCCCATATCTGACATTTGACACAACCTAATGCGTACTGTTGTGTTGACTTCCCCAGTGGTTAACAGTGGGGACTTATTTCAGCCTGTTTAATCGTGCCTCTCTCTTAAAGAAGCGTAGAGAGAGAACTATCTGTGAACTGTTCTCCCTTTGCATTCTTCTTCTCTGACTAGCTATATCTCGCTGATCTGAAAAACAACGTTTCATAAAGTGGGATGAAGTAGAAAGATGCAGAGCACAATTTAGCGTAAACTAGCTTACTTTCCTATTTTAGGTGTCTCTTTCAAATTTTTTTACGATCTTCCTTTTTATTAGTAGTGGTTAGTTATCATCACTTCTGTTTATCTGCTAGTGACCTGTTAAAAATATGTAGGAAATGTCAGCCTAGAACTCGCGGCACCAGTTCTAGCTAGAATAGGACCGCTTTCCTATCCCTGTTAGTATCTTTTTGTAGGAAGTCATAGAGATAAGACACAGATGTAGAATCAGTAGAGAAAACGCTGTATGTATTGGGATGGACGGACGAGAGAGAGAGAAGAGAGAGTAGGAGAGAGAGCTGTCAGCCTAACTAGGTTCTATCAAATGTTATGCCTGATGCATCTAACATCCCCCTTATAGAACCTGCCTTATACCCCCATTAAAATCTTATATAGTAAAACTCTCCATTTTCAAATATATTTAAATTATACTAAGTAGCCTAGTAAAGACCTCGAACTAGTCGTTTATAAGAGCCTTAGTATTATGGGGCTCTCCTGTCTGAAACTTTAGCCCGCAGGAGGTCGTTAGAAAATGCTTTTCCGTGGGTAAATGTCCCCATTACCGCCTTTATATTTTCTACTAAGTTTATAAGGCCATCGAACTCATTAAGTTATTCGCAAAAACTGCCGAGAGAACGCTGCTCAGCGTCACTGCGCGATTAGTGAGGGATAAGGCTCTCTCCGGCAAAGCTCGTCCTTATACGGCGATATAATGGAGAGCGAGTTCTTCACCACGTCTTAAATGGCCGAACCGGCGGAATGTAACAAGCTGACCATTTTTAATATCCACGGAAGCTTGCTGCAATTTAGGAGCATTTACGCCCTTAAATTCGAGTAGGTCGGAAACGAACTGTGTTATCCTGACCCCGGGGCTTCACCGCTTGGTTTGCATTCCACAATCACTAACTTGAACCTTTTCTTCTCTCTTCAACGATTCCTCTTTGTATATAGCCTATTTTAGGTCCATACGGGCTTAGCCCTTGACGGATGACTTTGAGACAGCAGTAGCGCCCCTGGAGCACACAGGACTATACTTTTCCTGATAAGCTGATGCATTTTTCGATTTGAGCGCTAAATATCAAACTTTATCAGGATTGCGTGAATGGCAAGGTAGATCTTAGGTAGCAGCTATACTTACTACCTTTATAACCCTGTATATTATTAGTATTACTCAAGTCTCTCTTTCGCTTAGACTCCAATATCTACGCGCCCATTCGGCCAATATCGAAGGGCACTATGGTGCGCTAGCTGGTCCTTTCCCCAACGTTTCTTTACCTCCCCGTCCTTTTCCATACACGCTTGATCAAAAACCGGAAGCATATCCTCCGAGACAACTTGCGCGACAGCCTGCCAGCTATTCCCAATCATCGGATTCCTGGTATAAACCACAAACAACACCGTAATAAGCGCAAGTATAATAAAATGCGTCGCAATGATCGATACACCGGCAACAAACTCATCCAACTGGACTGGAATCAAATCGGTGGACGAAAACGCGGTTAATGCCGACGCTATGGGGTCCTCCCGCATCAGGTCATCATAGTATGCTGCTTGGGTTCCTCGCGTTATTAGTGCTTGAAGGGCGAGAGCAGGACTGTTTGTATCGTGTAGAACATCTTTAAATATGTCGGTATAACTTCGGTCTGCTGTGCTGGTGTCTGCTGTGTTTGCTTCCGAGAGGAGAATGCCCTGGTTCGCGCGTGGGAAGTCCGGCGGCGTAAGAGCTTGTTGTGGTGTTGGGAGGAGGTTGAGGAATATAGTTATGAGGTGGAAATAAATCTCAAATTCGTTGAAGTCGTTTTCGATGGCATTGATTCCCATGTCAAAGTCTTCCCATTCTGACCTGGGATTAAGTGCAAGTACACCGCGATGATTCGGGCTATCCGGTATTAAGAATGCACCAAGCTGCCGTCGGGTTGACTCGGTATCGAAACTATTGCTATTTCGGTCCCAAGATAGTCGTGGCTCCCAGTTTTGCCAGGAACTGGCCATGTCAACGGTGAATGTCTTAGAAACGAGGTTAGTGAAGCATGAGGAGACGCGGAGTGCTGCAGTGTTTGAGCCGCTCATGATTATTGACCAAGGGCCATCTTTGTGAATAGTAGTCACTCTGTATGGCGTTGTGATGTTTTCGAGCCAAACGGGTTCAACCATCCTCGAGCCGGTATCTACTATTACCACTTACAAGAGAACACAGCGCAAGGCAGAAAGGACGGGGACGTCCTCCGTACCGTCAGCAATTTTTTGCTTTTTTGGGCGAGGCTGGGGCTGAAGCTGAGCTTATAACTTTACGAGAAAACCAACCAAACTTTTCCCTGAGCCTCCCATAAGTTACACTTCATCTACATGAGAAAGTTCAAAACTATTACCAGCACAATTAAACAGAAAACAGTCAATTTATAAAACATTAAACCTAAACAGACCTCTGTTGAGGTTTAAATCTGTTTAAATACAACACCATTCTATGGTTTTTTGTCTGTTTGGTGTAAAAAGCGGACTTAAAGGCAAAATAGCCGTGCTGCGGGCGCCACTGCCAGAAGCCTGCCCAATAGCTATCCCAGCCCTGCTGCAGCGGTGGACCCATTTCACTGTAGAAGGACTAACTGCGGTGCTAAGGCTTCCGCAGCTAGGCACCGGCAAACACGCCCCGCGGGTCAATAAGTTCGACCCTCCGCCCGCCCTTGGGCGCATGCATATACGAGCTGTAGACTAAATACCATCGTATAGTGTTTTGAGGTGGGCGGGCTGATTGTGTGGGCGGCTCGATTGTGAATTACGTTACAAGAGCAAGATCAAGACCCAACGTGAAATGAAGCAACTGAGATTATCTAAGATTCTGCCGGTGAAAAATTCGCTTATATGAACATTTTCGTGATTGGAGAATGGTCAGCATCTAAAGAGATGGGTGTACGACATCAAGATGGTGCCTTCCGGAGCTTCTAACGACTCGCAGTTATCTATCAAGGACGGAGGGGGGTCCGAGCAGGCGGATGTCGAGTTCCAGTGATTGAGGATCTGCAACCGTGTTGGGATCCTCAACCCTAGTTAGGACCAGCTTGTCCGTTCCAATGCGACTAACGCACCTAATTCCAAAATGTCCACCTAACCGACTTGATTGCAGTGAGGATAGTCCTTGAATAAGATACCTTACTAGCAATAGACGCCATTGTCACTTACATAGAAATAAACTGCCAAGCATTAAGGGGTCTTTGTTTGAGAGCATTGCACCGGATCTATCTCCGATATGATCATGACGCGACTCTGCGTCCGGTATCTATCATTCACAGGTGGGGAAGGGGCCTGTTCTATCGCTACCCTAGATCTGTTGCTCGCCCTGTGCGTACTACTGGGGTGCCGGCCAATAGTAGAAATCCCTCATTGACGATCCCCTTAGTTATGCCGCCAATGACGACGACTGTCCGCGGCAGTCCGCCCGTGAGGCTCAGTATAGGATTACGTGGCTTGTAATGAATTTGCCGAATTAGAATACAAAATTAGAAGGATGATTTAATTCTAAGGAATAGGCCCAGGCTGCCCTGGTGCCAAAAGTCAGGCTCTCTTTAAATTTATGGTCAGGCGGATTCCTCTTTATAATGTTAAATAGATGGCAATCCCTTCGCGGTCCATCTATTTAAGGGACATCCCGGTCTCATCTATCTTACAGCAATTTTCGAGATATATTCGAATCTGTTTTAGAAAATGGTTGTCTGTTACATGGTCGTCACGCCAGATCCTCGTGTAAGTCTATCGGCTTCTCGGTAGAAGAGGCACGTTCTGACTATTCAGGTAGACCACAGTATCAGAATCGTACTATGTCAAATTTGGTGACGGTCCCTCACACGCTGCCTATTACAGATGCAACCCAGATCATGCGTAAGTTTGCGATCATCGTCATCCCACCGGTTGACTAACGTAAAGTAGATACGAAGCAAACGATCGTTCTCCAGCGCAGTATCTTAATGTGGTGACTTATGATGCATCACTGGCGGCCAGGCAGCCAGGTAAATGGTTGGAATGGATTCATATCAAAATCACGGGAGGTATGAGAGTTTGTAAGTGCTGCCATGGTCTGTTAAGGTGCATAAACTAATAATGTCTCAGATGCAAACACAGAATGGCATATGCTGCAAGTAAAATCGGGTCATAATTGCGAAGTCTTAAGGAATAATCTTTGTGCCATGCTAGATCTTTTTCCACAGTGGAACCGATGGGAGGAAATAGGAGGAAGCGTGGATAATCCAACTAGTAATTTCGAGAACATTGTGGACAATACCTGGTGGTGTGATAATCAGGAAGCAATTGCTCAGTTTGTCAATTAAGTATCACTCATTGCATGCTACACACCTACTTGGCCTTTACCCCACTCCGGTTCGGGCCGATCCATGAGAAATGATAATGGATCTGAAGTGAATTACTGGCCTGCCTAACTTAATAACAGCCGGTGAAGTCGGCGCTCTTAAATACAGTCCGTTATATTGGTATTATTCATTTTCTAGTCGCTAATACTCCTTAGTGGCTAATATTCTCTGAAGAAGTCAGAAAACACACTAGTATTCCTGTCCCTTATGTTCTTTCCTGGTCTTTAAACAGCTTAAATGCTGTCGGTGCAGAATATATCATCATGGAGAACGCCGCCGGTGTTCTACCGTTTTAAGTTTAGGGCAGTATACTTAAATTCGATTGGCTATAGTTAATCAGAAACTTGACTTAGATTGAGGATTAATTATCAGCTATTCATTTCCCTGCTTATGGAGGACTGTATCTTCGAACAGATATAGAGTAACTAAATAAGCACCTCGATAAACTTAATCTATATTTATCTTTCTGTATTAGACCTTTTTATGACCGTAGGTATAAATTTAACCTAAGTCTAGACTTTGATAAAGGGCCTTATGGGTCCCCTGCATATTTTAACAGTTTATATACTAACTGTTTATAGGGTGTTTAATTTTAACCCTGAGGATTTCTATTATAAGGCGCGAATTACCACAAATACCAAAGAACAGCCAGTAAGATCAAGCATTCTTTTATAAAGGAGATATCAAAGCATAAACCGAACTCCTACACGTAACATAAAGTGTTATAGAACTTTTAGACTCGAACGAAATATTAAAGCGGAAGCTTCCCAGCCTACTCTATAGTATACTACTATACCGATCTTAATACAGGAAACATAAACTTTTAAATCTTTAAACTAGAATTTTTTCGTCTCCCCAACGATCGTTTCATAATAGTATCCCTTATCGACCTCTAGTAGATTTCCGTTCTTCTTATATTTCGGTAGTCCTAATGGCCAGTCTTTCTTAAACCGCCACAGAACTACCATTACGAGGAAGGTATGTCTAAGGTGGAACTGCGCGATCATTTCAATACCCTAGATAAGGATAGCTAGATGCTTATAATGCACGAATGGTCCTAAAGAAAGTTAGCAAAGGCCAATGAGATTTTAACCTTAAGAATAAACCAGCGCATAGGGCGATGAACGTACCCCGTCTGTTCCGAGATTTATTAATTCGATGCGGAGAAGTCTCCGAAATTGGCGTTCTCCCGCATCGTGCGTGCCTGATAGAACTCTTTTAGAACTGGCTGGACCTTAGATTCTATGGGAAATGCCCTTTATCCTTTACGCGGGAGCAGGTCGATACGCACGAAAGCTAATTCTCGGAGTATCAAGCTTAGTAGGAGTATCAAGCTTAGTATAGGATTCAGGCTCTTGCGTAATAATATATTAACACTGATGGAGAAGGATGGGTCGCACCAGGATTGAATGTGAGCGAGAAGAGGACGCAGAATGAGCAATTGTTGACTATGTACATTGAAAGCGTTGCTGGCGAGAAATCCGCAGACGAGGCGAGAACCATCAGTCCTTTCCTGGTCAAGGCAGGAATATTATTTGAGCATTTTCAATGTTAGATTGACAGACATGGGTAGGGTTCTGGAGTCTGTTATGAATTTTTTCAACATAGTCAGGCCGGAGGACTGGCTGACTCAGGCTGCAAAAAACTACCCTCTTAACCACCGACCACCTTAACCTGCGATGCTAAAAACCGCTCAAACACCAATACAGATATAGTAGCCCAGCCAAAGGTTGCTGCACGAGGCATCTACCTGCGAGTTCCACTTACGGGGCTGTGCCAAGGCAATACCCGCCTCCGTGTAGATGGACCAGCAGCTATCACCATCCTTGATCAGGTGGTACTTCTTGCAGTTGCTGACAACACCAGGCATATGGGGTGTTGGTCCAGTGGGGGCCGTTGGCTGGGGGGCCGAGGTGGTGACTGCGCCGGGAACATGTACGCAGACAAAGTAGTCGAGCCAAAGATTTGAGCATTCTGCACTGGCTGTCAGGTTATGATCTTTGTAGCAGCCCCATGTCTACGAAAGCCATGGAGAAAAGGAAAGACTTACTGGCGTCGACCTGGCTGTTCCAACTCTTGAACTGGGCTTCGGTGATACTATATTTCTTGGCAATGGTATCACACTGATCTCCGGATGAGACTTTGTGGAAGCCATCACAGTTGGAAGCAATGCCGGGCATAGTGGGAGAGTTGCTGGGAGCGGAATAAGTGGTTGTTAGCTGGAAGGCGGTGGTTGTTGAGCTCGTGGATGGGGTTGGTTCATCCGTGGCGGTACCAACCACGCAGTAAGACTTGCTGGTATCGAGATTCGGGCAGGTGATGCCAGGGTTCAGCTTCAGCAAGTCGGTCACTTACAGTCCCCAATCAGCAGTGGTTCCGAAGTCGCAGTTGACAGCGCGGGAGTTAGGGCTGCACCTATTGCTGGGACTTCTCCGACGGCAAGAAGAGCTGTAAGATGCATTGTGCGAGGCTTAAATTTGGGCTTTGTAGAGAAATAAAGTGTACACTTGATGCTTGAGTTTATAAGCTTAGTAGCCATGGAGGGATGTGGAATATCAGTTGGGAGAATGCGACGTGTAACTTAACCCTGGATTTTGTAACTTGTTCCGTAATGCCATAACCTGAGATAACAGCTCACTTCTGTATCTTTTTGAATACCAAGAAGAGAATCAGATCAGAGGACGCGTCCATCTTTCAATTGCCGGGACATCCGAGGCAGCTTCACAGTTGCGTATAAGTCTCTGGAGTTTGGAGTAGACCATCTTAGTATTAGAACAAAATACCGAGCTCTGTACAGCTCTATTTTTTTTCCAAGAGCATTGGAAGGAGTTGTAGTAAAAAGGACAATAGACGAAAGTGGGCGGTGCCAAGCATCGAGTATAGGACCAAAAGGCAGCACTGGCAGAGGGAGACCTAGATATCTTCGTAACATGGTGCTCAGTCACTGCCCTAGGGAAGGAGTAGGATCATCGACACGTAAGAACAGGATGCTTTATCGTCCCAGGAGTTACGCTTCTGGGTGACAGGCATTGCAAGCTGGAAGTCGGATCAAACGGCATCTCCGGGAAAAATGAAAGGGGCAGTGCGTCGGGGTTGGATTTTGCTAACCTAGCCTGAAACCTATCTCGTGATCAGAGATGTCTCCAGTCTTCGTCTTTTGGTAATCATCTCGTGTTCGTTTTGCTCGAATTAATTCTACTTTATAGACATTGTTGATTGACGATCTATGGATTCTCGGTCTTTCTCTTTTTTAAATGTTTCTGATTTCTTCTTGGAAGTGGAGCCAGTGAAAGCGTGCCGGTTGAGAAGTACAACAGGCAGTCCATTTGCGAAGGCTATGTGCTTATTTACGAGGACAACATGCAGAGAAATATATTTCAATATAGACAGAGATACGTGCATCTTTCTGTTGAAGTACTAGGAACCACGGCGGCCTAAGGCTCTAGATGATAGTTTAGTTAACTAACGTATTTCACAAGCGAGTGACGCACACAAGCGAGTGACGCACCCCAACCAGCCTACTGATTTCAACTTCTTTTATATCAACAAAAATGTCATTAAATCAGCTCAACTAATTAAGTGGTCTATTTGGACATGTTTCCCTTCGATGCCCTGGCAATCTGCATATTCCACACCCCCGGGGGGCCGAGTACGTGGCTGAATACCCGATTCTCTAGAGGTGCTAGGGCCGGGGGGTTTGCTTCACTTGCTTCCTGTTGCTGCATAATTAATGCAGAAGCTTCTTCAATTGAAAATCCCTCTTCAGAAGTGATCGGCCTTCGAGATCTAGTCCGCTTTTGCTTCTGCTTCTCGTTTTCAGCGCGTAATTCCTTGTTTTCCTTCGCTAAAAAAAATAGCACCTTGCATTGTAAGACGGAAGCCTTTTATAAGCTGGTTTAATGCACGATCTGACGGGCTAGGCGGGCTTCGAGACCTCGTACGAAGTAAAGCTTTGATTGACGAAGCCTGTCGACGTAGTTCTTTCTCTGTAGTAGGTGTTTTTGGTGTGAAATTCCGGCTTGAATCGCTCCCCCTGCTAGGGGGGGGTGTTAGGGTTCGAAGTTGAATATTCAGCTTCGAGATCACTCTTTCTGGTGAAAAAGGGACTAAACCAGCTGCTCCGAAGCTATTCTTGATAGTTTCCGATTTAAAAGCTTCAATTCGTGCGAGGGGGTATGCTTCGAGGAAGTCAAGTTTATCAATATGATTCACTTAGAGCCTCATTTTTGTCTCCACCAGCCGCCCGTATGATCGTTTTAACACAGCAAAACAGCTAATATCGAGAGGCTGTAAAAGATGAGAGGAGTGCGGAGGCATATAAATAGGTATTATCCTATTTTACTCGCAAAGTTCATCGAATTTTGGGGTTAAATGACTCCCGTGTCCGTCAAGAACTAGCAGCCTATACCTTCCCTTCGTACGAAGAGAAGTGCTAGGAATAAAGAGCTTTTTAAGCCAGCGAACTCCTATTTCATCTGAAGTCTAACCATTAGGACTAACTTCAATTCGCCAGTCGTTTGGTAGGCCTTTAAACCATGATTCTAAGTAGACTTTGCCTTTGAAAATGATACACGGAGGGAGGGCCCACCCCGCTGAATTTATACACTCAATAGCAGTCACCCATTCACGATTTCCAGGCTGTAAAAGCGGGCGCTGACCGTAGAATTCAGCTCTTATAACTACCTTCGTAGTAGCGATTAATCCCATTGCGAAACCAGTCTCGTCAAAGTTATAAACGTCTTCAGGATCGATCCCAAATTGAAAGATGGTTTTTTGAACAAGATTAAACCACTCTTGGATAATCTTTGGGTCTTCGCACTTTGCACGTTCGAAATTATATCGTTTCGAGAATCGGGAGGAGAGGAGAGGATATCGTTTAATGAAGTTTGTAACCCAATTTTCGCCGACCGAAGGAGCTGGGGTTATACCACGTTGTTGAAGTAAAAGATTCGCCATTTCTCGTACAGTAGTAGGGCGGGGAGCTGCTCCACGAGAGTCCATAGAGACGATCCATTTTTGAAGAGATTCCTCTTCAATTGATGTCAATTTATGGGAGTTTGCGCGTGAAGTCGCGCGACTTTCAACCCCTCGGAGGCGTCGACGGAGGGTGGCCTCAGGCACTTGAAAACAGCGTGCTGCTCCACGAATAGAGGCGAATTCTTGATTTTTAAAAGCCTTGATAGCTAATAATATCCTACCCTCTTGCTGTGTTGAATTTTGACAGCTTTGAGAGCGAATTGGTGGCATGGTGGGGGGTTGAAATGATTAAGTGCTAAATCATGGACGCGTTTTGGTTGGGGTGCGTCACTCGCTTGTGTGCGTCACTCGCTTGTGAAATACGTTATAGTTAACTAAGCTCACTTAATATCTTATCAATGAATCTCATCAATCAATCTATCATTTGGTTAATTCAGTCAACCAACTGAATCACCATAAGAACTCGGTCAAATTGGGGCTTAGACAGTAATTCAAATACTCAAAAATACTAGGAAAATCTGCATTACTTATGTACCCGCCAATAATTGGCATGTTTATATAGTTTGGAGCCCATTGGGCCCCCATCACAATGGGCTTTGTGGGCTCTGCGGAAGCCTATCTAACAACATGACTAGTTACCTGGGGTGATTAGATAATGCGTGCCGATGGAGGCTTTCCCGGTCCGGACCCGCGTTCCACAGTTCCACCCCCGCTATGTATGTTGTTGACCAGCACTGCCTAGTAGTGCCGACAGCAATGACCGCGGGCGATCAGCTATCCCCATTTGAAGATGAGGTCTCTTCAAATTCCGAATTTCTCGTCCACGGTCAGCAACCGGCGAAATTTAGCTCTATCCCCGTCCTGCCGGATCTCATCGAGCTCAAGTCATCCTCCGTCAACAACAGCATCCAGGCTCCACCGAGCGCCCCCGCTCATGCAAATTTATCCCACCTCCTTGAATACCATTTCAATCGCCTACGCAATCGCCTGATATCCGACCTTCGTTTCCAGTTGGAGCGCTTACAATCTGGGAATTCTGGGAATGCACGTGTAGATCGGATCGATAATGAGGATGGCGGCGACTGGGAAGACACCACCGACAATGAAGATGAAGACGAGGACAGCGTGGGTGAGAGCAGCGAGGATGAATATTACAACAACAACCGTCTCTGCTTTGTGGTATCCAACGGCAAAATTATAACCCTGAAGAGCGCCTGTACCAAAGAACAGAGATCGGAACAGCACCAGGTTCGTGATCAGCCGAAGGCTCTCACTATGTGTTGTTTAACCCCTGACCCTATCAGTGTCTCGACCCGACCACTCCTGCATGGAAGTTGGTCCCTATTTTGGAGTCCTTACAGAAGAGAGAGCATTTGCCTTTCCCCGAGGAATTGATACAGTGCACCCTAGAACCCCCAGCCCCGGAGATACCCCCAGGGCTAGGATTGCTGGTTGAGTCGCTGACGCTGAATAACCTCGAAAATGTGTATCGTACTCTGGAGCTGCCACCCGCGTTTACCAACGCCAGGATAGGAACGCGATCAGAAGGAATCGCGGCGTGTCTCCCCGCATTTACGAAGCGGGTCACCCTGTACAAGCAGAGACCTAGTATGTGCATCTTCGTTCCGGTTTGTTATTGAGCTGACCTTGGGCGGCTAGGAACCGATGCATTCCCAGTGGGCGAAATTATTATCGAGTCATTGCGACGGTTTTCGGACGGACGAATTTTGGTCGTCTCGGCGTCCAAGAACAAGGTCAACCGCATGCGCACTACCCTTTGGCAGATGGGTATATCTATGAACACTGTTCATACCTTACCACACGGTCCCGGATGCACCAGCAGGTCTCGGGATCTACCAACGTTAAGTGCTAGGGCGGATCAGCAAGCATCAGGCATCTCTAGTGCACGCATTTATCTTTGTGCTGCCAACGATATCCCAGCATCCGTGGCTGAACTTTCCCGGGTACGGGCCGAAACGATCATTGTTTATGGAGCAGATCGGATAGATGAAGCCTTTCTTCTGACAATATTGCCCAACACATCCACCAGGCTCGTCCTTTTCGGAGAGGCGGAATTTGTGGATCGGTTCTGGCGGCCGGAGATGGTTGGCTACGTCCAGAATTCAACCGATATGAGCTTGTGGGGAAGATTAGTGACCGGGGGGCTCCCGTGTGTCACGGTGCCCACTACAGTCCTTGAGGGCCCTAGCAAGCGTGGACAACAGACTAATGAGCCTTCTCCCTTTTCTCCCAAATTCCAAAGTTTCAAATTTGGTGTTCCCTTCTCGTTGGTGGACAAAAACACTAATGGGGGCACTGGAGATGGCAATGTCCCTAACTTGGAGAGCATTGACGCGTGGCGGACTTTAGATCAAATGGTAGGCTTGGAAGATATCAAGGTGCAGGTTCGTTTGTTGCACCACCGAGCAATGGACAATCTTTCGCGCAGAGAAAAGGGCCAGCCTACACGATCTATTCCCCCAACAGGTGTTCTTTTAGGTCCGCCTGGCACCGGAAAGAGCACGGTTGCTCGTCTCTACGCAGACATACTGCATCGTCTGGGATTTGTGAAGAAACGCACTGGTAAGCAAACGTCATTTTATTGTCTATATATGATTTGGTGACTAATTATGTGTATGATCTACACAGTGAAGGAAGTCAAGGCTTCCCAGTTGGTCGAATCCGTTGATCCCTTGTCTGAGCTTGATAAAGCAAAAGGCAGAGTCGTGATCATTGACGACGCCCAGGGGCTCTGGGGTGGATCGGAAACAGGCACATATAGTGAACACAGAGCGGCTATAAACGCCCTTGTGGCGTGCGTTCCAAATGAAGACACGCCTGACCGGATTATATTGCTTGTAGGATACGAGGACGAGATGGTGGAAATGCTCCGACATGTCAACCCAGGTCTTGCTAGAAGGTTCCCTCTAGCCTCTGCGTTTCGGTTTCCCGGTTTCTCGATATCCCAGTTGGAGCAACTCTTGGAGAAGAGACTGCAGGTAACCTCTATCCCTTACTCGCCACATGCAAGGTCCGCTGCGCTGGCGGTCCTGCGCCATGCTATGATGTCGCCTCAATTCGGCAATGCCAGCGAGGTAGATACACTTCTACACAAGGCCCTCTTTTCTCTAGATAAGCGATGTATGGACGATCCACAATCAGCCACTCTTGTACTCGAACCAGAGGACTTTTCAACAGACTGGAACCGCGTTTCAGATGCTGAGGCAGTCTGCGAGAGGTTGTTCCAAGACATGGTCGGCTGTGAGTCGGTTATTTCCGAATTACTCGAAGATACGAGGGTTGCCAGGAAGGCTGCCGCGCGGAACCTTGATCCGCATGATTATATTTCTTTCAATTACGTCTTCAAGGGACCTCCAGGTATGCATTCCTCATCTTTCTTATTACAATCAGCTATCCTAACCGGAACTCGAAAACCCAGGGACGGGTAAGACAACAACCGCTCGAAAGATGGGACAGGTGTTCTATTCCATGGGTCTGCTTGCCAGCGCTGAAGTCATAGAATGTTCTGTGAGCAACCTGATCGGGGAATACATCGGCCACACTGGCCCTAAAATCCTAAATCTATTCAACAAGGCCCTGGGCAAGGTCTTGTTCGTCGACGAAGCTTACCGTCTGTATGACCGTGCTGGCTCAGGCGGGTCCTTTTCGGCCGATGCCGTTGCAGAGATTATCGGAGCCCTCACGAGCCCCCGGTTCCAGCAGAAGATGGTGATTATTCTAGCCGGCTATAGCGAGGGTATGGATCGCCTCCTGGACTCGAACCCGGGGCTGCGAAGCCGCTTTACGCGCACGATGACATTTCCGAGTCTCGATGCAACACGGTGCATTCAGCTCCTGCTGCAATTGATGCAGAATCAGGGGCTTGATATCGCGATGTTGAGAATGTTTGAAAAGCATCCCTCAGAGGATTTAACTAACCTTTTTGCTGCCCTCGTGCGGTGTAATGGCTGGGGGAATGCGCGGGACATTCATACTCTGAGCGGATACATCTTTCGCATGGTATTGCTGAACACAGATGATGCGAACGAGCCACTAGTGGCGACTATGGATCACTTAGAGTCGTCCATAGGGAAGATGATCACTTCTAGAGGTGGACGCCTTCCGGTGAAGGTGCGATCCAAGCCGGTGATTGTACCGCCGCCAGGCTGGAATGGGCGAGAATGGCTTGAGCGACGTGGATACAAATAATAAATGTCGGAGTAAATATATGTAAATGCTGGTAGAATACTAATCATTCCTCGGCGGTGGTCACATTTTTCAAGACAATCAAAGGGTCCCACTCCAGTTCCACCCAGGGGGCTCCTGAAGCCTTCCGCAAAGACTGGACTTCGTCTCGCCTGTCCTCATGCCTCTTGCCCTTGCCGACATGGCGATAGACAAGCTCCGGTTTATCATCAGCCCGCACTAGGAACTGGAACTCTGCCACAACACCCGAATCGGCTCCTCTAGAAAGTAACAGATCATGCATGCGCCTGTCCGCATTCTTCTGAGACAATATGTACTTGATAAACCACCACACTAGTGGTGTGACCTGCTCGATATTTCGGGCGTTGACATCTGCGCCTGCCTCGTCAATCAGCATCTCAGCCGCCTCGACAGTAGCTTCTACCACGGCGTGGTGGAGTGGCGTCATTGCCTGTGCATCCCGCACATTCGGGTCCGCTCCGCCCTCGTTGACCAGAAGTCGCATCATCGTGGTATCCCCCGCATGTGCTGCAAAGTGAAGGGGCGCCCGTCCCAGCCAGGGATCTTGATCTGGACTTTCGCGATGCGTCGACGCTGGATCATTACTGTTGCAATCACCAGTTTTATCGCCATCGGCTTCCTCTGCTACCGCATCCACCATTCGTTTCAATCTCGGCTCGGCTTGTTCCCTAGACATGTACGATAGCATCAGCGATAAGACCTTGGGCTGCTTGGTCATGACAGTGATGTGCACTACAGACAGCCCTCCCACGGTTCGTTGCGTGGCGTCTGCACCGGCGGAGAGAAGGACAGACACTGTGTTCTCGCGTCTGAGGGCTACAGCCAATATCAGTGCGTTCTGAATTTGGTCGTTAACCACATTGACTTCTGCCCCGGCTTCGAGGAGCTTCTGCACAATATCTGGATCGTCACGCAGAAGGATGCCGATATGCAGTGGCGGGGTGGTCTTTTGCGATGTTGTCCTGTTAGGATTTGCCCCCGCTTGAAGAAGGAGACTGATCATCCGCGTTCTGATATGGCTCGGATTTGCTGTGATTGCGCGGTCTAGTGGGGAATTTCCTTGCTCGTCTTCTGCATCTACGTCGTCAATGGAGTCCACTGCGTCCGTGAATGCGCTCAGATCGCCGTCCTCCACGGCGAGATGTAGCCTAGTTGTAGTATCCTGCAATTCGTCCTCGTCACCATCCTTTGGCACAGCGTGCTCGCGAGGTGACTCGCTGGAGCTCATTGTCCTCCTGCTGGTGCTCTCATCATCAATCCCATCATCTTGACCCGGTGCCCCTTTTATATAGAACGCCTCGGCAAGCAGAAGCTGCTTTCCAAGGTGCTGCCGCCCCTGGCGTCTTTCGTCCAATTCCCTGAAGGCTCCCAGAAGAATTCCAAGATCGAGGTAAGCCTTTCCCGGTGGGTCCATCAGCGTCGAGGTTGCGTCCGCTTCCGTGGGTAGATCATCATTGGGCAGCAACGGCTTGGGCCACGCTCCCGGTACAGCGTGTTGCCTAGGAATCTCCGCGGGTCTTTGCAGATTTCGAAGCTGTTCGGGAAACTCTTGTGCCTCCTTGCTCTCGTTCACTCTGTCAAATGCCTTGTTGCCGTAGCGTGCCATTGTCTGATACCTTTCGAATACCTCGCCGCGGGCGCCTCTCTCAACCAGCAGGTTCGCAATGTCCAGAATCTTGTCCTGCCATTTTCTGAACTCTGCCTTGCTGGTCTTGTCAACCCCGTACACCGAGCTGCCAGATACCAAAATCGGGATAATCAAGTCAAGAGCCGTGACCCCTGCTGGAGAAAAGGAATACGAAGTTTGTACTCCTTGGGTCGCGGCGGCTTCCATGATAAAGTTGGGGTCACAGCCCTTATCAAGAAGCAAGCGAACTATTTCTACATTGCCATGCGCGACAGCAGCATGCAGTACCGTGTATCCTGAATGCCGCCCCGTATGCAGCTTATCCGCAAACATAGGGAGATTAATAAGATACTGCATCAGCGCCACATCCAGCAGCTGATCTTTGCGCAGCGTCCGCAGCCTGGACGACAAGATCAATGCCCACACCGGTTGATTATCCGTCCCGTAAAAGTACACCGCGTCTCGCTTCTCAAGCCACTGCAGACTCTGCACTAGTCTCGACTGTCGCTGTCCGCTGATGCTGTTCAGCTTTCTGACGTCCATCCCGACGAGGTCCTGGAACATCGACCCGCCCGTCAGTGGGTTGCGCGATAGCATGTGGTCGAGCTGCGCCTGTGAGCAGCGTGATGCGATGATGTCCGCGGCGGCAATATTACCCCGCAGCAGCGCCCAGAACAGGGAGGTGTAGCCCTGGTGATCAGTCGCCATGATATCTGCCCCAGCATTCAAGAGGAGGTCGACGAACTCGGCAGAAAGCCCGCTCGGGAATCTGGCTCGGGCAACCAAACCTACGAGGCCTGGAACTTCGCTGCTATCGCCTTCAATGACAAGTCTTTCGACGCCGTGACATACCCGGTGCAGCAGTGTCTGGCCTAGAAAGTCTACCTCGACGTTGACAAGGTGGGAACTCTTTGCCAACAAGAACTGGAGGCATTGCAGCGAGCCGTGTCGGATAGAAAGGGCCAGTGCAGTGAAGGTGTCCTTGAACTCAAACGAAAGTTGTTCGTCATCTCCCCTGTGTTCGTCCACCGCAGCCCTTTGCACAGTCGTGATGTTGTGGGGGTCGCTCAAAGACGCCGAAACCGCAACATTAGCGTCCAAATGGGCCTTGCGTGCGAGGGTCTCGATGTGTTCAATATAGAGCTTCAACGCCGTGATGTCGTCGGCGAGTATGCACCGCCCAAGGGCCGTGGCGGCGGGAGCACCCGATGAGGGATCTGCACCCTCTCCCAGGAGAAATTTTACAGTCTCGACGTACGCAACCTCATGTTGGCCTCCGTGCAGCATCATCGTGTCACATCTGACCAGCTGGAAAGCAGTCGTAGCTAATACCTGTGAAAGATTTACTGGGACATACCCCGTCTCTGTAGCCCCATCCACATCAACACACAGGGCAGGATTGTCTTGCCAGATCCTTAGGAGCGCCTCCCCCACCTCTCGGTACAGGTTCGTGAAAGCCAGATACAAGGCCGACAGGAACTGCGTGATCGGCTCATCGAACTCAACATGCAAACAGAAGATTTCCAACGCGAGTCTCGGCTGTCCTCTCATCAGGGCTGCGCTCAACGGCGTACTTGGCTTTCCGGGGGATCCCATTGTCGGAATATCGGCTGGTGGGGTTGGTAGCAGATAATCCAGCCTGGCGCCTTTTCCATATACCATCCGAGCAAGGCCAGCGGCTTCTTCGTCGGGGACCGTACCGAGTCTGTGGAATAGGCTACTGATTATCTTCTGCTGATCATGCTGCGAAGCAGTTCCCGCACCCGATAGAGTTTCTCGGACAACGTCGGTAGCCCCGATATCTAAAGCATGGCCGAGACTGATGGGTTTTGAAATTGCTCGACCAGCAATATATATCTTCACTAGCCGCGGACTATTATAAAGACCAGGATACACGGCCCTTGCTTCCTGCAGGCAGTTTTGCTCCCGCTCACGAAAGACCCTACGAACCATGGCATACCCCTCCGGCCAGCGAGAGTGTAGGCGCTGGATACCCAACGACGACTGTGAGAGAGCTAGTAGGGCCAGATTCATCCGGACTGGAACCCCCGCCTCGTGAACTGTCCCGACGCTGGCAAAGGTTGTAGACAATATCCCATTTCCATTGCCGTATAACGATGAGGCCCGCATATAGCCAAGACCACGCTCTCTAAAATCAGGCACCGGGCTCCCTCCCAGATAAAGCAGGCTGGAGTAGCCTATAGTATGTAATAAATACCCCTTTTTGATAAAGTCAATAATACCACACCAAAATTGATCCTTTGGCTCGGTTTCAAGCGCCTTGTATAGACGTGAGAGGTTGTTCTCGTTCGCGGTTAGCAGGTTTGAAAGGAATGCATCTGTCGAGAGGTCTGCCGGTACGTTGTCTGGGATGTCCTCTTGCTGTGGGACATACTTCATCCTCTCGTTGATTTCGTCTAGTGCGCGGTGTGCGTGCTTGATTATGATGTCGGGGTAATCCGTGGCGTTGATAAATAACCGAGGATCTCGCTCGAAAACGCCGGCTCGCACGGGTTTCGGCTCGTAGGCCTATGTGTAGATGTCAGGGACATGCATATCAAGGGGGGTGTATTGTTTACCTGGAACTGATTCTGCTGGGGAAGCCTGTAATCCCACTGCATCAGCCGGGGATTATTCCGCAATAGGTGGTCGAAGTCAACAATCGGGGTCACTTACGGCGCGATGGTCCGCCCTGTGGCTCTGGCAAAAGCTAACAGGATCAACATCAAGTTCTCGGTATTAGGACGGCGCTGTGGGTCTGTCCTTAATGTTGGCGTGAGGATTGCGAATAGTTCACCGGGATCTAGACCAGTCGGCCGCGAGTCCTTGCTGAGTCGCTTCGCAAGGAAAGACATGAGACTGTCGGGATGGTCTTCCGGTAAGCTCTTCAAGTATTTCAGATCATCCTTGGTGTCTCCAGGGAGTACACTTGTGCTTGATCTTGGGCTTCGTGGCTCGTCCTCTTCCACGTTGCTTTTCCCCCGACTACCCTGTGGACCAGCCCATAGACTAGCCACAACCAGCCCGTATGAATACACGTCTGCTTTATTCCATTGTATATCGGGCTCCCTCTCGAGAACTTCCGGGGCACACCAGATCGGAGTAAAGTGCGTTGGTGCACCACCCCCAAACGGTCCACTGATCTGATTGCTGCCCCCGAAATCCGTCAATTTGGCCACCACGTCCCGCGCAGGATCTTCATCGCTATACACAATAATATTATCTGGCTTGAGGTCGCCATGCGTAAATCCTGCCTGGTGGATAGCCTGCAGGCCGAGGGCAATGTCGATGGTGATATGGCGCTTCTGCAATACACTTGGGCCCGGCCCCCAAGAACGAAGGACGTAGTCTAGGGAGCCATGGTCGCCAAGTTCCGTAGCGAGCAACGGGTACTCGTGATTTAAGCTCCATCCGACAAACAATAGCGTCACAATATGTGGGTGTGTCGCCAGCAAGGGGTGGCAAAGCGCTTTCATCTCCTTGAGGACAGCGTCGTAGACCCGTCGCCGCACCGCAGCCTTTGCGTCGCGCAAGGCCGGCAGGTGAGTAGCGGGCCGGAACATCTTCAGAGCCACTACTGTGCTGCTTGACGTTACAGGCGGAGGGTTCATGTCGAGATGCGCGTCAACAAGTGTATGTTGCACGACTTCGGAGGTCAGCCCTGCACCCACGGTAAAGACCTGTCGCGGCTCATGCTGCGCTGCGACACCAACGTGGTCAACGGCCCTGGAGGGGATGCCGTAGTGGTCGGCCGCTAGCACCACATCTGCGAAGTCGGGATCTTCTCGCGCGGCTTCCTGCAGGCTTAAGGAGACGTCGTCACCGGATGAGTTTACGTATGAGTTTGGAAGGCCCGGTGGTAGGGCGCTGATGCTGGATGAGCCATCGTCGAGAGAAAATAGTCTGCCGGAACGTTCCATTGGAGACGTAAGATTGCCTGATGAAGGACAGGAGATAGCAACTCAGATCGCACCATATGGACTAACCTTGGGAAGGCTGCCAACGCACACGCCTGTAGTTGAAGGCCCTGATTGGTCAATGAGCTGCAGAGCTAAAGTAGAGTCGCTGACGCATGAGGGGAAGCGTGTGGGGCCTATCGTTGTGCCTCCCTTGGATGTCTGCCTTATATCGCATTTCCAACCTCGATCTCTTCCTCCATGTCCGGCCTCGAACTGGCAGGGCTGGTGCTAGGCGCTGTAGGAGTAGTCGCCGCCTTCAAGGGCGCTGTGGACACCGCACTGTTCATTGAGTCCTTCTTCGATGACGCCCGAGCAGACTGTGGGTATCTGGAGCTGAGCTACCACATTGAGAAGACACGTCTACAGGTCTGGGGGGAGCTGTGTAAAGTGACGGATGAGTCCCGCTCGGACGAATGCACTCTCCGCGACAAACCGGAATATCTGAAGGCGCTGATTGTGCGCATCCTCGGTGAGATCCAGAAGCTCAACAGGGAGGCCAACAGCTTGGTTTACAAGTACAACATCGACTTCGGGGCACTTCCTCCATTGGACCTAGATGATAATCTGGCCCCAGGCCGGGCCTTGCCGGAAGCGCTGTCTAAAAGGATAACCAAGCCTAAATCGCGAATCCTCTGGACCATCAAGGGTAAATCCGAGTTTCAAGAAGTTGTCACAAAGATCCAGAAGCTTGTCAGCAGCCTGCACGAGCTTAACGTTCATACCGGGGAATCACAGCTCCTAGGAAATGCCCTCCCGCCACAGGTCCTCGCCCCGCTCACTAACCCAAGGTTGCTGCAAATCCTTTCCGATCCGCAAAACCGAGTGGATCGGACCCTAGCTCTCTCTGCCTACGCTAAGAGTCTTCATCAGAAGGCCGATCATGCACCGTGGGCTTCCGCGACTACAATAACTGACAGGGAGCTGGAGTTCCGAGCTGGCTCAGCAGCTACTGGCATCTTCTTTCACCCAGACGGTCAGATGCTGCCTGTATGGGTCGAGTGGAACTATATCACTTCAATCCCAGGGTCCGATAGATACGACAAATTGGTCAGGTCGCTGGGCTACGTCCTGGAGCGAGTGAGCCAGTCAGAGCTATGCCTCCCACCCTGCTACGGTGTCCACGACGACCTTAAATACGAAGCAGAGCACGGGCTCCGGCGCATTGGCTTTGTCTTCGGCCTGCCTACGCCCGATCCCTCCGCGCAGCTCCGATACGAGTCCAATTTCGAGCGATACCCGCCGCAGAGCCTCAAGACCCTAATCCAGTCCGGGAAAAGCACCGATATCCCCCTTCTGGGAGACCGTTTCCGCCTAGCCTACCGGCTCGCGAATGCTTTTAGTCTCTTCCATGCAGCTGGCTGGCTACACAAAGGCATGCATAGCGGCAACATCCTATTTCTCCAGCGTGCCAATGGCACAGGCATCACGGTGGTGCAGCCGTTCATTACAGGGTTCCAATATTCGCGGCCGCATGAAGCGGCCTCGTTATCCCGCAGCCCGCTTGATGACTCGGCACTAGACCGGTACTACCATCCTGACGCACACCGAGGTTTCACAAAGCAGCGCGATCTGTACGGTCTGGGCGTTGTTCTATGTGAGATTGGCCGCTGGGCGCTCGTGTCGGATACAGTAACGGAGCGGAGGAGGAAAAAGCTGACGAGTCGTGAGGCGTGGCGCGAGTATATGCTGGACCATGTTGTTGAGGATCTAGGGTGGCGGATGGGGAAGATGTATCAGGATGCAGTGAGGACGCTGTTGGATTCTAGTCTCCCCACGGATGATGCGGGTGATGCGTTCTTTGCGCAGCAGGTTCTGGAGAAGGTGATCCAGCCGTTGAGTATTTGCAATGCTTGAACACGGAATATGGGAGTTATTGCATCATGCGTGTCCCGATTTGGACCGGCAGGAAAGGTCTGAGCTGTAGGTCTCGCTTGTAAATAGACACATGATTCCCGTTCGGACTGCTATTTGGTTTGCAGGAAACGCAATAGGCGGATTTGTACCCAGCATCCTTGCGTATGGTATCGACCGTATTGAACATCCTCGGAGTCACCACCTTTCTATGGGGGTTTGAATGGATTCAAAGTTTCGGCAAATCGGCTTCCAACTTTTAGACACTCCCTATCTCTATGTGAAAGGCAAAGTCACGCAATTGACAATAGAGTTGATACGTGTTATTTGAGCTATGCCCCCAAGCGTCACTACGAAGAAACTAAGTGGTATATCGGTCCCTTCGAGCTAACCTTTGGCGAAGGGCGTGGTAGACGGATTGAGGGAAGGACATGGGGCGAGGCGGAGTGGACTGTGCATCATAGGAATGGTGCCCACGTAGGTGTGATGGAGTTCGGTTCTTTATATGATGAATTGGTTGTTAGTAAAGAAAAGGCACACGGCGTGCATTATAGCGCTAGTTAGTCTTGTACATGCAAGATTTTAAGACGTCTTTTGTGCAACTAGGAATAATGTCTCATTTGTCACCCTCGGTTGTGGACTACGCTCCATCAAAAAAGTTTATATATTTTAAGATTCCTTCCTAACATTCCGTTAACTGTACTCCGGCTCTTGTGAACACAATTGAATTTGGGTACTAAACATGGGAGAGCAAGAGGAACTCCGTATATGCTTTCCTCGCTTATGCCTTTATTTAGATGAAAAGAGTTGTTTGCTTGTTGGCATTCATCTTCGGCAGCAGTCGAACCTCTTTCATTCCCAGTCAGGGAAAAGAAACCCACTAGTGGACCCTATACCAGTGGGTCTTTGTAGCTACTGGATCAAACTAATTTAGCAGCCTTGAAGTATATGAATAGTCGTTTTCCGTATTCGTATCTCGGATTTTTATTATAGTGGGCCCGTGGCGCAGCCCTACAACGCAAATTCAGTCAAAATACTAATGTCACGCATTCAGGGAGCAGGCATAGTATAATATTCAAAAAGTAGAGTTTTCCGAACTATATCGCATATGACAGGGGTGAGAAAAGGAGGGGATTTAAAAAAAAAAAGAAAACATTTACTCTGGCAACCTTCGTCCAGATCGCTTTCTAGATTCGTCCAATATCTCGTGTATTTCATTAAACCTTAGACTGTCCACGGTGGATAGCCTTGGATAGCTTAATGGCTTGATTGCCGGTCTATTATAGTCATGAAACAGGCTAGGATCTTGCAATGTCACTGCCTTGTGCCTATTATTTTGCAGGAATCCACCCAGCAGGAGTTCTTATATGCCTTGCCATACTTCCAAGAACTAAACGTACACCTTTGCAACTTCCAAATTCTAAGTGTTGTCCTCGAAAAAACAGCCATTCCGAATTCCTTCCAAAATCCCTAGATGCCCAACCCAACTGGCGTGTCGTCAATTGATACAGCCCCTTCCTATATGGCACCTTTTCTGCAACCTTTGCGGAATTATATCTTGCCTTCTTTGTTATCTTTTTTCTATCTATTCTGCACAGGCTCGTTATTCTTCGATGTGGTCCATCATATGCTTCATCGCTGCAACAAATCCTCTCATCCTCTGTTTCAACGCCTAGTGCGTATGCACCGTTTCCATCATCTTTACTTCACACAGCAGATGAAATTCAACGAGAGATATCGCCAACAAAATAATTTTCAAGCATTGCCACTTGAACTAGGACTTCAAATTTTTGGCACCGCATTAGGGTATACCTTTGCTACTCTGGCGCCAGTGGGCCGAGTGTGGATACCACAAATTCACTTTTGGTGTGTCATTGGTATTCAAATTCTGAGAACGCTTGTTGTCATCCTCGCCAGTGGTCGTGACTCAAACCACCTCATCTATAAGACTGTTCCTAAAGATCTGAATTGGATCTTTGTGGGTCCTGAGTTCCACTGCCTTCATCATGTTTACCCAGACCGCTACATTGGATCGTTCATCAAACTTTTTGACTGGATATGCGGCACTGCTTACTCCTTTCGAGGAAAACGATTTGTTATTACCGGCGGGGATGGAGCTTTTAGCCAAGCAATGGTGATGGAGCTAAAACGCGAAGGAGTACAAGACATTCGCAAGTTGGAATTCGGTACCGATTGGGACCCCCATCACTTTGAGAAAGCCGCCCAAATGTTGGCCACCTGTGACATCCTCATCCTGGAGCACGGCACCAAAGATGGAGATGCAGCGAAATCAAACTGCGATTCAGCGGTTCGCCTCGTTCAACTATTCAAACAGCACAGATCGACCAATGGGTCCAATCCGACACTTCCTGAAGTTTGGTACGTTGGTAGTGAAATTGAAATCCATCCATCTCTCGAGATTTCACAATTGCAACGCTACTCTGACTCAAAACGGTCCTTTCTTCCACACGGTCGTTCTTATTATGATGATGCCGATATAATTTACCGCCACATCATGCCGTCTGCGTTTCAGTCATCCATGGGGCCCGCTATATATTCGCCAGTTTGGGCTGCTAGGTGGTCAATGTGGTGGATCCGGAGAGGTGCTCGCTATATTCCTGTTTCGTGCACTGTGTTTTCCTTTTTGAACTATCTCAAGTTCATTTTTCTGGTTCCCTATGCCCGCGATGTGGATACAGCTTGAGAACAATTATACAACGCTACAGTACGTCACCTCGTTGCTGTATGTTTTTGTTTTGTCGCAACCTTGGATTTTGCTATGATTTAGCTGTAAGACGCTGTAATACGTCGACTTCCATGTCAAACCAACCTGGTGTGGAAAGCGAGATGGATATACGGCATTATTTACAGCCGCGAACACAAGACATACGACCTTTCTGTAGGTAATCCGGTTCATTGCCCTAAGGGAATTGACCCAAACAAGCAAATAGTGTATATTTTGATAAAATAATCATTATAGAGTGAGAAGCAAGAAGAGGTATGGTCGGACAAAACAATATACATGTGCGCATATAGTAAAAACGTCATACACAGCCCGAGGCAATCCTTAGCAGATCAAAACCTACCTCTATCAACTTCCTGGAATATGATACTTTCGTTGGAATGGCATGACGCCACTACTTGTCCATTAGAAGAAAGAACCAGTGAAGAAACCATAGATTTCCTCGCGGATCCTAGGGTCGGCATGCGAAATTTGATATCCCAAAGCATAATATTTCCGTCGTTAGAACCTCAGGCCGGTATATGACTATCCTTTGAGGGGGCTATAGGCGAGATATCATCTGCATAGCTAATATCGGAATAGCTAATGACCTGTCTCCCTTTTCCAGTTTTCACATTTCAAGCTGGGCATCGCCGTTTCATAGCATGAGTCTAGTGGTAAAATATGTTCTGCTTTTTCTCACATGTGGTCTACATGCCCCCCTACTATTGGATATTGGATCGGCAACTATAAGCACTGTGCATAACCGAGCCATGGGAAAAGCATAAAGCTGAGATGGGTAAGAGTAAAAGAAAGTGCTGGAATAGATCTGCGGCTGTGGATAGGACGTAGACCATTCGGACCCACAACACATCACATTGATACGAAATTTTGTTGGATTTTATAGGTTTGGTTTCTATAGACAAAGGCGCAAACATGACAAAATTCAAAAACTGTGTTGAATCGAGACAGAGACAATAACACACTGCATGCAACAATAAGAAAGACGAAGAAATCAACAGACCGGGGGGGGGGGGATGAGTTCAATCGAGCACGAGCGCCAGTCCAAGAGAGGAATGATAGGTTTTTTGGTCTCTCAAGGAGGAGCTCCAGGTGCTGCGTTCAGCATCACCAAGGGTCCTGCTAGCGGTGCTACCCACCCACCATACCCGGGGGCGAATGTTCGGGACTGGAAGGGGCGATCTATATTGCGGATTGTGCACCGGCGGGCTGCTGGCCAGGTTCAGATCTCGCAGATTAAGCTCTGATCTCGTGTTTGAGATGTGTAAACTGTAGCTGCTAGCAGGTGAGGTGGCCAAATATAACAAATTTCTCACAACTTAGCCATCTAACCGGGGGACCATACTCAATGTCCAGCTTCCTGGATTGAGACAGCATCTGGTTCTAGTCCAAGCAGTAATTTTCTGACGATTTCCTTCGAGAATTGTGACTTCCACCTCAATGGCCTGCCTGGTGATGTAGGCGCCACTTGCAATACGGGATCTTACCGTGCTTACGACCGGTATTGTTGGTCCAACAGTCGCGGCAAAGGGTTATCGTGGACGAAGTCTAACTCGGCAAACCACATCATTCCTGGAAGACGAACGGCCAGTTTCACCTAGATGAAAAAGTGAAAGTTAGAGAAAAGTGAAACAGAGTTGAGTCAAATGGATCTTACCCCAGCCAGTGTTGAACAGCCTACAGCTGGTCCTGTAATGATCCCTGCATAGGGGTATCAGGTTGAGGGCCATCAAGCTAATTTCATTCGTTAGCAAGTCGCTTTGGAAACCTCGGCGAAAATAATTACCCCTTCCATCCAAAGCCCTTTGCCACCGTGGAGGTGGAGATTAATCGCTTCAAATTCATCCCAATCGAATCGTGTTGGTTGACAGATTTGGACGCCTCTCGACCAATATGTAACAAGCCCAGCATGCCACTCAAGCTCTTCCGATTTATATGCTGTCAAAAGAGCGTCGACGTTTAGAAGCTGCTCGTATTCATCGGCCGTTTTCGCTATATCTGTTTTCATGCCCTCCAATTCATGCACCCGCCGAATGATCTCCCAGCTGAGCTCTTCGGACCCCGGGAAGGTCATCGCTCTAAATTATAACGAGGTGAGAATCTGTGCATGGCAATATAAATATAGCAGACTCACTCAAGCTCCGTCTTTGAAGCCATGAATTCCTCCAGCCTTTGCTGAAAGATTTGGGGCGTTATGTTTTCGGCAATTCTCTCAAGACATCTTTCGATCTGGCCATCTATGTCGCTATTCAGTTCCAATTAGTTCTTTGCGTCCAAAATTGGATACGATGCCACCTTACCCAGGGTGAAGGTCGTCCTCATTCATGTGCCAGCCACGAGGAAGTTGAGCCGGATCAGTGATAGGCTTAGTTCCGTTCCATTTGACCCATGGTCTGCTTTTCTTTGGTCTCGCTGGTAGTTTAGGTGGTACCAAAATGCCACCGTAGGACTTATCAAGGTCTAGGTCTTCCATCTTCAGCCTTATGCGTCGAGTTGGATCACTTGGCGAGCCCAGAGGGACCTGTGGCGGCGCTTGCTAGCTCCGAGTACTACGTCGAAAGTTTTATCGGTCTGACATGCTGAGCACAATATGGGTCAGAAATCCTTGTCTCGCAATAGAGAGCGGTCACAATATGAATGAACAGGCGATCCGTTGGATAAAAATACCTAAATCAACAAAAACAATCTATCCGTGAAGATAAAGAGATACTACACCAAAAGACAGATAACCAACCTTGAGTTCGACCAAATTTGGCTTCAAAGGTCCAAAGTCACGACATAGCTGTAGCAAAGGATATCTCCTTGAAACAAATGGCTACAAGCCATAAGACCCGGTTTCTTACAACTATATATATCTCCATGCTTTTTCCCCTTGCTTTGTTTGTTACGGAAAAACCAGACAAAATAGAATGATTGACAAAGGGCTTTGATACTCAGCTTGGAGATTCCCCCAAAATCAAAGAACAAAAGACAAGCTGATATAAATCCAAATAGTTTCCTATCTTTCTTGAAAGGGTAAAGAAAGGAGAGAGGCCACGTGACCACAGATGAAACACGGGACTTTCCCGCCAGGTCCCGCCAGGTCGATCGTGTTACTTCCACTCCTGTCAATTCTCAAGTCGCTTTGCCAACTTCGCCTCTTGATGCAATTGTGAAGTTTTGCGTGCTTCACGTGGGTCTTTCAGCATTTTGTCACAGCAAGGTCCACAGTTGAGCGAATCCCGTCAAGAAACTAACAGCGCGACCAAACTAAATCTAAAGATTTCTTCTGGTGGGTTCTGTAAGGGCCGATGGCCGCTCATACTACAATGTAACTCGATCATGATAACTTCTAACCCGTTAGCGACTTGACCTACTTCCAATGTACAAGCCAAAACATCTGGTAACATTGAAGTGGTCATGGCTGCGCGGTCCTTGAGTCTAAGTGCCGAGGTCTTCTCCCCGACATCATTTCTCTCACTTTGTAATTTTCTCTCTAAGGAAATTACAGCATTAGGACAAGGTGGTATATGCTAAGGTAAGTTGCATTATCACTGGCAACTTTGCCTGCTTTGTGGAACAATTCGGTAGATAATGTACATCTTCTCATATTTTTGCTGTATCTATTTGCGTGCTATGTTCTACATCTATCATTGCTGTCGAGGGGCTCTGATATGCATATGTTATGGGCCCCTGGTCGTTTGCGGGGTTGGAACTTGCATCATATCACGTCATGTCAACATTATTAATGCATCCAAGAGCACTATATACCATCCCCGACCATTGGCAAGCGCATGATGCTATTCTCAGATATAGCACGTCAGCATTAATGGGTTTTCCGCCATACAATCTAAAATTGGCTTCATAAAAACCTATAGTCCGTGCTGTAGCTGGAATAGTCGACAACACCTTCTATCTCCAGTAATATTGTGCATAGATATTATGCACCTGCCTAGCACGAGAGTGTGGCATCCAAAAGTGGACATTACCCGAGGAAGTGGACATTACCGGATGAATTAGTGATTTGATAACGGATATCACGGCTTGTGATGATCAGCAATGCAGATGTGTTTTGTGTACCCGATTCTTTCGCATGACGCTTGTCACTGTCGCGTATATCGGACACGGAGGAATTCATACGTGATTCTAAGAAAAATGGCGCGAAACAAGTAGGAATTGAGAACCGTGTATATTTAAGCCAGTGGCTGCTCATAGATTCCAAAGGAAAATTGCTCACAGTTGATTGAAACCAATATCTTATCTACCGATCCCAAGGGACGCACAACATGGCACCATCTATTGCCCAAACCTCCACCGCGGAAGTCGTGGTTCCTGTAAAGGCAACTCCTGGAACCACCGAAACCAAACCCAGAGTGAGAAGAATCATTGACGAGGAAGGAGGAAAGACTACTGCTAGTGTAGGTCTTGTCTAGGCATTTGAATCTCTCCACATATAGCTAGACTAATAATGATGTAGTATCCACACTACTTGCCTGTCTACGACCACGACGAGAAATACCCACCTCTAGAACCCTTCACCCACGTCGATCACGGGAAAGATGCCGACCCCTCCTTCAAAGACCTGCTCACCGAAGGCTCCAAGATCCAAAAGTTGACTCCAACTATCGGCTCTGAGGTTACAGGCATTCAACTGAGCAAGCTTACACCTGCCGGAAAGGACCAGCTCGCTCTTCTCGTCGCTCAACGTAAAGTTGTGGCATTCAGAGATCAAGACCTCGCCGATCTGCCAATCCAAGACGCCCTCGATTTTGGAGGCTACTTTGGTCGCCACCATATTCACCCAACTAGCGGAGCTCCTGAGGGGTACCCTGAGATTCATCTTGTCCACCGGAGCAATGACGCGTGGGAGTATGATGAATTCCTCGCTACCAGGAACAGCAGTGTCGCATGGCACTCCGATATCACGTATGAGCAGCAGCCACCCGGCACTACGTTTTTGTACATCCTTGACACCCCTGAAGTGGGCGGCGATACTGCATTCGTCGACCATGTTGAGGCATATAACCGGCTTTCGCCGGCGCTCAAGGAACGTCTGCACGGGCTGAAGGCTGTGCATTCCGGGGTTGAGCAGGTTGAGTTTAGTCTCAAGCGTGGGGGTGTTGCTCGACGGGAGCCAGTAAAGACCGAGCATCCTCTCATTCGAACCCACCCCGTGACTGGCGAGAAAGCACTTTTCGTTAATGGTGGCTGTGAGTATTATCCCACGATTATTAGAAAAAGCACTACTTACATCAAGCCTAGTTACTCGCAGTATCGTTGGACTGAAAAAGGAGGAGAGTGATGCCCTTCTAGGGTTCCTGCTCAATCATATTAGTCGCGGAATTGACTTCCAAACTCGTATTCGATGGGCTCCAGGGACTGTTGTTGTCTGGGATGTGAGTGTAATCTTGGTTGATTGATCAACAGCTTCAAATACTAATGTGTATGTGCAATATAGAACCGCGTCACGGGTCATTCTGCGATTGTTGACTGGACGACTGATGAGCGTCGCCACTTGGCGCGCATTACCCCACAGGCCGAGCGTCCCTATGAGACACCTTATGTTCTAGAGCAGACCAAAGCCAAGGCTTGAGATTTTGTAATATGGACATCCATATACTTCGGGAGAACGAAGGTCTCGTATAATGGTTCTTGCTTCATCTCCATAGTGAAAACATATAGAATTATGTACCCAAATCCGATTTATCCATTTCGAATAAACCTCAATTTAATTGGTCAGTATACAACATAGGACCTTTGAGAAAGAAGACGTATGCAAACCCAGCCCTGACGACATATGGCAACATTAGTGCATGGTGCTAAGAATGCCACGAAAAACGATCATTTAAGCTGCGATGGTGCAATTTCCGACTGACCTTAGCAAAAGCCTGTCTATCAATTTATTGTCGAATTAATTACGGCCGAGACTGATCTCAGTGATAAGCGTGACGCAAATAAATTCATTTCTTTGATGAAGCCGATATGTTATCAACTTCTATGAACAATTGTGATCTGCAAGTTTATAACTTTTTCTATGGCCTAAGTTCATGTTTATTCCATCATGACAATAATGTCGGGTAGTCTTTAATGCCTCGAATTTGCTCAGTAGATAGCTCTAGCGAGCAAACCGAAAGTCGATTCTGTATAAGATGGTCAGTTGACAGGTACTGTCTGTAGTTGTATTCTACAGCACCGACACACCTTTTATTAGTCAATACCGGGTTTTCACGTAAGTAAAACTCCCGTTGCTCGCTTGTCATAGCATCCCATTTCGTAGAGTTTTTTCTGTAGAAATTTTAGCAAGCATCCTGCAGGTTCAAATCTGCGAGTTCTGGCTTCGTACCTATTCCAATAATCGTAGTAGAACTTGCTGAAGATGAAGAGGAACCCACTAACTACCGCCAGTGCGATGAGAACTTTGTTTCCATTTCTGTAGTATGGCGCATCTTTTGCTTGGTACACCTATTCAGCATTGTTAGTATCCCAATGAATGAATCTATCTCTGTGCTATTGGTAGCTAAAGGTAAGGAGTGAAACTCACATTAGCACCAGCAATGCTGCTCACTTGTATAGACATGTTATACAACGCAGAGGCAACAGTACGAGTCCGCACAGATCCGGCATTCCTTGAAGTCAACGCCACTATAACAGGATGGATGTTCGGCCCACCAACAAGAAGCGTAAGGATCACCCAACGGGGCCATGGCATGCTTTTCTGAGGAAGTAACTCGAGTGCAATCAACAGCGCTAGGTTCCAGAGCTCCACTGCCACACCCCAGAGGAGGCGTTGGTTCGTACGCTCTGCGACCCAGGTAATAGATGTCATGGAGATAATCGCAATGACAGCTGCTGGGATGGTCAATAAATTTGTTTGGAAGGTTGTGAACCCCTGGGATCGCAGTTGTAGTGTGAGGTAGTTTTGGGAGGGGCTGCTAGGTATCATCCAGATTAGACCGAGAGAATAAATTGGCCACATGTGATAATCCTTGAGCGACTCCCAAAGACGACGTGGGGTGACTGCTTGTCGATTGTGCATGCTACCCTTACTAGGATCATCCCGAATGACGCGGTTCACGATAATCTTCTCTTCATGTTCTGTAAACCATCCGTTCTTTCCGCGTAAGCCTCCTTTGGTCTGCACAGGTGAGGCGGGCATCCAGAATGCAGCGATGATACCAATGACACCAGTTATCAGGCCCTCGTATGCAAAGAGATATCTCCAGGCACCACCGCCGTTGGCATCGGTGATGTGTAGGAAACCAAATGCTAGGAATGAACCAATGATTCCGGCAATGGTGTATGAAATCCAGAACCAGGTCAGTCTGTTTGGCAGCTCACTAGATTTGTAGAAAAATGACAAGAAGAGAATTGTATCAGGTATACTGAAAAGCCAGGTTAGCACCATGTTCAGATTGTGTGAAATAAGAATACTCACAAGCCGCCTTCCAGCAATCCCAGTAGTGCGCGACATGCCAAATATGATCCACGCCCTTTCAGGAAGGCCTGGCAAGCCGCGATCAGACTCCAAGAGATCATTTGAATGGGAATCCAACGATCTGGTCCGATTCGCTTGGACAGTAATTGAGAGGGCATCTCAGCCAACAAGAAGCAAACCAGAAAGACCGTCTGGCCTAAGTTGTAATCGTTACTGGTCATCCGTAGATCTTCCAGCAGTGTGCTCGCAAGTGCCTGGCCGATGTTTCCTCGATCCAGCTGCAGTGCAAAGAAGGTCACACAGGCAAATGTGCATACCCTAGCATCGATCTATTCAAACTCGGTTAGTTGTCACCTGGATGGTAAAATGGAATGATTGACCAACCTTCCTGACAATTTTCTTCTCTTCCTGTTCTGTCCATTCAAAATTCGGATCCCAGCGATGCAAGCCCTCATAGCTGTCAATGGGCCGGTATAAGTGATAGCCCTCCCCAGCCTCAAAGGTACCTTCTACTTTGTGATTTTCACTCTTCTGCCACTCTTCGTCCGAGCCATCTGTACTACTTGCAGAAATCTGCGCTGTCTTCATTTCCTCTGTGGACATATTTCAGAATTGCAGGGAGAGGCAAAGGCAAGACCTTCATGAAAATAATTGTGAGGAGCATAAGTAAATGGATTACTTCCTTCTTTTTATTGCCAGAGGAAGTACGCGTGGTCGCAATGGCCGTCACGCAATTCTGCCCTAGGAAGAGTTGTTATGTTGTGCGTGTAGGCGTGAATGAGACAATCGCAAACAAAATGAACTAGTGCTAAAAGGACGGCCGAATGTGACAACTAGCATTAGCAATACTATCATATCATATCCTATCCGTAACGACTGGGCGTCATTCGCGGGATGGTACTCAGATATGCCGGGGTAGCTGTAAAGGCGGGGGTCCAAGCGACTTGCATCATTTGGAAATTTAGACACGCCATTTGGACGAATGTCATGCCTTTGGGCCATTCACTTTGGTTAATTGAGGTGGCTTTATGCTTATCTCGTTTTGAAATTCACCTTCCGATGCAAGCATTGCGTATATGCGTGATTGACCACCCAACCTCGTGTCATTTTCCCCCGCTATCGGAAATTTATACCCCTTGAGTGCGCGGATTTCATTTGATAACTGTCGCTTGATTTCTCTGCGGTTCTTTCAAATATATTTCTGAGCTGTTGTCCTGTCCTCCTAATATTCAGATTTCGAGTCCACAGCACTTAATGAGAACTGTCATCCGATAATGCGTGAAGAGTTCGCCCTTCTGCCGTAGTTAAGACTCAATGCCCATAGATTGTGATCAAATGTATACCAAAGGAAAATGCCGATGTGACGAGGAGATAGTTCCTTGATCGTATTTAAGGTTGCGCGCCAGACGCCTGACAAGGCTTTTTCGGAGCATCAATGCAATGACCAACAGCAGTGCTAACAGGGCTGGCAACCCCTATTGCTCACAAAGACGCAGCTACTACTGCATTGAGAGACTCCTTAGCTAGCAACTCCCTAAGTAGCACCCTACTGATTCACCTTCGCTGTAGTAGCCTAGCTACAGCTTGCAAGTCCTGGCTCCCCTTGGCGCGAGCTTATTTACTTTCTTTACTATGATCATGATGTTATAGCCCTAGGGGATTTCTGTTATGCCACCACATTGCCTTGCTTCTAACCTATTATATGGTAGACCTGACTAAATTTTGTGCCTTGATTTCCTGTGTTCAACAGCCTCATTATAACCAATTTAAATGTACAGAAAGGGTCATGAGTTCTGGTTCAGTTATTAGGATTGCAAAGTTAGTCTGGCGCTGTCGCATCTGCTAAATAGAGGAACTTGGTCACTTTTATATCTGTTTGAACAAGACCTCCACTCCTCATGGACAAGGTATCTCAGGGGGGCAACGGCATAAAAGAAGAGGGCAGCCCCCCAAAGCACCAGGAACGCAAGTAGGGAAAGGGCTGGGTGGCCGGCTAGGGCAGGGGCAGATACAGTCAAGTTTCATGGGCTTATCAGCGGCCACTTGCAGAGTATTATCAGCTATCGCAACGCACGCAATGCTTTGAATTCCATCTGAAAACTGAACATTTGACTCGTTTGTATTTCCCATCGTGACACTTGCCAATGCGGCCAATGCCATAGGTAAAATAGTGGCATGCATAGTTAGTTAACTACGTTATATGAAATTGTGCCTTACTTATCAGGCGACGAACTAAGGAGTGGGGCATTCCACTCGTTATTCCATGGGTCCCCACCTTCCCGATCCGTATCTCCACGTGTATCTTTCGCCTCTTTCCACCACCTTTTAACCCTACCTTTGACCAATGTCCCATCAGAAGCCAGTACTTTTAGGAATAACCCATATTGATCGCGCGCATCCGAGAGCAGCGCGGCGCCAACCTTCGCCACGTCAATTAACCACTCTGGACTTCACATGCGATGCCAACTTCCACCCCTCCCTGTTTGAATACAGATCGATTCTACGGGTGTCTAGTAAAATATTATGTCTCTTAATTGTAGCAAACACCGCAGGAATTGACGTCCTCGCAAAGTTGAGAGAAAAGGCTGCTGGGTGGGCGACGAATATCTCAGCGAGGTTCTGGAATCTGTACAACATACGTGACCTTCTTTGTCATATCGGGCTTTTCTGCAACGACGTTGTGGCGCACCCAAAGGGCACACATCTCGCATAACACTGCGCCTTCGATTCAAAGCTGTTTATGCCTCCATGCTGCTCGGGGAATTAATTCTAATATTCAAACTCCAGGATCCCTGTTTTGTTGCTATTTTGACAGAACACAGGTGCATATTTTAGGATGATGGTATCCCTTGGGATCTCGATAAAAACAACCCAAGTTGTGATGGTTGGACCGCATCTAATGTCAAATATCAGTGTCGTTTCTACAAAAAGGGCTTTGGGGTCTAGCTCGGTCTGGTTTTGTCCAAAATGATTACGCAAGATCCAGTGAGTTGGTGTTGCGATTAATCAATAATTTTACTTGCTGCCGAGAATAAATGAAATCTTCGTATTATCGATTCCGCTCCCTCTGAAAGAAAGCTTAAATAGCTCGTTCGGAGACATTGCGCCGCATGACTATGAAAAAGCAGAATTGAGAGCCCGACATAAAGCATGTGTACGCCACTCAACAACGGCGATTAGCATGGGGCACTTGAGGCGCCATCACCTGAAAGAGTGTGCCATCTCTATACGCACATGATGGACTTAGCCAATAAATATACAGAGTTATTTTTATTCATCTAGGGATTCACACACTATCGAGACCTAAATTCATTGTGTTTGGGTACTAGCTCGATAGGAGTTTTCGTTCTTTGTCTCGAGGGAACGGGGGAATGTGGTTTCTTTGACACCCTTGACCTTTCGGTTAACTGTGCAATCAGCGTAAATATTTTTCTCATCCACTGCATTTTATTGACCCATTGCATTGATAGAATTGGGCTTCTGGGCTGCATGGCTGCACCCCGCTAAACAGAGATCAAATGGGTTGTACCTTGAGATATACCGACTGACAAATACACATGGTCTCCATCTTATTTAGACAGTGTTAATAATTGTCACCTTTCCAATTGCACGGATTATTCACCAATTAAGTGAGCATAAAACTTTGACTGTTAAGGTTTCTGATGAGTGACGTCTTACTGTTCTCTTCGGGCACCACCGCACAACGATGATTGCTCGGCAACCATAGTCTCTCTCGAAAACCCCAACAACCCCATTCCCTTGGCGGAAGTCGTGACTTTGTCATGGTGTGAGTTGGGGTGGCGTTAATATTAAAGGCCGAGATCCTTTTGAGTAGACTGCATGTGGCCCATGGTATCTGACTTGATTTCCTCGAAGAACTTCGCTGATGTTTTTCTGTAGCCGCCCCAATAGTACTAAACTGAGCGAAATTTATGTGGAGGTGGCTAGATCAGCATTGGCAAGGAAGCAACAAAGAATCGTATGTCTAATCTCTTGGCAATATAGTTTCACAGTCCATATATTCCTCACGACTCGTCGGTTGACCTCTGTCTTGAACTTTGACACTGAGCATATAGCAACAATGGCAGATTTTAATGAACAGGACAGCAGAGTTCCTGAGTCGGTATTTTTGGTGGGTATTCAAAATAATTCCTGGATTATTTCAGTATATATAACTAACCTTCTACTAACAGGTAGTACTCTGGACTCTCACAGGCGTCTCGCTTATATTCGTTGTATTCCGCATCTATGCCCAAGTTGCCTCATTCCGTCGACTGTTTCTAGATGACTTCCTCGTTGTCTTTGCATGGGCCATTATGCTCACCGCAGCTGTCATTTGGCAAGTCGAGGGGAAAGTCCTCTACGATTTATACGCCATCAGCGCCGGCGAAAAGCCATTCACTCTTGAATTTCTCCCGAGATACAATACATTCATGCGATTTAACGCTCCATTCGAGATACTGTTCTATTCCGCGCTATGGTGTGTCAAATTCTCATTCATGACACTCTTTTACCGAATCAGTGCCAAGGTGAAGTCTCTCCGAATTTGGTGGTTTGTGGTTCTTTTCTGCACAGCGGGTGTCTATATTGCATCGGTGGCCGATATCGAATACAAATGTAGTTTGGGAGGGTTAGAGTATATCATCAGTGAGAATAAGCGAGCTCCAATACGATTTATTGATCCTGACACTGACCTCTGCAGCCCAATGTCCCCAGCCTCGTCACGTTCATTATGAGAATCGCATGTTCTGGGCCAACTGCGCTGGAGATGTTATCACGGACTTGATGAGTGAGTTTCCGGACTATTATGTCTGTCATTCTAATCTAACGAAATTCTTCAATCTAGTCCTCTCTATTCCCTTCCTTGTGCTATGGAAAACAAAGATTTCCCTTCGCAAAAAGCTCATTCTGCTCAGCATTTTCTCTGCAACTATCTTCATTATGATAGTCGCAATCATCCGAGTGGCTGTCGGGATGACCTATGACAGTCAGATAAATATCGATTGGTTATGTTTCTGGAGCTTTGTTGAGGTGGATGTTGGTATGTTGTCTGCATTTTGATCACATCGTTATCCTAATACTGACCTTCACTTTGTAGCGATTATTGTCTCCTGTGTCGCTTCTCTCCGGCAGCTGTTCGTCACATCACAGAACCAGAGCTCATCTGCAAGGGCCGCTTATCATATTACGACCGATCCCATTTTGAAAAGGTCAAAAGAGGAGTCTAATCAAGCTTTGGCTCTCTCCATCGGGGATGTCGAGTCGCCCACAAGTGATAATGTCCCCATGTCGCCCTTGAGCGTTGTGCATGTTCGTCGAGATTTTGAAGTGACTCGCGCCGATGCCGGCTAGTCTGATAATGGTGAGAAGGCATGCAGACACCAGGCTAGTATTGATTCGCATAAATTCTTTCATAGGGATACTTGCTTCCGGCCGTACATAAGATCTCATTACTTTGCATTTTTGTACATCAAATCTGTGTATCTCGAAATTAAAATGGGGGAGTTTACCCAAGAGCATAATTCCGATTTCTTTAGAGTACTGGATGACTAGTATTAACAAGAGATTCGGGGCCTTTCTCGGATAGCTGCCGGTGGTGCCTTGCTGGGAGTCAGAACGCAAAAGGTCATTCTTCAGAGGAAAGTAGGAAACTCTCCCGGGGACCTCCCATAACCCTGAAGACTGGAAATAGGGAAGTCCGGCGTAGCTAACCGAACGATGACCGGAAACATGGCTGACAAGGGCAGGACTTGTCCCCTTCTGATGCGAACAATAAGAGCATGCCCAACACGAGAGGCAGGTAGCAGAAAATGGAGTGACAGAATTTTCATCCCTTAAGATCTTGTTGTCTCCAGCGGTGTGTCTTTTTTAGTCATTGTTGTGACTATCTCCCCTAGTTGTAGGGGGCCTAGTAACACCCACTATATCACCGGTACAAAAACCATTCGCGGTACGCCAACTGCTGCCACCAACACAATTACCACGACGACGCTTGGTTTGAGCGTTCAGAAAAAAAGCCTAGGGAAACTCTGAGTAAAGAGAGAACAGCCCCTGGCTTATCAGTGAATACTTCAACCGTATCTACTTTGGCTACGTACTGTATCCACACCCTCTAGCGAGATATCTAATTCCACCATGATACTCCGGGTCTAATCATTGAAATTTAGCATGATATCTTGCTACATGGATATCTTCTCTGATCGGCTTTCGGTCATAAAGGCTTCAGCGCTACTATATGGGCAGGAAATACAAGCAATCAAGTTTCATGAAGGCGGTTGGGAGTTGTCCAACCCCGACCTAACCCGAGCCCAACCTTTGTGGGTTTAGGCATACAACGGGTAGTGAAAAGGCCAACTAGATAATTCGAAGGAAAAGGAATGCTTCCTCCACATCGCATCGCCTGAACCCAGAACTTCGTCCAGACAGACAGCGTTGGGAATGAGTTCTGGGGTAGTCAGTGAGGCGAAGAACAGACCTCAGAGACGTTCTGTTCTGACTTACGTTTTATCAAATGTGCAACGCCCATAACCCCTTTCATGGATGCTTCTTGATTAGATATCCCAGGTAATCTGATCATCTTCAGATCTTTGGAGCGAACAAACTCCTCCAAATCCTACATATCAAACCATTCTCCTTCAAACTCCTTTTCAACGCCAGTATATGAGGAAAAGCAGGCTAGCGGATTTTTGATCACTCTACATGGCTCATGGTACTGACTGACATAAATAGTTATCTTGCTTCTCGCCAGCATGTTTGATCCGATGAGTGCCTGCTCCGCCGAGGCCAAAAAATGGAACATCTTAGAATCCTCTGAGTTATCTCTTGCTCATTCTTGATTCAAAAAACGCAACCAAACGGTCCCGAGTCACAATCTGTAGTAGGAAATGCAAATGATGGTTTATATAGTCGAAGTCGATGACCGGGTTACTTAATGTGAGGTATCCCTGGTAAATCATGGTCATATGCAGTTGTTCGATGAAAAGAGGCAAGGGAATGACAGATTCCACTGATAGCTCTGGGTGGTTGATTTGTATAGAGATGCTTGGACTCAGGTTTTCTCGTTGTCCAATATGCCCCGCTGAGTCAATCCACTTGCCGCCATTGAGCCTTTTGGTGTCTGGTGAGGAAAAAGAAGTTTCAGGTCTAGGTGTACCGGATGGCTCGTCGGTTGTGAATTTACCTTTATGTAACCAACTCAGTCTGCCGGGGTCGTCCACCGGGCCGTCGGGAGTATTAGCCAGGTTGAAAGAGGCTGTTATGAGGTCATAAAGTTGGTCCACCAGGTTACGATCCCGAAACAAGTGCTTGGACAGTAAAAGCTTGTTATAGAGCGAGAACGCCGTGAAAACCAAGTCCTGAACTTTCATCTGTTGTTTGATTTTCTTTTCAAGGGACACCACCACTAGACCTCTCAATAGCCCATAAATCCTATAGCCCAGCCCAACCCAACCCACCAAATGGGCCCCAAACAATATAAACAATATAAACATGCTAATTTATCGTAGCTGTATAATTAATGCATTTTTGTCTAGTTTTTCTTAGGTATTTAAACTACCATCTGAGCGATACATGAAGCTATACAGAAACCATCTTCTTATAAGCTTATAAATTAACTCATAAGATGCAAACTTGATTTTTATAAAGCTTTATTTTTGTTAGGGAATTACATAGTAAGTAGAGGTACCATTAGCGCTATATAATTAGCACCTGGTTTTAGACCTAATATATATATCTCTTCATGCTACTACTCAGTAATCCTCCTTAAGTGCGAATTGGTGGTCAGGTTAGGTCTTTTTAGGGTGATTTTGTATGAAAATTTGTATGAAATCTAGTATCATAATGCTAAATCAGTATAATACTGAATTCCTACTTCTTACTATAATAATATGATGAAATTGAATACACAGGTTGGTACATGCGTAAAATACAGCCATTGATCAGCTACTTGATACGTGCTAAGACTGTACTTGTGCACAGAAATAGGCTTTTGATAGGCTTTTGATAGGTTTTGGTGGGCTTTGGTGGGCTTTGGTGGGCTTTGATGGGCTTTAGTGGGCTTTGGTGGGCTTTGATAGGCTTTGATAGGCTTTGATAGGCTTTGATAGGCTTTGATAGGCTTTGATGGGCTTTGATGGGCTTTGATGGGCTTTGATGGGCTGCGGGTTGGGCTGTGGGCCAGAAGGCTGGGCTATGGGCCAGAGGCTTGGGCCCATTTGCGGGTTATTGAGAGGTCTAAACACTACCCTCTAATTTTGTCTGGATCGATAAACGCGCTGCGTCATTCTGACTTGTTTCCGACGTCTCTTAGTGGGTCATAAGCGAGTTGGTACATTCTTGTACAATGTCAGGTCTTACACCACGATTGTACCTAATCTCTTCAGAATCCAAAGCTAGAGCTGGGCCTTGCGGTATACCGGATCGTTTGGTGGACCGCTGGCTCATCTTAGGACTCATGCTTTTGCGTGATTGTGTCTTGCCTGCCCCCGTGCGTGTGGCCTTGTTTTCCGACTGATTGCATCCGATTGAGCGAACGATACTGTGCTCATCGCGGAGATTAGTCAAAGGCTGCAATCCATGGTGTGATTCAATTGTATCAGGCACTGGCATTCGCTTGTTTGGTACATGTGTTGGAACTATAAGATAACGAAGCAGCGGAGAAAAGTGAAGTAATTCGTGGTATTGTGGAAACATCACTCGGTGGATCTAACTGGTATAGCAGAAAAATCATCTCGTATTCACACTCCATAGTATCAATGGGATCCTGATAAAGCATTGAGGTTTTCCGAGTCGGATGACAAATTTGATGTTTCAGCCATCGTGTAGCAATGGTACCTTTGATTGGAGAAGCAAAAGGGGTAGGAAACCCGAAGGAAGCTAAACGCACAAAATATTTACACGTTAGTTTCAAGTTTGAGTGACAATGAGAACATTGTCTGTTCTACTGAGCCCTGTAAAAAAGGGTAGCCCCATAGAACCTCGGGCCGGGGATCACTAATCTTAGAAGTGGGATACCTAGGCAAGTAAACAGTTCACGAGCTCGTGTTGCACCCCAACGCGTTTAACAATGAATTATTATTTCGCCTTCCCGAATGAGATTAATGTATTGTAAACCTAGATGCAAGCTCCTCTGAGTATGAGCCACCAGCTAGATCGACCAAGTATGATCTAGGAGTACAATTATGGGATCCGATAGGAGATACGGTGCGGCGCTCAACAGCTGTTAAGATCTCCCAGTAGTTAGATGGCCCTCTCCTCTTGCTTTCCTCTCATTTTCATAGTTCATAATCTACAGTTGAGATGGGGATATCACTAATCATGAGTCCACTACCGAATACAAAATCATACCTGAACATCACACAAACCACTACTAATAACTCTACACCATAATACTCTGCGTTTTCCCCCTCAACATTATTAGACTCCTACAGTCTTCTTGATTCCTCCCCTCCCCATAGTTTTCACACTATGCACACTAAAACCTATTGTGTATCGTCTTCAGGACCCATCTACTTGCCTATAGAAGAAGTATGAAATCTATGGCTTGCAGCGGATCATTGATAGCACGCAAGGAATACTAATCAATATTACCATAATACTGATTTAAATTACTCGGTCTGGAACTCCTGACAAGCTCAGAGCAGAAATTCCTAAGACTATAAAAAGGCGGATTATAATTTCTCAACGTAATTAGATTGAATTGAAAATGGTTAAAAAATACTCATTGCACACTCTCAATATCCCTAAATTCGAGATTTTTTTGCAGCCTGAATAACGCCCATAGCACTCATGATAAGCGCACCGGTATTGTATCGATCCGGATACAACTTCGTCATGGCTTCCACGATATCTCTAGTAGAATTCCACTTCCCTTCCAATACCTTCCCAAAATCTCTTATGTACTGCTTGGTATTGGTGAGATGCCAGCGGCCCATGATCTCCCCTTCCTGGCAATGACCCGGGACCACATACAAAGGGTCCAGAGCCTCAATATTCTCCACTGCCTGGATCCACTCTTCACGCTTCGCGGCCGTGTTGGCTTCAAACAGCATCTGGTGCACTTGTCCGTACACTACGTCTCCACAAACTGCCAGTCGGAGGTCGGGAACCCACAACGCAGTGGAATCATAGGTATCAGAGTGGCCCACCTCGACCGCCTGAAACAACCACGTATTCTGAAGAGTGAATTTATTGCTTGATGGGAGGGCGTGAGCCAAAACAAACGGTAGCTGGATCTCCCCGGGGAACCGAGACCCCCACTGTGCCTCAAAATTCTTCTCTTCAATCTGCTGTTCCATATGGCACAGAGTCGCCGCCGTGGCAACGGGTTTGGCCTCGGGGAATCGCTGTACTAAGAGTGGCAGCCCGAAAAAGTGGTCGCCGTGTCCGTGTGTAATGTAAATATAGGATAGCTTTCGTTTGGGAGCGATGCGCTCGATCCATGCGATGAGTCCTTGGGTTTGCAGGATGGTGATGGGTGTGTCGACTAGAACTGCTTCGGTGGCGGAGTAAATGAGGGTACAAGAGATGGGTGACCAAAGGCCTCCGCCACTTCCTTTGCCTGGGCTTTTGAAAGGCACTGGAGGTGCAATGTAAACAGCAGAGCGGAGTTCGGACATTGTGAAATAGTGGTAACGTAGGTAACTTCAAGCAATATGAATCCAGCGGGTTGTGGTTTTGAATATCTCTACCAGAATACCAAGGTCAATTTATTTATGTACCTAGACGCCATTTATTTCAGATAGAAAAGCGCCCGAGGTTATGTTGATCACTAATCATGAAAATATGGGAAGCAACAATTTTGGACCGGATAACATATTCAGCCGAGGAGAATTGCTTGAGCCTTTAACATTTTCGCTCTAAGCGGGATTGGTCTCTCTTTTGTGTCCAATAATTGTCAGCATTAACAGCCACGATTCTCGCCAATTGGTACCAGCACATGAGCTCCTAGGATCTATGTTGGCCTCGACGATCACATTTTGTAGTGTCATGGGAGCTCTAAGAGCTCCTAACAAGTCTTATTAGACTTCATTTGATTGGGATGACGTATTTTCTGAGTACTGTTCGGAATTATATCAGGCAAATGGGGGGCCGTAAATTTCGTCAAATGCAGCTGGACATGATCGATTGGTCTAGAATGTTTCTGTGGATGTCCAGGTCACTAGAGCTGAAGTCACATTCCTAGGAGCATGTGACAACAGCATGAGCGGTACTCCGTTAGAAATCAAGCGCCAAATCAGAACAAGACACTAAAATGAATTTCAATTGGGTTTTGTGGGATATTTTGCACAGTGTCGATGGAAATCATGTCATTATCGATCGTGGTGCTTTGCGTAACGGCAGGCAAGTCAAAGCTGTGGACTTCAAAGCTCCTCGTCGCGAAATTCACCTTATGAGAAACATATCGCTTCCATGGATAAGTCAATATTAGTGGAGAGTATACTATAACTAGCGTCTGAAGCTGCCCATAGTTACTATGCGATATGGTTAGCGAACCGTTCGTCTTTCATCTCACTAACGCTAGTGAAGTCCGCCTAGCTTTCAAGTTTTATCCTATAGACTCATCATGTGAAGCTTGTACGCTAATAGGGAGTGCGGCCTATTGATTAGAGAGCGACGAGCACTGCTTTGGAGAGCATCGTGAGAGTCTCGTCAGAAAGCGTACTATCCCAATATTGCAAAAGGGTACAATGGATATTATGGGGACTGTCACTTTCGCCTTCGTCGTTGCTAAGCCGTTGATGGGCTCAAAGCCTCCTCTATTGGTGAAACAGACCGTCACGGCAGAATGCCTGCAACCTGTGGGTCATGGAGATATCTGTTCCATTGAATCAGTCATCTATCCCGCGAGATTCAGTATCGTTAACATCAGAAAGGACTCGGTCAAAACACTGCTAGTCACAGCCATCTTCAGCTTGGGGGGAATCATTTATCGTGGCTTCTCGTTGAGCTAGCCCGGAACCGACATTTCTATTCATGGTCTGAACTGCGAACAAGTCTGTCGAAAAATTAAGACTTTCTGATTCTTACTTTAAAACTCATACACGAGCGAATTTCAATGCTCGGACGGCCCAAAAGTTCACAGGGCTTGTCGGGCAGACATAATAGGAATAGAGTTCAATCATGCTGATTAACAAAGGATTCAAGCCAAAATACAAGGGAACATTCTGTGCAGGGTTCTTTCACCACGCTGGAAGAGCTGCTTACGAACTTGAGACTTCCTATAATTCAAATATGAACATCATGAGCGGTCGCAATCTATTAGCGAAGGTGGTTGAAATTCGTAAGGCTGGGGTTGTTATATAATTCCACTTGTCTATAGTTACCTAACTATCAATTTATTTGTTCTCCCTATCTATAGGGAGGAAAAAAATATAAAAACATACAACAGTGAGGATTCGCTGGTGGTCACCCACCCAACTACTAACTCACCGGCGTGTGGCTTAAGTACGGCTGAGCGGACGGGAAGCCCTGTTTTCCACACCCTATGGTCGTATGTACGGGATTCTACGTGAAAGGAAATTAGGTGTTTGCGATTGTGCGACCGGGGTGAGAATGGTGAGTGCGTTATACATAGAGTGGGAATTAGGGTAACAATTACTAAAATCGGAAGCCACTCCATTCACCTGCTCGACGCCAAGGTGGCTGGGCTCTCTCTCACCCACGCTGATTCGACTACTGGCCGCAAATTAATTTATAATTCTACAAGGTTAATTCTCGAGGCGGCTTGAACACTAAGTGGCGAGGAAATCTCAAACGGACTCTGTATGGTTCTTGTTGATGATCTACATGTAGATGAGAATTCCGGAGATCGACTAAGAGTGAGAACCAGTTTAGAACGGGGTAGAAACGGGGTAACAATGGCTGATATGAAATTTGATAGGGGCCGACTACCTGTGGACGGACACACTGTTTATGTTGCGACACAATATCCGCTAAACTACTTTGAGTATGTCCGCCGCTGGTCGGTTGTGCTAACCAGCATGTGTAAATTATCTATCTCCGTAGTATTTTACACAGCCAGCACATGACTTACGACCGGGCCGTAACATCATCCAAGTACCCTTTTGTAGTATTCTTGATCCCATAGAAAGTGGTGATAGATAACGCGGTTGAAGTCATGTGATGCGTGTGTAAAAAATACTATGGGGATACCATAATAATATACACAGGCTGATGGATTACTGCGGCCAGCGGGAGACATCCCCAAAGTCGTTTAGCGGGGAGTGTGTCATAAACAGTGTGTCCGTAGTCGTTCTCATTTAATATATAAACTGGGGCGGATCAAACGGAAATATTATGTTCCAAATAGACAATATATAACTCACGTCAGATTCAACCTGATTGGTTCATTTTGAGATCTTACTTGCCGAAAGCATGCTGGACCAGGAACATGTTCCTACATTGTGGGTTACATTAAATGGATACTCATACTTGTGGACTGGGGGCCATGCGTGAGGGGCCACGGGGGGGGATGGAAGAGGTTCATGCGAGAAGGGCCATATAAAATCGTCTTTCCCTGTTTCATTCTTTTTTGTCTCATTTCCTTACTTGGCCCTCACTCTAATAAGCTCCACAATGAGTGAATTACCTGACTACGTGCTTGATCCCGATGCTGTCCTTAAAGACACCAGTGCCTGGCGCCATGGCAATGCTCCAGATTATTCCAAGACAAGAGCCTTCTATGAAAAGAGTACCTCCCTCTTTTTCCTAGTCATCTGACTTCCATTACTAACATCATATAGCCAAGACAAAAACCCACGAACACGGCAGTCTCCCTTTCTTAGTCGAAAATCTCGTGAAGAACTGGGAAATCGAAGCCTCCTTCAAGACGAACCTATCCGACTGGCGTACCATCGATCCCGATGTATACACAGTTTCCGTGAACGGTGGTGAACGACGAACAGGTCACCATATGTTAGAAGTGGGGACTTATAATGCTCTCCTGACCGCGAGTCAGTATTATGATCCTGCACAGAACAGTTTCAACGATTCGCACAAGTCGTTTAAACGGATGATGCCAACCTTTGCTTGGGAGGTACTTGAAGTATACTCTGGTCCTCCCGTTGTTGTCTGTCGATGGAGACATTGGGGCGAAATGAAGCATGATTACGTGGGATTCAATAGGTATCTGATCACTACTCTCCATGATCCTTTGGTTTCATGCTTACAATCCTAGCTCCGGTGAAAAAGTCAAGATTGAAGCGCACGGTGGCCCTATTGATATTGAAGGACTTATAGTGGCCAAGGTCAATGATAAGCTACAGGTACAGAGTCTTGATGTCTGGTATGACCCTATGGCAATGTTTCGTCAAATTAGCAGAGAGGGACAGGTTAGCGGCGAGAGTAGTAGTAGTAGCAGGTGCCCGTTTGTGCAGGGTTAGCAACTTAGCCAACTACGACCAGCCATTGAAATTTCACTGTAATTGACTTACGAAGTGTCGTGGAAAGCATTAATGTACAAGCTATACATTGGCTGCCACGTATGGTCCTGCTTTGCCAGTTTCCACAGATGAAATCATCGTCGCAGAAGCAGAAGGCCTCAAATAATCGGTAGTGTCATGCGAACAGCAGTATAAGGAGGTAGGATCGTAGTCGCAACAACCTTGTAGTCGGCCTTGAGAAGTTCCGAAACAAGTGACTTGCCTAGACCTGACAAGTTGACAGTAATCAGCTATGTCGCAGTAGCGGCCATGTCAATTTAGGCATTTATTCTGATTGGACTGTGGGAGAAAGCAATGCTAAATACGGGGTATTGCCCATCATAATGCGGTGGAGCCCCAACGAGACGGGATGTGAACACTAATTGCGCCTTAGGGCCGGCCTTATACCGCATCTGTCGATGATTAACATGCAACTACATAATCATGTAACCGAGCTTCATTCATTGGTCAAGGCGATACACAGCCTTGTCTATCCTGGCCCCATTATGGTGACAGTGAATGAGGCTGAGACTATCTTACCCCAACATCCAAGCCCAGGGGTAGTCCTGGGCATGACCTATGAAATAGATAAAATGTACCTATACAACCTGGAAGTTGGGTTCCAGTGGTGTGTCCGGCATTGACGATGGCTTCAACAGAGCATCATACCAGCCCTGAAGAGCATGCATCTTTTCTCGCTCATCGAGAACTCGAGCAAGCCGCTGACAATGCCAATACGACAGAGAACGGTCCTAGTCGACCACCACAGCAAACCATCTCATTACGATATCGCAAGCGCAATATTTACCTCCTCATCTTCTATGCCCTCCTACTGGTAATCCCGTGGGTCCTTACTTGCGTGCTCGCGGGCCCACCAGCGCGAAAAGGAGGAAGTGGGCAGCCCTATTTCCCTCAGTCAGGGTTATCAGCTCATGGAATATACTCGATGTTGAGCTGGGTGGCTGCGGTGCGAACCCTCAATTCTATCGCCGGTGTGATCACCATTCCAGTTATATCTGCACTCCTGGCACAGGCAGCGGTGGTGTACACGCAAAAGCGCAAGATCAACCAAACGCTCAATTTGCGTCAGACCTTTGTCCTGGCGGATCGCCGGTGGTCAGATCCAACAGTCATTGTGGAAGCATTTAGGAGCACGGGAAGTGGGATTTCAAGTCGTTTCTTATGGCTAGGAATGGCCTTAGTCTTGCTCAGTATGCTTGGCTTGGTTATCCAGAGTAGACCTAGCTCGCTAACATGGTTACAGGCGCCGCTCAACACCCAATCCAGCAGCTCCTCGTGTCTTGGGAGTCGGTCCCCGTAATGACTTGCCTTGACGACCCCTCTGGGTCATGTGGGTGGACGGCCCCCGTCGTGGTTGGTTATGATCCTGAACCAGCGGACCTTGCCACGATCCGCCAGAACCGGGTCGTCCAAGAAGTCATGTCTAGCTTGGCTATATTCAACGAACTAGATTTTGAGACACACATGTGGCCTGATCCATCGTACTTGTCCGACGAACGAAACAGAAGCGGCGATCCACCGTTCAGACAGACATTGCGGTACTGGACAGACAAAAGGTCAGATCCCCTCTTCACACCGACGGACAAATCAGCAAACTTCTTCGTTACTGCGCTCCAGAATGGGACGGCGACGGGGGTCCTCCGGGAGCATGCCATTCGGCTCAATTCGTCTGCAGTGTGCGAGAAGATTCCACCGGCCGAATTCCCTTCGACCTGTCTCAGGAAACGGCCCTTTAAGACCTCGTTTTCCCACCCTCTACTAGACATCCGGGTGTGCGTTCCAGGAGAGTACGGGGTATTTCCCTGGACGTTAAGTCGCCATCGGCAAGACATCAACGAGCATTTGTTCTTAGACGTAGTCGACCGGAGAAATGTAGGACTCTCTCTCTCCATTGCGAATTTCACGCTTCATTGCACCGCATCAACCACACGGGGCTATTTCGAGCTAGGAAACTACATGAACTCCCAAGTATATGGCCCACTGATAGATAGATGGCCAGATGCCGAGACAATGGTGGAGAATTTCAACGACGAATTAAGCCTAGCCGCGGGCAACGGTGGTGGGCCCCCAACCGAACAGTTCGTCCTATGCATTACAGATCAGACAATGCCCCTTACTGACCGATTCTTAGGGATGAGACAGACGGCTACCATTACTACAACTTAAACTTTTGGACAAGAGAGCCCGCCGACCCATACGGGACATATATGCTAAATATGCCCGGTCCTCTCATGACATCAGCCATCGCCCTCTTCGGCAACCAATCCTTTTTCGAGGTTGCTGCGAATTCCACCAACAAGACCTTCCCGCCAGCAATACAGCAGATCTGCCAGCAAGGCCGGATTCCCTTCTCCAATCTAGCCATCGCAATATTCGGGGACTTCCAGGGTGACTGTTACGCCATCGCTGCCGACAACAATCGATTGTCGTGGGGTTCCCCCGATCCCCAGGAATGGCTGGCGGCTTTCCTTGGGAACTGGTTTTATTCGTTTAACAATACGAATGATGCAGAGTTGGCTCTGCTTGCCAGCATGTACGTCTCCAACAGAGCCATGCTAACCCAAACTGTGACAGGATCTTTTGCCTTCTCGGCGCGTCAGATCAAGTTTGGTGGTGGGATGCTAGTGCCTTTGCCTCAAAAGACTCTTGCGGGTACGGTGGTTGTTACCATCCTGATCTTTCTGCAGCTTCTGGGGCTTCTTGCCTTGACATATTATATCTACCAGCTGCCTACGTGGACGCATGCCCTGGACGCCGTGGCAGTTGCTCGGATGAGTATCGGACTGAATGATCCTGTGATGCGCGAATTAGCTCACGGAGGGGAGATAGATCAGGCCAAATTAAAAAAAATTGACGGCTTGGTGGGCTTGGACAATGATATGGCTAACGTGGTACTGGGTGGTCCTGAAGTGATTACCCGGAGACATGCAATGAAACCGAAGAAGAAAGCGGATGGAGAGTAATGCTATTAGAGACTATCGCCAATATACTGCATAGGATGAACTATAGTATCCTTATTATTATTTTAAAGTAATGAAATATATCTATTGGCACAATCGGTTCTATACTAGAGCGAGTCCTCTGAAACTAAAGAATTGAAGAGCTAAAGACGCGAACTGTTCTTAGCCTTAGCGTCTAATAATTGACCAATGCGGGGATCAACCTTGCTAAACATAGCAATGACAGCATCCTTGAGCTGATCAGGTACTCCTTCCAAAGTCTCCGACACATTTGACACCCACTGCCTTCTCTCGGGCTCATCGAAGACCCTATTCCACAGCTCTCGTGGCTGAAGGAAATCCTCATCATCAACTACGATCTCATTCTGGCCGAGAATAGCATTATGCACGATGCGCTCAGTGTGTCGTACGTTGGAAGTAACCTGGCTGGGAATGCCGGTGCCCAATGAGTTCCGTACATAGTTTGGCTCGCCACCGTAGTTTCGGGTCATGGTTCCCATGCCGTCGCGTTCAAATGGCGCGAATACAGGGCAGATTGCACGGTTTGAAGGAAGCTGTGTATAGTTCACTCCCAGACGGTATCGTTGGGCATCGGGGTAAGCGAACATGCGTGCCTGCAACACTGTACAGACAAAATGATTAGTATTCTGATGTCCAACGGCGAGAACCTTGGTGTAAACCTACTAGGATCAGGTGTCATTGCAATCCCAGGGACCATGTTAGAAGGCGAAAATGCCGCTTGCTCGATCTCGGCAAAATAGTTCTCGGGCTGGGGCTGTTATTAGCGCTTGCTTCCTTTCCCAGACAAGGAGACACCCACATTCTTGTTTAGGGTCATTTGACCAACTTCGATCAAGGGAAAGTCCTTGTGCGGCCACACTTTGGTTATATCAAACAGAGCACGGCCGTAGGTTTCAGCCTGCTCGGGCTCCATGATCTGCACATAAAGTTTCCAGGCCGGCAAGTCTCCCCGAGCAATAGCATCCCACAAATCCTGATTGTGGAAGTCGGCATTTGCGCCAGCCATGCGGGTAGCTTGCTGTTCCGTGAAGTGTGTGATATCCTGAGTGGGCCGGAAGTGGAACTTGCAGTAGCGGAAGCTACCATTAGCTGACACCATCTTGAAGGTATGTACGCCGAAGCCTGTCACTCGACGGATGGAATCAGGAATACCCCGAGTGCCAAAAAGGTGCATCAAAGCATGGACGCTTTCCGGTTGGTTCGCATGGAAATCCCAGAACTAAACGGTTAGCTTCATTGGAAATATAAAACCTGGATGGAGACTGACCATGGTCCAATCCGGTCGGTTGGTGGCAGGATGTCTCTTGTGACTTCTGTTGAGAGAGGGAAACCTCATAGGATCGCGAACAAAGAACACCGGCTTCAGGGACATTAGAATATACAATGTGACAGTCGAGGGCAAACACTTACAATGTGGTTCCCTACAATATCATGGTTACCTTCCTCCGTGAAGAACTTCACCGAAAATCCTCGCACATCACGAACGGTGTCTGCACTGCCCTTTTCACCGCCAGTAGTGCTCAGACGAAATAGAACAGGGGTTTTCTTTCCAACACCATTGAGGAACTTGGCCGAGGTGAGGGACGAGATGTCATTTGTAACCTCGAATTCTCCCCAGGCACCGGCAGCCTTAGCATGGACAACTCTGTTTAGCGTTAGGGCATCTTTTCCTAAATGTCAGATCGAATGGCGCTCGAACCTTTCAGGGATACGTTCGCGGTTGAAGTGCGCAAGCGTCTCCAGGAGAAGGGTGTCACCCAGTGTCGTGAGGCCACCGCCGCCAATAGTAGGCAATGTGGTGCTGACGGATGGGTCTGCAACTGGCTGGCCTATCTGATGTCAGAATGGAAATAATTGCTTTGATATCTTTAATACTGTACCTTCTGCCAACGTGAACTTGGGGTTCGGCATTGTGGATTGTGTGTCTAAGGATTTGAATTGATATATTATGAATTCTCTGTTTTGTGGGAAACGGTATTGTTTATATTTCCATATTAAACTATCACCCCCCATGAGGGAGACTCCAAATCTTCCAGATATCCATTCTAATGTGAGGGGTTTGAGGAGAAAACCAATGTTGTAAAAATCAAGTAGCTTTGAGACAAATGCATTTGACAAGAGAGATTTTCGGTGTGAAAAAGGCGTTCATGGAATGGCCGAGCTATTTCCGTCCCCGGCAAAATCCCGGCAAACTCACCCGCCACTCTGATTGGTCGAAACTTTTCGCAGCCTTGTGCGGAGAAGTTCCCCTCATGAGGAGTCGAAATGGAGGAGCCACTCTCGTCACTGGTAGAGTTTGCCTTCCTTCTAGAACATCTACGGTGCGGGCTTACATGCAAGCTTCTACTATAGCAGTCTAAGAGCTTATTCTTGTCGGCATGTTTCCCGTCCGGAAAGAGCGGCAAATGTATTTGGAGACATTGTTGCCATGACTGGAATACAATGAGTGGAATATAAAATCCACACGATGGCTCGTCGATTCTTGCCATCTACACACACAATCGCACAGTCTCACAGACACTGAACGAACCTCACTCTCAACTATTTTCTCATCAACAACAAATCTCAAACCATGGCGTTCGTGTCCAACGGCTCTGAGTACGACTTCATCATTGTCGGCGGTGGTACCGCTGGCAATGCCATCGCTGGCCGCCTCGCTGAGAACCCCAACGTCCGCATTCTGGTTGTTGAAGCCGGCATCCCCAACCCTGATCAAATCGAGCAAATCACCACCCCGTCGAAGGCTTTTACCCTTCGCGGAAGCAAGTACGACTGGTCTTACAAGACCACCATGATCAAGCGTGATGATTACGAGCGCGTTGAAAAGCCCAACACCCGCGGAAAAGCCCTTGGTGGCAGCTCATGTGCCAACTACTTTACCTGGATTCCTGGCTCGAAGCCCACCTTCGACGACTGGGAGGCCTTCGGTGGCCGCGACTGGAACTGGGACTCGTGTGTGGAGTACCTGCGCAAATGTGCCACCTATCATGATGACGAGAAGCTATACCCGGCCGAACTAAGCAAGATTGGAACCGGGGGTCCTGTGCAGATCTCCCATGCCGACTTGGTGCCAGAGATGCAGCCATTCCGTGATGCACTCACTGAGGCCTGGGTTTCCAAGGGCGAGCCTCTGAGCGAGGACATCTACTCCGGCGAGATGAAGGGTCTCACCCACTGTGTTGATACCATCTACCAGGGTGAGCGACAAGGTAGCTTCCTTTACCTAAAGAACAAGCCGAATGTGACAATTCTCTATGGCGTTCAGTCGAAGAAACTGCTTATCGATCCTGCCACACGCATTTGCTCAGGTGTCACTGTGATCAGCGATGCCTTCGATCAGGAGATCAGCGTCTACGCCAGCCGAGAGGTCATCCTATCTCAGGGTGTCTTTGAGACTCCCAAGCTTCTCATGCTGAGCGGAGTCGGCCCAGCAGAGGAACTGGCTAAACACGGAATCACTCCTATCGTGGAATCCCCTCATGTCGGCCAGCATCTTCTTGACCACCCAATCGTGCCTTTCGTTCTCGAGGTCAAGGATGGGTACAGTTTGGATGCCCATGTCCTCCGTCCCGGTCCTCTCAATGACAAGGCACTATCCACCTATCAGAAGGATAAGACTGGCCCTGCAAGCTCTGGATTCCTGGAACTTGTTGGATTCCCCCGAATTGACGAACGCCTGGAGAAGTATCCTGCCTACCGGGAGGCTAAGGCTGCCAACGGAGGTCTTGATCCTTTCGGCCCGGCGGGACAACCTCACTTTGAGCTGGACTTTGTCGGCTTGTTTAGCACCGCATTCCAGTGGCATTTCCCTATGCCCGAGAAGGGCAGCTACATGACTGTCATTGTTGATCTGCTGCGGCCCCTTTCCGAGGGTGAAGTCACCTTGAACAGCTCGAACGCACAGGTTCAGCCGAATATCAACCTCAACTTCTTTGCCAATGACTTGGACATTCTAGCCATGCGGGAAGGTGTACGCTGGACATATGATCTTTTAACCAAGGGTGCTGGATTCAAGGACATTGTTCTCTCGGAATACCCCTGGAAGATGCCCCTTCATTCCGATGACGATATGAACCGCGCTGTCCTGGATCGCAGCCAGACTGGATTCCGTAAGATGACTCCTTCAAATGTCTCGAAACAAGGCTAATGATTTACTTTACAGATCCATGTGGTACGGCACGTCTCTCGAAGAGCATCCACCAGGGTGTTGTTGACTCCAAGCTGCGAGTTCATGGTGTGCGCAACCTCAGAATCGCAGATGCCTCTGTCATCCCCGTGATCCCTGATTGCCGTATTCAAAACTCGGTCTACATGATTGGCGAGAAGGTTAGTAACAAACCTACAGGCTACTAGAATAAGACTAACACATAGTATAGGGCGCGGATATCATCAAAGCTGGGCACAAAGATCTATACGAAGCTAAGAACATTCCCTACCTTGTCTCGAGCAAACTTTGATCTGCCATGTATTGCCTATCGCCTTTGATTGGTTGTGCCGTGTTAACCATGTGCGCACATATATATTGTTTTGTTCGATCACATCTCTTCTTTCCCCTTAAAGTCTATAATCATTATCGTTGAATGCACACTGTTTTATTATTATATCGATTCTTGCTAAAACAATAGATGGGATTGTATCTGCGGAATGGGCATGTGATAAGTTATATTCGCAAGCTGTGAAGATGGTACTGTATAACAATTTCTCTTTCCGGTTCCACCATTTGCCTAGAATAGCGGTTCCCGGTATATAGGAAGAAATAATAAAATAAACACAAAATAAAAACAGGCAGCAATGAAGATTCACTGGGGGTCACCCAAATAATAGCTCACCGACATGTGGGTTATGTGCTGCCAGTAATGGGTGTCGCGCGGGTGAGCATAGCTGCCGCGACTGTGGACCCGCTTATCCAATCTGGCTCAAAATTATTTTTGGGGAGTTATATCTAATGCTTCACTCAATATAAACATTATATGGATCAAGTATTAACCATCTGTTTCGTGATGCTACACATTGACCACCGTTTTGTTACTTACCTCTCAGATAATACATTAATATGCCCGGGAAGTGATGACGTATGCAAATACACAGTCCCATTTGCGCTATGGTTATAACCCCAAGGTTTCTTCTTGGCCTATGTCGAGAATATCGAAAAAGAGAATACTGTTGCGGACAGTACGGTCTGGGTTTTACTGTGAGCCGATATTTTCCATGAAGGTTGTATTCATACTATGTCACTGTCTGTGTTATCAACTTGCTAAGTTGATAACTTTGAATGTACCTCGGGAAGATTTAGGATGAAGTCACATCACATTTAAGTTTCTGGTCTGTCCGACTGTTCAACAGACACGAATTTATCTGCCACGATTTTGCAAATGTATATATATTTGAGCAATAACAATGTTCTATGTATGCAAATAGGTCGGATCGGAACAACGTGCCGGGTCCGACCAAGTGTCTGACTGTTATACCTGAGAATTATGGATCCAGTTCACGTGAGCGTCTTAGTTGAGAATTTAATAGAGTGCGATTGATTGGTATAATGAAAGATATCGCGTTGAGCATCGCGACTACTGGCCGGTTAGAGTTATTTGGAATCGGGAGCAAAGTTGTAACAGCAAACGCACGCGCGAGTATGATACTAATACATTGTACGTATACTTAGCATGTTTTGAAGCGATTTATAAACATATTTCTCTTTCACAATGTTGGTCAGGTCGGGGAATGTGGGGTTGGGGTATCATCATTGGGATTTGGAACCGACATTACATTTGTATGACGCATGTGAATTCATTTTATGTAAAGTCATATGTCATCTCTACTGTCATGGCTAAGAAATCAATATTGTACTCCGCACACTAGAAATATAAAAATGGGGTTATGAGAGTAGTGTCTTTGTAAGGCTGACTAACCAGACCGAAAATGCACAATACTAATCTGCGAAATATCCAATTGATGTCATTTGATCTAAACCGGTCCGATGGGAATGTTCCCGATCGATCTAGAGAGATATTGCACCCTATGGATTGTCGGTACAAATAATACGACATAGATCCGATGATAAACACACGTCGTGGGGCATAAACTGTTACCCACGATGTACATTGTAACAATGTAAGACTAGCTAGCTATACTTGAGAACATTAGTATATTATACAGTAGTCTTGATGTGGCTGTTGAATTGTAAAGCTGTGTGATTGTTCCGTGGTCGAATAAGGAACAAAAATAGTCGGAGACTATTGTTGGTGAAGAAGGGCTCCACTTTGTAAAAGCTGCTTCGCGTCTGATCGTGTTTATTTTTGTTTTGTTTTCTGTTTATTTGTGTTTTACTCTAGTCTTGAGGTCATACACTTGGCCATGTCCAATTACATATGATGCACAAGGCTTAGGGTCATTGCCATCTCGCAGACTCCACTAGAGCAACCCATCAATATCTTAGTCTAATTCCATCGGAAAACAAGGCTTTTCGGAGGTTGGCCTTTATTACTAAGGTGGCTTAACCCTCCTAAGCCCTTCGTGTAGCGATTTCTTCACGCCTATCTGGAAGTCAGCGACGTTGGGGTATACCAAGCGTAGTCGAGTTCAAGCTTCGCTATTTCTGTCCAAAAATTGGAGGACAGTACTCCGTACCTACCTCATTGTATACTCGCGCCCAGGTAACAATGGCATTCAATCAGAGTTGCGAAGTCCCATGGGTCTTTTGATGGGAAGAAGTGTAACTTCATCCGTTCCATCCGAAGGCAGAAAGACCTGAGCCTCTCAAAAAACGCAATCAGGGAATGATCCATGGAAAGGGTGTTTTGCCACCTCCAATAACCGGCTAACCTGCGTGGATAGAAGATTCAAAGGGGCCTTGAACAAGGGCCCACAGCCTCTGTCTCGCCCAGTGATCATTGTCCATGTTCAAATCTGGTTTGGAAGTGGAGCATCCAGAAAGGCCGTTTACTCCACAATTCAATGCAATGGATCTCTGTGCAAAAGGCATCTACTACGTCACTGCCGGCTAGTTCGGACATCCGATACTAGGGCATTATTCCACCGGGTCTCATCCACGGATGATCCTAGAATACCTGACAGCACGCGGTTTCTATTTTTGGTTTATGTTTTGGCTGGGGGAATTTCGGTACCTGGTAGAGCGTGTGTTTCCTTGATTCATAGTGCGGAGCTTTAATTTTACGCAGGTTATAAAGATTCCTCTCTGCCGCAACTCTGCCAGTGGATTTCAAGCTCGAAGATATTTGAACTGAAATTGATTCTCTTTAGAAGGGAATTTTCTTCATTCGCTAACTGACCAATCCCTCCACATTCGCTGAACAGCAATCATGATGAAGAATTTCATCACTATCGCTGCCTTCGCTGCTGGCACCAACGCCCTCGTTGGCCGTAGTGACAGTTGTTGCTTCCACCTCACATCTTCTGGTGATGCGTCCGGAAAGCTTGGCCAGCTGAGCGATGGCCAGAACCGCATTGGCGATGACAGCCTGTCGCCCGCCCAGTACTGCATCGATTCCAAGGGTGCCATCACTGACTCTAACGGCCGTGGCTGTATTCTCACCCGTAAGTGACGGCATTTAACACTTATATCACATACAAGGCACGTCTGACTGTTTCATAGCTCCCACTACTCAGTTCCAGTGTGACGAGGGTGCTTCTCCTACCCCCGGCTTCTCTCTCGGCCCTAACGGTGAGCTCGAGTACCACGGCAGCAAAGATTTCGTTGCTTGTGCCACGGGCCAGAACGGTGGTCTGAACGTATACACCAACCCTAACGAGTCCGATGTCACCGGTTGCGTGAACGTCGAGTTGACTGCCGACTCCTGCTCAAGCTCCGGTTCTAGCAATGGCGGCTCGTCATCCACCAGCGCTGTTCCCTCGTCTTTCGGATCCTCAAGCGCTCAGTCAACCCCCTCTGCTCCTGTCTCGTCTGCTCCGGTTCCTCAGTCCACCCCTGCTAGCTCTGCTCCCGTCGCTGAATCGACTCCTGGTTCCGACTCTGGTGAAGGATCTGGATCTGGCTCTGGCTCCTCTGCCCCTGCCCCCTCAGGCTCCGCTTCCGCTCCCTCCGCCCCCTCTGAGTCTCATCTCCCGGGCTCTCCTATCACTGTCGTGAAAACTGTCACTGCCACCGACTGCAGCTGCTCAGCCACTGCCCCTGTTGGCGGTGGCGATTCCGCCTCGCAGCCCTCCCCTTCCGCTACTATGCCTGCTCCCTCCGGCGGCGGTAGCGAGGGCGGCTCGCAGCCTACTGGCTCTGCCCCTGCTCCCTCTGGATCCCAGCCCCCTGAGTCCAGTAACGCTCCCGCCCCCTCTGGTGGTAGCTCGCAGCCCAGCGGTTCCGGCAGCGCGTCTGTCACCGCCAGCTCTACCTCTGCTACTCCTTCAGCTACTGAGTCCTCCAGTGGCTCCTGCCCCACTACTCTCACCTCCGGCAGCTACGAGTACCCCCACCTGATTGTCCCCGTTGACTCTTCCTCCCCTGATAATGCGGCTGGTACATCCTACAATGGCACCGTGAGCTCCACCATCTCGAGCGCGTTCAACTTCGACATTCCCTCCTCCGACGAGGGCAAGACTTGCAGCCTCGTATTCCTATTCCCCGAGCTCCAGGACCTCGAGACTTCGTCCTACAGCTTCAGCGGTGACGGCAAGATCGACTTCGCCAAGCTCTCTTCCGCTGTCGATGAGTCTACTACCTTCAACAATATGCCTTCCGTCTCCCAGGACCTCGGCGACATCACCGTTTCCCCCGGCAACTCTTATGTTGTCTCCACCTTCTCTTGTCCCGCCGGCGAGAAAGTGTCCTATAAGATGGAGAACTCTGGCAGCACCGACCTTAACTTCTTCGAGGACTACAACCCTTCACCGTATGTTCCTTTCTCTTATCTTTCTACTTGGACATCAGCTAACGATCTCTCTAGTCTCGGTCTGTACATCACTACCTGCTAAATTATCCCTTGTGAAACTAGCAATCGCCCATCTTGAACATAAGATATCTAGGCCTTTATCATGCCTTTTTTCCCTCTTTGACGCATCATGTTGAACCTTTTTTTTCCTGATCATTCTTCTGTCTTCCCTTCGCTTGGTTCTACTCAAGCGACCTCCATGGGTAAGTAATTTTTTCAAAGTACTCACTGCCGGATATAGTTGATCGGGAAGATTGCCATATCTGGTTGATATTGTTTGTAATTGGGACTCATACACAAAACGTCGACATTCCTTCGGCTTGTATATTATTACACAAATTAGCTCTTTTATTTGATCACTTTTTTTTTGGGATCTTACATAGTTTCCTTATGTACTATGCACCTTTGGTCCGGCATGCTGCAGAGGGAATCATGTTATCTAGATGGGGGTGGATCGATTTCGGATCGAACCACGCACATCCGTGTGACACACATGTTAGACTTCAAGTCTGTAGTATAGCCCTGATCAGACCCTTGATAGTACGCTATCCAAACAAAAATATTAAACGGCCAACTACAAATCCCGGGGGATGGGATCCGCACTGGTTCTGGGAAGCAGGTTCTACGTTGACATGACTAGGCCGCCAGATGGACCTAACAGACCACAGCACCGGAAAAAGAATTGAGTCACTTTGATTGACATTCAATGATGCCAAATGCAAAAAGAAAAAAGAAAAACATAGAACAGCATGTTTTAAGATGGTGGCCACCTAGCGCTCACGTTCAGAGGGCGTGGGCGGCTCGCTGCTCTATTCAGCCCTCTTCGGGATATTCCAGACGCATATTCACCCACTTTAATACTATTCACATAGATATTTAGCTCACGTAGTAAAAGGTGCATTTTCCTATTATCAAGCGACAAAGCTATACATGATCTTCCCCCCCCCCCCCCCCCCCCCCCCCCCTTTTTTTTCCCTTCTCCGATCATCTCTTCAAGGTCACATTTTAAAATATATTCCCATGTAGTAAAGCAACACCATTGTAAATCCCATGAACGCAATCCTGTGGCTCAGCCACCATTTCCATTTCCTAAATAGGTGAAGGTCTTCAAATTCAAACCCCCAAAATGATGTAGATACTATTCGAATACAGAGAGGGCAGTCAAGACAGCGACCCAGGCGAATGCACTTGGCATATAGCTCTTTTTTCTCCTTTGATGTGAAATCAAACCCTCTGGCTTTAGAGCAACATCCACAGTCAAGAGTACAATGACCAATTCCTAATTTCCGTTCCGAATTCGCATGTGCGCTCCGGTTTTCACAGCACTGACATCCACGGCTACAGCACCCCCCCATTCTGCACAACGTCGACGGAGTGTATCACTGAGATACCATCTTAGATTTGATCGACACTCAACGAACCCTCGTAGAGTAGGCCCTTTTAATTGGTCCCTGAGTACCAACCAGTTATGTTGGAGATTCCAATAGCTTTTTCTTAGAACTCCTAACCGTCGTTGGAACTCTTGTAGCCTTTTCTTTTCCAGCGGTGTAGTCTCTTTTCCTGCTAACTCTTGGACCAGTTTAAGGAGACATTCCTCACGTTGAGTTATGCGTCGAAGCTTGGAGTCATGGTCAAAGAGACTTGACATCAATTCTGTTGCGGGATTTCCATCAAACTCGGTGGTCCTGGATAGCGTCCAGGATCTAAAGTCTTGTAGAGACTCAGTATCACCAGACCACAAAATCACCTTCTCTAATATCAGGTAAATAGTTTCCATCTTCTCAAATACGGTTTGCTGATATATTGATGAACTGAAATTCTGGAATTTTTGAAAGACATTTGTGGCCAACTAAGTCGAAAAGTCTGAAGTAGATAATTATCTAAAGCAATGTTGTCATTATACTTCATGACTTTGCGGCATCCGCCCGTGCATTATCCACGGAATGAGCACCTACCAAATAAGAATTTTAGCAGCTCGTAAATGTACAGCGGCGCTCTTTAGGAGGCTGACTGATCTGGGATTATAGCCAAGGGTTGACCTCGGGAGTTCTACAAAATTCACATTCGCACCTTCTGTCAAAACGCATTTTAGAAATCAAAATAACAGCACTTACCGAGATGTAGAGGATAATATCTAGTAGTCTTTTTAGGATCGCAGAATTCCCGATCGCAACCAACAAGACCATACCCGATATCTCCGTGACCCTTTCACATACCATCACAATGCTCTTCAGTTTTATTCTGTGTTGGCTCATTGGCCTCCTCAAGGGCATGCTTTTTACCTTTGTCCTTTTTTACGTCCACGACGGCCCGCTCATCGCGCAGCCTGGTCCCGCCCCGATGATTGGATGGACCGGATGGCTAAGACTGTTTTACGCGGCGTACATCCTTTTGGTTTTCTTCATGTAACCGATCCCACAGGATTGAGGACTTTTTATCACCAACTAACGAGATGAATACCGTAGATTGCACTTCGAACCCTTGAGTACGGATGCGGCAACACAAACAAAAGCCGATACTGCGGTCCATACTTCCACCCAGACTGATGAAATACCCCTTGGAGTAGTAGTAAGGGACGCCATGGGCGACACTCTTTTACCCGGAATTGCTAGGCTTTTGGATACGCGACTGGCGCCACCACCACAAGGAGAAGGGGAGCAGCAAGACGATGGATCTGAAGTGGAGGCTGTACTACATTGGTTGGCCGACTTAGGGCCCGACCCAGACCAAGATGATGACAATCAGGACTATCCTGCAATTCCAAATGGCTGGCACTAGGGTAGCAATTGTGCATGGGGAGCCAGCATCATGGAATATTCATAATTGCACCATTATGGTGCTCTGTCTGACAGATACAATCACTATGTCGATGCTCGGGGAATGGACCCGTTAACCGGTCAATCAATTAATCAATCAATCAAAGTCCAATTAACCCGTTGCAGTCTAACTAGTTGTGTATGACTATGCAGGCGCTTCATCCAACTGAAGCAAGAACTCGAAGCTAAACGCCGAGTTGGGATCACACAGTATAGTGCCTCCCAAGAGTATACAGATAGATGCTGATCATAAAGAGTGTGGAATCAGCCCATTCCTGCAACCCGTAAACCCACAAACCCTTACATAAGAATGAAACATGACAACTGCCATGGAGTTCGCCCTCTATTTCCCACTTCTTCCCTCTGCTCTCTGTCGACAAATATATCTTTGGTTCATTCTTGGTGAAATGCCGATGCCGTTCAGCTTTGATTTAGAGTCCGCTCGGTCACATTTCTTTATCTTCCTGCACTTTCCTTGATGAAGCTATCTCCCCGATATTTGTATTTAGTCTGAAGTACACTGCTTGACTTTTGAATAAATGTCTTAATGTATTGCTCTGATACTCACCCTTGCCATGGGATAGTTTGAGAATGTTCGGATTAAGTCGGTGTATCACACGCCGGAGAATACAGTGCTATACACTCGGTTAGTGATGACCTGTATGATCAAACTAAGATTGTATCGGAATTCCGCTAGGAACCGACCGATCGTTCCTTTCATCAGTGCTTTGGGCCTAGTGACATTCACGCTATCTAGAAGGAGGACATTTTCAAAGCTCCGGGGCTTTCGCTAGTTCTTCCATTGAATTTTCCGTGTCTTTATGTTGCACGCCATTTCTATATGATCTAAAGATACCCATATATTAAAACCTAATAAAAGGCCTTGAATCTTGTCGATGAACCATCGTAGAGCTAATATTAAATATACATTAATTGGCCCTAGACCTCCATAGCCTCCTCCCCCAAGTGAACAGAAGTATACACCTCCCTATCACGCGACCAAGAACCAGCGGGACTCCAAATCTAAACCACGTCAAAGGCTGCAACATTGTGGTCTTCGGTGCTAATATCGCGTCACCATAGCTACTAGTAGACCCATCCCCCCCCTAGCTTCCCCGCAAACGTTTCAACAGCCTCCAGTATAATCCCGACTGTCATTTCTGGTTGACTCAGGAAGGGCGAATGGCTCGTGTGAAGCTCCCTATGCTCCACGCTACAGCCCATCTCCCTTGCCATACCCACTTGTATGCGCTGTACAATCACCGGCAAACCCCGATCCTCGACGGTGCCAATATACCAAACAGGCACATCTTTCCAACCGGCGTATGTGTGTTCCCCACCCTCAAACAATGATTTGAGGCTTTGGGTAGTGAGTTGCGAAACCCAGAATTCCGCCTCGTCTGCTGGCAAGTCGTGATAGAAGAGCTCACGTGGAGGAGCGACAAGTTCGGCATATCCGGTCACGTTATTGACCCGCCAGGAAGGAGGGGGGTGGCCGAAAAAAGGGTCCATGAAGGCAAGTCCACTCAGTGTAAACCCAGAGGCTATGAGAATTAGGCCAATAACGTAACCCGTTGTTGGGGCTTGATTTTGGCTTTCGGTGAAGTCTCGTGGCTGCGTGAGACCCTTGATGGCACTGTTTCCAACCATGCCGCCGTAGGAGTGCGCAATAACTACGACATTCCGTCCGTTGATTGTCTCGGTCAAAATAGCTTCACGTACAGCATCGAGGTCATCTTTGAAGGTCGCAGCTGGATTTCCCGTCGTCGAAGGCAAAGTTATCGAGATGCATTTCAACTTATGACCTTGAAGGAGCTTGGTAACCTCGTCGTAGCATGTAGGTTTGTGCCAGGAGCCAGGTATAAAGACTAACGTCGGTGGAGTAGCCATCTCAGAGTGTGAGTGAGAATGATACTTCCACAAATGGCAGATGGTTTGTTTCCTGCGGGTAATATCCAGGAATGCGGTTCCTGCGGCTCAGGCGGCTCCGATCGGTTCCGATGCCAGCGGCTCCGTTCTCCACAAAACAACCACTGGAAACCGGCATTCTATAGCAGGTGGAATAGCATCTTATACAAATTGCATCTGGAAATTCATGCATCTTCATACATCGATCTGGCATTTTGAGAGACACTGCCTTTGGCGAGCTAACTGTCCCGTGTGACAATCTTTGGTCTTCTGAAGCCAAGAAAATTATCTAAATCATGTCACTTTTGCTGTTCGCTATGCTATTTTCCTTCTTTCCTTCGAAAATTATATGCGCCTTCTGCTTCCATCCACTTCGCAGCCTCCCCGGTCCTAAAATTTAGATTGCAATCCCTATCAGCCGTTTTATCGCCCTTTCCCAAGGTCAATTAGATACCAAAATGCGAGGTTTCTACCAAAAGTGCTGCATTCGACCAGTAACCCTTGCGACATTGTTAGCGCCAACAACGCAGATCATAGTCGTCTTCGCAGGTCCTTAGTACATGCCTTTTCTGCGAAAGGCCTGGACTCCCAGGAACCCATAATCACCAAGTGTGTGGATCTCTTGATAGCAAAGCTGAAAGGCCTTACCACCTCAACCATTCAGGAGGTGGAATGGTAAAATAATACAACCTAACTACGTTTGACATACTTGGAGATCTCACTTTCGGTGAGCCATTTGGGGGACTAGAATTTTCTGTCTTCAGATTGTGGCGCAGTATAGCAATAATCTAAAGATTCTTCATGGCAAGAACTGCATCACAAAGATCAGCTCCAAGCACAGTCCCAGCGTGAGCGTCACGAGTAGAGGTATCACCAGAGTCAAACGTATTTTCTTGAACAAGCGATTGAGGGAGTTCTAATCCTGAGACACAACGGGCTAGTGTAACCAGCGTTGACCGATTAAGGTAATCGCCGCAGGAGGGTCAAAAACGCGTGGCTTCAACTTCTTTTTGCCACCTCACCCATGGGAGATTATTGTATCTCGGTAGGCACGCTCGAGTAAACCTTGGTCAACTGGGCCTTCTATTCTCTGACGCTTTGATGGGACTTCTTCATTAATATCTTCCACAATTAATTGGCGCTGTCGCTTAACGACTTGGATAACGTTTGATGACGAACAAAAGGACTGTAAGAAGGATTGAACCTCTCGCTGAAAGGCATTATGAGAGATATTCACGGTTTGCTCTGCTTCGCCGAGGCCGTCTAGAACACATCGTATGTACTCGAGTCCACTTTTCATTACAGAAAGTTTGGCGTCAAGAAGATCGGACGTTGTAGATTCAACGGAGAGCTCAGAAAGGCGTGACTTTGTACTAACAGACCGTTGCTTACGAGTCTCCAGTGTTGACTGACAGGCAGGCGGGATTAACGATGAAATTCTCTCTAGAATTGCGGGAGGTTCGGTAGGCATTCTACGGGCTGGTATTCCAAGGTATTAGGGTCAAAGCAGGAAAAGGCGATGGGCTGATTGAAGATTGAGAGAAAGGTGATACAAGTGATGAAGCTGGATGAAGAAAGGTCACAGGCTGATAGAAGGTTGAGAACAGCAACTTAAGAAGTAAAACCAAGCTGGTAATGAAGCAACTAAGCCTACGGAGCCGGACCCAGAACCTTATTTCGATCTGGGATATCTATCTTCGAAGCACGATTTAGTATTGTCAAGGCATCAAAAGCGTGACGGCGCAGTGGCGCCGATATACCGGAGGATTTATTAACCCAAGTGTTTTGTAATTCATGTTATATCATCTACTTTCTTGTTAATACCCAACTCTTTGATTACAGACTACGGCAATTCTTCATATTATGGTTCTCTGGGTCTGTGAAGATGTGTCAAAAATAGAATCCGAGGGAAGCTAAGATCGAGCTGAGCTGAACAGGAACTATTGGCAACTTAAATGACATAACTGCTGTTGGAAGTCCGATCGGCAACATTGCCCTGAAGAGCTCAGTATCTTCTAGTTTAGTAAGTGCTCTTTGGGTTAATGAGGGATAATAACCTACCAGCGCTACCAGGTACATTAAGGTTGTAAGGATGTGGTCGTGCAAGCCCCGGAAGAGGTATTATTGTTATAGCCTCTGCTATACCTAGGTACAGATCGGGCACAGAGAGAAAGAGGAATCATTATCCATTCAATATATGAAGAGCCCGGTATTGATATCCGGAATCTAACAAATAAAGCACTCGGTCTGCAAGAAAACAAGCCTGCACAATCAGGTATCAATGGGATGATCAAACAACAATATGATATTGACACAAACTTCCAAGGTTGGAATGAATGAAATTTTCAGTGCCTGATCCACGAGGCTGAGAACTCAACAAAGTCATTGTTACGCCTTCGCCTTCTCATTTTCGTTTTCTTCACTCTACTTATAAAGTCTAATCTCTGATCAGTTTTTCCTCTTTTTTTTGCATTCTTGTCGTATAATCTCCACACCAACATGTCTATCATGGGATATTCAGATCTTTGCTTAGGGACAGAAGCAACCTTCATCACTCCCTCGCCTCAGAAGTGGGTTCTCGAGGAGAAGCTCACCGAGAATTTCCAAAGAATAACCAGCCGTGAACTTCAGATGGGTGGTGGACCTTCCTTCGCCGTGTTCAAGTACCTCTGCTACAGTGCGACAGACAGTAGCAAGAAGGCATTCATGAGAATTTACTTTCAGATTCCCAACCCCGGAACAGAGTCCCAGCTCCCCCGGCTTCGACAGCAACAGGCAGCTCCATCCCGTAAGCATTTGGAGCTACAAGCTTTGAAGGATCTCAGTAAACAATACTGTACTGTGGTCCCAGCTCTCCTGGCCTACAAAGAAGGAAAACAAGGCAAGGACGGCGTGGTTCCAGACGGCTACATAACACATATTATGTGGGAAATGGTCAGCGGGAAGCCACTTGATACGGATCAGTTCTGGGGGCCTGAATCGGCGCGGTTACGCGAGGCCGTCCGCACGAAGTTCCGCCATATCTGGGAGTATGTTTACAGAATCCCCTCTAGCGTGTTAAAAGTGAAACTGACAAACTTAGGAGAGTTAAAGCATCATGGATGGTATCCAGGGCTCCCTCTTTTGCAGAAGATTATCTACGACGAGTCAACCGGGGATATATATGTGATATACGATACACACCTATTACAAAACAGAATATGCTAACCATCTTTAGGCACATTGCAGGTTTCCGAGACCCCGACCGCTTCGATCCCGGCGAGAAATTTTCCAACATGACCTTTGTCCACTGGCGTCTAACTAGGCCACCCAGAAAGTCCGGTTGGGAGAAAGACCCCAGCAAGTGGTCCTGGTAATCATCATGAATGTCCGTTTCCCCAGCTCAAATGCGCTGTGCTAATGAATCGGATTTTGTTCCGTCCATGCTTCAAGAGCAGGCGATGCGTCGCTCTTCTTATCAATACAAATGGTTGTACAAAATCGAGAGAAGCATCATCTGTGATGATCATGGCATGCTCCGTATCCACTTTGTTGGTTTTGTTGTCGATCCCCTTCGGCTTCACAGGATGTAGATCGACATATAACAACTGTCCAACCTTCGTTGCTCTCGCTTGTTGGTCTCGGGAAATGATGCTCTTGCATTTTCCCTTCCCACGTGGCTCACAATCATAGTGTTCCATCCCAATGTCACTCCCAAATTTGTCTTCATTGATTCGCCGTTTGTAATTTTCTACATCTCTTAGGCGACGCCGGAAAGCGGAATTCTTGGCTTCGAATCCTGATCCATTTTTAAAGAGATTCCTCTTTAATGTCTGTTAATTTCTGGCTATTTACGCCGGTTTCAGAGCAATTTACAGCGGTTCCTTAAAGAAGAGAATGGCACTTGAAAATGACGCGATGCTTCGCGTATAGAAGTAATTTACTGCTTTTCAATAGCCTGGATGGTTAATGAAAGCCTACCCTCTTACTCTGCTGAATCACTAGAAGATTGGGAGCGAATTAGTGGCATGGTGGGTGGTTGAAGTGGTTAAGTGCTAATTCATGGTGTCGCTGATCCACTTAGTTCTAAGGTTAACCATTAAGGCGGTCAGATGATTTACGCTATCGACGATAGGATGTTAGCCACGTGATGATAAGAACATACACGTGATCTGGGGCCGACATCGTAGATCGCGGAAAAGCATATCGCCGAAAAAAAGTGTCGAGACCAGGCCGCCCTTCGCGATCCCATCTCCATCAAGCTACAACGCAAATATGGCGGGAAATACTCAGGCTCGGCTTGATCATACAGATGGAGGGGAACAGAGTGTATCTGTTCCTTTCGCGGAAAAAAAGACCGTTAGCTCATGGGTGCACCTTCTTGCAGGCGCGTATGTCTTTTCCGGCTGTTATCATCTTGATTCTTCTGACATCCATCTAGGAGCGGCGGAATGGCTACTGCGATAGTGACTTCTCCCCTTGATGTCTTGCGAACACGTCTTCAGTCCGACTTTTATCAAACTCCGAATAGGGGCTCCGACGCCTCCCCCCAATCAAACCAGCATCCTCAATCACGACCACTTCAACGATCAAATCATAAAACGCTGCGGATTATCAGCTCCATCTATCGTGCTGAAGGCTGGCGAGCTTTCTTCCGAGGCCTCGGTCCAAGCATGGCAGGTGTAGTTCCGGCGACCGCAATCAAGTTTTACGTATACGGCAATTGCAAGCGTGTTGGAGCTCAGCTCATGGGACACACGGAAGATTCTGCCATTGTCCATGCACAAGCTGCGATCTGCGCAGGACTCGCAACTTCTACCGCAACAAATCCAATATGGCTTGTCAAAACAAGGTTACAACTTGACAAAACACAAACACACGCCGGTGGTCCTTCGACCCGACGATATCGCAATAGCATAGATTGCATCCGGCAAGTCATGCGAAATGAGGGACTGGGTGGCTTTTACAGAGGATTGAGCGCAAGCTATCTCGGCTCGATTGAAACGGCTCTACACTTGGTGCTCTATGAGCAATTGAAAACTCGGCTCCACCGGTCATTAGAAGCCACCGAGGGGAAGCCACGGACTGCCTTCTGGGACGAAGTCTCTCATTGGGCTAGTACGAGTGGTGCCGCATCTTCCGCTAAGCTTGTGGCAGGTCTTATCACATATCCTCATGAGGTACGTCATTTCGAGGCAATTTTTTTGGTCTCACACTCACCCACATTCCTAGGTTATTCGAACACGATTGCGCCAGGCACCTATGGAGCGTGGCCAGGCCAAATACACAGGCCTGTTGCAATGCTTCCGTACCATTGCGAAAGAAGAAGGTATGGCAGGTTTGTATGGAGGCCTAGCTCCTCACATGCTCCGCTCTTTGCCTTCGGCTATCATTACGCTTGGCGTATATGAATTTGTTCTGAGGATCACCGGCGCTTAGCTCAAGGCACGACTTTGTACACTATCTATAGATCTGGTTCTTTTTTCTTTTTATGCGGGGAGATCACTAGACATTCTTGTATCATATTTGGCGTGGCTCATCTCAATTACATAATCTCATCTTTCACTCAAAGGTTACTGCTTCAAAATACTCCATTTTATAGGTGTCATTGTAGATCCATCCATCCGTGTGGTTTTCTCATGACAATATTAGCCAATAAGACCCAATTCATGGATAGTCGCAATACCTTGCCGTATTCATACGGACTAAAATGCCCCATCCCTTCGATTTTGATATTTGCGCACAGCTATTACGGTGTACGTACCACGGCGGGAAAAAAATAACACGGCCAAGTCGGGGTGAATAGTTATAGTGACGAACTACTTCTCGATTTCGAGCCTTGGTACTGGTGTTGGAAGTCTTCTCTGCATACTCTAGGCCTCGTAGGCTTTCCTGCACTATTATGTACCCAATTCATGTCACCTTCTCATCATCGGGTATTGATCCAGGCGATGCCCCCTATACAGACACCATAGCATTCTGTGAAATCATAAGTCTTTTCAAAGTTGAGTACGCCAGCCCTAAAATGCTCCGGGTCTATATTGTACTCGTCTTGCGGGATCGACAAAATAGATCAAAACCAAATGGAACCAAAGAAGAGCTAGGCAAACTCCGAGCGCCAGATAGGACAGATGCACTTTCCTTTTTTGGAAATGGGCCCAATATCTACTAGCATATAACATTATATATGTAGGCTCCAGTGCTAAGGCTGCAAGTCTCTTGGTGATGCCGATAATAGGTGCGCCTTGGCTAATTTTAATCTATAGCACAATTATACCAGTGCTTTATGCAAGCGGCATACCGCACCTCCTAAAGGTACATTAGCATATCCCCCACATCCTCAGGCTCTACTCATAAAATATACCCTGTTGTAAGCATACAGCATCATTGTGCGGGCTATGAATGCTCTGTTCATAGGGCTTTATGACCTTAGAAGTGAGGATTGCGATAGTTCCGAAGGCGAAAGCTTTACTGGAGGCTATCTACCCTTTTCTTTATGATATAGAATGTACTATACTCGACTCGCTTGTACTTTGTGGAAGCTGAATGATTCAGATTATGTGGGTCTGATCTCTGAGACTGGAAATCCTTTTGATTTACATCAAGTGTGCACATCCGGAAGGTACGAGTGCCTGTACAACGCATGATTGCAGTCCAAATAGTTGACGTTGCTGGGGGCTTGTGCAAAATAGCCACTAGTATATAACATCTATAGATTGCTCGGCAGAGGCGCTTTGGCAACATATAGATTTGCCAAGAGTATTCCGCCCCAACCTTCTACTTTGTAGCCAAGCACTTTTAGCCCATGACATCATCAAATAAACAGGGACACAAACCACACCATTACAGGACCTTTGGTTGCTGCATTGGGAAGATGGAACGGCTGAGGAAGAATATGTATCTACACTGGATGTTGCTGTACAGAGTACTCCGTACCTGCCAAGATCCCCACACGGGAACAAGTGGGTCTCCAACGTCTCCCGGCTCCAGGCCTATGACAACTTCGGGATTTAGGCCTAAGCGACAACACCCTCGCATTGTGATATGTAGATGGATTCGCGGAGAATATTCTTGTAACCTTTTTATAGAGCAGGACTCTTTCAAGTTTGACATTTGGAGCCATATGATGCCTCCAGCAGATCCTGGCCTCATTTTTGCATTATATCATCTCATTCCGGAGGTTTAAAACCACCAGAATTTCCCCTACAAAGTAAGAAGGCGGTATCTACAGAGCCAATAGTATGATATACATAATTCTCGATACTTTAGGTGAATGCTCCGTCACTGGTGGTACCATGCGACAATCATCGGATTTTCTTTTCAGCCTTCAACAAAAAGCAAACCTCATATCTAAAGCCTACAGGCTAAGTGACCCATAATATATAAATCATCCTCGTCGGCTGCTTCAAATATGCAGCTATTAATTCCTCGTTATACTACAACGTGTTCCTTTTACCTCTATTCTTCGATTCTATATTCATCCCACGTACGCCCAACTAATTCCTATCGAGGTTATCTTTGATACAAAAATGAGGGTCTTATCAGACAATAACACTTGATATTATTGAGCGAAAAACTGTATTACAAGGAATCGTTGCTAAGGATTTCAGAGATCTCTGCATGTCATTCTACTACTTCCTTCAGTGTGCTAGGAACCGCTCTCCTCCCCAGAATTCATCTCCGAAACGAGCTGGCGTGATTCTCACTGGTGTCCCTGCATCATATGCCTCGACCATCTCTCCCTCCCCAATGTACATCGCAACGTGATAAATGGTGCTTGGGTCGCTGAGGTTACTCGCGTAGAACATGAGATCAGCTGGTTGAAGATCCGCCTGCTCGACTCGAGTGCCATGCCCAGTGAAGTCGGCTTGCGCGTCAGCATCACGGGCAATAGAAATGCCATGCGAGTGGTAGAGGGTGTGCGTGAATCCCGAGCAGTCGAAAGCATATCCTGACATACCGCCCCAGAGGTAAGGAAGACCAAGGAACAATTTCGCTGTGTTGATCAGATCAAGGCTCGTTGGGTAAGGGATCTCCGTGGCAGACTTGTAGATACTAGCGTCGTGGGTGGACAAATAAGCCGAGCCAGAGTCAGGTACTGCAACTTCAATGACTGATTCTTTCTCCTTCAGGACTGGGAGTCTTGTGTCGTAGGTGATGTCCATGAGCTTCGACTTCAAGCTCGGATCGCGGTAGAGCGAAACTGTGGCAGCCTTGTCAATCGCCGCAAAAGGCTTGCTTGATTGCAGCTTTCCGTAGTGCTGGTCAAGCGACACTTGTGAAGCAGGAACCCAGCCAGGGTATCCCAGCTTGTTCTTTGGCGTCGCCTGGTCGGGTACGGCCACCTCGTACCAACCGCTTTCATAATCGAGAATCTCCACCCGTGTTCCATACAATGCCTGTGTCTGAGTCCGACTATTACTGGTAAGATCGCGGTAATCCGTCACGTTCATTGAGCTGAGCCATTTCTCTAGTTGCACCGGGTGTGTCAGTGCCGGCTCGTCGATTGGGCGTGGCTTGCTGGAGTCGGTCCACAATGTTGCAGCAACCACATTTATGTAGCCATGCTGCGCGGTTGCGCGAGTATCGAGTTTTGGGATTGCATTCGAACTTGGGAGAGCGTTGGCAGCACCCAAGATAAGTGCCACGGTGACTTTTGTTGCGAAGGACGAAAACATGATGTTCTGAAAATCGATTTGGTGCATTCGATAACGCTATCTTGTCGGTTTTATGCATGGGACATGGGGCTTGATACAACGTTGCAACGCCAGCTATCATTCGTGGCGGTTGAACCCGCTCGGAGAATGTTTGTTGTCTCCGTTCTCTCTCCGACGGCCCCTCAAGCGGGATCTTCCCCGCAATAATGAAGGGAAACTGATTGGTTAAATCATGTCTGGATTATCTTCAGGACTATCTTGTATCTGCATTGCTTGGTGCTTATCGTCCATTTTGTTCCTGATAACACGATTTGTGTCGGCGAGCTGCAACACTCCGAGCCCTGTCCGAGAAAGAGCTGTCGGGCATTAACAAATGTCGCTTCGAAAGAAGGCTACTAGATGAATGGCTTAATTATCTCTCTCTTATCAATGATTCCGGGTGATATCTGAAACTTTCTTGGCCCGGTCGCCATCTCTTTCGCTTTCCCGTCCCTATGAATCGCTTGGATGCACTTGAACCACAGTGGCCACCCGGGTCATTATTGCGGGAGGATAACACGAATGAGAACCATAGTCGAGCAATTGTGTTGAAGGCACAAAAGGCAAAATCATGGAATCCTCTCAAGCTTCTTGCTATTAGCTCCATCTCTATAGCGCTATGGGTTGCGATAAGAGCAAGAGACTTAATCCAGCCTCAAGATATCGACCCATTGGACTTTGCGGCTCGAACGACCAAAGTGTTATCGGAGATACCTCTCATAGACGGACATAACGATCTCCCGTTTCTTGTTCGACTACAACTCAACAATCAGATTTATGGCGACAATCTTCCATTTGGCCATGGTATGGTACCCACATTTACCAATCGTTCAATAGAAGCCTGATATTGACGGTATTGAAGGACTTGCGTCACATACAGACCTTAAGCGGATGCAGCAAGGCAAAGTGGGTGGACAGTTCTGGTCTGTCTTTGTAGAGGTAAGTTCGTCGATCATTGAGCATGCAGTATTCCATGGGACTAACATCGAGACCAGTGTCCCAAAATACTTCATCTTGACGATCCAAATGTAAGCGCAAATTTTAATCCTTTCCGCTGACGAACGCCGTTAACCGACTTATAGCATAGCGTTCGTGACACCCTTGAGCAGATTGATGTTGCAAAGCGCTTGGTAGCGGAATACAGCGAGCTACAGTACTGCGAGACAGCAGCATGTGCTAGGCAAGCCTTCAAATCAAAGAGAATATCTTCTATGCTGGGCGCCGAAGGACTTCACCAGATCGGTTCATCTATTGCCGTGATTCGGCAAATGTATGAGCTCGGAGTGCGCTATATAACTCTAACTCATAACTGTGACAATGCATTCGCTACTGCAGCCACTACAGTAACCAACACAGGTAAAGATAGTGGACTGAGTGATTTTGGACGCGCTGCGATTCGCGAAATGAACCGACTAGGCATGATGATAGACCTCTCCCACACGTCTCACCGAACAATGCGAGATACCATAGCTGTGACTCGGGCACCGGTGATATTCTCCCACTCAGCGTGCTATGCGATTGCGAAGAGTTTGAGAAATACCCCTGACGACGTTCTCCAAATGCTCCCGCAAAATGGTGGCCTTATCATGATCTTTTTTGCGAACAAGTTCATTCGACCTGACAACCCGGAGAAAGCCAGTTTAGAAGATGTGGTGGATCACATATTCCATGCTGCCTCCATCGCCGGCTGGGATCATGTTGGAATTGGTGAGTGGTTCTTGATAATTATAAGAGCACATACTAAATCGACCTAGGCAGTGATTTTGATGGGACACCTAGCGTTGCTAATGGAATTGATGATGTCTCGGCATACCCGAAGCTCATTGAAGCTATCATGCGACGCGGTGCAACGGATGAGCAGGTGAAAAAGCTAGTGGGATTAAATATTCTGCGTGTTTGGGCGGAAAATGAGATTGTGTCGGCTCAAATTCAGGGTGAGATGGGTTCACGACCTGTGGAGAGTTATTGGGAGGGAAGAACACAACCAACTTGGGATGGCCAGTTGCCTTCATTGAAGAAAAACAAATAAAGATAAAATATGTAATAAATTCTCCCTATGAATGTCTTTCAGATATGAATTCACACGATAAGGGGCGGTCCCCGCTTCTCATACCGCCCCCCATCTTCTTCTCCTGTGTACGTCTGAATATGTCTGTTCGTCCAAAAAGCAAGGCACAGCGACCACCAAGAGTCGCATCCTGTGAGCCATGTCGACTATCAAAACTAGCTTGCGATCATCGGCAACCTTGCGCTCGGTGTGTTGGACGAGACATCCCCCATGAGTGCGTCTACAGGAAGAATGCATTTAAGCGGAGTCGACCCTCCTTTGCAGGTCAATCCTCGGGGATGCAGTGAGTAGTTCCGATTTGACCAGTATCGCTGTCATCTAATTGTTTCCTGACGATAATTCCAGGCATCAGCTGTCTTTTAATTCTCCATCCATGCTAGAAGCCATCCGGCCAACTCTCCAACCAAATAGCCACCCAAATAAGGGCTATCAAGGCTCTTCTTCTTTGGACTCACTATTAGGCAACGTGCGCCAGCAAACCATGTTGCTTGGGGATTTGGAGGCCGGTTCGACCTTGCTTCCGGTCGGGCGGGATGATGAGGGGCCAGCTTACTCTACGACTCATTTCATGAACAATGCTTCGACAATCGAGGGAGCACAGTTGTTGGAAACACTTACCAACTCCAAAATACACAACACCATTGACCGCTTCTTCTCTGACTGGAAGGGAAACGGACTCGAGTCCCATGTTGGTGCCTTCCTCATTCAGCCATTTGCTGATGCAGTTATTGGAGAAATTGTCGCTCTACAGCATTCTCAAAATGTTCGACCCGATCTGTTAGCCTTGTCCCAGCGTTTGTTTGAAAATAGCAGCCGCGCTGTGGATATACATCGTTTGATGACGCTGCAGGGCTTCATCGACCAATATACGGGTGCGAATCTCCGCTGGGAGACAATGGGGGTAATCCTCACACTTGTTGGGTATGGTTGCGGGAAGAATTTAAAATCTTGTTATTCCAGAGAGATATAGAGACTGACAACGGTCACAGTATTGCCGCAACTGAGTTTCGTGCACCATATCCTCTGTACCGAACCGAACAAGAACGACAGACACTTAGGATGAACCTGATTCAATTTGGAAACAAATGTGCAATCTTTTGCGAGACATTGGATGTCCTCAACGACGTTCATATTCTCTTTCTATATCAGACGTTCCAGGTGCAGTCTGTTTTTTACGGAGACCAAAGTACGTGACAAACCTCAAGTCCCACCTTCATGTGCATCAAAATGACAATTTGGCAGGTCTTAAAACGTGGCGTCGACTCAACGACGCAGCCTGTGCTCTACTCGCCGCTGGACTTCACGAAAGCATCCAAGAAGCACGCGATATTCCGTTCTTTCTGGGTGAAGTACGAAAACGTATCTTTTCCCGCTTATACAGTATCGATATCAGCTTAGCGACATTTCTCGGACGACCACCACGCATGAGCAAAAAGTTTTGCTGTATCAACTTACCTCTCGATATTGACGAAAGATGTTATTCCCTCTCGGACCCTACTCTTAGTAGAGAGCTGGAAAAGCTTGACCAGGCCGGATGGAACTCGCAGGGTCACATCCGAGCGAGCGCAGTTATGCGATGGTCAACTATTACAGCAATGATTCGAGAAGAGACCTTGGAATTACTTCTGGGAGGCAACATATCTAATATGCAACGGCGAATAATGTGCGTGACTTGTCTCAGTTCATGCAGCCGATTAGCTTATAGTTTATAGTGACTTGCACGACGACATCAACGAGGCATGGGAGAACCTCCCCTCCTTTCTAAGGGTGTCATCTCACGAACTTTGGGATAGCCAAAGGCCCCGCCCAGAATTGGAATGCTTACATATGGTTCGAATTTTATATCTACAGTCTGCATTCTTGATTGAGTGGGCAGCGTGGCGGCATGGAATTCAACAGTCAAGCTTATTTCGGTCTGCATTGGAACTGATTTGCTCAGTCAACGACGCTTTGATCCGACGGGAACAACTGCCAAACCTGGGCTTTATATCTCTAGCCTGGAGAGTATGTACCCTGAACAGCTTGTGGGATCTTGTTGAGCTGACTAAATAACATAGGTGGCATCATGTGCTCTCCCAGCGGCGGGGGCCCTCGCACTATACCTTCTGCAACCATCGTCCCGATGTCGGTTCAAGGAACTAGACTCACCGTCTCGACGACGGGTAATTGAGAATCTCTCCGTTCTGATTGCACACATGGATATTTTGCATAGCCCCAATGACGGTAATTTCAAATTGTTTTCTCAGGCCAAACGCTCTCTCCAGTCTGTTGTGGACATGCTATTACAGCCGCTGAGCCCACTTGGCATGGAGGCGTCATCTACAAACATAAATAGCGAGCTGCCCTCGGCGGACTGGATGGTGCCTGATTATTGTGGATTCGATGGCGATTTCTGGTATGTTGGCACAATTCATCAATTAGTAATTTACGTTCTAAAAATTTTATAGGGCGAATTTTCCCGATTGCCTCTATACAGAAGAGAATAACGATCATGCACTTGTATGAATAGTACGATCGCTCTACTTGCGTTCTTCGCCTTGTTGTTTTGATTATGTTTCTGTGTGTCTGGCTATATCAAGCCCACCATACGTCTCGACTTTGTCGCCTATACCATTGCGCATATCTTGCTTGCTCATTTCGATATTCTTGGAGCTTTCCCTCACTATTTCCTCCTGTTATATTTTAAGCACATACGACCATAGGGTGTGGAAAACAGGGCTTCCCGTCCGCTCAGCCGTACTTAAGCCACACGCCGGTGAGTTAGTAGTTGGGTGGGTGACCACCAGCGAATCCTCACTGTTGTATGTTTTTGTTTTTTCTTTCCTCGCATACATGATGTAGTAGGAGGGGTACATGGGCCACAGTGAAGCTACGGTCTTGGAAGTGCTAAAGAAGAGGAGTTCTGGATTATAAACAACCGAGTCCGTACTAACCTCTCGTCTATAGTTAGTTGGTAGGATACCTTTGGCACATCAGGCATCCATATTTGGGTCAGGCATCCATATTTGGGTCAGGCATCCATATTTGGGCTTGAGGTTTTTTCGAAACTCATCTCTCTCCTTTTAACTCTCGCTCAATGGCCCTTTTCTTCGTAATGACATCCAATCAGGCTGAAGATTATTAGAGACTGTTATCAATGGATCGCCAATCACTGCACGCAGGGTTTATCGGTAGATTTGGTAGGTATCAAGCCACAGTTCGCGATAGGAGAATTGGGGACTCTCTCCGAGAACACTCCGAAACAATGCTTGTTCTACACAAGATAGATTAATTTTACGGCCGATGTTTATTCCCCGCGGTTGCTTTACATGACATTAAAAGAGCCATTATTACCCACTTTCAATGCACTGATCTTCGCATCTGTCTCACATTGTATATTCTCATTTGAAAATCTACTCACTGTCCAATATGGAAATCCCTTTGGACGAAAAAAATGGCTCTTTCATACCCGAATCGCCAATAGAGTTGACGACAAGCACCCTCATCAAACCACAGGCTCGCCAGGCTTATGATTCAAATGTTACCTTTGAGGAGTACCATTACTATTCTAAGAAGACAAGGGAAGAACAAGAGCATCTAGAGGCTCCGAAGCTCAATGTGCTCCAGCTTCTCAAAGGGAAGAAAAGCGAGGAACCGGTTACGACTCTCACAGAGAAAGACTTCTCGGATCCTCAGCGGAGACTTGCGATAACAGACGAGGAATGGGCAAATGCATCCCGTTCGCTTAGGTCTGCTTCATGGGGTGCCTGTAAGTCGGCAATTATATCTCATCTTACATTCGAACTCAAGGCTCATAATATTCCCAGGTTTCTATTTGATTACAACGGATATCCTAGGCCCCTTTGGGTCAGGCTATGCGATGGGCACATTGGGTTGGAGAGCAGGTGAGTTTCACCTATTCTTGTACACCTTAAAAGACTGAGTTGACTGATTGAAATATAGGTATTGCCTTCTACACTGTTTTCGGATTCATGGCCGGATACTCTGGATATCTCCTTTGGCGCGTCTTCCTTGGCGTGGACAGCTATCAGTTCCCAGCCAAGAACTATGGTGATCTTGGATTCAGAACCCTTGGCCGTTACGGTCGCCATCTTACAAATGTCTGCCAGGCGATTTCGTTACTCTTACTCGTGGGCCAAGTCACCATTGGATTTGGCCAAAACCTATCTCAGGTATCGCAGTTCCGGCTGTGCTATGTTGCTTGTCCGGTCATCTTTGCTTGTGCTGGCTTCTTTATTTCTCAGATCAGAACTCTCAAAGCGTATGGCTGGGTTGCAAATTTTGCAGTGTGGATGAACCTGTTTGTCATCTTCATGTCGATGGGTGTTATGTCGGTGTCTGAACCGAACTACAAAATCTCCACACTTGGGTCTGCTGGCAGTGTGGTTGACAGAAAAACGATCACACCGGACAGTGACGGTAACTACCCGCCGATCATGCATTACAGCAGTATCCCTACAGGCGGACTCATTGGGTCCGTGAATGGCATGCTTTCCGGTGTGTTGGCATATGCAGGTGCACAGCTGTTTGTTGAATTCATGGCCGAAATGCGGCGGCCCCGAGACTTTATCAAGGCTATGTGGGGAGCCCAATTTTTCATCTACAGCGTCTATCTCACTTACGGCTGTGTGGTCTATCATCTTCAAGGACAGTACAGCTATAGCCCGAGTTATCAAGGTATCAGCATATACGCATGGCAGACTGTCGGGAACATGGTTTCTTTACTCGCTGCTCTCATCTGCGCAGGTCTATACGGGAATATTGGAGTCAAGATTGTCTACAACAACATCATGATGGATATCTTCGGCTTCCCTCCTCTAGACACGCGGGTTGGCAAGATAGTCTATGCTTCTCTTGTCCCAGTTTGGTGGACAATCGCATTCCTTATCGCCGCAGGCGTTCCAGATTACGTTGGCTTCGTCAGCGTAATCTCCGCTTCCATGCTTTTGAACTTGACATTTACCATGCCTCCCGTATTTGCCCTTGCATTTGACATCCAGAAGAATGCCATTCGGACGGAGGCTGGCGAAGGATTCAACCCGATAACTGGAGAGGTGCTCCGGACCGAAACAACGGCAGCAAGATGGATCCGTGGTTTCTGCTCTGGTGGTCCTTTCCAAGTCGCAATCAATATTTGGCATGTTTTGTTCTCCCTAGCATCGCTGTCGATGTGTGGGCTAGGCATGTGGGCAGCCGTTGTTGGTGAGTAATATTCCTACTATATTGTGTTCACTCCATACTAATTTCTCTCCCAGGAATGATTGATGCCTTCAAGCTCCCGCAGCTCAACTCGTTCTCCTGTGTCTCACCACTCAATCTGAATGAGTAAGAGAAAATTGTCACACCAATGGATCTGATTTGATTGCAGTGTTTATACAAGATTTGAATATCATCACCACCTTCATTTAATTTATATTAGCTTGCAGGACATTATCAACGCAAGAAATACCATGGTATAATATTGCTTACTTTTCCTCGTTCCGATAGAGAAGCGATTTTGTACGACCTAATTGCCTCCGCTGCCTATTCAACTTAGCACAAAGATATTGTAGACTGTGACAAAGACCCGAAATATTGATCATTGTGTCAGGCACAGCTTCATCGGGTTTACATCACTGCACGACTAAGCCAATTGATTGTCCACTCTATATGGAACAATGTCACAGTGTTAACCAGCCAAAATGAGTATTTATTTGCTTCCAACCAATGTATCACAAATAAAAATAAGACATCCATCTCCCGTTGTTTGCCAAAATCTCCGTTTCCTTTCCATCACTCTATCCTTCCTTCAACTACCAGTGCAGTATCTCGTTTCCAAGCTGCGACGTGGGTTGATTGAGCCATTCTATCTGAGCTTAGACATAGCTCACACTAACGCTGTTGCTAGTAATAGAAGACTTGGTCAAGACGACGTTGCTCTGCTTGATATCCATGAGAGTAGATCCAGTTGGGCCGACAGACTTTCCACCAGTCGTAGCCTTTGCGTTCGAGAATGTGACGGTTCCAAAGTCGACAAAGGGAACCAAGTTGCCACCGCTTTCAAAGTCCTCGACAATCCATTCAGCATTGTACTCGCAGAGATCTCCATCAACACCACCGGTGAAAGTATGGGTGACAGATTTGCCTGTAGTCACATTCTTGACGACAGCAGTACCGGCCGTCTTGGATGAGGCGGTCACAGTGACCTCAATCACATCTCCAGCAGAGATTGTGATGCCGGTAAAGTCGTAGGCATAATCCGGGTACCACTCGTACCAGGCATCGTACGTGACCTTGCTTCCTTGGATGCAGAAATCAACTCCAGTTTGGAGGATGGCGGTGCTGCAAGTATCACCGTCAATACCGACCCAAGCGGAAGCGCAGTACTGCTCGGTGGACGAAGCACCGGCCGGAAGCTTCGGGGTGGGAACGGTGAATTGGCCGGTGACAGAGGTGTATCCGGTGCCAATAAGGACAGCACCGGCCCAGTTGGTACTGTACTCCTCGTGTTTTGTACCATCCAGCTTGAGAAGCTCTTTGGTGTCGGGCTTAAAGGGCGGGCGGCTGATTCGGTTAGTTCTGGCATCAGCTCGGGCAGCGTTGCGAGCTGCGCGGCGTTCGGTGAGAGGAGCTGCGATGGCAGACGTTGTGAGCAACGCTGCGCTGAGAAGGGTAGCTGAGAACTTCATTGTGCAAGTTGGATGATTGAACTGGTTGAGGGAAAGAAGTGGATGGACTGTGTGAATAACGAAATAACCTCGGGGAGACTGCAGTTTATATAGCTGTCTTGCCTAGTTGCCGCTTCATTGAAAAACACAAGACAATTCTCTCGAAGTAGTCGAGCTAATGCATATTCAATGTGTATCACGTCCAATGTAACATCGCCATGCTTGAAAAGAAATAAGCCTCATATCTTCTGATGCCGTCGGAGGCCGATGCATAACCCCAGGATAGACCGTGGGCTGAAGAATTTCACTTTACCCCGACAACTGCTGGCAACTTCAGTGCAGAGGTGCCTCGATAGCTCGGGGCTGTTTCGTGCATCACACTCCCAAATACTCAGCAAAGACCAGGGGGTACGAGTCCAATGGTGTTGTCTGTTCTCCATCCACGCTAAAATGATACAAACCCAACCTTCCGGATTTCCGACGGAGCCTAGAGAAGTTAGAAGCCATCTTTGCTTAGACTGGTGAAGTGAGGAGAAGCGATATAGATTAGCAAGTGGTGCGGACATGCAAAATGATAATTCCGAACTAACTAGGAAGTGATCGCTATGTTCAAAGCGCATCGGCGAGAATTATCAGTAAGCGATTGCAACTTGGTGTGACTGTGGCTTGGAAGCTAGTATAGTCGTGCTTCCTATTCATTAGCCTGTCGGTGATAAGAGTGCCAAGCTTTCGACAAGCAATGTTGCCCAGGAAAAACGGCAGTGGATAAAAGTGGATGTGCATACAATCATTTACCCCTAGATAGTATGAGTACTCACAATATAGTTAGTTATACATCGTGTGGTGTGGTAGCATGATTACTAAAAGAATACTATCTTCAAGAACACATAATCATATAGCCCCCATAGATTCACCTGAGAAGAAACAATATCCCCGCATCGGAGTTCCCGGTGCAGATTCGTGCGGGCTTTACGTGCAGACAATCTAGTCCACGCTAACTTGATTCGATAATAATCTCCGAATCTCAGCGTCAGATTATTGGATCGTGATGCTGCAATTTCTTCAGTAAGAAACTATCAGATTTCAAGTAGATTATGCCTCTATGAAGAGTCCGGCACAATTCCCTAGATCCCCCGGGCCCTTCAAGCCACAGCGCTTGACTTTTTGAGGTATCTTTGCAACCTCCCAGGGATTGATAAAATGATTTTCCGAGCCTTATCGAATGAATGTGATTTGCTGTAACTTGCCTCATGGTGATTTGCCGCCTACTTATATTACTAACATATTCGCATATCACCATTCTCCTATAGCCAATCTTTGCCCAGATACCTATTTTGGCAGCTGTCATTAGTCTATTGTGGCTTCTTCCTTCTCGTCTGCTTTCCTTTCAACTTCTCTCGGCTCTCTAATAACTATAGATCATGTAACTATTGAATAAGCTTTCGATACAACGGAACCTGCATCCCCGATGCTGATGTGTCAGCGGGATCAATATAGCAAAAGGATATCTCCTTGTAGACTCTCGCATAATTTAGGGGCTGAAAGACGTCGTTTGCTTCTAGTGTTCGAATAGAAAATATATGGGTCCATAAGCACTATTGAGTACTGTTTAGGGATAGAGTCTCAATAGTGCCGCCAGAGGTGCGAGTGCCAGTAAGTCTATCCATCTTTGTTCTCGAATCTCTCTCAATTGTCGGTCTGTTTTCTTTCAGCTCCGTCGAGAATCTGGGGTGCCCGTTTTCTTTTCCCTTCAATCTGCATCCACACATTCTGTACCTAGTCTTGCGTTAATCTCCTCCTATTCTGGCTCTCGCTAAATCTATATTCTGATAGAATTGAGCGTAATTCCTTGAGAATCACGTCCTGATTCTAGCCCTTCAAGTCCGTCTCTATCTCGTATAAGCGAAAAAAGGGTAAACCGAAGACGTTGGTATGTGTGGGGTGTGATGTCGTTCTTTGTTGGAGATTCATTGTTCATGTTCGCCCAGAGGACAGAACGAGGTTCCTGGGGCTGCAGTTGAACAGTGAACTTAACTCGATAACTAATGTTTCAAGTGCATGTTCCGAAGGTGCCCATCCTAGTCAAACTAGGTATTCTCGAATTATTTCTTTTTTTCCCCTGGATATCCAACTATCTATAAAGGATGGACTGATCTCCTCAATGGAATATTGTATTCAAGGGTCAATGCAATGATTTCCATTCATATCCTCCTCTCTCTTCTGCTTGTCCACATAGCCGCAGCCCAATCCGGGCATGCTGTCAATTCTCATGGCCATTCACTCACCAAGCGCGCTGAATTTACGCCAGGTCCTAATGGTATCTGCTATACCTATACCATTCAGAGTGGTGAGACCTGCGCAAAGCTTGCTGAGCGCTACCAAATAACTACTAGCAATATCGAGACTTGGAACACTGGAGCCTGGGCGTGGTCGGGTTGTGCCAATGTCAAGCAAGGCGATTTTGTCTGCCTAAGCTCCGGTTCCCTTCCTATGCCGGTTGCTCTCCCACATGCTACCTGCGGTCCTCAGGTTCCCGGAACCAGACGCCCTGACAAATATTCAGATCTCGGCTCTCTAAACCCATGTCCTTCAAACCAATGCGTGAGTGCTATAATTGTTCCAATTATCCGTGGTGACTCCTACTAACTATATCGCCAGTGTGGTCCGTTGGGTACATGTGGTACTAGCTCGAGTTTTTGCGAGGCAGGCAAAGGGTGTATCTCAAACTGCGGGGTGAAGAGTGTAGCAAAGGAAACTACCACCAAAGAAGCTACTTCGATGGTTACGTCAAAAACGACCGTCGCAAAAGCCACTTCAAAGGCCAATTCAAAAGTCACTTCAAAAACCACTTCAAAAACTTCTGTTTCCACGACTACTGCTCCAAAGACTACTACTGCAACGACCAAGTCAAAGACTACCACTACCACAAAGCCAAAAACCACTGAGAAAGCGATGGTAACCATGACCAGCATAAAGGTGATCTACACATCAACCACCAGCAGCCTCGACCCCCTGGCAACTTGGCAAATTGCAATCTACGAGAATAAAAAATGCAAAGGCGATTACTTCTCTGTTCAAGGACACGAGCCAATGAACAATCCCGGTTGCTTGGTCTTCAAGGACAATACAAAGACCGAAATCTCGGATACAACCACATCATGTCGATGGTGGACTGATGATGGGCTTCACTGGGATACCTGCTCCACCAGTAAGCTCATATCTCCTAAGTCATGGTTTATCACAGCAGGCCAGTGTATTATGTATAGGGGCAAGCACTGCATGGAAGAGGACTATTTAGGACAGACCTATGGGGCTTTTAAGGGATGTCAGTCTGAGAGTACTGGAGCTATGTCTCCCCAGAGAAAGGGATACATGAAAGATAATGCAGGGGATTGGGGTTCAATGAAGTGCTACTATACTCCTAAATGGTAATGGCGAAATGATTTTTGTTTAGGGCGGACTTCAGAATATATAATCGAAAACCACTTTGCTCAGAATCCATTCAAATGGTAATAATTGGAGAGAAGTGAAAAGGAAATTCTAAATCATAGACAATTTAAATTTAGAGTGAAAGAATTGTTCAAGCGCTATGAGTGAAAGAATAGCTCAACAATTCTTGACTACATAATATAGCTTTTTGCTGATAATGTCAAAAAGAACAACTCTCTTCATCAACCATTCCAATGGCCGAGCAGTAACTCAGCTACATCTTCCTTGGTCTAGTGGTGATGATTTCCGCTTGTCATTAATACCGATAAGCGCGGGAGACCGGGGTTCGATTCCCCGAGGGAGAGATTTCTTTTTTACCATAGTTTTTTTCTTCTATGGTACCAGGAATTGATAGTAGGGTCTGCTTTTATAGTGTTGTACTGTAGGATTTAATCACCGAAGATTTTATAATGAAGCATCCATGAAATATTGTACTCGCATATTTGGAGACGATCGTTGAAAAACAAGCCAAATAAATGAGAGTCTGGATCTATACAAGCTTGAGGCGTTCCTGCTATCTACGGCCCTTTTCCTGTTCCCTCAAAATGACAAACAGATCGCTTTTGGTCTCTCTGAAACCAACCATTTCCATTCTAGTCTCTTTTTTATTGATTATCTTTCGTTCATGCCATATAACCTCAGACTTTTATTCGGGTGTCCTTCTCGGTAAAGCCCGAGTACATCTCAAAGTAACCAGCTATGGCGTTCTGGGTAGACTGGGTACTATGGGAGAAGCTGAGCGTGGTAAGTACACCACGTATAAGCACGGAGAACTCCCACTGACCATAATAATTGACAGGTACTAGCCATGCTGATCGTACGTGACTCTATAGTAGCGCCAAAAACACAACTGACGAGCTTCGCAGGGCCTGGTGCTCCTTTATGCATTTTGCGTGCTCGGCTGGAATCGCTGGATGATGAGGAAATACGCTGCAGCAGAGGCGAAAGAACCCGAGGAGGAACCTGAGATGTACCTGATGCTGCACAATGATGATATCCCATTCGGCGCCAGAGCGTTGGAAAGAGGAATAGAAGTTGAAGGAATCTGGGTTTCAGATCCCAACACACCCATACAAAGCCCGTACCAGCCCGCAACTCCAGTCGGAAGTCGGCCGGTCAGTCCAGCGCCGAGATCGCTGCATAGCACTGTCGACCCTCCCAGGTTCTCAATGGCATCTCAGAAATCCATGATCAGCCCACAGCCTATCCCACCAGCTGCTCGACGTGCAGTCGCTTCCGAGCTTGATCTAGCCTCCGCAGGCTTCACTTATGAGAATCACAGATCCGGCGCGCTTTATAGTCGAGCCAATCTGTCCAGCCCGAATGCCATACCCATGTCACCCGCACGAGAGGAGGCACTGATTGGCATGGATGATACAACAGGGGGAAAATGTGCTAGCCTCCCTACGGGAATATTCCGCACAACATCTCATCCTGACACGGAGGACTACCGAGTAGGATTGGATGGCGCTGATGAAGACACGGATCATGTCCCGGTCTTAAGTTTGTCCTTTTCTGGTCTTTCGTCAGAGACCAAGCGGAGCTCACGATCCCTGAGTAAGTCGAATACGCCATGATCTAGAAATTGAACAGAGAAACTAATGCGCCTCATTCATAGAACGTCCTCGCCGGCGATCGTCCGAAGAGTTCCGACGCAGGATGAGCCAGATCTTCAACGACAGCATCCATATGGGATTGTCATCCGAACAACTAGAGTTCAATCCGTCTCTGCGTCAGCACCAGGGCCGCCTCCGGAAGTCGCTCCTTCGCCCTTTTCGTCCGTGGGCCAACCCTCCTGGAAATAAATAGTGGGAGGATGCGGTTCACGAAATGTCATTGTCTTGCAAGCAAACCGAATTGACCGAAACAAATATTGAAACACCTTCAGCACGTGCTTTTGCTCGGACTGGGGCAGCTCATGGGGAGTTTTCCACTTGGTTTTTGATGGTCAAAAGAACATTGAGAAAATATGTTTTAATGGACAGGGTCTCAGCATGCAGTTCATTGCAGGATTTGTATTCTTACACCTTTTAGTATTGCATATTGAACAATTGGCATCCGATCCACCAGGTATACAGCAATACACCCCCAATGAAGACACTGACTACTTAATAATAAGAAAAACAAAGTAGACCCATGCACTTCCATTGGAAGAGAAACAGTTTTGCTCCAAAGCCGGAATGGCCCAAGGCAGCACCCCCACGTGATCTCGCGATCCATTTGACGCGTCCGATTTGTTGACTTGGAGTCATCCTGCGATTTTTTTGCCACAAACGGACGATTCCGACTTTTCAGACTTTGCACAATCAAAGACTGCCTTGTTAAGTGATTACTTGAGACCCGTGGCTTTGTTTGGTATTCCAATCGAGGAGACCTAGTATTCATCTCACCCAAACGCGTCTTTTTGAGTGAATCCATCATCCGTGCTTTCGAGTCGAGAGACCCTGCCAAAGAGGCATTAAGATACTGATAACATCGAGAAACGAGGGGAATTACTACTAGCATGGAGGGAGAAGAGCAATTTGATGAGAGTGGGCTTCCTGGCCCTGGTGCCCCCACCCCGCTTGCTGCGCTCGACGTGAGTAAATACAACCGTGATTTGCGTTTACTGATGTTGGACATTTATACTGATCTTGTTATGATAGGGTGTTTCTGGCTTGACTGCTAGGGATATCAAGTTGTTCGTGGATGCAGGGTATAACACTGTCGAGTCGGTCGCCTACACGTACGTATCCATAATCTACACGGTCATTGCGGCTTTTGTTATTCGGCGGCAGATCTACTATATCCATTACCCTACTCATCTCAACCTAGCTAACACCTACTGTGACTTTTAGGCCCAAGCGATTGTTGGAACAGATCAAGGGTATCTCGGAACAAAAAGCCACAAAGATCCTAGTAGAAGGTAAGCCCTCTTCTACGACAGACTACATATTTACATTGAAGATTGGTTCGCTAATGAGAATATGCTAATTAGCTTCAAAACTGGTACCTATGGGATTCACCACGGCAACCGAAATGCACGCCCGGAGAAGCGAGCTCATCTCGATCACAACAGGTTCCAAGCGACTTGACACATTACTCGGAGGTGGTATTGAAACGGGGTCAATCACGGAGATTTTCGGAGAATTCAGAACGGGAAAGAGTCAGATTTGTCACACTCTCGCCGTGACCTGCCAGCTGCCTTTTGATATGGGCGGCGGCGAGGGCAAGTGCCTTTACATCGACACAGAGGGAACTTTCCGTCCGGTGCGATTGCTTGCGGTCGCGCAGCGATATGGTCTTGTTGGCGAGGAGGTCCTTGATAATGTCGCATATGCACGAGCATACAACTCGGACCACCAGCTTCAATTGCTTAACCAGGCCTCTCAGATGATGTGTGAGACGCGGTTCTCTCTTCTGGTTGTTGACTCGGCGACATCTTTGTATCGAACGGATTTCAACGGTCGTGGTGAGCTTGCCTCACGGCAGAGCCATTTGGCCAAGTTCATGCGTACCTTGCAACGTCTTGCAGATGAGTTTGGTATTGCAGTCGTGATCACGAACCAGGTCGTTGCCCAAGTCGATGGTGGCCCCAGTGCTATGTTTAACCCGGATCCTAAAAAGCCTATTGGTGGTAATATTATCGCTCACGCTAGTACCACTCGACTCAGTTTGAAGAAGGGGCGTGGTGAGACTCGAATTTGCAAGATTTATGATAGCCCTTGTCTTCCAGAGAGTGATTGCCTTTTCGCTATCAATGATAATGGTATCGGTGATCCTAGTGAGAAGGATTTGGAAGATAAGTAAGTCGACCTCTCAAGGTTGCGCTTATTTTGTTCCGCGACACGATGTTATTGACTTGATGAGACATTCAAGAGCCGTTTATGTGGGTTAGAAGCGCCCCGTTGGCATCCCAGCGTTGAGGGGGATTTTTTTTTTTTGATAGCAGCGAATTTAGAAAGCATAATTTCTCTTTATTTTCAAGTTTTGAAAAGAGAATAGTTCAATAAGGTGTAGGGTAAAACAAGAGTAAACGTCCAGGGAGCCATCAATCTCAGGCCTATCGCGCCAAGACTTCTGTTTTTTGAGAGCTCCAGCTTCCCGCCCTTCGATCTTCCAACCTTTCTACTTCCCCGGCCATGGAGTGTTAAGTTGACACACGTCAATCGATCATGGCGAAAATTTACAAAGACTCAAGGGTCGACCTTCGGCCCTACTCGCCGACCACGGTCGCCGACATCCAGATTCCGACTCAAGACACCGCGGTCCGTCGTCCACGCTTTTCGATCTCGTCCACCTCCGACCAGGAACTCCCAATCGCCAAAGATGAAGATGAATTCGCCAGGCGTCACCTCGCGACACAGGGTGAGGTTTACTTCCGGAAGCGCAGAGTTTACCCGAGGACGTTCCTGTGGAGGGTCATCAATGACAACAAAGTGCTGGAGATCCAGTGCGCGGACTTGACGAAGGGTGGGACGGAAGTTTACGAATACAATGTGACCCTGCGACTGGATTTCCAAGAGCAGATTCTTCCATTTGGAGTTGAGTTGTCCGACTCCGAGGATCACGAAATCATCAGTCTCTTTGTGATCACCACCTCGAAGCACCTTCACACCCTGTCTCTACGCCCCGAATTCTTCCGCAGGACCTCCTCAATCGATGAAAATGTGAGGGACTGGTGCAAGACCTGCCTCCCCGCCCCCTTGGCCTTCTCGAATCCCCACCGACTACACGCCAGCAGTCCCCTGGAATTGTTCATCTCGCTCGATAATGGTGCGCTTTTGCGGCTGACCCGGAGAGCTGGCGACGATGGTGAGTGATTTTTCTCGGTCTTGCTACCTTCGCGACACTAGTTTTATTAATTGTTTCTGAAATAAGGTTCCCACTGGTCTCCCCTCACTTTCGACGAACGAACATGGGGCTCTTCAATTCGTGGCCTCGTCAAATGGAATGCACCCTCCTCGATCAAACACGACGGACGCAACCTCGATTTGAATGTCGCAAATGCCATTGCCACGACCTCCGACGAGACATACGTCTTCGCGATTTGTTTGAACCACACTCTTAAGATTTGGAATCTCGCAACGAACAAGCTGGCAGCCACAAAGGATCTGCTGGGACGGTCGCTTCAGGATCCGGATCTTGTACCATACACACTGAACCCCGCCGAGACATCATTCATGCGCGTTTTCAATGCTGAGCGAGCTATGGATGGTGGACATCGCTTCTATGTGGTCACATATTCGCCATTTGAAGACGGCAAGTTCAAGTTTTGGGCTGTCAAGGGTGGGTTAACATCCGAACTCATTATTGAGGAACTCTTCGCAGATGATGTCTTCCGACCTGTGGACCCGGATGCCACGGGTAACATGTTCTGGAACATCGCTGATTTCCAGGTCAAATCCCGGGAAGAAGGCAAGGGAATGGAGTTGTGGGTGCTCTGGAGAAACCACGGTCTTTACCAACTCTACACACTTCATTTCAACCTCCAAACTCTAGTTACGGACTGGGCCTCCAACTGGGTCTCGACAACATTTGAAACCCACCGACAAGAATCGCCGCCGCCTCTGGTCGTGGATGATGTGGTGGACCCCACTGAAAAATGGCTACAGTATCTCCTGCAGCCGAACAGATATCTGCCGGAAGTCCTTGAGACTGCTCTGGCTGTTTATCAGGAGGCCATCAAGCCACTTTCGTCGACTTCATCTGGTGGACTGAAAAAGAGTTTGCCTTTGGCGGAACGACTCTGCTCTACAATAGCAGCGGCAGTCTCTCTTCGGAAATTCGCTGACGATGAGATGGACTACTCCCGGTATACTTCAGATACAGATTCAAAGTGGCGTCAGTTCTGGCAAGTTGCGGAAGACCTCAACAAACGTCGTTTCGAACCAATTTCTCTCGCCTACGACTCATACACCGACATGCCATGGCTCGTTCTGTCAGACTCCTGTGCCGTTGTGCGGGAATGTAGCATTACTGAGCTTTTCTTGCACAATTCCAGCTCCGAACTCAGCGATGGAGTGCCGAAGATGGTGGACCGCTGGAGGCATCGCAATGTCTCAAGGGAGCTGGGACCGTGCTTCGAAACAGCCTCTGGATTGCTGAAAGTGGCATCCGATTTCCGGAAAAGATTCTCCCCTGAGCTTGAAGGGGCATGCCGAGCCGCTCTCCAGGCCGAAATCTTTTCTGAGCCTTCTTCGTCGATCATGGACCGCATGGAGAATTTTCGAGAGCGCTCCGACTTTGCCAATCAAATTTCCAATAATGCATTTGACAGCCTAGACGCGGCCCTGAGTGAACACATGAGAACTGATTGCTTGTCCATGGATGCGTTCCTTGCCATTATCCAAACCGCCTCTCTTCACTTCTGTGGAGAAGACTCGGAACTTGCTTCAACCTGTTTTGGCGCCCGAGTTCTTGTCAGTGGTGCACAGGAGACTATTTCCATCTCTCGTCAAATATTTTTCGATCTTCTGATCCTAGTCACATTCGTGGATGGCGAATGGGAACAAACAAGCAAGTCCGACTTCGATGCGTCCGACCTTTTCTCAATGCTTGTTGATCTCCTGCGGGAATATGAGATGATGGCTTGGCTCAGCTCGAATGTTCGCAAATGCCCTGACAGCGCAAGCAAGTCCCGTGTCGACCCAATGCAGAGATATGCACTGAAGGACAGCTCGAAGACCACCAGCCAACGAACTGCGACCATTCTGGAGGATCTGTTCGTTACCGATATCAAGCCCCAACAAGCGATCGACTCCCCACAAAGTTACACATTGACTTTGGGGATCAGAGATGTCGTGGCCTGGATTACCCGCGAGGGTGAG